TCAAAAAGATGTTGGAAGGCGGAAAGTGATGCATGACAATGGACCTTTTTGGAGATTTGTTCAAAGTGTAGGAGAATGTCATAACATAGGAACTCTGAGAGCGGGAACTCTTGGTTTCCGATAGTCCACATGGCGTTTCTTCATAAGCCCTTGAATTGTTTTGGTTACCGATAAGGGCGCTGGGCGAAACGATTTTTCGTCAGTTGAAGCCACCTTCGTTTTAACCAGATCTCCTAGCATCACTCTACGAAAGAGCCCCCCAAACAACCTCTTGGACGGTCACTCCTTCTTCTGCTAAGCAATACTTTTCCTATCCATAAATGTCAACTAGTGACTAGAAGAAGGCTTAGAGGGAGTGCCCTAACTAAACTACATTTGTAGACGCAATAACCCACTTTTAGCTTAGCTCATGATCATTTATCGCGTTAGTGCGTCCGAGTGAGATCATATGATATCACTCGCTTTCTATAAACGCATTCTAACGGCATTCATCATGGCTCGAGGAGGCGTCGATAAAGCTTTCTTGTTTCTATTATTTCCTTTACTCTATCATGGGAATACATATCTTGATATGCTTTACATGCGTGGGGCGTAAATGACGATGCGAAAACGCCCAGCACAGAAATAAATGGCACAAAATGATAATTCTCATTGGTAAGCGCACTCATACGCGCGTGGTAGAGAAGCTAATTAATCAAGTGATATATATATATTATATATATATATCATGCTATATAAACCTTTTAGACCACATTACTTCAGATAGATGTCATAGTGATTACACGATGCGCTAGCTCAAATATTTCGCTAGGCACTGCGGAATTGGATATTGCGTCGTTGCTCATTCCGTGGTGTTTTCTATACGGGTATAAATATGTGCGGCTCCCCCACTCGTACCCTCAATTGAACTTCGTTTTAAATTTCTCTAGTCGGATCAGTATCATTTCTGCTCTGTGCTGTTTTTACAGGCTCAGTACTAGTTAGTTGTCTTGATTAAGGCTACCGGCAGCTTCGGGGGGGGTGTTTTATGGTCTCTGTCGTGTCGCGCCCGTTAATACGTACTGACGCTTAATTCTTCTTCTTCGTAAGATCTTCTCAGTTCGGAAATGACGATAATATTATCGCCCCTGTTAATACGTTAATCAATACTGGTACCGAGCCTTCAAGTCCGACGTGACACAAGCTGCGTCGGTGAGTTACACAGCAGGCCATCCAGTTACCCTGCCCAACAACACAATTTTCTCCAATCCGCAGAGCCTCCTCCAAAATCTCAAGTCTCAAAAACTCACCCACAAACCTCACAAGAAACACCAGAAACAACCCAACCATGCCCTCCACACACGACAAGGAAAAGCCATGGGACACCGAAGACATCGACAAATGGAAGGTCCGTCAATTGCTCCCCCTCCCCCTCCCCCTCCCCCTCCCCCACTCCCCCACCACCCCCAGTCCCTACCAATCCCCATCCCAATCCCCCAAGCTAAGAAATAACCTCTCACCTTCGTCCCACTACTCCTACAGATTGACGAATTCAAACCCGACGACAACAAAGCCGGCTCCTTCGCCGAAGAATCCTCCTTCGCCACGCTCTTCCCCAAATACCGCGAAGTGTACCTGCGCGAAGCCTGGCCACTCGTGACACGGGCGCTCGAGAAGCACCAGGTCGCATGCACGCTCGATCTCGTCGAGGGGTCCATGACGGTGCGCACGACGCGCAAGACGTACGACCCCGCGGCGATCCTGAAGGCGCGGGACCTGATCAAGCTTCTCGCGCGGTCGGTGCCGTTCCCGCAGGCGGTCAAGATCCTGGAGGACGGCGTGGCGGCGGACATCATCAAGGTCGGCAACCTGGTGGGCAACAAGCAGCGCTTTGTGAAGCGCAGGCAGAGGATATTGGGGCCGAATGGGAGCACGCTGAAGGCGCTGGAGCTGCTGACGGGGTGCTATATCCTCGTGCAGGGGAATACGGTGGCGGCGATGGGGGGGTATAAGGGGTTGAAGGAGGTGAGGAGGGTGGTGGAGGATTGTATGAAGAATATACATCCCATATACCACATCAAGGTTTGTTTTTCTTCTGGGCGTAGTTGGGCCTCCCGCGGCTCTGTGGGAGTGCGCAGGACTGGGCTAACGATGGTATGCTGCTGCTAGGAACTCATGATTAAGCGGGAGCTGCAGAAGGATCCAGAGCTCGTCAACGAGTCCTGGGACCGCTTCCTCCCGCACTTCAAGAAGCGCAACCTCAGCAAGCGCCGCAAGCCCCACAAGATCACCGACAAGACCAAGAAAGTCTACACCGTAAGCCTACCCTCTCTCCCTGCACACCTCCCTCCCTCCTTCCTCTCACTAACACATGTAAACAGGCCTTCCCCCCCGCGCCCGAAAAGTCAAAGATCGACCTACAGATCGAGTCCGGCGAGTACTTCCTCAGCAAGCAGAGCAAGGAGCGCGCCGCGCGCGAGGAGCGCGAAGCAAAGCGCCGCGAGAAGAAGGAGGAGAAGCAGAAGGAGCGCGAAAAGGACTTTGTGCCGCCTGTGGAGGCGGGCGATGACAGCGAGAAGGCGAAGAAGAAGAAGGAGAAGAGTAAGAAGCATGAGGGCGAGACGAAGGAGGAGAGGAAGGCGAGGAAGGAGGAGAAGAGGAGGAGGAAGGAGGAGAAGGCGGCGAGGAAGGCTGCCAAGGCGGCGGGGGAGAGTGGTGATGAGTAGAGGGATAGTAAGTAGGCGGGTGTAGGATAGTGGAGGGGGACTGGGATGGGATGGAATGGGATGGGATGGGATGGGATGGGATGGGATGGGAGCCGTGGGGACTGCTGCTGTAGATGGACGTATATAGTAATGCATCTGTACCAACTGGTTGTGTTTTGTGAGATTGGTGGTGGGGGGTGTCTTGTGACGGTGGTGGGGGTGGGGTCATCTTTTTTTTTATATTTCTTATTCTTGTGTAATATATCCGAATCAAAAGTTATCTTGCTAGTAATATGGGGTTTTTTTTTGTCCTCTACACTACAAGTTCAATCGAAAAGGGGTTTTAATCAATTGTAGAAACGAAAACCCGTTAATCACCGCGTTAGTATTAATGAATTAAACAAAAAATCAAAAAATCACCCCGTTAGTCGAATGTCATCAACGAGTGATACCTTGTGAAGAAAAACATCTCTCTCAATCATAACTGCTGTTACCTTACTAGATAGGTATGTAGCAAGTGGACCTGCTAAAATCATAATCCCAAGTTTTAATATCACTATTTTGGTCTCGCCATGAAGCGTCCTCATTTTATATTAAGTCTTTTTTAAAAAATCTTTTTCTCCTTGGCCAGCGCCAGGTTGGCTCACACTGGAAATGCAGGACCAATTGCGGTGACATACATACTTGTTGGGAGATAGCGCCCATGACTCTCATGTTGGAAAGCCTCTCAGCCTATTGATGGTATATGTTTTAACCAGGTCGTAGAACAGCCTCCTGCGCTGGCCAGTGTTGCAGGAGGAGATAGTCGGTCTGGGCGTTACCACTCCCGCTCTAAATATGCATGTACATACATAGATACGAGCAATATCTCCCGTGCGTACAAGATAGCCAGTGTGCAGTTTTATAATAGCTCTGTAACTATATGACAAGCCACTTTATCTAGCTCCAGTTATTCTGTAGAACCCTCTGAGCATTGATCAGCGACATTCATGGATTATCACTCGCTACACTGTTCCCCCCCCTCCTTGACTTAAGCCGAGGCTTTCAGATATTTGTAGGAAGGGATTTTTTGGATTTGATCACACCCGCGCCGCGGAATGGAGACGCATTGAAAAATGGGAAGTTCGTCTTCTTTATATACTCTCCCTGGATTATTATCTTATACACAGGGGGTGGGGGGGGTGTCAAAAGTCACCATCACTCTCATCCACTGTCTAGAGTATACGGCCCAGTCCAATTGCAAACACAACCCGCCCGATTAAAAATCTGCCAGATGATCATTGACCCTCTTACACACACTCTCTCTCTAGAATAACTAGCTAGAAAACGTCATCCCGGCAAGAAACGATCTTAATTTGGTTCACAGAGTAATAATATTGATGACTCCTTTTTAATTTTTTTTTCACAAAGGAAAAATAAAAAGGAAAAGAGAAGAAAGAAAAAAAAAAAGAAGAGGAATAGGAAATAAAAAAAAATGTAAAATAGATACACCAGCCACATATAACACAAGAAAAGAACAGAAAAGAGAAAAGAAACTTGCAGCCAGCAGCGGGCCGGAACAGCGGGGAAGAAGGCCTAGGGGTATAACCGTCGAAACGAAAAAAGAAGAGAAGAAACACTAGAAGATATAAAAAAAAGCCCACCCTCGTCCCCAATCTGCAATAATAATAATAATAATACCCGAACCCCCCCAAAGATCCCCGCTGAGCATGATTCAAAGAAGAGAAATGGACAAAGAAGAGATAAGATACATCCTGTCAGCGCAGCACGCGCGCGCTGAATAAACTTAGGGCGAAAGCTGGGTTTTCCCCCAGAGAGCACCCACTAACAAAAGAGATAGAGAGAGAAACAAATGAAATTGAGATCGATAGGAGGGAGGAGTGATCGGGGTATAAGAGAAGAAGAAGTAGAGAAGAGGAGATAAAACAAGGAAAGAAGGTTCTTGTTGCAGTTAGCCTAGTCAGCATAGTAAGTAGTTGGTCCCATAACATAAGAAAAACAAACAAAAACGAAAAAACAAATCGCAAAGACGCAAAGACGCAAAGAAAAAACAGCCCCCAAAGTTAACAGCGATAATGATATGTATATAATAAAAACAAAACAAAAAAACAGAACGGAAAACGACAAAAAAAAAAAAAAGACACCCCAATCAATAAACACCCGTACCAATAAACACAAAATAAACCCCCCGACCTCCTTTTGATCCCTGCATATCCGTTCCCTTCCCTTCCTTCTATCCATAAGTCCTGTCTATCAAGAAAAGAGAGAGAGCATGATTTGAACCGAATAAACTAACTACCTAGCCAGGACCCACCACTACTCCTCCTCAGCCACACTCCCCACCTCACTGACGCTCTCCCCAAACTTTGGATTCCCCTTCACATCACCCTTACTCCCCTTCCCCCTCAGCTTCAACATACTAAAGCGCTTCTTCACACTCCCCACCCCACGCTCCATCGAGTTCACCACGCCACTCCCGCTACTCCTCGGCGGCCGCGTGCTGCTCGTACTCGGCCGCCCCTTCCCACCGGGGCTCGACTCCACATCACACTGCTCATCCAGCGAGTCCGCCGTCGGCCTCCGCCTGCGCAGCGACTTACTCCTGTTCCTCCCCCTGCTCGTGCTCGTGTTGCGCGTCGACACCGACTCGCTCCTTGTCCTGCTGCGCGGCTCCTCCGGGATCGGCGGCGCCTTGGTGTAGTGGTATGTGCCGTTGCCGTTCATGGCTCCACCGGTTGTGGCGGTAGCGGTGACGCTCGCGACAATGCCGTCGCCCTTGCCGTGCCCGCCGCCAAAGATCATGCTGGCGAGGCGGCCGCGGTGCGTGCTGCCGACGACGCTGACGGCGTCCACGCTGACCGAGTCGACGCTCATGGTGTCGGCGTCTAGGAGGGTTGTTTGCAGCTGTGGGAGGGAGAAGGGGAGTGGCATGCCGTGGGAGGGGTTGGAGAGTGGGGTGGGGCGCTTGTGGTGCTGTTTGAGTGGTATTGGGGTCGGTGTTGAGGGCGAGTGGAGGGGTGCTTTCCATTGGCCGGGGCTGATTGGGGGTTTGATCTGGAGCGGGGGTGGTGCGAGGGCTGCGAGTTCACGCTTGTAGTTCTTCTCAAAGACTGTAATACCACGATGTCAGTATATAAACCCACCTCTGGCCCCGGAAATGATCAGATCAGCAACTTACATCGCAACAGCCCTTCATGCAAACCCTTCCCACCGCCTTGAGCACCTCCTCCGGACGCACCAACTAGCCGCCCATGCACCGCCAAACACTTCTTCAGCGTCGCCACATAATCCAGCATCGCCATCCTCAGCGCATTCCTCAGCGCAGGATCCACACTATCATCACCCAACAGCTCCCTATAGGAACTCACGCCGCCATCCACCTCGCCTGTCAAAATCATACTGAGCTGCGCCACTCCTCCGGCCCCATCACCACCGGCACTTCCAGTCCCGCTCTTAATCTCCGCGAAGCGCCTCTCCACCATACTCAGCTCCTTCGCCTTCATCATCACAGCCTGGATCGCATTCTCGACGGGCCCCACAGTGCACGTGGCCACGCCCACAATCTCGCTGCGCCGCAGTATCGTCGGGAAGCGCTCGGACGTGTTGTAGATTGTCTTCTCCGTCCACATGCCCACGCGGCCCGCGGCGCTGCTCGACAGCGGCACCGCAAAGCTAAAGCTCCTTGGCCGCCGCTGCAGCAGGAACTCGCGCGTGTTGGGCGGGACCTTGCAGCGCTGGAACACGGGGTGGCCGATGTCGTGTTCGGGCTCGACGGAGGTGATGTGGATGAACTGGCCCTCGACGGAGTCGATCGCGACGCTGCTTACAATCTTTGCGGCCGGGTGCTGCATCTGGATGCGGTCTGTGAACGCATCGAGACCCTCCCAGTGGTTGCCTTGTACAATAAACTGCCTATCCCGCAGCCCAAGTGGGAATCCAAGACCCAGATACGCAACCCTGAAGAATCTTGGATTGTATCCCTCGCCAGCCCCTTGTAGAATGTCTTCGTGGATCTTTGCCATAGCACGATGGCACTTGCCCAGCTTTGCATAGTCGTAGAGCACATTCTCGTACTGGTCTGCAAGCTCCTTGTAAGTATCCAGCGCATTCTCCCACGAGTACCCGTCCTCAAAATGCTTGATCATCTCCAGGAACAGCGCCTCCCTCCTCTCAAATGCAGTCTGCTCCGGGAAGGGTGGGTCGATGAGCGCAGGAACCTTCTCGTTTGTGTCCCATGCGTACAGGTCAGCATGTAGCTTTAGTGAGAGCCCAGCTTCTACGTAGTTTTGAGCGTCGAGCTGTATGATGACGAGCTGGTGAACGTAGCGGATAAACATATCCTCCTTCCGCATATCCTTCAGGAACTCCATCAACCGCAGTGTATCCATGATATGGTACGCCTCACCCAGCGGGGTGTTATGCACCGCCACCAGAAGGTCCAGGAACTCATCGATCGTGTGCAGCAGCGAGTGGACCTTGACTGTCAGTGGATCATCTGGGATTCGCGATAATGGCTGAAACAGATCAATCAAGTCGGCGATAAACAGCTTCTGCGTAATACTTTCCGTGAGGCGTTTCGACTTGAACAACCTATCCAGACTCTATTTTGCGGAACACGCGCATTAGCTTCTCACCGCATCACAAACTATCACTCGCACCATACTCACATCAATCATTTCCGCCTGAATCACGCTCAAATCCTGGCTCAGCGTCCACTCCGACACCACCATCGTCTGCAACACCTCCACCGCAACACTCCTCAGCCCTTCATGCACGCTCAAGCACAGCTCCACGATCGGCGCAACAAGCCCCGGCACATACTGCACCTGGTACCCGCCCATCTTCTCAATGCCGAAGCGCCTGCGATCCTCATCGCTCGTCTCCCAGCCAATACTCTCCCACGTCCGCCTCAGAAGATCCGCGCCCTGCTCCCGCACATCGCCAGCAACTTTCCACACCGCCCGGCGCTTCTGCTCCGGGAAGGTCTCGAGCGCCAACGCGTCCGAGCCCACGAGCGTCAGCAGCGTGTTAAAGAACCCTTGCCACAGCTCCGTGTTGAATCGTTCCGCATCGTCCGGATCAGGCAAAAACGTGTCCACCAGCACCCCCGCCAGCGTCTCAAGCGTCCGCAGCGTAGAGCGGTGCTGGTAGATGTGCACGCTCAGCCAGCTCTCCGGGAACGCCTCGCACGACAGGATGCTCAGATGCACCTGCAGATCGTCCATCAAGAACTTTGCCAGCTCCTCCTCCGAAAGGTCGAGATGCAGGCCCGTGGGGATGCTCGACACGGCTGCCAGTATCGCCGCAAGCTCGATCAGCGCCTCGTCGAACACAGGTCTGTCGGGGATGTTCTTCGTCGGGAATGGATACGTCCTTGGAAACAGCAGCGAGAACGTCTCTCTCTCGTGGCGGCCCGTGGCCTGGATGGCGCAGTACGAGTCAATGATCTTCGGGATATACTCCGAGACCTCCTCGCCGAGCTCCTCAACCTGGCATGCAAGCACGCTACAACACAGCCGCACCTGGTCCCTCCACTGCCTGCTCACGTCGTCCGTCGTCCCCCAGTGCGGCGCAAGCCACCTCACGGTGTTCAGCGTCAGTGCCCGCCGGTCCTCGGGCATGGAGAAGAGCTGCGAGCGCGAGTAGTTGATGATCAGCACGAGTTTGAACAGGATCAGCTTCCCCTTGACATCCGCACACGCATCCATAAAGTCGATAGCGAGCAGTAGGATCTCCTCGCGCGTCATCATTGTCGTCGCCAGCTCCGGCAGCCACAGATGGAAGTGCTGCACGGCGAGCGTCTGCGAGCCAACTAGCATGGGTGCGTTGTTGCGCATGAGGTTTTCCAGCAGCTTGAAGATGCCGTGGAGCTCTTTGATGAAGCCGCTGTTACCGTTGAGGCCGAGTCCTGCCTCTTTCGCGAGCTGCTTTTCCCGTGCCTTGACGATGAAGCGGAAGACGTGGCGGCCGACCTTGAAGGTGCTGCGGAGCCGGCGGGAGCTCTCGCTGTTTGTGGGGTCTTGGAGGAGGCGGGCGAAGGAGCGGAGGAGGCAGGGCCCGGAGAGGGGATAGTCGAAGTGCTGCTCGGCGTACTCGTCCACCATGGGCTCGAGGTGGAAGCGGCGGTCATAGACAATACCCAGCACTGTGATCAGGGCATTAAACACCAGGTCCTCGACCTCGTTCTCCTTTGCATACTCTACGAGCACGCCAAACAATGCGTCAAACACTTCCTTTAACAGCTTCACCACTTCCATCTCGGGCACAAAGACCATCTTCTTGAGCACAGCTACAACCTCTTCCTGCTTCATATTCTTCCACTGCAGCAGGCTCAGCACAACATCGTCTTGAGAAAATTTAGTACTACACAGATACGTCTTGACCTTTATTGAGCTTGCTACCCCACCCATACTTAGTGCCGCCGCCCAACCCTCATCCCCGGGAGTCCATGGCTGCGAAAGATATCCATTACCGCCGCCTGAACTGGTGCTAATCGGCGAGCTCGTCCAGTCATCATACTTATGCAGCAGCAGCGAGTACTCTCCATCTCTCAGGAACGCCTCCTGCTCCCACAGCGGTAGCCATGCCAGCGCAGTAGGCGCATTCGGCACCCCACTGACCGTCATAAATACGTGTGCGTTTGGCACGTCCTCATCCTCAAGCACAAGCTTGATTGTCTCGTTCCAACTCTCCTCGCGGTTGACAACGACACTCTTCCAGACCGTGAGGGGGGTGTATTGCTGGCGGCGAAGATGCAGTCCTTGATCTGCTCGCCGTTGGGGCGGCGCACTTCGAGTGATACTTGGAGAGAGTTGAAATAGCTCGCAGGTGGAAGCGCGCAGCTGCCTAATTTCGGGTGAAGGAGCATGCCATGTCGGGGAAGCACCGCGCTGTCTAACGTTACATAGATGTCGCTCCTTGGCCTCGTCGGTGCCCCTGAAAATCCGATTTTTTGCGCGCAGTTGATGTTATGGAGTAGTGTCGGCGTGTTCTTTACTAGCACATCTGCATCCGCCGCTGCGAATGTGCGAAGATATAGATGCAAACGGTCCGCACGGGCAGATTTCTCACTAGAGGTGCGCATGTCAGCTTCTTTTTTCTTCACTTCAATCATTGACGCTCCTGCTGCTACTAACTATTTCCCGGTCTTTGACTCGATTACGTCCTTGATAAGACGGTCCCAGTCCTCATTGTCATGGTTGGAGGAGTTACTGTTATCTCTCTTTCTACCTCCGCTGCCGCTTCGGTCGCTGCTAGCATCGTTCTTCTCGCCCGTCGGACCGCCGCTGCCTGCTGATGAGGATGTAGGTGTTGATCCGGCGGAGCCAGTGGGGACATAGATCCGCATTACCTGCTCCGTGCCCTGATCCTGCTTTACAAACTTGCCAACATCGAGGACGCCGACTCCCAAAGCCTTCTTGAACGAGAATCTCCGAGGCAATGCCGGGATCGGGGGTGCATCTGTCATGATCGGAGACGTGATGGGTGACATATTCTCATCATTAGTATGCCTCCTCTGCGCCACCACCGGCGAGGCCTCCAGAACTCCGCCGAGCTCCCTCTGTCCCTTCTCGCCGGTCTTTGGCCGTGGGTTCGGCCGCGGGTTAAATAGCACGCTGACTCGGCCTTTCAGCTTCTTGTCCTCTTTCGACGGAGATACGGTCGACGTGCTGATTGTGTGTGCCGCCTTGATCCCCTGCGTATTCTCAAATCCATTGCCCTTATTCTGGAGCTGAGGCCCCGGGGGAGAAACCACCGTGACAGTCGTGAATACCCTGACCACCAAAAACACATCCTCCGCAGCGTCCTTCGAGCTCAAATCAGTAAATAACGTCTGCATCCTCCCGAGCTGGCCGTCGGTTGGGACTCCCCCGGGACCCAGCTCTATCATGAAGCTCTCCGACACCGGCACATTCGCCTTCGTAGCCAGGTAGAACACCAGCGTGACAGGCTCCGTAGTAATGCCCACAAACGACTTATGCTCCAACAGCAAGTGGTGCAGCGCGACTCCGTCGTTCGCGTGTGCGGGCGGCGCATCCAAAAGTGACATCTGCGACTGCAGGCTTGTAATCTCGACGCTGCTGTCATCGCCGGTTAGTATCCTCCCCGACGCCGGATCTCGCACTATGATTTCCCTCGAGAGGATCTTATTCCCCTTTACGAGCGCCCACACGGTGCGCTCCCGCGTTGCCACAAGCTCGCTCTTTGTCAGCACGCCATGGAGCAGCTGCCGCCTGCTCAGGTCCAGCGTATGGATCAATCCCGAGATCTCGTCCAGCAGCGGGTACTGCCTATTTAGGAGTAGCTCATGCAGATTCGCCGCATGCCACTCTCTCAGGCAGGACGCAATCTCATCCACCAATGGCTCGCTCTCAAAGCTCGACGTCTCATCGCCAACCTTCAGCATCGGCACCGGAGCCGCAGGGCGCGGCCGATCCCTGTCCCGCCGCGGCGGGAGCGTCATGGCCGACTGCCGATTCGTCGGCGTCGACACGGACTGTTTCCGCCGTCGCGACTTGCCCGACATTGTCCTCGCCACGCCGCTCTTCCCCTCCTCTTTCTGGCGGCGTGCGCCCGGCGGGGCGGGGAGCGAGTGTCCGTTGACCTCCATGCCGTCGCTGTAGTACCTGAACCCCGTGCTCCCGTCCACCGTGCCCTCCTGGTCGTACTCATACTCGTCGTCGTCGTCTTCGTTGTCGTTGTCGTCTTCGAGCTCCCGACTGCCCCTCGCACTCTGTTGGTGGTGGTGGTGGTGCTGCTGCTGTTGGTGGTGGTCCTCCCCCATTGCGTCCTCGGGCAGGATGGGCACCTCCGTGGTCAGATACTCCTTTATGTCGACGCAGGCCGCTGGGAAGATGCCGCTGAAGACGCGGGCCTCGAGCGTCGCACCCTTGCTGCTGGTCAGGCCCGCCAGGAGCGACGGTGGCGCGACGAGGTAGCCCCGGTACCATTGGGAGTTTGAGCACGACTCGATGATGTAGAGCTCGTCGCCGAGCTCGAGGGGGAGGTCGTCGCGTGTGCTGGGGTTGAAGGGGTGTATGGCGATGGCAAAGGCGATGCGTGGGAGGGGGACCACGGCATTGTGGGCTTTTTGAGGTGGGTTTAGGGGGGCCCAGTAGAGTGGTAGTGGGTGAGGTGAAGTGAGGTGAAGTTTGGTTGGTTCGAGGGGGGGGAGGGAGATGAGTGACGTTGGTCGAGGTGAGTGTGTTTCCTCTGTCACTTTCTCTCTCTCTTCTTCTTTTTCTTCTTCTTCTTCTCGTGAGATATTTGCTATCGCAGGTAGGCGATGGATTGGAGTGTAGACATGCAGTATTGTTGGTAGTAGTATCTCGTAGTAGCACGTAGCAGCAGTAGTAGTAGTGATGGTGGAATGTAGCAGCAGTACAGCACCGTATCTTCGGGAATCCCAGAAGAAAGAAAGCAAAAAAATAAAAAAAAAGGGAGAAACGAGAGGAAGAAGGAAAAAAATGAAAATTGTGGGGAAAACGAGAGGCGTCCAGGGGGGGGGAGGGGGGGGGGGATGCGGTTTTAGTCTTTTTTTAGGAGAGAGCGAGAGAGAGAGATGAGAAAGTTGAGAAGGTGAGAAGGTCAAGTCGATAGGTTGAGATTGATAGTCTGATGTATGATGTATGTATGTAGTTAGTTTAGCAACAGCAGCTCCTGTAATTTACTTAATTGCAAGGTAAGATTGAACAAATGCTGCTAGTATAAGCTACTAGGGGAGACCAAGTGAGTGGGTGACAAGACGAGTGATCGGGGAAGGAAGCTGCTGTTTGCTGCTGTCAATTGCAAGCCGGTAGGAGAATTAGAGGAAAGGGAAGGGAAAAAAAGGAAAGAAAGAGAGAAAAAAAACTTAGAAAGAGAAAGAACAAAACTCTCCCAAACCTCCTCCCAATGCTATGTGGGAATAAGTGTCAATTGTGAAAGGAGTTGCGAAAGGGATTGAGGGGGCAGAGACACGGACGATCACTACCTGTTCTATCAAACAAATTCCACACCATCGACTTCTAAGACTTCTATTCTTCTCTACTATTCGCCCTGCCCAACCACCCCCCAATAGGCCCCTATGCAGTAACATAACATAAACTACGATCAAAGAACCATCATGAAGATCTCTCTCTCTTTCTTTCTCTCGTACTCTCTCACACTCTACAGTAGTACTCTACCACCCTGATCTTCCGTTTCAATTAAATCCCAACCAACCAACCAGCGCACTACTACTACATACTTAATAACTAGGGGTGTGCCAACTCGCGACCGCGAGTTATTGGATTATGGGTATCAAATAATTATGGAAGGCCTTCGATGGGGGCCTTCGGCCCCCCCATTCCACCTCCTCTGTTTAATTCTCCCTCTAGAATTATGAGAGGCCTTCGGCCCCCGTCCTCCTCCTCTCGAGTGTTCAGTACTTTGATGTGTCATGCTTACTAAACACCCATGTCGGTGTCGACCAATCAGACCGCAACGAATTAAGAAAAAGTGTATTCTAGTACATAGTAGACTGCACCACTTCCTACACTTTTTTTTCTTCTACCACTCACTCCACTACACAACTCCCCCCCCCCCCCCTCGATCCCCACGCTCCCTCCAAAACTCTTCAATCTCGATTGAACGGCTACTCACTCCCAAGCACAAAGACACCGGCACCTTCCAGTCCAAGGCCCGTGCAAGCAGCAGCAAGAAAGCCGCTGCCTCCAGAGTAGGTACTAAAAAAGCACGGGGATCTCCAGTTGACCAAAACCGCCGAGTTGCAGGGCTTGCAGCAGTGCAACAAGCAAATCAACTGAAAAAGTTAATGATTATTTAATAGCAGCCTCCCCCATATTACTCTATTCTGCACCTCTCTCTCCGCTCCGTAAAGAGTTTCAAGTATGTAGGTAGGTAGGGAGGGTATTTAGGGCAAGCATAACCTCCCCCACCGTTATCATGCTGTACCCACTGCCCGGGGCCACACTTTCTTTTCCCACGTCCCTCCCGAGTCCATGTTCAGAATCTCTTCTCTTCGCGCGTCGCGGGGGTCAAAGCGCCGGTGTCTGTCTGCGTTGCATCCCTGCAGATACATAGAATGGATGGCAACCGAACCAACCACACGCCCCCATTTGCAAGGTTGCGAACGGGCCACGCCTCTCTCCAACATGATGAAAAGCACGAGAGCAGAGCAGAAAAGAAAAAAGAATTGCTTGTCAGGGACGATGGCTGAGACACAACGCGGGTTGGAAACGAAACAAAAAAATATTTGGAGAAGGACAAGAAACGGGCGAAAAGCTAGGTAGGACGGTGGCTCCTATTTATGCACCTGCACACATACACACCCGTGACATTAGCGACGGGAGGGAAGGGACCTGGGAAGAAGGCCCCGTGGAGATTGATGCTTGAGCTCCTCTACATACATGTATCAGTAGACAGCCCAGAGGCACAGGTAAACCGTAAACAGGCAAAGGGAGGGTACGGGTACATGTATGTACGTCGTTTCGTTCTCACGGTAGATACTGAGAAACACCCACCCGAACACACCTCCTTCCTCTTCCCCGTGCAACCCGAGCGAGCCCTTCCCTTCACGGCCATGCAGGTTGTTTCGTTTCCCATCCATATCTCCGCCGCAATTGAACAATCCTCGACCGCAATCTCCAGCAAAAATGTATCCCGGGTGCTTATCTTTTTTATTAACACTTTTCTCTGGGGTGCATAATTTACTTTAGATAGCCCTGCCTGCCCTCTCTCTCTGCCTCAAGTTGATTACCAGAAAATCTCGCTCCAGAACCAGAGCCGGGGGGGGGGGGGGGCGGTGAAGAAGGTGAGGTAGAGTAGGTAGAAAAGAGATCTTATCTAATCAATCTAATCAGTACGCTCGACAGGGCAAATTAAGCAATCTTGTTCCTAGAACCGGGAAAATCGGCCCGAGCGTTGAAGGGGAGGGGGGGGAGGGGAAGGGTTCAGTGAGATGAACAATGGTACCGAGATGAGCGGGAGGGCTTCGAGAAGGTGTGGTCTGCATGTTGTTCCTGCATATATCAATTCATCACCAAGTCATCAGAATAGATTCACCTCCCCATGTCTGTTGTAAGGATTTGGAGGGGGCGGAGGGAGGAAAATACCAATCACGGGATACAACTCTGTAGGCTGTATGTAACTGTTATTCCCATCATGTCTAATATATGCTGCTGTATGTACTGAGTTCGGGGCGCTTATCTTAGCGGGAATTATATCTCGTCGTTGGCATAGTAATCACTCGGATCAAGAGCCGAAGTAAGACTAGAATCACGGCGCGTCACTCGGTTCTAGAGATTCCGGAAAGTGGTGATGGTCGTCCAATCTTAACGCCATCGTTTATAGCAGAGGTTGTACTCCAGATAGATGTCTTAGATTGACGGCTGTTTTTGGTGTCGGTATCGATAAGTGAGGAGGGGGCCGGGGAAAGCTATATATAAAATCCAAATCCAAATCCAAATCCAAATTATATAGAGTTACAAGAACGGCAGAGAGAGATTACGCAACACGTCACAACTTAGTGCACCACAAGCCAAACCAGAGCTGAATAGATTGCAAATTGCAGTGGAAGGTGTTTGAGATTGATTAATTGATCAATTGAACAGGTTCCATTTGATTGAGAAGGCCCGGTAGTCTGGCCAGCAGAGCACTTCGGGTCGTCGTGGATCGTAGGGCAGACAGACAGTCCCTCCGCCAGGCGCTGCATGCAGCCCAATTGAGCACTCCCTCCTCGTCTTCTCACTCACCCACTCCCGACACTTCGTCTCTCCACGGGCATGTCCCAAAGCCACGAACCGTCATCAATCGCGGCTCGACATCATCCTCCAATATCACGGATGATCTTTCATTCTCTGCAACCCCATGTAAATACTTACTCTACTAATGTCTAGTCCGATTTCAAATCGGCCCGTTCGGTTTCAAATCGAAGTGGGCGATATTCTTCTCTACTCCCACGACCACCAAATCTCCTCGGATCCTTTGCCCGTATGCAAAACATCCGTGTCACGTTGCTCAAGTTCTTCTGATATATTCCGCGGATGCATATGCCTTGCTTGAGTCCCCAGCATAAGAACACTACATACAGACTTTGATTTGTTGAATATCACATCTAGACTTGAACTGTTCCTCGCCGTGTCCGTAATTAAGCAGTGAATAATAGTTCACCAGATAATCACTGCAGGGCCTTGCAATTGGTGTACACAGCCAGACTTCTCCGGCGGCTTTTCCGGCCAGTACAAGCGCTTTCTGGCCGTTTTGATTTCTGTGCAGGCTGTAAGCTCGTCAGACGGCATATCAGTGCTCTATAAAATGTTTACCTAATACTTTCTAAGTCTCCATTCCGATATATACCAAATCCAAAAGGATACCATAGAAGAACCAGCCGTGTCCTCTATTGGCATTCAATACGAAAGCCTATATACCTAGAGCCCCTACTCTTGGTAGTTCTAGAGTATATCATACAATCCGATAAGGGCGGGTACTTCCGTATCACATCAGGTGAGTCTCTTCTACTCCCGATAACAGCCGTCCCAGCGTATGGAGTAGTAAGGGTTCATATCACTTTCTCTGAATCAATCGTGGTATGTATGACATAGTAGGCGGCTCAGGTACGCGTATGTCGGGATGATCACCGAAGCGATATTAATGGATCATGATATATCACTCGATCACGTACAGTAGAAGAAATGTTCTTATTAATTTACTTATTGTGCGCAACCGAAGAAATGATGAATACAGGTACTTAGTGTGGCGATGAGGAGCAGTAAACACAATTTGTTCAACCTTTTCCTCTCTCAAAAAAAAAAAGATTAAAAAAAAGTTCCCAACCCTCATCCCCTGCGGCGGGGTTTCAGGCTGGTAATCTTTGTCCTCGGCATGGGTTGAACGCGCGCGTTCAAGACACAGCAGGCATAGAGACACTGGCTCACATGCCGCTGGGCTATTCAACCCATATGTTTAGGATGGTTTCTGTGATAGCTTTGAGGGCATACGTGGGACTGTTAGCGTAAACCTTAAATACGCGGTACCAGGTCGACGTGAGAGAGAAGGGCTAAGCTAACCCACCCAGCGGGGATACAAGTATATCGCGGTCGAGCTGCCTCTAGTATCAATCAAATGCAGCCTCCTTTAGAACATCTTTAGTAATTAGCACTCATGCACGTCTCAAGCTCCCCCGGAGGTCCTCAAGGCTTCGACAACATCTATGGAAATCCAAATTGAGCTTGAAGTTACAACGCCATGAATCTCGCTTCACGCGGAATAATAACATAGAGGTCAAATTTAAGAAATTCCTTCCTATAGATGTCTGAAAACCTCGGCTTTAGTCGTGGAGGGGAGACAGTGTATCAAGTGATACTTAATTCATGACCTTCACTGGTCAATATTTAGAAGGTTCTACAGAATAATTGCGAGCTAATTAACGTAGCATATCCTATCTATCATATAAGTCTATGCAGCTATTATCAGACCGCATACTGACTTTCTCTTACGAGAGATATCGTGCCTACATGCAGGGCACAACGATACCATGACCGGGGGAGTGAAACGACTATATCCCCACGATTCGAACCCTTAATTCTACCAAGTAGAAGTTATTATCACGATATATATATAGCTGCCTGGCTCCGTGTTTTAGTTGGTCGGCGAGTGAATTTCCGTAGTAATCCTGCCCCAATTACAATGAGCTAGAGTTGGTAGTTTAGCAGCTAGGGCCGACCGGCGTTTCCGCTCTCGACTACTCCAAAGTGCGAAAAAAAAGGTTTAAGGATATATGTGTAGTGCTTTATAGACAATCTGCAGTTTTGGTTTTTGATAGAGGGACTGTCAATGATACGGCTGTTTACGAGAGGTCTGGGGGATGCTTGGCAGCCCAGGGTCCGCAGCTGTCAATGATCACATGGCTACAAACGTCACTTTAAGGTCTCTCTCCCATCAATCCTCGCCGTGAATACCTCGAATCTACAACTTCACGGCCAGCAATCAGCAATCAACACACCCCACTCTCCAAACCCCCATCTCCACATCCAGCTACCAAACCCCCACCATGCTCTACTCCTTCGGCTCCAACAGCGCCGGCCAACTCTCCCTCACGCACCACTCCGACACGCCCATGCCCACGCCCTGCACCTCCACCACCCCCCTCCCCACTACACCCCCCACCGCCATCGTCTCCGGCGGAAACCACACCCTCCTCCTCTTCCCCACCGGCGCCGCCTTCGCCTCCGGCGACAACACCCACGCGCAATGCTGCCACCCCCCTCCTCCACCACCCCACAGTTCACCTCCTTCCACCCCATCCCACCCCCGCCAACCAACCACTACACCCTCGCCTCCGCAGGCTGGACCTTCACCGTCCTCGCAACCCCCACAGACGTCTACGTCTCCGGCCACGGCCCCAAAGGCGAGCTCGGCCTCGGGCCTGCCGTCACCTCTGCGACGCTGCAGCGGCTCCCAGACTTCCCGCCGGCGGGGACGCGGGTGGTGGCGCTGGCGTCGGGGATGGCGCATACGCTCGCCGTGCTGGACAGCGGGGATGTGTACGGGTGGGGCGCGGGGCGGAAGGGGCAGCTCGGGGCGCCGGCCGCCGCAGCGGTGGATGTGCCGCGGAGGGTGGATGTGGGCTGGGAGGTTGATCTAGCGGCGTGCGGGCGGGAGTTCAGCGTCTTGCTGTCGCGCGCGGGTGAGGGTGGTGTGCGGAGGGTGGCGGTGCTGGGGGGCGACAAGTATGGGCTGCGCGAGGGGCTGGGGAAGGAGCTTGTTAGTGTTGTGGGCATGCAGGCGGGATGGGGGGCGTGGTGGTGCGGTTTGAGGGGGGGTGGTGAGGGGGTGGGGGAGGGATGATAGGGGGCAGTTGCCGCCGCGGGGGTTGGTGGTGGAGGCGGTAGCGGTGGGGAGTGAGCATGGGGTTGCGGTGGTGGAGGGGGGAGTGGTGGCGTGGGGGTGGGGGGAGCATGGGAATTGTGGGGTGGGCGGGGATGTGGCGGGGGGGACGGTGAGGGGGTGGCGGTGCCGGGGGTGAGGGGGAGGGTGAGGGCGGTGGGGGCGGGGTGTGCGACGAGTTGGGTGTGGGTTGAGGAGGAGGGGGTGGAGGATGGTTAGAGTTGTTAGTAGTTCGAGGTAGAATAATGTTATATAGAGGTCCAGTATTTCCTTTTGTAATTTGGTTCTGGGGCTTTGTTTGTGTTGTAGGGTTTAACTAATATACTTCAAGTACTGGTTCGTAGCTTATCTTTTATCATTGTATTGGATATTTGTTGACTTCAATTGCGGCCAGAGCACTTAAATGTAGTCGTGCAGGCGCAGGACCGAGTACAGGTACTATATCTGCTAGTAATATTTATGATTATCTGACAATCAAGACATGTTCTAAATAATATTAACTATTGGGATGTCCGTCAGTCGTAAGAGCTTCGGTATGACAGCAGCTCGCCTTTACTGTCCTATACATCGAGTCTTGAAATCCAAGGGTTAAGTGTTCCGCTCCATCTTAGCACACCAAGGTTAAATACTATTCCTCACACGATACCAACAAGGGCGAGCGGTCTAACGGTTTAGACCCCGGCGTCGGGTGAGACACTGTGTGTTCCAACCCAGGACCGCGAGGTCTTGGGTTCGAACCTTGAAGGAGTGGGGGTAGTGACGGGCCGCCGTCGCAGTACAGCGGTGGGTATTAAGCCATCGGACGGCCTAGCCACAATTTTGCCTGCAAACGCGTATTTTGGTGGCGTTCTGTCTGATCACTTATTATCCACCGCTGTACCTTTTGTTCTTTTTTTTTTTTTTTTTTACTCCGTGGTAGATTCAGAGAGAAATAATGCTCGAATAGCTGTCAAATACTATCATAAACCAGAACCAACAGCTCTTAACTCACACCTACCTTACCGTCGAAACGCATACAATTTTGAGCCTTATTCAGTCGGCTTATCCAGATCGTAGGCTCATAATAGCCTTATGAATCCAATAAGGTTCAAATAAGTATTATTTAAGCATGTTTTAAGGATGAAATAAGGCTTAAAAAAGGATTTTTGTACTGATAAAGCTATTGTGAGCCTATGTTCTGGATAAGCCGACTGAATAAGGCTTAAAATTGTATGCGTTTCGACGGTAAGGTATGCACGGTCCCAAGAGCATCTCGAAATCATTGACACCTCTGCAAAACTAGGGCATAGGGTTGTTTGTGACAGGTACCCTTGCAACATTGGCAGACACAACCCGCACGATAAATTTCTCACATCCAACCTCACTTCTTCTCTCCCCACCACCATTTCTTTTCGTCACTGCACAATAACGTCAACGGTCAACAACGGCGCCGCCATCGAATACATCATCATCATCATCATCCTACCGACTAAATAAAAATGCATAGGTAAGAATCTCTCTCCACCATGTGCCTTCCTCTTTCATGAGTTCTTTGTGTGTAGTGGTGGTGGCCGCTGGCCCCCCACGATGATGAGAAACAAATTATCAATTTTACAGTTATCCCTGTCTGAAAAAGCGACTATGTATAGCCGTAATCTGTTGATTTTTTAACTTCTGAGATACCCTCCTCCTTCCTTCTTACTCTTTCCTCGCTTTTCTTTTCTTGCAAAAAGATGTCGTCAGGAATGTTTAGTTAACAGAGACTTCTTGATAGATAGATATAGGGTGCCCTGTAGCAACGATAATGCGATGACGGGTCGAGCCCCCGCAGCCTGCCTGGCCCGGCCGAGCCTGGGAGATGTAAGCGCCAGTTTCTCTGGTGCCTGCCTGCCCGGCCGCGGAACGTGTGTTTACGTCTTCCAGGCTTGGGGGGGGGGGGGGGGAGGTTCTGGGTTTGCTGCGGCGCGGGGGGGGGGGGTTAGCATTGGTGAAGGTAATTTATTTTCCCATTTTTTCCATTTTTTTTTTTTTTTGCACTTTTCTTTTTTTTTCCAACCACTTCCTTTCCTTGCGCGCGTTTTCCGTGATGAATTTTATCCATGATAGGGACATCCTATGCCCCTTTCAGGGGCAGGTGATGAATAAACACGAATCAAAGATAGTAAACCCTCTGACAAGACGCCGAACATTGCCTGTTTTATGCCTGCTTCTCTCTGCAAAGAAACTTTTTGTTGGTTGGGGGCTTGTGCTGACTGGTGATAGATTTTTATAGATACCACAACGAAGAATACTAACACCACCGCCTACAGTACTACTAACAACGGTTAGTCCCCCCCCTTCTTTTTCTTTCTTTCCCCAAGCACAAGCACAAACACCAGCACAAGCACAATGTCCCAATCCCCCTAGATGATGATAAATTTCCTACATTCGCAGTTTCCTCGGTAGCATACACTAGAACCCATTGAGTATGCCGGTGACCGCTGCAAGACCTTTCTTGGAAGTCTGATCCTAAACATTAACACGCTTTGTTTAAACGCTTTTAGATGTTGTGGAGATGATGTTGGCTAACGCGCGCTTTGCGGGTTGGTTTTTTAGACTGGGTGTGCTTTCTAGGTTTTTGAGTTCCCTTTTTCTTCGTCTTGAGGGGGTTGGGAGTAGAGATGGGTTTAGGAGAAATAAAATAAATATTATTTGAAAAGATATATATTTTGGTGCTTGTGCGTGTGCGTTAAGTGATGTGTGATGATGTGTTGTGAACTGTGTAGAGAACCAGCTAGAGAAACTGCCCAGTATTTCCCTCAGCGCATACCTGCCCCCGTGAATACTGAATAGTACCACGCCCATATAAAACGAATTCTTAGTCTTCCGGTGACAACAAATTCGCATCCACGCACAGAACTTGGTTGCAGCAAATACCCCCCGTACATACATATCTAGAAAAAAATTCCGTTTACACACGCAGGTATGTACATACATGCATGTAGCATGAAGACCCTGAAACTGGCCCTCTGGTAAAGCAGAGTTACTCAACGGTGGCCTGAATCCGTGTTGTAGGTACTCTACCGGTTGGTTCAAGATATACTTGGCTAATGCACAGCTGCCGTACAGATAGACAGCAACCACTCATCTCATCAGAGAAACTACTGAGCCTTATACTATACTCTTGCGCTAACTCACCCTCATAATACTACAGTTCGAAAGAACGAAAACGCAGGTGTAGTATACAAATATAGTCGATCAACGAGCCTGACGAGCACCATGTCTCACGAATCCGAGGCTATCCAAAAAGCTCGACAATAATAATATAAAGAAAACAGTAGTAGTATCATTAATTCAAGTATGAACACACCCTCCCTGCCCACTTCACCCAAAAGCCGGATTTCTATATCATGTCTCTTTCTGGTGGCGGTTCCTTACCAACCAACCCCTTATTCACAACGCTGGGCAGATCTAGAAGATTAACCCGTTTTTTGATCATTGGCATGGCCAGTGTGGACCACACCACGAAAGTTGGGCCTCCACTGCTAGATAGATAAAGACACGGTGCCGGAGAAACGTTTCGACTAACCAGGCATTTTGAGGGGCCTAAAAAAAACCCCAACACTACTGCAATCGGGCTAATGTGCAGAGCGCTATCAGCTACGGCCCTTATTCTTTCTCTCCAATTACAGGTGTACTTACTCAATGTCGGTACCAGCCAATCAATGCCTAGCGTCAACACGCGAGTGATAGTTCATGAGGGCCATTGCCTGCGTATGCTATTCAGAATAAGTAACGTGCATAGATTTGAACAGCTTCTTCCACAGCAACGACTCTGTAACATGGCCATAATTGTCTTCCCGTCGTTGTCGATGGTTTTATATGGTACCTGCTGGAAATGGGGTCACGGGGGGGCCAGTTTGATGGAAGTTTAACGTCCGGCAAATAAAGTATTGGATGGCATATGTCGACAAAACGATATAGAACGGTGTTGCTTGGTATATCCGCAATAAATGACAGGCTACGCTGGATATTTCTTCCCGAGGCGATTCCACCTTCCCCTTAGTTCCCTAATCCTCATATCCAACCCCAAAAGCTCCGTCAAATCCGTTCACTACAATCCAGCAAGCAAGCAAGCAAGAGAAAAAACCATAAAACCCTTTGTTCCTATATAAGCATTAATGAGAAAAGTTGAGGAAACCCGCTCGAACCATTCGCCAGCTGCTGTCCCGAGGAAAGCAATTATCCTTGATTCCCCAAACAAAAAAAATACCAAACCACTGGCACCGAATTTTATTGCAACTTTTTACATAGTTTATTGAAAAAAAATCCCCCGTCCCAATAGTAGTAGAGCGCAAAATCCGGCACCAAGAAGAAGCTTTGGCCCCCCCCGCATACCCTCGAAAGAAATAGAAATAGAGAGAGTTTAACGGTAAGATTCTGCACATTCACGTCAGCCTCGCCTTCCCATCCACAGCCACAACACAACCGCCGTTCCTGCTGGAGATACGTACTCTGGTATCTTGCTCTGGCACCTGGACCTCCGAACTTCTTGGGCTCGCATCGTCTGTTGTCGGCAACGAGCAGCGAACGGTCGTAGGCAATCAATTGCTGCTTGATCTGGTTCTTTGAGTGCTCATCGACGAACTTCTGGTAGTAGGCGACGATGGACTTGGCGATGGCCTGACGGATGGCATAGATCTGGGAAGTGTGACCTCCTCCGGTGACGCGGACACGGATGTCGACGTTGGCGAACTTTTCGAGACCGACGACGAGGAGGGGCTCGTAGACCTTGAAGCGGAGGATCTCGGGCTTGACAAGGTTGATGGGGGATCCGTTAACCTTGACGAGTCCACGACCGGCCTGTGTGCTCGGGGAGCAATCAGTTAGCTATGTGTTCGAGTGGAGACTTTGCTGATTTGTAGCTTCTGCTTCTTGTGCTATTCGGGCGGCGGGCAGATATGTACCTTGCAGTGGGCGACGGCGGTAGCTAACGATATCGAAAAACGAAGGGTCAGCACTTCAATCTACAACCCAAACCCCCAATAATTTCAGGCCCCTCCACCAAGGATAATTCCATCAATATTTCGACGTACCGGTCTTCTTCTTGCCGAAGCATTGAACGGATTGAGGGACGGGTGAGGCCATTTTTTTCGTCTATTTGGTTTTCTTCGTGGGTTATCGATAGAGCGGGGGTGGGCTTGTCGTCTTTCGTTGTCGGTAGAAATTTGGTAGGGCGTAATTTTCGTGATGATTGAAGCTACGTTCGTCTGGGTTGTGTGTGAAGCAACAGCCTGGGTTGTAAAAAGCAGTCGTATGAGTTTAGGGCTGCACCCTGGACATGGATGCTTTGGGGGTTACCCTGATTTGGCGGCTCTTTTCAAAAGTTTGACATAGCGATTAAACGACCTCCCTCTAGTACGGGGGAATTGAATCTGGAAAGCTTGACTCCTTGGTAGGTGTAATGTTGAATATTACAATTCGTCCCTTTAACTATTTTTAGCTTCATGTGTAGCTAATACTTGCTCACCCCGCCTCCATAGACACCCATCTACACGGAAACCCGCTCGGCAGAATGTCGTTCTTCAAAATCACACTCATCCGCTCCGGCATCGGTATGACGGAGCGCCAAAACGGCGTCCTCAAATCTCTCGGTCTGCGCAAGAGAATGAAGACTGTTTACCACCCAGTCACCCCCCAGACCGCCGGTATGATCATGAAGGTTAAGGAATTGCTCACTGTGTCAGAGGTCGACACGCCATTGACGCAGAAGGAGATCCATGAAAAGAGACGGCCACCAAAGGGTTTCATTGTCGAGAATCCTTTGAGGCCTGAGGCGACTGCAGAATAAAGAAGTTTGGCTAGGTTGGTTGCGGTGTGAGTTCCTGGACCAGGTGCGCTAGGAAATTTGGCTTTTTGTATCATACTTGTGGGATGGTTAATTTTTTTTTTCTTATTTAGAAGCTTTTGCCCGTAGTGAGTTTTCTGGGAACAGAAATATGTCTTTGAATCCAGGTATATCCCTGCTACCAACTTCTACAGATCTCCACAGCTTCTTTTTTAAAAAGGGTTCTGCGTAGCTGCCGAATCAAGCTTGCCAGTTCTGCCGAGTTGATTGTGGAGATGACGGAAGTGATGGCGCTTGCTAAAGGCCAGAATTATGTACATACCTGTCTGGAAGGTATCCCGCTGTGCCTGTCCATCAGCTTGGACTTGTAAAGAGCGCGACGCAACGCAATGCTACGGTGAAACTCTCGGCGGGAGCAAATCCTTAAAACTGCAAACAACTGCAAATATAATGCATGTTATGCTATTAGAAACATGATGATTTTGATCTGGGAGAGTACTTAGTTGTGAGGCAGTCGTGGGGCCCGGGCCTGTACCGCCGAAATGGAGGCTACCCAAAAAACCCAGTTTATCCTTTGAAGACATTATGAGCAACACCACTTGTGCATAGTAAGGTTTTACAAGTACGGGATGAGTACGAGACTAAGGTTTTTTTAAACCGTATTAGTACCTACGTATCTGGGTAATATATGGATGTGATTGTGCCTTGGGAGGCAGGTGCTCTTGGCGGTTTGTCGTTATCGAGTGACCACATATGATGGGTAGAATCATGCGTGATCACTCGAATGAGTGAGGGCAGTGCTAGTGTTGGATATTTGGCATTTCGAGGGATACCCGCCACTGCCATGTCGACACTTATCCAATTAGACCTGTGACTGGAGAGCTAGTTTGACTATTCATCGAGATAAGACCCCAGTATTTAACTATCTCGTCCTACTTTTTCTGTTATTTATACTCAAGTTTCTAAACCAGGGTTTCAAGGTGAGCATGAGTAATAAACTTTAATTGCACTACCTTGTAACTTCTATCAACACATGTCACAAATATAGCAATACCATACAAACAAAAGAACTCCATTCTCCATACATGCAGTTGCTAACAATAGAAGTAGTACACAATCTATCTAAACCTCCGCAGCTATCCACGAACAAACCTAAGCCTCGCCTTTTTGACTGGAATACCAGCCAATGCATCGCTTGCAGCGTTCTCACCAAAAAAGGGGACATCTCCAAAATCGCCGTTGCCGTTGCCGCCGTCTCCGGCTCCACCATTGCCTCCGTCTCCGGCTCCACCATTGCCTCCATCACCGTTGTTATTGTTACCACCACCTCCCGCACCATCTCCAGCACCAGCATCGCCTTCTGCATTGCCGCCGTTATTTCCACCATTTCCACCATTTCCACCATTTCCACCATTTCCACCATTTCCACCATCTCCACCATCTCCACCATCTCCACCACCCCCATTATTATTACCTCCATCCTCACCATTTCCACCACCGCCACCACCGCCACCACCCCCATTATTATTACCTCCATCACCACCAGCATTACCATCACCATCAGCATTACCATCACCAGCATTACCGTTACCAGCGTTACCGTTATCAGCATTACCGTTACCACCATCAGCGTTACCAGCGCCATTGCCAGTATCGCCATTACCAGCATTGCCATCACCAGCATTGCCGTTACCACCACCGCCACCTCCCTGACCACCTTCAACAACTCGAAACTAAACATAGAATATACCGTTAGAAACAGCTCTCAACGCATGTAAAAAGACCTTAGAGTTATTTAACAAAGAGAAACCCACCTTTGTACAATCATCCTGCGCACCTCTTTCAAACACCGGGCTGATAACTGCCTGATGATTACTCGACGAAGTGATGGTACAAAGCCTATAAAACCCCGCCGGCAGCCCTTCAACACCGCTCGAGGCCGTCAAAAGACCATTCCCATCACCGGCGTCGTTGATGCCCTTGAAGAACTCAAAGACATCGGCAGGAGGTGGTGTTGTGGGCGTGAATGAGTCGCCAAGTGACTGTATTGTTACGTGAGTGTGACCAATGGTGATACCTGCTCCATTAAGCTGTTGGGGAGAGGTATAGTAGTTTGTTGTTGGATCTGATGTGATGGGTTAGCCGTTGGAAGCATTTAGCTGAGCAATTGGAATTACGTACTGACGAAAGAGCCGGCTTCGAGGTTGTTGACCTTGACGACGATGTTGAATTCCTGGCCGGCAGGAATGGAAGACCCTTCTTCGGGACTGAGGATTATCACAGAGACCTTGATCCAAAATATATCAGCTACGAAGTAACGAAAAATATCGAAGCCTTAAAAACTAGTTGTATCACTCACCATCTTATCCGCCGCGGGAATATCCCCCATCGGGATAGGGTTGCAGCTTCCACCCTGGACCTGAAGACCATTACTTATAGTCTTCCCCGTGCAGAAGTTGATGAAATTCGCATCATCTCTGTACCGCAGAATACTTATATCAGCCGAGGTCACTTCATTTAAACTGTAGGACAATTTACGTCTCTGATGGTGTAAAGCCACCGTCGGCACCATCGGCCTGACTAGCCGTTTGAACGTTTGCTTCTAGTAATAGCAGTTCGTCTGCGTTGCCTTGATTTTGGCCCCCATCCCCGCCTCCACCTCCATCTCCATCTCCATCTCCACCTCCGCCTCCACCCCCGCCCCCGTTGCCGCCACGGTTCCTACCACCACCACCACCTCGCTGGGAGTAACCTTGCGATGCTAGAAGCGCTACAGCAAAGAGGAGCCTCTGGAGAATTGGCTGTGGTTTCATGATTATTTCTTTGTGGAAAATTCGTATATAACCAAATATTAAGAATATAGATATCGCAAAATCTGTAACGAAAAAAGAAAAGTCGCCGGCGACAGACTAGAAGGAACTTGATGGTGATAGTACAAGAAAAACTTCTCACAAACCATCTCCAGAATACCAGAGTTATATACACATTTTCCAGACAGCAAAAATCTTCGTTCTCCTTTCTTTGCCATAAACCCCCTCTCCTGAATGGATGGCTGAAGAAGCCAAGATTTAAGGTTTTTCTCAGACTGCGTCAAACAGCAACGGCGCTTCGGCCGCCAGCCAGTAACTCTTCTACTCTTGTTCCGACCTCCACCTTCCAGGCGCAGGAGGCTCTCACAAACAAGCTTAAGACATTTATGCATGCACCAAAGATAAAATTCAATGGGTGGAGAAGCGCTTAGTTACAACCTTTTGTTTTGTGATGTCTGTTGTTTGTGGTTACAGAGTTGGATCGAACTGATACTACACGGCATGACTGATCGGCTGTAGCTAGGTTAAGCTTAATTCTACAAGTTAGAAGGGTCAAATCTTCTAACAAACCTTATTTTAGCCCAAAACAGATTTTTAGTTAGAGTACTTGTTTTGCCAAGTATTTGGGAGTCTGGTTGTTTGTAGTCATCTAACTGTTGCCGTTTCAAAATCGGTTAGCCTACCGGCTGGGAGCGGGCGGGCATCTTAGATAATTGGTAGGGGGTTGTAGCCTCAAGTATCATACCTACACAAACTCGACTCCCAGGATCATCGCTCGGCGAAGTCAGTCTTGCACTCTCCCCATCCCCTACGAGCATCGCTGCTCAACGCTCGGCGGTATCATAATCCAATGTGTCCCCTCCCTGAAAAAAGCCTTCTTTCAGGCTGTGAACTGCATGTTACTTGAAACACGCCTATATTACAAGAAGTTTCTCCACCAAACGTTAGTGGTGGTCCTCGGGCTTACACCACGACCTCCGAGGGGGAGTGAAGCTAGGTAGGTTAGTAGAGGTTACAGTACAGGATGATCCTGCAAGGGGGTCGGCTGTTGAAACTTCATCGATCATCACGAGCTGCTGTTGTATACTCGATCAAACCCTGTCAGCTCGCTGTAATCCCGAGACTCCCATTTATCCAAGTTGAAATTCAATCTAGGGATTGCCCAGGGGGAGCATTTTTTTTGCTTAACCATATATTGAATATTGTACCTATCTGTACGTACTCTATCTAACCACAGCTAGGTATGCCAGCGGGCGTGGGATGGGGTGATTGGAAAGTGCAGGTTCCAGAAGTAGTCTGCGCGATCAATAGGACGTATCAGATATGCTGCAGAGGCGCTGTGCCCGAAGATGGGCGGCAGAGGGTTTGGTGGGATGAATATGTAGCCTTGGCGCACATCCTTAAGGCCCGTCCATGTGCACATTCACATCTCTCATGATAATGGAAAAAAATATCCAAAAGTTACATGTTTTACAATTATAGACAGAATTGTAATCGATAATGAGAATTCACCCCAGCATATAGGCCATAATCCAACTTTTATAAATTATGAGAGCGAAGCACATCATTTATTGGGGGAGGCGGGTATGAGATAAAATGCATCGTAGTAGACTCCTCTTGTACAGAAGTAGCTCTAGTTTGGTGCAAAAATAAAAATCATTCTATAACAAATCATTGAACATAACGCGTAACAATGTCTTGAGCTTCGTCGCCGCCATAATCATCATTGTTGGCTAGTATAATACGGTGCCAACATGCAAATAGTAACTAGTGGTAAGAGGAAATAAAAACTATAGGACAAAAGAATAAAAACAGACGCTCCAACCTTGCTTTTTCTCAGGGTAAAGGGATTCATATGGACGGAGAGGTAATATAAAGAGCTACAAAGGAGATGATCCAGCAGCTTCCGGGCAGCAGTCTACAGAAACCACGAGCCTGTTAACAATATTGGAGCTGAGAATGCAACGAAACCGAGAGATGTTTAGTCTCCAAGAGCCTTCTTGAGATCGTTCCACCTATTCTTCAATAGGTCGTAATCCTCGTTGATCTATACACGTTATTTTGATTAGTAAATTTTTATCTTAATATCGACTAGGGAACTGTTACCGTCGCCAATTGCATCTTAGTGCTGACCAGTTCTTTCTCCATTTCCATCATATTCTCCTCCAGAGTTTGGTTTTCTGTGTGTACGGCCAAATTCTTTTCCATGAGAATACGCATCTCCTCCCGGAGTCGATCCTCGATTTCTTGAGGCTGCCTATCAAGTGACTCTTTCAACATTTCAACCTTCGCCCTGAGTTCTTCGTTTTCGTCCGCGAGCTGATCATTCAATACTTTGAGTTCTACCTCACTGCTGGCTATTCTGACGTACTCCCGGTTGAGCTCTTCATTCTGCTCTTCGAGTTTCTTAACCTTTAGCGTGGAGTTTAGGTTGGCTCGTTTTAATGTTTCCAGTTCTTGCTCGGCATCTCTCTTCACTCGAACTATCTCCTCCCACTCCCGTTCATAACGATCAAGAGTTCCCTGGGAGATTTTGATAGCACATGCGTCCTGTACCATGAGGTTGGCTCTGTATACCTCCTTTTCGCCACCATTCCCAAAGAATCCGGCTTCTTTGACGCTCGATGCGCTCGGCGTGACATCCAAGTAAACATCAAAAAGCCGCTCCTTCAGAAATGGTCCCAGATTATCAAACTCCATACCAAGTAGAGTGCTAGCATTCTTTCCCATCATCACAATTCCAAATTTCAGGATTGGCCCCTCTAGCCCTTCGCTGAAAAGGAGATCAAAAACTCTCAAAACCAACTGTAGTGGAAATTTGTAAGTGAAGAGTGTGAGAAACCATTGTGCAGCGTAAAGGGATGATTCAATCCCTTGGCGTTTGAGGTGGATAGCGAGCTTTGGTTCATAATCCTCCAAGATTCTGTCATACTGGAAAAGCCGAAGTTCAAGGCCCTTCATTTTATCTTGGAACATCGTGCGTAGTTTGTACTTATTCATAAGTTTGACAAAAATGCAAAATGCTTCCTCTTCAGTCATCTAAAATCATATTTTAGTAGCCGCAAATTCAGAGCCGATTAGAGAACTTACATTCAACAGAAGAACAGTGGCGATAAAAGTCATGCCTTGTGTATATCCTACTTCCGGATCGAAAAGCGCATAGGCCTTACAGACTCCCATAAGTGCCTTCTGATCAACTTTGTACTTTCCAAAGCTCGTTCTTTCACCAAGATCTCTTTTAATAACCTTCTCTAACTGAGCCACCGTCTTCCCCCACGTGCTTTTTACTCTGGGGTCTAACTTGGGGCTCGTAAGAGAGCCCAGTTTTGGAGATGACTGACTTGATGTGGGTGAGGGATCCCAAAGCCAATGGCTCCCAAAAATTGGTCGTGCATCTTCTGATGTTGCGGTCCCTGGCAGGGCAACGACGTCGCGGTACATGGCTTCTAGCTCTAGAGATTTGCTAGAAGCCATGCTTTGCCATATTGTTCCTCTAAGTGTCGGCGGAATTCCAGCCTGTACCGCTTGACTGAGCTCAGCGGGTTTTTCAGAAGCAACTTTGTCGGCATCGTCAACGATAGCTTGCCAGAGATCCCAATCAATTTCGTCCTCTTTTATTGAAGAAGCAGTGGCAGGGGCTGATCCAGGAGGAGGAGGAGTGTCTTCTTGAAGTGGTGTTGCAGGTGTACCACCAAATCCGATTGCAGAAAACATCGAACCCTTGCCCGTAGTATCTTTATCCTCATCGGCAGGCACAGGCATGCCCTCACGAGCCTCTCGTATTTTCTTAAAGTTTTCTCTTAGGTTCTGGGTCCCTCTAGCTACCTCATTCTCCCTTTCTTCTCTTTCGGATTCCAGGGCATGCAGCCATGACTCATTATTGCCTTGCATTGTAGGTGCATTAGAGGCAACAGAAGCCAAGGTGGCAATTGATGAAGCAGTAGCTCTTCTAGAATTGGATTGTGCTGAGCTCGAGGCGGCAGTAGCTGTAGTAGGAGTGCTAGGGCTAGAGCGAAGCCAACTGAATGGAGACCTCCTGACAGGAGGCGGAGGAGGTGGTGGTTGTGGGGTTGCTGCTGCTGGGGGTGTGGGAGGAAGCGGTGGCTGAGGTGGAGCAGAAAGTTTCCGGGGAGGAAGTACTGGGGTAGCTGCCTTGGAAGTGGTAGTTGAATTCTGGGAGCTGGCAGTTGATGATCTTGAAAATCTGTTTGTGATTGATTCTGCGATTGATTCGACTATCGAGGTGGGAGATGTAGATACAACTGGGGATGGTTCGGGGGCAGCAGACACTGTCTCTTTTGGTGGGGGGAGCTCATCAATGAGAGATACCTCATCGAGAGAGGAAGTTGATATACGCCGTTGACTGGTGGGTGATTTTGGCATACCAGCATCATTAACGGAGTCATTGATGGTTGTGGCAGGGGTGATGGACTGCTGGCTGTTTCGATTGTTGGTTGGAGGATTTGATACTGTCGGCGATACTGGGGGATCATCCTTAGAGGAGGTCGTGGAATGGAGGGACGATTGAGTGAGCCTGCGTGTCAAGACGCCCGGTACTGTAGACTCTGGAGCATCTGCAAATCCATCTTCAGAGCTAGTTTCCTGAAGTGGGAGAGTAAATGTGTCAGTACTCGTAGTACGAGAGGTGATGGTCTGAGACATGAAGAGATAATCAAGGAGATAATGTGAATCAAGGAGGAAGGGGAATTTTTGAAAGGGACAAAGATATCCAAAGACCAAGTAGACCAAGACTGTATCTATCTAGAAATTCAAGTACTTCGTATAGAATAGGGGGACACTAAGGTAGAATGGGAAGCTCATTAAACAGAACGGAAGAGAATGGGGATGCGAAAGAACCCTAGATAAGACTACTCGAGGAATGGAGGGGATTTTGAAATAATTATTAGGATATAGTATACCTCATCATCAGGTTTGTCCTCTTTGGTGACAGTTTCGTTATTTACATTCCCAGGATCAACCGAATTCATAGACTTGGTAGAAATGATAGAGTCTCTAGGGTTCTTCTTATCGTTCAGTTCTTCCGCGGTAGCGTTAGTAGAGCCAGTGACTTCCTCTTCTGCGTGTTTGTCGTCATTGGTGGGCATCTCGAGGACCCGTTGTTATTAGCAGTGTTTGTTTGTTATTGCTTCTTTCCGCGCAATCACAAGCGAGTTGCAGGAGGTGTGGAGGTAACAAGGCCAGTTTAACAACAGAGCAGCAGACCGATAGTATGTATCTTCACACCAGGAAGCCTCGCTTTGAAGCTCTAGGTACCTATCGTCTCGTGTTGAGCAACAAAGATCGTTGGGATGTTACTCAAACCGTTACTGTGCTGATTTCTTAAAAGGTGTCCACTGTCCACTCGGGCCCCTCCAAACAGCTGATTTCAAAAACTTTCAGCCGGAGATGCTCGAATAGAGAGTATGTGAGGACAATATATGACGGCCAGCCGGTAGAGGAGAGATTTAAATTAAGTCACGCTGAGCTGGAAACTGTTCGAGGGTGTGAAGCAAAGATGGTGGAGCAAAGTAAAGCACTCTCGTCAATTTATTTCGGGGCATGCTCAGCTATATATTCTGGCTACATTTGGCTGGGGAATCGGTGAGACAAGAAACGCGCGGTGGAAGGGCCAGGAAGGGGTAGAGCAGGGGCAGAATGAGGTTTAGTCATGATAACCGCTGCAGGTCGGGTCCGGGAAAGGGATGCGAGCCAAAACCATGCCGCTGACGGCTTTACCGTAGCTATGGTCGGAGCGTGCTGGCCAATGAAACGCCTGCAGGAGAAGGGCCAACAGGAGTAAGAAAAGAAGGCATTTTGATAAGAGCTGGCGTGATCGAGTTTTTTCAATTGTCTAGAGTAATCTACATGTGTAGGTGTACGACGTATGTTGCATGTATTCATGGTTAATCTAATATTATATCAAGAGCACAATTCATTGAGCACCTAGTTATTTGAGAATAAGTGATTTTTCAAGTATCTGCCATACCGAATGGTTAGGAAATAGACTACATTTTTTGGGGTTCTTTCTAGAACCTCAACAGTTCGGTGATCAAAGCTTAAGCGGCTAGATACAAGGGACTTTCCGTATTGAGACGCAGACGGAAGTACATACTATAGTCGTATGGACTATACATACAGCACCGTAGGTACGTATTCTACAAGATCTGCACAGACGGTTTATGTACTCGAGCACATCGTGTGCAGCAGGTTAGTATTATTGAAGAGGTTGGGGATGTTGTTGGCCAGCAAAAAGTGAGTTGGATGTCAACAGGAAGGTTCACAATTGACATAAGGCTACATGTAGTTACTCCATGGGTTCACGGTTGTTGCCTGAATCGTCATCCTAGTTACCCTACGCATAGCAACTACGCTCAATCCTCACTGCTGTTTCCCCTCCATCTATCTCCAATCAACACATCCCCCGCTCACCCCGCGCCCCTCATTCCGACTCCGTTTTGAAAGAATAGCTCAGCAACGTAGAGACTGCACTCTCTATCTGTTCTATTCTCTCACCAAAGAATAGCCATCCTCTTTTTCTCAAAGCCATCTCCCTGTCTCCAAATCCATTTTCTTATCGTGTGACGGATTTCTACTCACTACTAATCTACTACAGCTAGACTAGCAGTTTATATATTCTCTGTTGTACTTATCCCAAATCTTCGTTGCCCACAGAAGCTCGCGGAACATTTATTGGGTTGCTGGCACGGGGCCGACGTGACGTCGTGACGCAAGCGAGCGCAACAAACTTCCCTCCCAAAGTTTCATCATCCTCATCTCCCCACCACCGTCCGTTATCCATCACCGCAGGTTTCTACCAACATCGTATACAGTCCTTTGATCAACTGTTTTACTTCTCTTTCTTCCTCCCCCATCTCTCGATACTGTAAAGAATCAATAGCTTTTCCCTTGTGTTCTTATTACCACAAACTTCGCTATGCGGATAAAAAAGACCGCTACAGCCAAACATGAGGCAACTCTCGTAAGTCATCTATGGAATTTGAAGCTTTGAAATGGAATCTATCCTAGTATTTCCTTCTTGAAAGCATTCCTTTCAGCTCTTGAGCTTGTTGTTATCAAGCCTGAATTTGACCTGCTTACACCAATGACCTCATATCTCCAGTCCCCCTTCCTGCGAAGCTTTATCGCCAAAGCAACCTCTATTCCAGTGAATGAGCTTCTTCCATATCTCTCAACATTCCCTATACATTGGCCATTTCCTCGTGGTGACCTTTACCATTGGATTACGCTCCTGAATCGTTTCGATACCATTCTTGAAGAGCAAGTTCAAAAGTACAAACTCAAGGAGGGGCCACAGACAATACCATGGGAGCAAAGCGATGAAGAGCTTGTAGTGGGGGTTTTGACATTTAGCAGGATTTTGGTAGAAAATTGTGGTAACAGGAGTCTATACGGTAGTAGCGGGGTACGATTTCTAGACAATTCCCTTCACGCTTTTCTGATTCGTCACTAACTTGTAACTCTTGATAGCACATTAACGACATACTGCACACAACGTCTTTGGATGTAGTCGAGGCTTCGTTGCGGCTTGGATGCCGTCTTGCGCAACGGTACCATACCTCAAGAACTCGTGGCGCTAGCCAGTCAACGAATGCTGCTTTGTTGGCTTCACACTACAACATTAATCTCGAGCGGGTATCAAAGCTGGCAACGCCTTTCTTGAAAAGTGTTGCTATTGCCAGCACCCCGTCTGGGAAGAACGTCACCACAAAGGCCGTAGTACCAGTGTATGCAAATGACCTTACTAGACTCGCTCGGGACGAGAAGCCTCTGGACAGTGCGGAGGCGCTTGGGAGTAGTGGGAAAGGGAAAGGGAAAGCCACCGATACACGGGAAGCGAACTGGGAAGAATGGGGAGGAGCATGGGTCAGCTACTATGTCAACCCCACTGCACAAAAGACTCCAGCAGTCCCTGCAACAGGTGGGGTTTTTATTCCGAGAGAACCTGTTACACCAACCCCAATCCGTCGGTCGTCGTTACACCATTCACACACCCCTCATCAGCAGCAGGTTCCTTCGTCTCACCCTAGGAGACGCTCAAACGATGATTCTGTGGTTGACCCATCTGATCTAGCCTCTGTAGGCGGTATGCAGACCCTTGAAGTTCCCTATAGTAAAATACAGGCTGCGCCAAATCTTGAGGAGATACTCAAAACAACACTCCCTGAACTACCCGCCGATACTCACTATGATTTTCTCCACCGGCTTCGTGTCGCTTCAGCTCTTGCCGGATCGACAAAAACTCGAAGACAGATTCTAGGAATTCGAATTCTTGCATTGACAAACTTGGCTTACGTGTATTCTGAGACTCAATTCGCTTCCAAAATTTTGGCACCCGACCAGGATGAACCACGGAGATTTCAGCTAGTATATCAGCTTGCGGAGCTAGTACACACCGGGGATGGGAAGAGTGGGACAGGAAAAGGAAAAGAAATTCCCAGGTGGCTGCAGACACTCGCACTTGGTGGCCTTGAAGCTCTCGCGAGACACAAGAGCAAGACCGCTGATGTTTGCGCTGCTTTGAGTATCAATGTCAATCATGGTGTCCTCTTGTATGTCGTTAGGAAAGCTGTGGCAGACCTGGCAATCGAAAAATATGACGAGGAATATGATAAAGAGGCAGAGGAGTGGCGAGAGGCTCTATTTTCATTAGTGGGCTACTTGCCAACCACTGCTCATGCAGGTTCATTACTTGTCTCAGCTGGACTCATTCCTATTCTGGTAGAGCTTCTCCAACTTCGAACTAAAAAAGCTCTTAGGAGCATTCCTAAGGCGATCAGTTTTCTGGATCAGTTAATCTATAGTGTTCAGCACGCATTTCAGACCTTGGCTAATGCTAGAGGATTGGATGTCGTTGTCGATCTTGTTTCTGATGAAGTCAAAGCTGGAATTGAAGAAGCCAATGCGAATAAAGGGATTCCGGAGGAATACAGAACCACTCAGACCGATTTCAAGATCGGATACTATCGTCAACAGACATTAAAGATGGTATTCAAGTTTATGCAACATATGATGGCTCAATCCGGAGGAAATGCCGATAGATTACTCAGAAATTTAATTGATAGCCCAAAACTCCTTACCGCACTAAAGATTGTCATTGAGAAGGGCGCGATCTGGGGAAGTCATGTCTGGAGCACAGTGGTAGGTATGGTTAGTGCGTTTATACACAATGAGCCAACCAGCTATGCGGTTATCCATGAGGCCGGGCTGAGTCATGCTCTTCTGGAGTCAGTAACCGGAAAATCGGGATTGGCTGAAAAGGAAGCAAGACTAAAGAAAGAGGAAGAGGAACGGATAGCCAATGCATCCACAGCCGAGAGCTCAAGTGCTGGTGCGAACGCTGGGGGCGAGGAAGATGAAAGAATGGAGGAAGAGTCGACCGAAGGAGAATCTAGTGTTAAAGGAAAGTCTAAAGAGGAGGGAAAAACTGAGATGAAGAAAGAGCTTCCTCCAAGAGTTCACCCTCCAGCAGCCGGAATCATGACCTCCCCAGATGCCATTGGATCAATTCCTACAGCATTCGGTGCCATATGTCTCAACTCCTCCGGCTTGGCTTTGTTCCAGGCATCAGGTGCTTTGGAGACTTTCTTCGAAGTGTTTGAGAGCGCAGAACATGTTAAGAATATGACGGATAATGAACTTGGCAGTTTACTGGGAAGTCAATTTGATGAGCTGATTCGACACCATCCTGTTCTTCGGGAGAGTGTTATGAAGGTTACAATTGAGATGTTACAGAGAATTGAGGTACTAGGTAGGCGATTTGCTGAAGAGAAGGGAATGGGTGCAAAGGTCTGGATGGAGGATGGATACGGCGGGATGGTCGTTGCTGGAGGTAGGAAGGCATTGATTGGGGGGGGGGAGGTAGTCAAGTCTGAGGGGAGCTCGGCGGTCAACATTGCCGAAGGTTCAAGCAAATCACAGGGTAATGATGGAGACGACGTCGAGATGAGCGACGCTGATGCCATTGCGCCTACAGTTACTCTCGACGAGACAGAGCCCGACGGCGCGCCAAAAGGTGAAGTGGTCGCCTTGGCTGATATCTTTGATGAAGAAGCCGAGGATGCGGATAAAAACCAACCCTCTATTGCAAACTTCATCGACGTTGCAGCTAGGTTCCTGGAAGGCTTTTTGGCGAACACAAGCCAGACAAAAGACTTCATCAAGCGTGGTGGTTTAGATCTCATGCTTGACTTCTATACTGTTCCAAGTTTGCCTAGCGACTTCGCAACCAGCCAAGCAAATCTTATGATTGCCCGTGTCATGCAAATCTGCAGCGAAAATACTCCCACCACTACGATCGCCGCCACACTTAAGCATGCCCAGAAAGCCATAAAAGAATTGGAACCGTTGCTGAGACATAACAAAAAAGAAGGCTTCTTTGCACCGCTCACAAACCAGAAAGCTTCACCTCTCCCCCCACGCTTACAAGCAGGGGTTCCAGCCAATGATGATCATGGAACAGCGGAGCCAACAACCACACCTGGCGATGAGCTCGACCTCGTAACCGTTCAAAATATCAGATCCAACGGCACAAAACTCGTGAAAGACCTTGTAACTATCCATTCGCTTTGCTATCTCCTGCATGAATTATTCGGCACACCAGTATTTAATACACGCCTTACGTTGTCGTTGTTTCAATCAGCCGAGAATGAAACCTTGGTTCAACAACTGGGTGCTTTGCACAGAATGTGTGTTTGGGAAGAAATCCTTCTTCAAAAGACTATTCCAGATACGTGGAATGAAGCCACAAGAGTCAAGACTGCTGCCGGTATTGCTGCGGCTGCTGAAGAAGAAGCTGCTCTTCCAGCTGCTGTTGCATCTGCCTCTGCCGAAATCGCAGGCCAAGGTCCAAAATCACAGGATGAACAAAAGGAAGCTGAAAAGGCTGTGGTTGAGAAAGATGGCAAAACTCCATGGTTCCGGAATGTAAAAACAATTCGATTTTTGATTAGTCAGATTCCGTCAAGCATTACTCCATTTCTTCAAGGTAAAGTTCATGAATGAGCTTTTTTTTCCTTTTTTTTTTAGTTTACTATTGCTAAATGATATGTATTTTAGGTCTTGCGAGAGGCTTAGTCTCAAGGCGTAATCCAGATTTGATGCATAAACAACATGCTTTTAAGATCGCAGAGAATATCTCAGAAGCCATGTACGACCATTTGACATGGAAGAGATTAGGTATATTACTCCCCTGTGGTCAGTAAACGAATAAGAGTGCTGATTGAGTTGGTAGACACATGTGACTCGGTGACAGATAAATATGGTTACTGGATCGTAATGTTGGCTTCTATTACATCACTGTTACTTGAAGGTACAAACCCTACTATCTAGTAATCATAATTCCTCTTTGATCAACACGTTAGCTTACCATTTGGCAGAGAAAGGGACTGGACAAGTCATCACCACTACATTAATTACGTTCAAACAAAACGACGGGATCAAGGCGGTTACAGAAATACTCGAGACATTCTGGAATGAGGTTCAACTTTTACCCTCATTGAGCGATGCTGAACATATGGGTAAAGATGGTCAACAGAGGATGGCGCATGCGTATGGTGGCATCAAGATCATCTTATCACTATTTACCCACCTTGTTTCTAACAAGTCTGTCCTTGAATCGGCGCAAACCCAAGCGCTTCAAACCCGCGATCGCCCACCTGAGCCGAACCGGCCAGACCTTTGGAACGCTTATCAATTTCTTGTTGAGCTGAGAGCCAATATCCTTCCAGTTGTTAGAAGTATGTGGGACTCAGGTTCTATTGAGAAGGCGTCTGGTTCTATTGTTAAATCTGCTATTGAGATCCTCGGGATCGTGCTTAAAGCAGAGGGCGAGGGTAATGCATTTACGAAGAAGGATGTCGAGGCCAAGAAATTGACAAATACGATCTCTTGGAGGACTATGGAACCAAATGAAGAACGCATCAGACAGCTTGTTGAAATGGGGTTCGCACGCGAGCTTGTTATGTCCGCATTGTTGAGATGCAATTGGAATGTGACGCACGCTTCAGAATGGCTCACCTCTTTAAGAATTCAACCCCCAGGCCAGCGAGGGAGCCAGATCTCGGCATCAAGTTCCAGACCACACACAGCTGAATCAAACTCAAGCGATGAAGAGGAAGAGACAGATATTGATGCCAGGGATGAGTCGGTCTCTGAGACGCCTGCTACAGCTACGGAGGGCGAACAGTCTTCTGAAATCAATATACCACCACCACCGCCACCACCACCGGCCGCACCAGTCGATGATGCTGTAATGGCAATGAGTATCGAAGATCTTATTACTCCTAGCTTAGTGCCACCACCTCCTGCAGCGGCTGAGTCACAGTTAATTTCTCCAATCGCAGAGGCTTCATCTACCACAGCTGAAAAGGGCAAAGGAAAGGAGGGTCAAATATCAGAGCCGGTGACTATCACAGTTGAGGATTTGGATGCGCTTAGGTCTACGATCCGAGAAAGCCTTATCAATCGCTCACTTGACATTCTTCAAGTTCACCCCAACGTCACTTTTGAGCTTTCAGCACTGATCACAAACGGGTTTGGAAAGACAGCAGAGTCGGCCGAGATTCGCAAGGAGGTCGCAACAACTATTTTTCAATCTCTTATGTCGTTGCAAATGGATGATGATTTTCGCCCTCAGGGAAAAACTATTGCTTCAACTGCACATCTTCTTGGTCTTGTACTTCAAAGTCAGGACTTTTTCGACGCATGTTTGGAGGATCTTAAGGACAACATTCCAACTCTTGTAGGGTTTATCAAAATCTACCCTGGAGAGCCCGCACCCTGGGTCGCCAATATTCTTCTTGTAGTTGAGAAGGTGCTATCAGAATCTGCACAACCGCGTAGGGTTAATTTCACCCCGCCTGGTGAGCCAGAAACTGAAAACGTTGCTGAGCTCGATCCTTGCAATATCTCGGACGAAAATCAGTCTTCTCTCTTTGAGGCGATTATGTCAGTTATTCCTGAGGTTTCTAAGGACGAAGTTTTGCCTTTGGCCATCGTTCGTGTCCTTGTTCTTCTCACTAGGCGTAGGGATTTGGCCATCCGCATGACAGAGAATGGTTATTTGCAGCGATTATTCCATATGTTCCGCCGCCAGTCCGGGCTAAGTACAGAACGCATTCAATCTTCAATCATGCTGGTTCTTCGTCATATCATCGAAGACGTGGATATTCTTAAATCGATCATGAAAGCCGAGATTCGTTCTTGGTTCAACAGCAGAGGAACCCGTCAGATCGATACGCAGTCTTTTATTCGGCACAATCATTACCTTGTTCTCAGGGATCCAGAGGTTTTCGTGGAAGTTGTCAACGAACTTTGTAAATTGACGAGGTACGACCCGCACTTGAGGAGTCAGACAATTGCGATCAAAGATTCGTGGCGTTTGAACCCCTCTCAACCTTCTGCGGAAACCCCCAAACCTTCTGAAGGCGAATCCAAGGAAGGTGAATCCAGTAAAGATTCTGGAGATAAAGAGACTGTCGATAAACCAAAACCTGCTCCTGAGACTAAGCCTCCCGGGCTAAAGAAGCCTGATGGTGTTATCCACTTCTTGTTATCAGAGCTATTGGCATGCAAGGACATTGAAGATTCTATCCCGGTTACCCCCCCTCCCGTCAAGGAAGAGGCCCCACAAGCACAGGTGGATATTCAAATGGACAACACAGAACCTGCATCCGGGGTTGTCACCGAACAACAAACCTCACCAGCTGATCCGAAGAAGCCCGAGAAACCCGAGAAACCCGAGTTCAAGGCTGAGCAACACCCTACTTTCATCTATCGGTGTTTCATACTGCAGGCCTTGACGGAGTTGCTGTCCTGTTACAATCGCAGCAAGATCGAATTTATCAACTTCTCTCGCAAGGCAGCACCAAGAGAACCCATAACTCCTTCGAAGCCGAGATCAGCTATTCTTAACTACTTGTTGAACGACATAATCCCCCTGGGAACACTCCTTCACACCGAGGATATCGCTTACAAGAAAAGGGCCACAACTTCCCAATGGGCGATTCTAGCAATCGTTTCATTGTCTGCTCAAACTGGGGAAATTACGAATTCTGAAGACGAACCCAATCTCCTTTTTGTTAGGAAGTTTATTCTCGAAAGTGCCCTCAAAGCCTTCAAGGATGCGTCCTCATCAACAGAACTACTAGACACTAAATATTCTAGAATGATGAGCCTCACAGATCTCTTTTTCAGAATGTTGTCCGCGAGACCAAACCACAACCACGCACCAGGCGCAATTTCTTCCGAAAAGTCCTCGCAGCAGATTGCCAAAATCATGTTTGACAAAAATTTCATTGCTGCATTGACAAGTTCGCTCGCTGATATTGACCTTAACTTCCCATCTGCGAGGAGGGTCATTAAGTATATCTTGAGGCCACTAAAACTTCTTTCCAAGACTGCTACAGACCTCAACGAAAGCTCTAGCATTTCATCTTTGGGTGCAACTGACGAGGATGAGATTTCAACGGCCACCTCGGTTTCTGATATCGACGATATGAGGGAGGAAACTCCTGATCTATATAGAAATTCTACTCTTGGCATGTTCGAAGGGGGAGAAATGGCGGATGATGATCAGGATTCATACGACGAAGACGAGGATGATGATGATGAGATGTATGATGAAGAGATGGAAATGGAAGAAGATATGGAGGATGAAGGTGAAAGTGAAGTCAGCGACGAAGACGAAGATCACCAAGAAGATATGGATGTGAGTGGAGCTAATTACATGAGTATTTTTCCATTGGTTAATAGTGTACGTGTACAGGTTGAAATTGTTGTGCAAGAAGAGCATCATGACGATAGCGAGGACGAAGATGACGATGACCTCTCCGAAGATATGGATGAGGGTGAAGGAGTGGAAATTATTGATGAATTAGCTGAGGAGCACCAGGGTACCTACGGAAGCGGTGGTGAAGATGATTGGCAGTCGGAAGTCAGTGAGGATGATGATGGGGACGATGAAGAAATTATCACAGACAATCCTCTGGAAACAATTGTTCGTGCTCTCGGGGGGCCAGAAGAGGTTCCTGAGCCAGGTGATGAAGACCGGGACGATGGTTTCATCGATGATGAAGTTGAAGAAGAAGACGAGGACGAGGACGATGATGACTTGGATGAAGAGGAAGCCATGATACGCGAAGATTATGAAGATGATGAAGGTGCGTTCTCTGCTGTTCCGTGGGGTTGGGCGGAGGAAGCGGGTGAAGCTCCCATGATGGCTCGCGCACACCCGCGTGGCCACGGTGGATGGTATACTCTTGGTGGGCCTCCTCGCGACCCCCCGGTATTCAGTAAGCTTATCTCCTATTCTAAGATTTCGTGAGAAATTTACGCTGATTCTAGGTTTAGTGTCGAACGCTCGTACACACCGTTACATCGGCGCCACCCACGCACGCGCTGCCGACACTACAGATCAAAACCCTCTTTTGCAGCAAAATTCCAGTGAGCAAGGTGGTACTCGCCCCGCTCCTCATCGTAACCAGGAGTTCATGACAGATTGGGTCCAAGCTATCGATGGAATGCATGCGAACGCCGCTGGGGGACCAGGTGGTGCAGTTTCAATGATCAGCACACTAATGAGCCTTATGACACGTGCGGGCCAACCTGTTCCAGTCATGACCAATGGTGCAATTCAGTTCCAAGCACCTCTTCCTCATTTGGCTGGACACGGACATCATCATCATTTCGTTCCGCGTGAAATTCGATCGATGTTTACTGGGGGTAGACCTCAACCCGAGATTTCGCGACACCATCGTGAAGACCCCCAAACTGCAGTCAATAGCTTCATTCCTACCCTGACTACTGGACGCTGGACCGAAGAGTCCAAACTTTTGTTCGGCACGACTGCCCCTGATAGGGCTCAGAAAGTAGTTAATGCCATACTCGTCCTTCTTGTCCCGCCTGCCATTGAGGAAGAACGAGTTCGGAAGGAAAAAGAGGAGAAGGAACGGCAAGAGGCACTGAGATTGGCTGAGGAACAGAAAAAGAAAGAGGAGGAGGAGAGAATTGCCAGAGAAAAAGCTGAGGAAGAAGAAAGGCTTAAGAAAGAAGCAGAAGAGCGTGAAGCGGCAGAGCGAGCGGCTGCTGAGGCGGCGGCGGCTGCTGCTAACGAAGCGGAGACCGTTCGGGTCGAAGAAACGCCAAAGGTAGGGGATGCTATGGAAGGGGTTGAGACCGCAGAGAGCTCATCTGCTCCTGCCGTTGAAGGCGAAGCAGGCCCTTCGAATCCTCCGGCACCCCGTGCTACGGTGATGATTCGTGGGAGAGAGATGGATATCACTGGCATGGATATTGATCCCGGCTTCTTGGAGGCACTGCCGGACGAACTTAGAGAAGAGGTTCTTACTCAACACATCCGCGAGAGACGTGCCGCAGCAGCTACCAGTGACCAGCCCAGTGACATCAGCCGAGAGTTCCTCGAGGCATTGCCTGACGAGATTCGTGAAGAGCTCCTCCAGCAAGAAATGGCTGACCGTCGACGTCGCGAGCGAGAACATGCTCGAAATAGTAGACCTTCTCATCTTGGTGGGGCCGGCGGCGGTGGTGGTGGACCAGTAGATCTTGATCTCGCCAGCTTCCTTGCAACTCTCGAGCCTGGACTCCGCCAAACTGTACTGTTGGAACAAGATGATGAATCTCTAGCTCAACTTCCACAGGCAATCGCTGCAGAGGCCAATGCTCTTCGTGGCGACCGCAGGTTCAATCAGTTTGTCGAAATGCCCAGACCTGCCGGCGGTAGAGGAGTTGGAGGTATTCGTCACGAAGAGCCGAAGCCTGCTAAGAAACCTGTTCGCAAGAGTGTCGTTCAGTTGCTTGACAGAGCTGGTGTTGCCACATTACTCCGCCTCATGTTCATCCCTCAGGTCGGAAGTACCCGCATGACTCTACATGAGATTCTTCTAAATATCTGTGAGAATCGTCAAAACAGAGCGGAAGTTCTCAGCGTGCTTCTTTCGATCCTCGCGGACGGAAGTGCTGACATGGCCGCTGTTGAACGAAGCTTTGCCCAACTCTCTGTCAAAGCAAAACAAGCTGCAGTCACGAAACCCCCTCCAACACCCAGTCTTAAACGAACTGGTACAGGACCACTTGCTCAGACTAGCAGCGAAGTTTCGCCGCTCATGGTTGCTCAACAGTGCTTGGCCGCATTATTATTTTTGGTCAGCTATAATGAACATATTCCCTCTTACTTCTTGAACGAGCACGAAAATTCAAGTGGGTTGAAGAGGTCGACTAGTCGGAAAGGCAAAGCCAAGGAGGTCGTACCATCAAAAGCTAGCAAATATGCCCTCAATATCCTTCTGAATTTGTTGGACCGACCCCTCATTACAGAGAGCTCAAGTGTGATGGATCAGTTGTCAGTACTACTATCGGAAATTACCAGGCCGCTCACTATCCTTCTCAAGAAAGACAAGAAAAAGCCCGAAGAACCAAAAGCTGCGGAGCAAATTGCTGAGGGTGAACCTGCGGCTGCTGCTCCAGCGACCACGGCAGCAGATACCACCACAGTACCAACCACAGAAGGCGAAGGGCCAACGGAACCACCAAAAGAGGAGCAAGATAAGAAAGAGGAGTCAAAAGAGGATGACAAGCCCAAGAAACAGCGTACTTTGGTCCCTCCTGTTGTCCCGGAACCCTACCTCCGATTTGTTGTCAATATCTTAACAGCCCGTGAATGTTCAAGCAAGACCTTCAGAGAAACACTTGCAACCATGCAGAATCTTTCGGCAATCCCGGATGCGAAGGACGTTTTTGGAAAAGAGCTGATTCGCCAAGCAAAAGGACTCGGTGTCACAATATTATCCCATCTTGACGTCCTGGTAAATCAAATCAAGAGTGCAGAGAATGGCACCGAGATTCAAGGGTTGGCTCTATCAAATTTTTCGCCAGCCAGCTCTGAACAGGCAAAGCTTCTCCGAGTGCTCACTGCGCTTGATTACCTTTTCGACCCCAAAAGATCTGCCAAAGACAAAGAAGACAAGAAAGAGGGCGAGTCCAAAGACGATGAAAATAAAGCCGAAAAGGATATCCTTGCCAACCTTTATGAGAGCCTTTCCTTTGGACCTCTGTGGACCAAGCTCAGCGATTGTCTCTTAGCCATCCATGCACGGGAAGATATGTTACACGTCGCCACCATCCTCTTGCCGTTGATCGAGGCCTTGATGGTTGTTTGCAAGAACAGTGGATTGAAAGAGACGGTCCCAAGATACCACCGCGGCCAAACCCCGATGAGTCCCCAAGTTGAAACTGGAATGGAGAATTTGTTCTTCAAATTCACCGAGGACCACCGCAAAATCCTCAACCAAATGGTTCGTAACAATCCGAAATTGATGAGCGGGTCCTTTGCACTGTTGGTTCATAACCCCAAGGTCCTTGAGTTTGACAACAAGCGGAACTACTTCAACCGCCGCCTTCATTCTCGCAGCGGTGCTCGCGATCCTCATCCTACATTGCAACTCAGTGTTAGACGTGATCAAGTCTTCTTGGACTCGTACAAGTCAATGTATTACAAGACTGGTGATGAGATCAAATACGCCAAATTGAGCATCCGATTCCATGGAGAAGAGGGAGTTGACGCCGGTGGTGTCACAAGGGAGTGGTTTCAAGTCATGGCTAGGCAAATGTTCAACCCGGACTATGCTCTTTTTATTCCGGTTGCTTCTGATAGAACGACATTCCACCCAAGCCGTATGAGTGCTGTCAATCCTGAGCATCTTAGTTTCTTCAAATTTATCGGAAGAATCATCGGAAAGGCTTTGTACGAAGGACGTGTTCTCGATTGTCATTTCAGTAGGGCGGTCTATAAGGTATGTCCCTCAAATAATTATTTCAATATCTCATTTCTAACCATGAGAAATAGCGAATCCTTGGAAAGTCAGTATCTTTGAAGGACATGGAAACTCTTGACCTCGATTACTACAAATCTTTGCTTTGGATGCTTGATCATGATATTACTGACATCATCGTTGAAACTTTCTCGGTTGAGACCGATGATTTTGGCGACAAAAAGATCGTTGATTTGGTTCCAGATGGAAGAAATGTCCCTGTGACGGAGGAAAATAAGCATGAATACGTGAAGTTGATTGTCGAGTATAAACTTTTGACTAGTGTTCAGGAACAGATGGAACATTTCTTGATTGGTGAGTAACTACTCCAGAATCTGATAGAACAACCATTCTAACGCATGATTAGGTTTCCATGATATCGTCCCTGCTGAGCTGGTTTCTATTTTCAATGAACAAGAACTTGAACTTTTAATTTCCGGTTTGCCTGAGATCGATGTCGATGATTGGCGAAATAACACAGAGTATCACAACTATTCGGCCTCTTCTCCTCAAATCCAATGGTTCTGGCGTGCAGTACGATCCTTCGACAAGGAAGAACGCGCCAAGCTGCTCCAGTTCGTTACGGGCACCAGTAAAGTACCCCTCAACGGGTTCAAGGAACTTGAGGGCATGAACGGGTTTTCAAAGTTCAACATTCATAGGGACTATGGTAGCAAAGATCGTCTGCCTAGTTCACACACTTGTTTCAACCAAATTGATCTTCCAGAGTATGAGAGTTACGAGAATTTGAGACAAAATATGTTGACCGCAATCACACAGGGAGCAGAGTACGTATATCCGTTCTTAACAAGAAAAACAAACCGTTTTGCTAACATTATACATCAGGTACTTCGGTTTCGCGTAAGAGGTGTTTTCTACAAAAAATAAAGATTCTTTCTTTTTAGTCGGTGAGGAATATTTGTACAGAGGTTTCTGGAAAAGCGTATTTTTTTCTTTCTTTTTTCCTTTTGTTTTATGCAATTCTTTCTAAATGTATTCTTTTTGTCTGGGAAATGGTGTTTTGCAGATTCTGAGGCTTCCCTTGTTTCTCTTTTATTGTTTTTGCGCTGTATGCTGCAAAGGTTTGGGTGGCTTTGTTTTAGTTCTGTTTAGTTCCTCTCTTCTGCCAGCAGTGGTCTAAGCAGACAGCAACGGGTAGCTGGTGATCGAAGTGCAGATCGGTTGTCTTTGTTACTTAGTTATTGGTTTGTGAATTGATGATGTTAGCAGAAGTAGATCCTACAGCTAGTGCATTGAATTTTCGATCATCTACTAGCGATGCCGATTTTAATATAGATCATGTGACCCATTACTCTCTCAAAATCCTAAGCCTCCAACGCCAAGGCGGTAGTCACATGATCATTAAAGTAAAACCGGCACCCCTAGTACATGTATGTAGAACAGATTCATACTCTCTAAATGTACTTGTGTAGAGCAGGTACATTACCAGCGCAGCTGTAAAGTACCCTAAGAGCTAGTGCCTTATGTAGAGTAGTGCCTACAGTGGCTTTCCAATCCGCGACTGCCTCAAAACACGTAGGTAGGAGAAGACGCCTTCTAGGCACATGCAAGCAATATGAACGATATATGATTCTACAGCCTTCTTGGGTGCATCGATACGGTCGTTACGGGATGGATTCACGCGAGATATTGCGTAGATTGCATGACGCAACGCATGGAAAATGTCAGGGGTTCTATTTTCGTCCAGTCTTGGTGCGACAGTCTGGTACCCTAGAACCCAAAGACACTGACTGACATAGGTACGGGGAAAGGGAAAGGATCAAGGAAGCTGTTGAAGAGGGGAACTTGAGAGAGCATAGAGCCGACAGACAAATACATACATACTCTATCTAGGGAAAGAAAAGAATTTTGGATTCCTACAGCTGTATGTAAAGTAGTACAGGGTGATCCATGGCCGTTCCTGGGGTACAGGCACACAAAACATCAAGCACAAGCACAAGGAGGTTGTGGATATGCGGCTACATACACGTCCCACTCCGATCCATTTTCGCTCATCACCGAAAATTGATGGGTATGGAGCAATTGGGCCTCATCCCGAGGTCTTGTAGAGAAAGGCAGGGGGTTCCGGAGTACAGGAAGAATGTCACCAGTAGTATGAGCTACTTTACTTGCGCAGGTTGAGCAAGTTGATACTCTAGTGTAGCAGAATACTACTTAGAGCAATTGCATACCATTGACCCAATGACACAAAATTTACAGTCTTAAGGCTACCGGTATATACCGTTCATAAAGGATTCTAACAAGCAAGTGAGATTTGTTGTAGATCACTTGTCATCTATGAGCAGGGCCATCCGGTGCGGGTCTTATTTTCTGATACCTCCTGGTATGCTTATGTCGCCATAAGTTATCCACCTTGTCTTGTCGACCCTTGATTAATTTTTTTCTCCCCTTCTCTTTTTTTTTTTTTTTTTTTTTTTTTTTGCCTTCAACACCTAGGACCAGACTACAAGAAGTTAATGGCTAACAACAGAGTCTCGAATATCACTCGATAGAACGACCTTATAGCACGTTTGCGCTTTTCTCCTCCCCCCGTCGACAGTTTATCTCCCCTATAGCCCCTCCACTTGACGTCTGTGGTGGCCAACCGGGTTCTCGATCTTGAAACAAAACCTGTTGGTGTGAGGAAACGAAATGTCAGCCAATTCGATAAAGCTCCTGTCTGGCAACAGCCACCCTGAGCTCGCAAAGAAGGTCGCAGACAGGTATGTCCAATAATCCCACTGCTGTGTGAGCGCACCATGGAAAAAGGTTCCTCCATCGGCGGTGGTGGTGGTGGGGAGAAAAAAAACAACCACGAGATTGGACGAACTACCAGCCAAGCGGCAGCATCTGCTGTGAGCTGGTAACCAAACAATTTGTTTGAGTGTGACACTCACTGACTCTATCTTTGTCTGGCCTCAGGCTCGGGATAGAACTCACAAAGATCCTCGTCCTCCAGTACTCCAACCAAGAGACCTCCGTGACAATCGGCGAGTCGGTCCGCGACGAGGATGTGTTCATTCTGCAGTCCACGGCGCCGGGGGACATCAACGACGGGCTGATGGAACTGCTCATCATGATCAACGCGTGCAAGACGGCGAGCGCCCGACGCATCACGGCCGTCATCCCGAATTTCCCGTATGCGCGGCAGGACAAGAAGGATAAATCAAGAGCGCCGATTTCGGCAAAGCTGATTGCGAACATGCTGCAAACGGCGGGGTGCAATCATGTCATCACGATGGATTTGCATGCTAGTCAGATCCAGGGCTTTTTTAATGTGCCGGTTGATAAGTGAGCCTCTTTGACTGCCCTTCTTTTTTGTGTTCTAGAAATATTCGGAGGGGAAATTCCGCAGGTTGGCGGTGGTGGGGCAGCAGCGAGCTGTCAGATAAGATAACGGCATGGCGGAAGTGAAAGCTTGGTGTTGTGTGGGGGAATCTGGTGCGGGTGTTGAAGATTAATGAGTGTCTGCCGGATTCCCGGCATGAACTGTGAATGGCTATGTTTTTGTGGTGTATGGTCGCTAATGAGGAACCATCAAAACAGCCTGTACGCCGAACCTTCAATGCTCAGATACATTTACGAGAACTTCGACTACAAGAGCGCAGTTATCGTCTCCCCTGACGCCGGTGGTGCCAAACGGTTCAACCCCCAGCCAACGCTCCTCTCCCGCTCTACTAACATCCACGTTACAGTGCCACTGCTATCGCCGATCGTCTAGATCTCCCTTTCGCTCTCATCCACAAGGAACGATCGCGGCCCAATGAAGTCAGCAGGATGGTTCTTGTCGGCGACATCTCAGACCGCATTGCGATCTTAGTAGACGACATGGCAGACACTTGTGGAACTCTCGTCAAGGCTGCACAGACACTAAAGGCTAATGGCGCCAAAGAGGTGGTAGCAATTGTCACCCACGGGATCCTCTCTGGCAATGCCATCGAGGCCATCAATAAGAGCGAATTGACAAAGGTAGTGGTCACCAACACAGTGCCACATGCGGAGAAGAAAAAGAGGTGTCCGAGGCTTGAGACAATCGATATTGCGCCGACGGTGAGTAGTAGAACCAGGTCCCTCCCCTCTTGTCCTTCAGTACAGAAACCTAACAAACTTTCCAATGTAGCTTGCGGAGGCTTGCAGGAGAACACACAACGGTGAAAGTGTCTCCTTCCTCTTCAGCCATGCTCCTAGCTGATCTAGTTACATAAAATTGGTTTTTCCTTTTGGTGGTTTTTTCGTCCCTTTTCTTTTTTGGGTTATTTCGGTTTTCTTTTTTTATTGGAGAGAGAAAAAAATTATATATATATACATCAAAGTCGGTCATTATAATATGGCAGGACTAGCTAGACTGGGATAATTTGGGTTGGGTTATTATTGTACCAGTTTGACACTCACTGTCACGGGGTAAATACTTCTGCCTTTGCGCGTCCCCTTGTATCAAAGTACAAAAAAATTAAGCCTCAAAAGCTCAAAAGTCATGGGCGTCTAACCGACAGTGGGAATGGAACGGAACTTCCAATTCATATCTTCCAAGCAGTTCCACAAATAGCGGAAAACCCTATCAAACTGACGGCAGAATCAATAAAGAAAGCGCTTCTAGACATACAGCCGTACGGGATTCCCGGAAGCTTGTGTGGAGTGACAAGACAAGAGCAAACATCTCTTGAGAGTTGGCCTTTACCATTAACTACATGTACCCGCATTCTAGAAAAAATGCATGTTCTTAGGCAAAATCGGACCTCTTTGCTGATCGATCACTCCACGTGAGGGATATAAATAAGAAAAACACCACCAACACTACCCTGCCAGGGCGCCGGTTGAGATCATACCACAGCACTCGCACCCGTATCCGGGAATAAGCGCAAGTGGCATATCCAGGTTTCCACACGAAACGGATGATCTGACACGATCTACCGCCCGTGTTGGTTTGTGGGGCTTTTTCTTTTCTTTTTTTCCTTTGGTTTATTCTATTATTCAATGTACGACTTCGCTTATATTACCAGGGACGGTGGCGCGGGGTGGGGTGGCCTTATGTATCATATATGCGGGGAACGGGGGAGTTTGGGGCGGTCACGTTTTTGTAGTTACGCAGATTTTCATGTACGAATCATGGGGAAGAATATTTTTGATTATTATTTCTAGGCAGCTGATGTGTTACTCGCTGCCTGAAGAGAGACCTCGGGAATGAGTGTAACTATTCCCGGAGAGTGAGAGGTATAGACACATGACCATACGCAGCTCAAGGCGTAGTATGGTATTTCTATTGGATAAATGTCCTAGAATTCTGGTGTAAAAAGATAAGCAACTTTCTCCGCAAGGATCTGAAACGGAAATAGTGGCATAAGAAGGGGAGGTTCTCAAAGGATCAGACAGCAGTTGGTAACAATAAAGTCTCAACACAAAAAATTCAGAACAGGTCTGTGTGTGAATATTGTTTTTCATCATTTTGAGACTTCCCCTTGAGAGAAAAGTGGGGGAGAAGGAGGAAGTAAATAATAAGAAATAAAAGTATCTTACCTAAAATTGAAAGCCCGGTTGTCCTACATTATTGATCTTTTTCCAATAGTTAGTCTGGAGTGATGATTTTGGTTAAAGATATTTATTCTGATTTGAGTAAAAGATGAAATCTATTGAGGTGCCGCCTGCGGCAGTTTCTTGTCCCGAATTAAGGAAAACAGAGCTTGGTAATCCGGAGAGCAAAAAAATGAATATAGTCGATAGGATATAAAACTGTAAACATCCGCTAGGAAAAACAAACTTAAGTTGGTTAGCAATTTGCATACGTATTTAACCCCAAGCGACGATATGAATAAAGCCGGGGAAGGATATTTCAAGTCAGACAGCAGTTGGTAACAATAAAGTTTCTCAACACAAAAATTCAGATCAGGTCTGTGTGAATATTGTTCTTCATCATATGAAATCTCCTCTCCGGGGAAAAAAGGAAGGAGGGGAAAAAAATCAAACATACCATTTTTGACCATGTAGCCCGACCCCGGCTACTGCGGGGTGAAAAAATCGCTGATTTGTCTCTGCCTATCATCGGCTTTTGCACTCCCCACACCTCCTCCGGCCCTCTCAAGGCCCTGCAAATGTGTTTTGATATTCATGCCTTCGACTAGGCACATACAACCTTTCAGCCCTTCTTCCATATCACCGGGAAGGATGTCGAGGAGTATGTATCCAGTGTTGCTCCAGTGCGGTTTCCTCCCAGAACATTCAGCTGAAGCTGAGATATTGGATCTGTGGAAGCGGGTAATTATACGCATCCATAGAGTTCCGAGGAATATCCCATGTGATGCCACTGCGATTGCATGGTTCTTTGTGTTCACAGCGCTGTTATTAAAGTACACCTCCATCACAGCGGGGACTAGATAGTCGTCGATGAAACGGTCTGCCCGGGCAGCCATGGATTCATTACTCTCTCGGCTCTGATAATCTGGACCTCGAATTATTTGGGGCGTAGGACGACGTGAAGACCTGTAAGACGTCCCTTCCCTACTGCCAAAATCTACTTCCCGCAATTCAAACAATTGCGTTACAGTGGCCGCTGAGGGAGAAGGGAGATTAACTCCGCCAGTTCGCACGAGCTGAGCATCTAGTATGGCCTGTCCAGTTTTGCGCGCTCGTTGTAAATCCGACGAGAATATGTGTGTGAAGATGAGCCCTGCTCCCCCAGCGGATTTGGGGGTTGTCAAGTGCTCCCCTAGACGGAGAGCCTGGAGGACACCGTGGTTTGTTAGATGAGAATCGGTTACGCCTGCGCTGCTCCAAAGGATTTGTCAGTAACGTTTTCCAGGTCTTTCACTTTTGTTCTGTAAGAATGACAAGAGTCATAAGGTAGAAGACTTACTATTTATGAGCTACATTATCGACAGTTTCGCCGTGGCGGATAAGGAGGAGTTTCATGACTTTTCGCCACGCCCCGAAGGAAGAAACAAAAGTGAAAGGAAGAAAAAAAGTTGTGAAAAGCGGGACAGGAGGGGAACGAGGGGAATAAGTTATTCCCTTGGACCCTGAAAGAAAAGGCTTGGTAGGGCTAACTACATTTGTGATTACTGATTGGTCTTGGTCCAAATCACAATCAATAACCTAACCTTGTATGGTAATTGATACTAACACTACAGGCTCAGGCGTCGATTAGATTGATCTGATAAGATTATTCACTTGTTTCATCCGGGACATCCTGACGCAGCATCAGGGGGGGACATGTTTTGCTAGCCATCTGCAGGGACCATTTAAGTGGCTTGTGCGCCAATCTGACGTCTGCAGACACTCACCCTTTACCTACCACATCTGTAGTACACGTTGGCCTGTCGAATGCTATCCAGTACTCTACCTAGGAGTTGAAAGTGCAATAAAGATATTGGCTGAGGGTTCTTGATCGTAAGGAGTACGTACTCAATCCGCTGGCAGATGGTACCTGCATGTTTCGCTAGATACCTTTTCCTCGTGTCAGTTTCACAGTACCTTTCTTTCTCGAATGTAGAAAGCCCGTTTTCTATTCAATTTGAATAAGTGAATAGATAAATAAGCTCTTATGTTCTTTGCTCCGTCAAAGATGATCATCCATAACCCACCGTTCCGAAATGACTGCCACATTGATTGCCTTCTTGTTGCTTCTCGCAATCTTTTCGTGCATATCAGCACAAGACATTACCTGTCCTCCGGGCTCATTTCCCCAGACAAATGTAACAACGTTCACAGTCTCTTCCTCTCCAAAATCACTGGAGTCGACCTTGGGAGATTTCTATTCGGATAACTGCAAGTCCCCACGCCCAGTGATATTGCATTTCCTTCCCTGCATAATCGTGTAGCCCCTCTAACATGTTTACCTTCAGGGCAATCTCTCCTTCAAACATCCATAACCTTCACTCCTGCCTTTCTCTCTAGAACCCTGCACTTCACATCAGAATCTCTCAATATTACCGAAACCCTTTTACCCTCAACTCCTACGCTGCTTCAATGGCAGCTATCTTCGGGGACATTCGTGCTTCCTTTGGGGGGTGGAGAGTTCAAAGTGCTCTCATATAACCAATCTCTTTCTCTCCTTCCTGTATGTGACAGCGATTCATATACCACTGTAACCTGGAGTATTCATGCCTGTATCTCCTCGCCGTTCGAAGGGCAAGACGAGGAAGCGCAACCAATAAACTGGTTCAAGCTTCAGCACGACAACGCTGCCAGAATTATTTTTTCCACAGTCCCTCGTGGCTGGTTCGGTCCCGTTTCGACAGATCAAAAGAGCGCTGCATGTCCCACCAACGACTACAGGGCTTCTGTGCTTTCTAAACCGAATGGTGCCGGTGGGACTTTAAAGGAGCTATCACTCACACCTACACCTACTATTACAGCTGTGGTGTCAAGTTCTGTGTCAGCACCGGTACCGACGACTACGTTCAAGACGTCGTACCAACTAATTCCGTTACCTGTGACGGTGTCATTACCTGCCGAGAATGCCACATGGAGTACGGTTGGAGTGAGGAATGAGGAAACACGGACCTTTGAGAATTTTGAACCGATAGAAACTTATATTCCAGGAAATGGAGCAATAGGAATAAATAGTGTAGATACCACGGTGGTAATAGCAGCCATTATAGGATGGCTATTTTTGTAATGCGAAGGAAAAGGTGCGGCTCTTATGTAGAGTACTTGTGGGATCTCATTTGTAAATATTAAGTAGAATAACAATAATAATTCTGGGGTGATCATAGAATAAGAGTCTTTGATAACTAGGACTCTCGTACTCCCTCCCCTCACTGAACTTATCTGTCATCAGTTGGTGTAGCGATAAACCCTGGACCTTTTCGACTTAATGTTTGCAGAGCTGGCCAGCCGGGGTCTCTAGGTTGTGAGCTTGCTGGTAACAAGCTTACGACTTTATTTATCGGCACATGTCATACATATCAAAAGAACCAAAAGAAACAAAAAGATACTGCATGCTTGATAACTGTATTGCGTATAGTCTGTGGTCCATAATCCCTCAAAATATCAAGATACCTTCTGTGAATTAAAATTCTTTTCTTCCCGATTGGGATTACAACTAACTTATTGGTCTAATTCAAAACCCATTAATTCGTACCCCCACCCTACATTGTGACGTCTTTTAGGGTTAACATAGCGACAGAGCACTAATGTGCATATATATCGTGATTACTCAACCTTACACAAATATAAAATTTGTGCTTCATAGAAAATCACTCGTCCATGTTTTGCCTGATGCCGCGATCCTATTAGGGCATAGAAACCGAAAAATTGGATATAAACCCCCTTGACTGAGGGCCACCAGCTTGTTAATATGACGTATGTATAGATTGTCCTGGGCGGAAGAAGAGGTTAAGTGTGTGTTACATCAGATCTCCTTTCCAGATCTTTGGGGTGTTTTCAAAATGGGGGGCTCGCCCATTCAACACCCTATGCTGAAATTTAAATATACCACAGGCCCAGATCTGGAAATATACTGCATTCCGCGCTCTTGATAAACCAACTAGCTGACTCGGTGAGACCTTAAAATTGTATTTGCTTTTTGAGGTCATGGGACGAGAATTCGTGAGACACTCAAAGGCCTTGTTGACACAGATATATATCGACAGGTGCCTTTGGTTTGATTCTGTTGAAGAATTACTGACTGATTTAGAGCTCCTTCTCTCAAACGGAGCTCACTCTATCGTTGGCCGATAATAGCTGGGACACTAAACGCTGCCGTATCAACAACATATTGAAATTTGGTCTTTATCGACATTCTCACTTGCTACATTATATGATTAAGGCTTTGTTTGATTCGTTGCGTCGTTCCGTTTGTTGTTCCAATTACCGTCGTTTACATACACTCATGCACCTGGTTTCGAGACAGAGGGCTGCGGAATGACACTGGGCCTATCAGCGCTGTGCTGACCTTAAGGCGGCTTATCTTGCGCGCATACTGCACATAGGCAGGATCTTGATGCGAGGCACCGCACTCCTGAACAAAGCTTGACATACATATTTAGAGCTCTATCGTTATCAGTGGCATCACGTGAACAATGGAGGGGCAACAGCCTGTTGGGTTCCAGAATGGAAGCACGCGTCCGATACATTTGGCCCGTTTGCGTAAGAGGCTCAACAGATTCCCAAACCCCCCCCAAAAGTGAAAAAGAAAGATACGGGACCTAGAACCGTAGAGCGGGACGGCATGGGAAATAGTCCTCTAGGTGGCCGTTGACGTCGGCCCTTCCGTCTTCATCTCTCCCTCCTACCCCCACGGCTTGTTTATCATCCATCAATCAATCTCTTTCTCCCTTTCATCTCCATCGTTCTCTGCTCTTCAGCCATCCGTCAGTCTTTCGTCGGATATTTCCCGTCCAGTTTTCATATCTTTCTGGCTATTTCCCCACAGCCTTGAACCAGTGTCGTCCAATTACCCTGTCCCACTCGCCGCTATTATCTAAAACCGCTGACTGCGAGGTCTTGTCAATTCAACTCAAGAACACGTCCCCACCCCCGCTCGAACCTCTCATCCATTAAAGAGCCCCCAAAATCAGACTCAACCACAAGCAATAACGGAGATTTGCCACAATGCATACTTTCCCTCGCTCCGTTTACAGTATGTCCAATGTAAGCTCTTGCTTTTCCTTTCTCCGAAGACGCTTGTTTTTACTTGTTTCTTTTTCATGTTCCTACAAGGTTATGAGCCTTCAAATCCTGCTCATGTGACGCATATTGCTGGTTCCTCATTTCTCCGCTGTATGTGTATCCCCGCAGCTCTGTCCAGCCAGGATGCTTCGAGATTTGCGATCCAAGCTTCCCGAGATTCGGCGATTTCGGCAAACAGCTCATGCCTTGCTCACCCCCGTGCCCCTCCGAATGCATCTACCCCCCGGACTTTGGACCACGCGAGCAAAGGGAAATTTCTTCATTGTCTCAAAAGAAGAGAAGAAAAAAGCTCAGTAAAAAAATCCACAAAAAGAAATGCATTGGCAGGGTCACCGATTTTACCAACTGTGTACCTTTATGCCGCCATTCCCGTTCCTGAACACTCCTTGATTCGAAAGAGCTTGACAGTCACACGGGAAGTCAATTATCAGTGCGTGGTGATCAGTCGTCCCTGCGTCGACAGCCCACGCGGCGCCGTCTTTAAGATAGAATGAAGAGCTCACGATACTTTCTCCACTGCGGCCTTCAAATGACCGTCTGACCAGCTGCTGCTGCACCTATCATCCCAACCAAATTCGCTCTTCTCCGCAATAAGCCAAACCAGGGTTAGTTTTCTAAAGGCGACCCTTTGGTACCCACTCTTTCTACAAAGTCAGTTTGGGCCGTTACTACTGGTCACCCCACAACTCGAGCGATACCCCCCGTCAGTCGCGCCAAAGCATCCCTACCTGCCTTACCCACCACCCCACTCCCCTTTATCCGGCCCTTCCATAGCTCTTCTGGTAATCCAACTAAGACAACGGGAAGATCTGTCTACGCAAAACCAGCAACCCTTCGAGCTACTTTTCATTAACACTACCTCCCCAACCCTTCTAGACCTCAATTTGTCTGGAGTTTTAAATCTCTCTTTTATTTCTCATCATCTTTTCAACTGTTTCTTTAAGCCTCAAGATGTCGGAGCGTGTTGTTTGCATTCACATGAATTACCTGGGAGATGCCCAGGAAGAAGATGGAGAGGACATTCAACAAGTGGAATGCATGATGGCCACTAACTTTCTCGAAAATGATTTGCAGGTGGAAGATTCACACATTTGTGTAGTAATGGTGGGGCTTCCGGCTAGGGGAAAGAGCTTGATTGCACAAAAGAGTAAGTTGGACCTTTTTCTGGCTACTCCCCACTTCTTTTGAACTTCCTCTGTTATTGTGCATTTTTTTGTTGGATCCCGCTGGTTTGGAGATCAAGCAAAAAAAAAAAAAAGTTTTTTTAGAAGGATTAATTGCCAATTGAGCCTCGAGATTAGCTTTGGTGTTGGTTTGCTAATATTACCTTCACAGTTGTTCGTTACCTCAAGTGGCTTTCAGTGAATGCCAAGTCCTTTAATGTTGGATCCTACCGCCGTGCCGATACCCCAAGGCCTACAGCCGAATTCTTCGATACCAGCAATCCCGAGGGCGAGCGGCTCCGCCGTGCAGCTGCTGAAGCTGCAGTTACTGACATGCTCCGTTGGTTTGAGCATGAGAACGGCCATGTTGGTATTCTTGATGCTACCAATTCTACCAAAGCTAGGAGGGAGTGGATCAAGGAGCGCTGTGTGGCTAAGGGATATGATGTTCTCTTTGTTGAGAGCAAGTGCGATGATGAGGACTTGATCATGAGCAATATTCTTGAAGTCAAGACAACATCGCCAGACTATGTCGGTCAAGATCCTGAATTGGCTGCTAGGGATTTCAGGGAGCGCATCAGGAACTACGAGAAGGTTTACGAGACAGTCGATGAGCCCGACTCCACCTATGTAAAACTCATCAACGTTGGATCTCAAGTGATCATCAACCAAGTATCTAATTACCTCCAAACGAGGATTATTTACTTCACCATGAACCTTCACATTACCCCGAGAAGCATCTGGTTGTCCAGGGTAAGCACCTACTTTTACTCGTCTTCTATATTTCGGCGCTAACCTGTTTTGTAGCATGGTGAATCCGAATTCAATGTGCAGGGGAAAATCGGAGGTGATGCCAGTCTTTCTCCCCGTGGATTGGCTTATGCCGATGCGCTCCCGGAACTGGTTAAGCATTCCATCGGAGACAAGAATGTGACCTTATGGACCTCTACAATGAAGAGGACTATTCAGACCGCTAGGCATCTCACATATCTCAAGAAGCAGTGGAAAGCTCTGGATGAGCTTGACGCTGGTGTCTGCGATGGCCTCACATACGAAGAGATCGAGAGCAAATACCCGGAGGATTTCCGTGCCCGTGATGACGACAAGTAAAGCTCCTGGAGTTCTAAATTCTAATGATTTTATGCTAACGCAATATTCCTAGGTACAACTACCGTTACCAGGGCGGTGAATCTTATCGCGATGTCGTTATCCGTCTTGAGCCCATTATCATGGAAATGGAGCGTGGGGAAAATATCATGGTCGTTACTCATCAGGCTATCCTGCGTTGTATCTACGCCTACTTTATGAATATTCCACAGGATCAGTCTCCCTGGATGGAAATCCCGCTGCACACAGTTATTAAACTTACTCCAAGGGCCTACGGCACACAGGAAGAAAGGTAATAGCGCCAAGCCGCCCTTTTAAATACCTCTATTCAAAGACCATATACTTACAAAGTTGCGAGTTTAGATTCAAGGCGAATATCCCAGCCGTCTCGACATTCCGTGCCAAGTACACCTCTGCCAACATGGGCGGCGAGGAAGGCTTGGTCGACGAGGACAAAGTCCTCTCCCCAGCTGCTACTGGCGCCCAGGTCAACGGAGTAGTTCACCCGGATGAGGTTGAATCAATTGTTACACCTCATCACACAGCTACCACTCCCGCTTAGCTTTGCGCGAGCAGGAGCCAACAACCCTTTTTTGAAGGAAATAAAAAAAAGGAAGGACGGACGGACTAGAAAAATTTCGATGCGGCATGTACTCTACTCATCTCTTATCTCTGTTTTTTTTCCTTTCAATTTTTTTTTTTTTACATTTTTACTTCAATTTTTTTTTCCGGCAAAAGGGTGTGGTGGTTTTCCTTCTGAAGCAGATATAAGATCATAGCTCCTTCTTCTTCCATATGTGGTTATGAGTGTGGTGTTTGTCGGATTGAAAGCGGGGGGCTGGTAACGAAATCACTTGGGCGTTTACTCGGATGGGTTGGGGGGCGTCTATCGCAAAACTCAAACTACTTGCAGCACTTTTTCAATACTTTTTTCTTCTTTTCTTCATTTCCTATACCTTTTTTTCCTTTCATCTTTTTCTACTTCCTCTTTTTCTTACTCGCTTGGCTTTTGGTCTTTGGTTTCGAGATATCATTTCTGCCGGCTTACTTACATGGCTCTCTTTTTTTTCTTTCCTTCTTAGTTTGTATGGGGGGCTGAGAGGGGGTTTTCTCGGTCTTTACGGGTTCACGGGGAACTAGTTATATGTGGTGCCATGGGTTTCTTTTCCTTTTACACGATTGTCTTTGTCATCAGTCAGGCTCCAGACTAGACGGACGGTGTCTGCATCTATTCTGTATTTAACAGATAGTTAGAGATCTGAACAATAGTAAAAAAAGATCTTGCTGCTAATAAGCTTGCCTGTGGGAGGCGTCTGCTCTATCATGGAATATGGTTCGTCTACTAGTCACTCACGGGGTGAAGGCGGATCCTGTCTGATGGCGGTCAGGGATTTGAGGCCAATAAAAGAGTTAGGCTTTGGACGCCAAAGGCAAATTACTGCAAACAGAACCATCAGACAGGATCCGCCGTCAGCAGGTGAGCGACTGTAATACCCAACCTTATGTCCAGAGGGGAAACTGTGATCATAAGTTTCAACTGCTATTGAAACTTAAGGACTACTTGCTACGTATAACGCTGTTTCTCTCCCTGTCAGTGCAGCCTATACGAAAGCTGAGTGAGTATTTTACGGCAGTCTCTAGCTGAAAGCAGTGCGAGTGAGAATCCATGACCACACAGCTGGCTTGGCTCGCTTGTTAGCGTGTTTGTATTAGTTTGCCCTCGGTAGCTGTTGGCTTGGCGGGTCACATGCAGGCGTGTGATCTCTTACCCCGGATTTTCTTGTGATAGAGATATATTACTCCACAGCAGCACCGCAATAACATCTTCACCCTTGATACCCCACAGACATCTCTCATTCACCACTCACTGCTCGTTGCCCACTATTACTCACCTCTGACAGCTCTACAGCAGACAGCTAGTTAGCTAACACGCAACACCCACACACCCACAACACCCCCGGCGCGCACCACCATGGCCGCCCAATCCAAACTCCTCCCGCCCCTCCCCTCTGACCGCTCCCTCGGCAAGCTGCTCTCGTACGCAACCTCCGTTTACGCCAAGCACCGCACCAACATCTCGCGCGCAGTCTACCTCACCCTCTTCATCGCGCTCATCAACCGCATCCGCGCCGCCATCAGCGAGCAGAAGGCCGCCGTCCCTCCACCCCCACCCGATGCCGCCGGGGGCAAGCGCAAGAAGGTAGAGCTGAACAAGGAGTTCTTTCAGAATCTCTTCAGGCTGCTGAGGATTGTGATTCCCGGTGTGAGGAGTAAGGAGATGAGGTTGTTGATAAGCCATACGGTGTTTTTGGTGGTCAGGACGCTGGTGAGTTTGTATGTGGCGGAGCTGGATGGTAGGTTGGTTAGTGCGTTGGTGAGGGGGAAGGGGAAGGACTTTTTGATGGGGATTCTGTGGTGGATGGTGGTGGCGGTGCCGGCGACGTTTACGAACTCGATGGTATGTTACTCTGTCCGTCCGGGAGTGCGGGTGCGGGTGTGTGCAGTGTACTGACGGGGTTGCGGGGATAGCTATCGTATCACCAGAGTAAGCTGGCGCTGCAGTACCGGAAGCGTCTAACGACACACATCCACGAGAAGTATCTCTCGGACATGACCTTCTACACGCTCGGCAATCTCGACGACCGTATCAAGAACGCCGACCAGCTCATCACCGTCGATGTCGCAAAGTTCTCAAACTCGCTCGCCGAGCTCTACTCCAACCTGGCAAAGCCCGTGCTGGACATGGTCATCTACAACTACCAGCTGTCGCGCAACGTCGGTGGTGAAGGGCTCTTTGCAATGGCGCTGCTGGTCCAGGTCTCGGCGAATGTGATGCGCGTGCTGACGCCGCCGTTTGGCAGGTTTGTGGCAGATGAGGCACGCTTGGAAGGAGAGTTTCGGTTTAGCCATAGCAGGCTGATTGAGAACGCGGAGGAGGTCGCGCTGTATGCAGGCCATGAGAGCGAGAAAACGACGCTGGATAAGGGATACTTCACACTCATAAAGCATGTCAACCATATCCTCAGGAGGCGCCTGTATCATGGCATGATGGAGGACTTTGTGATAAAGTACTTCTGGGGCGCCCTCGGGCTGTGTCTGTGCTCGGTGCCCGTGTTTTTTAAGATCCCCGGGGCGGGCACGTCGCTGGGTGATCGGACGGAGAGTATGCTTCCTGCACCTTGAATCTTCCTGGAGTCGGGGTCTCTGCGCAGACAGTGCCATCTCCAGTTTTCAGTACCCCGAGTGGTGCTGCCCCACTCGTGCTACCGAGAATTGGAGCTGGCTCTGTCTAACCACCTGCCCCTCAAGACTCCCAATACCACTGCAGGCATACAATACTAACTAACACTCACAGGCTTCGTGACGAATCGCCGCCTCCTCCTCAGCTCCTCCGACGCCTTTGGCCGTGTCATGTTCTCCTACAAGGAGATCACTGAGCTGGCGGGCTACACATCCCGCGTCTCCACCCTGCTCAACGTCATGTCCGACATCCATGCCGGCCACTTCGAGAAGAATCTCGTCAGCTCCGCCTCCACCGCCGAAAACGCCGAGGTCCTCCGTGGCCGTGGAGAGGTCATCCAGGGCTCCTCCATCGAGTTCACAAACGTCCCCATCGTCTCGCCCAACGGCGACGTGCTCATCAAGTCCCTCACCTTCACAGTCCACCCCGACGAACACCTCCTAATTGTCGGACCCAACGGATGTGGGAAGTCCTCCCTCTTCCGCATCATGGGCGGCCTATGGCCCGTGTACGGCGGCGTGGTCACGAAGCCACCAAGCGAGGACATCTTCTACATCCCGCAGCGGCCGTACCTGTCCCGCGGGACGCTACGGCAGCAGATCATCTACCCAGATAGCCACGCAGAGCAACTCCGCCGCGGCGTGAGCGACGAGGAGCTGTTTGCTATCCTGGAGATTGTGGAGATTGAGAGCCTGGTTGAAAAGGAAGGGGGATGGGGCGCGGAGAAGGAGTGGCGCGAGGTATGGAGTGGCGGGATTCAGCAGCGGGTTGCCATGGCGAGGCTGTTTTATCATGCGCCGCGATATGCGATCTTGGATGAGTGTACGAGTAGCCAGGACCTCGACACGGAGAGGATCATGTATGAGACGGCGAAGCAGCTAGGGATTACGTTAATTACGGTGAGTCACAGGAGGAGTCTGTGGAAATATCATACGAATATTTTGCAGTTTGATGGGGCGGGCGGGTATGTGTTTACGAAGCTGGATGCAGAGAAGAGATTGAAGTTAGAGGAGTAAGTTTATCTCTTTCCTTGTTTAGTGATGAGTTGGCGAAGTGGTGCTGATGTGAGTGTGGGTGTAGTGAGAAGGAAGAGATTGAGCTACAGCTCCGCGCCGTCCCGGAGATTGAAAGGAGGATTGAAGAGCTGGAGGCCGTCATGGCCGAGCGGTCGTAATTTTAGTTATTTGGCTGTTTATTTTATATAGGAATCATTAAGGGCTTTGGGACTTACTTTGTTTTGAGGGATGGGATTTGTGGTGTATATTCGGTATTAGCTCTTTTTGTGCAGTTTTTTTGTGCTTGTTTGGGATTTGTGATCGTTTTTAGTTGGGGTAGGAGTGTAGCGGGGGGGAGGGGTGGATTGAGGAAGCATTGAGAAGGGAGGTAGGAAGATAGGCTTTGCATAGATAGCATTGCGTTGCATTGGGGAGACATAAAACAGTTACATCCATACACGAATAGAGGGCTTTGTGTATTGTGTTTTTTTTTACCAATCCACTTCATCCGGGAATACAGTCCATCTGAAATGGGTGCTTATTAGGGTCGCGAATGATGGGCCATGATGGTCCTATCCTATCTTCTAGGACTGTAGAAAGATCAAACTATTGGATTAGAGAAGAGGCGATAATTGTTTATAGGACAAGAGAGTTTCTAGCCTTATATGACATGATTGAGGACAAGTTGTTACGCTACCTATTCCTCGCCATAAGTCCACAGTTGTGGTATACGTAGCTGACATTCATGACACAGAACAGTACGCAGTATGAAGACCGCTGTTGTCATGCTATGGATCAATCGGTCAGGCCATAAGCACTGGTAGCCACAGGTTCCGGTTTGATGCAGCATGACGGCAGAAACATTTTTTATCCTTTATCACCCGATCAAACAGCCTTTGTTTTATCCTATTGTATTTTGATGTGGGCGCTGTATATTGGGGGTAGTCAGTTGGGCTTGGTGTCAATGATTGAATCGTTGTTCTCCTGCCTTGGCAGGATTCGTTTGGAGCTAACATCTCCTACTAACTGTCCCGGTTTTGATAGAACGGAAGGTTGGAACTTTGAATATATACCTCGGCCCTCGGATCATAGTTCTTTCTGCCTCTGGGCCGGGAAAGAAATATGTGGACCAAACTTCAACAGCCCGGTCCATCCATCAGACCTCTGCACAGTATGCACTGTTTTCTACTGTCTTTCTACTAGTACTGGGTAACTGTTGTTCACACGATAGGTGTTCTTGATAGTTTTTCTTATGAAAAGGCTCTGCCCCTTCTATCCTTGTATGGTCATCATTCAATACAATACTTCATTTGCCTTGTTTTCTGCAGCCACAAATACCCAGGTCCCATCCTTGAACCGGTTTCCTATTGGGCGCCTGTTGAAACGTATCGGAGCGGAAAAACAATAATCCGTCCGCCACAATCAACGAACCGCAACCACGGGAATGGACCTGTTACCTGGGATCTCGACGCTTCCCAGAAACCCGGTAATGAAGGCGGGAGGCAGCTCATCACCTAGGTCTCAGATATCTGTAACCTGGGATTTGTTCGATGAAGGGAGCCGGTGATGGGGGTCAAGGTTCATGGGACTAAAAATATGAGACACCGCCACAACCACACGAGCCACAGATGGGTCCCGAGACACTGGGGCATGCGTTCATTCGCAAAACTGCCGCTGGGGTTCGTTCCAGTGACGATTACCTACCGCGTGCTAGCTGTATGTACACCGCATCTTGCATCCTTCTTCTTCTTTTCTGGTTTCCCACTTGTCTCTTTTTTTCCCTTTCCCCTTCCCCAAACCCCACACTCTCTCGAATCAGAGACGACCACGAAAACGTTCACTACCGACCGGCGCTGGCTTGCATAGCGTGCACTCGGCTGCTTGCCTTGCTACTGCTTGTTTATTCGTTCCTTTGTGGTCCGGGAAGACCGTTTTTTTTTTTCTTTCCTTCGTCTGCCTGCATCTACTTTGTTCCCCCACCTTTTGCACTTTCTAGAGTAGTAGTCTTTGCCTTTTTAATTTTTTACCCTTCATTTCCCTTGCTGCATACGTGACGTGGGAACCTGCGGGAGCGCCAGTTTGTTTGGAGATATTTTTTTTTCTGGAGACAGCATAGAACAAGGTAGCGGTGCATATCCATCCGGCGTTCATCGAGTGTTTGGAATCTGAATAGACTTAGGTACGGGCCATGAATCTCGCGTCGTGCTCTTGTTTTCCGCACCTGCCTGTTTTTAATGAAGCTGTGATTTAATAGCAGAGCTGATCAAGAGCGCGGTTCGTTAACTACAGTAGTTACTTGGTTAGCTTGTTTTAGCATTAGTAGTAGTAAAGTAATAGATAGTAGCACCGCCCAGACCTCCGATAACCCACCCCCCAGGAAAGGAGCTAGCTAGGTCGACATCCATCTCCTTGGTCGTGGCACCCCCGGCCTCATCATCAGCATCACCACATACATACATAACCTCACGATCTTCGGCTGCTCGATCAATTGCCTCTCTCTCTGCCAACGCATTCTGCTTTCGACCCCGCCGCCTCCGACTCCCCCAATCCACCCCTCTACTGCATATCAAAAGCTCTCTGGCCTGACTTGACTCCCCCCTCGGGTTTGTGCACTGCTAGAGGAAGGAAGGAGGAGGGGCACACCCCGCATTCTGTGTCGGTGTTTATGCTGTGTTGTCGTGTTCTGTTTGGTCCGGCAGCAAATAATAATCATCGTTGAGCTTTTTGAGCTCGAGAGTGAGAAAATCTAGAGCTGGGTGTTGTAGTGTGGTGCGTGTTGTGTGTTTGTGGGTGTGGGAGGAAATAGTAATTTTTTTTTCTTGTGTGTAGAGCAGAAGTGAAGGAGGGGAGTCTGGGTAAGAAAAGCTGAAGCAGCTCTTCAGTGAAAGAGAGACGAGAAGACCACAGTTCGGTATTTATAGAGGACTGGTTTTCCCGCTGAGATTGAAGTTCATTCTCTAGCTACACTACTACTCTCTACACTTCTTCGATATACTTGCCTAGCCTACATTGCCTAGCGTGCCACATCCAAGTTAAGCACTACCACTGCATACTCCACAAGTCTATCTTCACGATCGAAGACTATCTACTGCCACTACTGCACGACCACTACTCTACTCTTAATACCTAATCACAAATGGCTGCAAGACTTATCAAAGAAGACCATCTCCTCCGCAAAGACCGTCTCAAGCGCGCTGGTCCACTCCCCTTTCCCGTCTTAGTCGTATTTTAAACTAGCACAACATATCACTAACCTTTCTTGTTTCTATTAGAGGATGCCCGCCAGACGCTCACGGCAGAGTTCCATAGTCTGGGAGCATCTGTGGACATTGAGCTGCGGGACCGCATCACGAATATCCACTCCAATGCGTTGGCGCTCGAGAATCAGAGCAAGACGTTGAGGAATAGGACTAGTGCGTTGGGGAAGACCACGAGACAGTGGGGTGGGTTGGCGGATGGGGCGAGGACGAAGTTGAAGGTTTATTTCTCTCTTTTCTCTCTTTTTAGTTGTTAGGGGTGAGTGCTGATGGAATGTGAGAATAGGAGATTGGTGATATACAGAATTGGGCGGAGATGATTGAGCATGATCTGTTGTTGATCGAGGAGACACTGAGGATTGTGCATGAGGATGATCTTTCGGATGATAGTCAAATGCAGTAGTGGTCTTTGTGCTGTTCTTGTTCTAAGCTGTTTGTTTGTGCTGATTATGCTATTTGTGCTGTATTCTTTCGGGTGGTCTATTCCTGTACTTGCTGTTTTTTGCTTTGATTTGCCGTTTTTTCTGTTTTATTCCTTATTCCCTATCTCACTACTTCCTCAATTTTAATTTTGCAACGACACGACACGAAACATATTTTACTGTACATGTCACGAACCTCCCGCCTGTTTGTCTTATCCACCATAGTCCGTTCCAAAAGAATGTTTGTTTGCCCCCACCAGCACCACCATCAGATGACGTTGTAAACTTCCCCATCTGGAGGCCGCTACCATTGGTTCGCTTGTCTGACTTGTCTTGTCTTGCCTAGTCCCTGCGTAAGTGATGTGAGTGCGTTGTTTGTGCATGATGCTGGTCTGTGCGGCCCATGCCAGAGTGTTTCACTAGTGGTTCCTTTTTCTTTTTTTTGTTTTGGTAGATGGCAGATGGGATGCGGACTCCCGGGGTAGGCCGGGAAGAAGGGATGGGGGATCTGTGGCGGTAGAGATGGTAGCTGCATGTGTGATTGGGTAGTGTCAAGTGAAAGGCGGTGAAGTGAGGAACTGGTGGGGGTGGGGTAGTGGGGTAGGTATGGAGTTACTGGGGATGGGATTTGGGGATATGGCTTCGTGGCTAGAAAAAAATGAAAATAATCATTGGCTGTTTTATCTTTATAAATTCTCATCGCTGGGCTAGACTAGGCTAGCCTATTAGTTAGGTAAGAAATTACTTAGAGGATAGAATAGGGCTTTTCGCGCATGAGGGCGAGGGAAGAGGTTAGGGCGAGTGAGTTAAACTACATGTACCTGCGTAGCTAATATGGCATATATACATGTATGCATGATGTATCTACACTATATTCAAACCAAACAGACATAATGTCTCAACCACTATCAAGTAAATACAAATCATAAACTGCCATCCCCCACCGAAACCCGAGAGTGATATATTATGACTGCATCTAGATCTCTCACAGTTCAAGGCTTCTATATATAGAAAACGAGCGACCACTGCACCTTCTCTCCCAAGCTACAATCAACATTGAAGAACTCCGCGTGTTTTAACTAAACCTAGACCCTACCCCTCACTCTAACCCATAGGCCTGGTCTCATGCCTCCATCCTATCACATCCACACTGTAGGTAGCCGCACAGGGATCTATCCGCACCAGATGCTGACCGGGTAGATACCACCAATAGTATATATATATATATAGGTATATGCGGATCTGGATAGCTATGGTAGTGCTGGGTGTAGTAGTTTAAGTGGAGGTGTCGAGTGACTGTGTGATTGGATGGGTGCTTTCATGGGTTATCACTCGGTTGGTGGTTGTGGTGGTGGGCTGGATTGTAATTTTTTGTGGGTCGGGGTTTATATTTACCGGATTATACAGGTCTAGATCTTGTACTGTTATGTATTTGAGTCCCTGTTCTATAAATACAGGTGTGAAGAACACAAAGAAGATACTCCAAATTTAAAGTCAACTACCAAACTCATCTATCAGCTTGTTTTTTTCTCTCCATGAACTTTTAAGCCTGGAGTTCTCACTGCATCCGCCTGTCTAGCCTGGTGTGGTCCGGAAGGTGGGTTACTTTCTCCTGTAAGAAGCCATGTCCGGGGGGTGGGGGGCGCCTCCTACTCATTGTTGACTCCTATTGTGGATGTGTCTGACGAGACACTATAGAGGTGGAAGAAGGTAGTCACTCAATCCCCCTCTTCTAGACGACAAACCTCATATTACCTTCCTGAATCTTGATTCAACTTGCCACCGCTCCAACTCCCGCACAATACCGTAGCCAGAATGTTGATTCTAGTATTAACGTTTCTTTGTTCCCCTTATTACACTACAAGCAGTGCCAACCCTTTTAAACAGGGCCCGGCTCCATCAATCCGTATACCTACCTAACCTTGTAGCGCCACTAAGATAAGCGGCAGTTCTGCCCTAAAGAGCCGGCATAAATAATGTCTCAAAACATGTCTTAGTAGGCGCAACATCGAGTGACGAGGTGTGATTTGGTCATGCATCATCACTCGGGTGTTGCTGTAGTAAGCGTGACTTCCAGGATCGGAGTGTTGCCGCTATTAAGCCCCTTGCACAAAAGACTCCAGCTCCAGATTCCGGTAACCTGGTTGGTGCCGGCTCTCCCATTCGGCCAGTCGGTCATGCAAGTAGAATTTAGAGCCAGGGCCGTCTGTCTGTGGAAAGGGCCTACTAAGTATGAGGAGTAGAGAGTAGACTACTTGGAAATTATAAGGCAGCCAATTAGGAGCGCTCTTGGCTCTTGCTACCGTGTGTTGTTAGTTTAGCACCGAGCAGAAACCGCTCGCCCCTTCCCCCATTCTATGTATACCACATACCCACCTCGAGATCCCCTAGAGTAACTACCAGCAGAGAAGAGATCAGATCCACACACACCTCTTCTCTACAGTTAATAACTTAGCTACTCTAGCCATTTTATTTTCGGGAACCAGCTTTATGTTCAAGAAAGGAATCATTTATAAAACTGTGCCCCCAAACCCAGGTATAAGACAATAGGAAAGACTTGAGCTTACAACAGAAGGCGATCTACCGATAGAGTAGACGCACAGGTCCGGATCTACATCTACAACACTAGATGCAATGCATACAGACCGCTGACTATTTCCCAATTCCCAACCCCAACAAAAGAACAGAAACCTATAGAGAATGCAGTAAGAGCAGGAGAAAAAAGGGAAAGAGAGGAGGCGCAAGACGAGATGAAAGGAGAAGAGTATAGAGAAGAGAGAGAGCATTTGAAAGCAACACTTAAAACCTAAACTTAAGCCCATCATAGAATAGAAAAGAAACAAAAATATCTCCCCCCATAGTTTATGAAACGAACCAACGTAGAAAGAAGGGGGAAAAAAGACAGCCACCGATCTAAAAATTTAACATTTTTTTGATTTTTCCCGGCTGCGTGCCCATCGTACCCGCATTCGCCGTGACTGCCGCCTCCGTATTCTTTTTCCGGGTAAAACTTGGCTCGGGCCTGCTCGGCTTTGGTGGCCACTGATCGTCGCGCTTCCAGCCTTCGACGAGCGCAGTGCAGAGATGCCTCAAATTTATGGGAATGGGGGGCTGTGCGCCGCCGAGGCAGACCTTTGTGTAGATCTGGTCGTAGGATGCGGGGCCAATGAGGGCGTGGAGCGGGTTCTATCTGCTTGTTAGCCGGGGTTTAGCTAGTGGGGTACGAATTGGGGGGGTACGTCTTTAAAACGGCTCTCGCAGACTCGTACTTCACCATCCTCGGTGGCCCCAGTCCACGCATCGCGACGGTGGGTCCAGAGCTTTAGCCCAAAATTCCACTCCATATCCGCCTCCAGTGCCTGGCGGTGGCGCTCCCTGATCTTGTCGGCGGTAGGGACATCGTCAGGGCTCTCCCACATGTACTCATCTTCCTTCTTATCCGTGGACCCCACATCGATCTCGAAGTCGCTATCGTCTTCGCGGGAAACCCAGACACCCTCGCGCTGCTGCTGATTTTTCTTCTTGGGTTTACGTCTCTTATTGACAGGGGGTGGAGTAGTCGCACGACGGTAGCTGCTGCTGCGACCGACACCCCCGAGGGTGGCACCCCCGCCATTAGTACCAGCAGGACGGGAGTAGTGGTGGGGGTCGTCGTCATCATCGTCATCATCATCATCGTCGTCCATATCTATATCCATGTCCGAGTCGTCGTCCTCGTCAGTGACCTCCTGCGCAGAGAGCCCGCTTGGTCGCCAGGCGCCCAGACTCCCCTCTCGCCGACCGATATCGAGAAGCTTTGTCTTCTTGGGAGGGAGGCTGTATTCCCAGCCGACAGCGACGTCGTCAAGAATGGCCTTTGCAGATTGGAGAGCTTGGTTGCGTTGTTCCTTGCTGAGCATTTCGCCAGTGGAGCCGCTCCCGAGGCGACGCCGAGTTGTAGGCATTGCAGGCATCTCGTCGCCCGAGAAGCAGGAGCGTGGGAGAAACGTGGTGGTGGATTTTGGGGGGGCCGTTTTGAAAGATGTTGTAGCAGACAGAGCCGTTGGGCTAGGCTGGCTTGGTTTTGTTTGGGGTTGGGGTGTTGAAACAAAAAAAAGAAAAAAGAAAAAACGAAGCTAGCTGGGCTGGTCTAATGATCTAGTGACGGGCTGTGATGGATACTGAGAGAGAAACACACGAGAGAAATCCGGAGATGATGATTATGATGAGGAGGAGGATGAAGATAAAGTGGAGAAGGAGAGGAAGAGAGGTGCTCGGGAGAAGAAGGAAGAGCAAGCAGTGAGCAGGAGGAGGGAAAGTGAGAGGAAGAGAGGATTACGATCGTAGAGAGCTCTCTCTATATTAATCTGAAACGTGGTTTTCCTATGCCGCTGCCAATGCAAGAGCGGATTTACCCCACATTTCAGCCGCCTGCGCTTTTTACACACTTGTACCATTTTCTTTTCTTTTCGCTTCTCACATCACACCTTTTCTTTGGCTGCTCACCTCACCTCGCACCACCCTCCCCCCCTTTACCTCCTAGCCTGCCCCCCCTGGACCCAGCAATGGGTTCTCGTGAGATGGCGGATCTTGTTTTTTTTCTCCCGCAATGCTTCTGTTGCCCAGCCCCCCCCCCACCCCTCCCTCCAATCCTGCGCCCCGGGTATGCATCGATTGATACCCGCTCCCAAAAGAAAAGAAACCTGTAAAAATAATCCTCCCTGGTCGGTGGGTCATGCCTCTCAGTTTTGACTGTGGCAAAACTCCATCTACATAATGGCATTTCAATTCTCCGAGGTCCCCCGAGATGCAGTCGACAATTCCCGCCTGACGTCGTTGCTTGAATCCAGGGCCCGCCCCGGCTAACAAATTGGTCTGTGCACGTGATAGCGGATAAGGCTGAACCCTGTGGCGAGAGGGAAAAAAAAAGCTTAAGTGCTTTTAGCTCGCCCGCCAATATAAAAACGGAAATTTCAGAGTTTATCTTCACGTCCATGGTAGCTTTTTGGCAATTGAAGAGGTTTCTCTGACCAAGCTCCAATTCTGTAAAGTGGGCAACTCAAGAGAAAATTTGTTGTACCAAAAACAGGGATGGGCTGCCGGGTGGATTAAGTGCAATGTGGGCCAGTTGAAGTTGAACCCGAGCTCATGACCTTGGTTTAACGCGACCGGTGTTGTAGCTTTTGGGAAGCTGGTGCGCGTGGCTCTACTGTCCCATCGATGCTCTATCAAAATGCAGATGTATCGAGTCTTCCGGGCGCGATGGTAATCACAGCATTCTCCCTATAGTGCAGCTACCGAAGTGGATAAATGGGATCATTATGCACAAACACAAGCCTAATGCATTTAGAGAACCTGCTTTCATTTGATAGACCCTGTAAATTGACTTGTAAGAAAAATTCGAGTGATATTCTCTGCAACGTTTATATGAGCATATGCAATGTATTATTAGTCGTTTATCTGCTGATAAATGTCTGACATGATATTCGCAAGTGTATTTTTACAGCTTGCAAGGAAACACATCAATATAGCGCTAGCAGCTAATCCTACCAATCCACCTGTTATTCGTGCAATGAAATTTGAAACCACTCATAGATTCCAGTCACCAGTCATCACTAATTACCAATACTAGAAGTATTGACGTTGCCCATGTACTTGACAATCAGCATTCTAGAAAGACTTAGATACTCGCTGTTCCTCCACCCAGTCTTGTAAAACAAACCGTAAGGCCCCTTTTTGCATCGAGGCCTCTTTGACGGACTCCCATTCATATCCTCTAACAGATAGAAACATCATTGGAAGATTCTTAAGAGCGATCTTTCCAATCAAAGCCGGATGATCCTTACAAGTCTCCTCAAGGAGAACTATTGGAAATAGTAACTTTTCCTCCGAAATTATTGATAGAAATCTTTCTTTGGTGCAAAAACGCACACCGCCTAGAATATTTGGCTGGTCATCGTTGGCATGAGTCACAGCTAGGAGTTTCATGATATCAGGGCATTCAGCCTTGTATCTTGCGAGAACTTCAATGGGCCCAGACTCGTACCAATCAGAAAAAAAACACATCCTCGGGGGGCAAATAGCAGTTTGAATTGGCATCGCTTTTGTACGTTCCCAATCGAAAAGGTGCCCCGAAACTATGATATTATGCCGAGATATGTCAGGATATTGAAGAATAAAAGGGCCATACTCGTAACGTGAACTAAATAGCTCGTACAGCATAGCCTTCATTTGCCAAAGAGCTACGAACTCGTCGATCCCACGCACAAAACCGTGATTGAGAAGATGACGATAGTATGCAGTGATTGAGTCAAGAGACCTGATCGAGCTAATCGGTGGGAAGTGCCTGTCTCCTGGTGGAACATTAAAGGCTGCCACGATTGAGTGAGTGAATGGTTTGCATCTATCATAAATGCAGGGACGGATGCCAAATTCCGCCTTAGTTGTCCTGATTTTACGAGAGTTGGGTCCCTTCTTGACTTGCCAAAAGAACGTATTAAGCGTCAAGTATCCGCATGCAGATAATGGATGTTCAGCCAATTCCATCCGATACATCATAACCTGTTTCCAGGTCTTCACAATTTAGTAAGAGAACTCCACAAATCATAAATAACCAATTAACAGTAAAGATGAGTCGGTGAGCGGCTTACCATCAATCTTGAGTCGCTCGGGTCATTCGGGAGCAGGGGCTCCTTCAAGAAATTGTCCAACGGCAACCAAGAGGGAGTACCCCCAAGATCCCCCAATAGGATGAATGGCCACCCAATCCTATTTCCAGTAATAGGTTTCCAGCTATTGCTCTGTAGATCTGGCGATTCAATTTTTATTTCGGTTTCACCCCCTGATACTAGCGTATAGCGTACATCATAGGCATATATCTGAGGTGCCGGAACCCTTGTATGTTGGTTGAGAAAACGTAGGGTAGCACATTCACTTTCCATTAATAACTCTCTTTCAGAATGATTGTAAGTCTTGAGAGGTTTATAGGGGAGCATCTTGTGATTGAAGTCTGTTGGAAACTTAGCTACCCAGATTTCTTCCTCTTCTTCTTTTTCGTTCACGTAGATCTTGTCTAAGATTCCACCAGCCATTTCACGAGCAGGACAGCTGTTGCCTTCTTCGAGTTCTTCCAAAGATTTATCATCGGGCGATGATAAATAAACCCCACCCTTAACAGGTTGAAAACGTAAGAACACAATCTCACTCCATGAGCCTGACATAGAGAGAGTCGAGCAAGTACGAGTAGGGCCATTCTCATCAATGACGCACTCGATCTGACGTCCATAACCATCAACACTTCCATGAATAGAAAGTGCAAATTCACAAAGAGCCTCTCGATTGATATTCATAAGAGTAAGCTTTCTGCGGAGACGCTTCTCACAGGAATCATGGTACTCAGTGGCCTCTTCTGGTGCCCAGCAGTTGTTGTCGATTCCAAGTTCATCGGTGACCACGGGGAATTGAGGGTTCACTTTCCACAGGGTGCCATCGATGATGAACTATTCCGTCTAAGTTACCGTCGAGAAACCAATAGAAGAGAAAGAGATGAGACTTACCTTGAAGTAAATTTTACCAGCATGTTTATATTCTCCCAAGAAGAGCAAGAATTCACCATCTGGTTGACGATTAAGTTCGATCCCAGGCAGACTCCAATCAGATGAAGCAAATGTCACATGTACAGTTTTTGCATCACAGTCAGGCCTAAAAGGTGGTTTAGATCATCTGTTATAATCTTCTTGGGAGTCGAGTGTAAATACCAACAGACGGCCAAACGAGGAAGGCCTCCCCATTGAGGCAGAGATTCCATGTTGATGATTTTATGAGATTTTTTTATGTTATCTTAGATGTATCGTGAGGAAGAGTGAGTGGGGAATTTATGTGGGATGATGAAGCGTTCTAAACAAATTATACTTATATACTCTAGGCGGTGTCTTAGTTCCAATAACTTCACCACCACTGTATATAAATTGTCCCTAGTGACGAACTGGAAAAGGGTATACGTACACATGTGGGAAAGCTTAAATTAAGAGAAGTCCATACGTATCGTCATGCAATACAGCCGTCTTAACGTACGCACAATATGTACATGTACATGTATGTATATGGTTTATTATTATATGTCGCTTTTATCAAATGTACTTCGGGGGTAGGGGTAAGTGAGAAGACACCCTTCACGCAATCTTGGCATCGTGGTGTCTTCTCACTTATCCCTGATACCGAAGTACAGGTCACATTTATTCATATGTATCCCGCTCTTAAGTGACAAACCAAGGGATTCTTGATCAGAAAAGAGAGTGGTCAGGCTGATTTAACGAAAGAAACCGTGTACTAGCTTAAGAAGTAGAGACTAGAGATATAGGAAGGCACTCCTATTTCCCCGAATCAAAGAGATTCATTATCCACCAATAAACATTTTACATGTGATTAAAGATACGTAATTTCGGGTTTCAGGTAAATTATGTCGAGTGATATATCATGAATAAAATATAATCTTTCACGTTCCTTCAGCCTCAGATATAAACCAACGAAAGACCCTGGGCTAACCCGTCTCCATGCTTCTATTGATAGTAATACACCAGAATGTATATCTACCGGATAGATGGCAACACTTAGATCATTAAAGCTACATATGTATATAATTCACCGGCATATTTATGATGGAACCTTAGTGAAGGTAATTTCTTTTTATAATAATATATCTCCATAATAAGAACTACATGTAGTGTCACGTAATAGTGAGTAGTAAACGTAACCATCTAGTAAGATGATAATTGAATAGAAATAGACACACTCCGACACCACGACCCTCCTCTATCAAAAATTCCCTGTCCTAAAACACAATAAACCAAGATAATCTATAATATACCTCTAAGTCAACGTGCAATAATCTCTCCCCCTCGAATATTGATATGAACATAGATATTGTTCTAATACGATACTAATAAACCCGGCCACACAAATACCGCCGGAATCACTGACAGTAACGGCACCAAGAGAAAATTCCCTCTCGTCCGCCGGTACCTCATCCGTGATTTCGGCAAAGGTGTTGACATACACCATTCCGCCTAGCAGTCCTTCCCAAAATATGACCAGAAACACAAGCCATATGTTAGGGATGAAGTTGTACATTGCATGTAGTACCAAAAGACAAGGTTCACACATTGTAGAAGTGCGGGCGGATAGAGCTTGCGAAAGCGTATAAATGGAGTCGAGGATCGGGAGATAAAGACGCCTGTCTGATAAATCGTATTGTACATTGGGTAGGCATCACGGTACGCCTTGAATGGCATTTCAGCAAGTGGGAAAAGAAGCGTAGGCGCGACACCTAGATTGATGGTGTACTCGGCAATGTAGACAAGAAGAAGAGGTAGCATACTGTTTCACGTGTTAAATTTGGATCCCATTAGGTTGTAGTTGCCCATACGCCGTAATTTGGACGCTTTCCGAGCCAGAGAGTGGATGGGACCTACTAGGGAAAGAATAGATGTTTCGTCTTCTCAAAGTTGGCTCTAAAGCCCTGCCATGCTGCCGTTGCATGGTCTAATAAACCTTTCTCTTCATGAGGGCTATTCACAGCAGAAAAAACATGCCCACTAGCAGAATGGACTGTCGCTAACAGCGCACCATCAGCATCATCCGTTTCTTGAGCAATGCGAATCTCTTCGCCATCCATAGCAACATCAGCACCCTCAACAATCGGTTCATATCCGTCCCATTTCTGGCCTTTGATCCTATCTAGTGGTAGAATCATAAAGAATGCGAGAAGCATGACGATCGGTAGAAACCCAAATGCCATCAAACTTTCCCTTATACCCCATCCGGCCCAGCTTGTCGCGAAAACATACAGCCCTGCGCCCAGCAATCCTGCAGCGCCTGTGCCAGAGGACCAGAAAGGCACAGCGAACCGACCGTAGAAATGTGTAAGGCCCAGAAATGATAGCTCCCCTCCGCCAGACGAAATGGATGCTAGAACAACACCAAAGAGCCTAGCTGGGAGCGATTCACCCCACGCAACGATTTGCATACCCACGAAGGCGAGCATGACGAGTATCGGGATCCGAATCCGGTATGGGATTAGGTGGATGTAGTAGGGAGCTGTCAACTTGGTGATAAAAGAGGGTCCGACATCTGCGAGGAGAACTATGGCCTTTGGTAGACTGGGACCAACGAGATCAAGAGCTGCTGAGAGGATGATGACATATAGGACATTGTTGATGCAACCTGCGCGCAACAGGGAGTTTAGTTGAGACGGATTCTAAAGCAGCTGGAATCAGGAAGAGCCTCGTGAGAGAGATGACGTCATTGTTTACAGTGAGAGGGAGATGGAGGAATGTAAATGGAGATATAACATTAAAGGAAGAGAAAGAGCAGGACGGGGAGAGGCAGACCAAATAGCCAAAAGGCTACACAGACTCGAGGGTTGGCGCCAATGAAGGCGGCCCTAATCCGGGATTTGTAGGCTGCAAGACTGGATGAGGGGGATCCAGGAACAGGTAACGAGAAGGATGACATCTGTGAGGCTCTGGATGACGACGCTGCTACTCCTCCTCGGGGCGGAGGTGTGTCTTCCATCTAGAGAGCTCGAGACAAGACAAGACTCTTGGTGAAAGAACGGATGGGAGGATAAAGCTCATAAAAGCTTAAGCTTAAGGGTGAGGAATGGAAGGGGAGGATGATCAAGCTCTTTTCTCCCAAATGTGCAGAAAGCTTTGAGGGGGGGGGACGAAGAGAGACACAGTGCAGCGCTGCCCTTGGTCGCCCTTGCACAAGACCCACCGATAACCACACACACACACACACACACTCTGCCTGATTTACGCACGGTGCTGTCATCCATGATCCCTTCCTCCCTTCCCCTCCCCTGTCTCACCCCAAGGTCAGCAGCCGCCCAGGTAAAAATAATAATAAATAAAAAACCGCGCGATGGATGTCGGTCTGCCGAAAGGGTTTCACGATAGGTGCGCAAAGTCCACAACCAATTAATTCTTATTATTTACATAAGGATGTACCGCCTACACTAGATTGCAAGCTACACCAGATACCAATACAGCCAACCAGCCAGTCGGTCGGTCAGTCTATCGGTCGGTCAGTCAGTCAGTCAGTCTGAACCAGACATCCATCCCACGACGGCCACACGTACATACATGTAGTTAATTCCCCCCGGCTCTCCAAGCTGCTGCTCTTCTTGCGAGTCTTCGTGATACCCCGTGCAGCAGCACAAAGCAGCAGTCACCTCTTGGCACTCTACGTAATCTGCACGATACGATAAGTAAAGCAATAAGAAAGAGGTGATGGCTGCAGAGGCTGCAGGCGGAGATCGGCACTCGACTGGATGATGGAGAGGGACAGCGAAGAGAAACCAACGCCAGGGCCACAGCCGTGTTAGAGATGCTCGTTCGGGAAGGGCCTGAGAAGGTGTGGGGTCGCCCTAAAAGCCGTTTGCTGCGAATGCACTGTGGCCTTGGCAAAAACAGGGCCCCCCAGCAAGCGACAGCTCCCTCTTTGGGGTATTGGGGCCTGCCAGGGTTCGTGTTGCGGGCGCCGGGCGTGGGAAACTCCATGGGCGACATGACATGGTTCATGGGCAAGAAGTGAGCCATGTATGTATTATTATTATTATTCTGTATGTACCACATACACATACTACAATCTGCTAAGACACGGCGCAGACAAATCGCATGAAAGCAGCGCGACAAATAATCTCTAACGGAAGAGTTTCCTGGGTCCCGTACATGCGTAGTAGAGTTGTTTAGTGTATGTACTTATCACACGCCAGTGGTACTACAGTGAGAGGAGCGACGGCAGCGGAAGTGAGGGAGGAGGAGGGGAAAATGAGAAGGAGGGGAGAAGGAGGAGAGATCGAGAAGGATGGGAGAAGGGAGGAGGAAGAGGCGGAAAGACCGAGGGAGAAGATCTAGTATGTAGTGAGGAAACAAGAAGGAAAGGAAAGGAAAGGAAAGGTTGGTGGTTCTAGTAATAGTACTCTATCTAGTAGCAGGAGATGTAGGGAAGGACCGTCCACGGCAGAGTCCGCCCTTGCTCATAATCCCTCCATCAATCAATCGCTTGATCTCTCCGAGAGCCAGCTCACCACCGCATTCTGCCTTCTCCCTCCTCATACTCCTCCTCCTTGATGTGTGCATCTGTCTCGTGCGTGTAGTCGGCAGGTGTTGGTCTCCCACCCCCCAACCCATCATCCTTTCTCACACTCACGCTCCTCCTCCGCCACTCCTACCCAGCAATAGAATCGAGATCTTCCACCATCTCGCTCTGCTGCCGTCTGCCTGCTCTCCCCTACTGCTTCTCTGCATCTCGGTCACCACCGGGGAGTTTTTCTTTCTTCCCTCCTTCCTCCTCCTCTCTTCCATCCTTCTATTTCGCTTCTCTTGGAGTTTTGTTTGAGTTTTTTCTTTTGAATTTTTTTTATTCCTTTTTTACGAACCCCTTCACGGTTTTTTACGCCCTCCTGATCGTCCCGTATATCTGCCCATCCGGTTGTTGCTACCGCGGATCGCGTTTTCATCACCACCCGTAAATTCCAATGGACCACCGCCATCACCACCCGCTCGGTGGCCCTCCCGGTCCTCCAACAAGCCTTCCTCCTCGCGCTCCTCAAGGCCATCATGACGACCGCGATCGCTCTATTTCCTCAGGTCCTCCAAAACGATCGAGAATGGACACACGTACTCCTCCAAATGGCGACATCTACTCCCATTCACACCTTCAACAGCAACAACACATGCACGCTGGTATTCCGAGGCAGTATAAGGAGGTTTCAAGGTCGCCAGAGATGGAGAGAATGAACGGGCCTGGTGTATACAGAAATGCTCCTCCTCCTCCTCCTCCTCCCCCGCCGGGTCACCCATCTCATTCATCTCAGCAGCAACGTCACGGTTAGCATTATTCTTTTATTATTATCATTCCTACTAGTTTTTCCTTATCCCTTTTCTCTCTCCCCCCACCCTTTTTTAATTTACTTTTTGTATTTTCGTTTGTGTGTGTGGGGTTACACGACGAAGACTTGTTCATCATTATCATGCTCGGGATTTCGCACTTCCAGTAACTTTAAGCCGGCGGTGTCTTCACTAGGAAAGATAAGCCGTGTGCTGCGTGCCTGTTGCTTCGGGACCTGAGTGGCTGACCCGTCACTATCTGAACAGAATCGGTACCTCAAAGCAACGCAATTCATCCTGTGAGTCGCAGTTCGACATTCATGCCACCCCCTAGAACATCAACGCCAGAAACGCATCAACGAGTATCTTCTGTTCACAGCTCGCCGCGTATTTTCCGAGGTTCGTAATTGTGATGCCTTCCCCCGCTTGAACCCGGTCTAGTTCCTTAGGCCCATGTCAGGGCGCGCTAAGCCATAAATGTCAATTCGCGCTAAGAACTAACCGATCCCGCATTTTAAACTTTTAGCACCCCCTCCTCCTCCACCACTTCCTCCGCAAGAATCAATGATGCAACAATCACTTCAGCAGCAACACGTTCAGCAGCAGCATCATCGCGGTATGCTGCCGCCGAATTCGCCCCATCACGTTCTAGCGCCTCCGCCGCAACAGCCGCAACAGCGACCGCCTCCTCCCAATCACCACCACCCCCAGGTCCGCCGCCGTTCGTCCAGGCACCGTCTGACGGTCCTAGGCGAGACTTGCCATCACTATCTAGTATATCCAACAGTCGACCGAGCATGTCTATCTCTTCAATGCTCGGATCGAGTGATCCCCCAGCACCCCCTTCACATGCCCCTCACCCTCACCCTCACCCTCACCCTCACTCTCACCCTCACCCTCACCCTCACCCTCACCCTCACCCATCACCCATCAACACCCACTCATTACCACCATCCTCTTCAAGGACTTCAGATTTCTCACCGTTAAAGCGGCCATATACTCCTGATCTAAACGGTGTCCCAGGTAATGATAGGGACAAGCAGGTTAATAGCAGCTCTGCAAGCCCGAGCACCGGAAACGCTCCTTTGCCAAGTTTTGCAGGCCCAAAATCGAATCGCGCCACACCACACGAGCATGTCTACCGTGCGCATCAACAATTGCAATACCACTCACTCGGTCATAATCGCGACCGAGAGCAGCAGCAAATTGACATCATGGGCTCCCAGGGACCACCACCACCACAGCGACAAATGTCGCAACCCGTGACAAATAGTCAGAGTATATCCAGCGTGCTCCACGATGAACCACCACCACCACAAAGACCACAATTGACGAGCTCGGACTCTTACCAGGAGAGAATGAGGAAATACGATTGGCAGCAAATGGAAGAGCGCCAGAGGGAAGAGGAGATGAGACTACGGGAGCACAGGGAGCGTGAACAGAGGGAGCGCGAGCATAGAGAACGGGAGAGAGACCGAGAGCATAGGGACAGGGAAGCTAAGGAAAATAGAGACAGAGCAAGGATAAGGGAGAGGACAGAACGAGTTCCCATTGGGCAGCAGCAACAAATGTTTGGCCGGGAGCATAGGCATGAACATCAACACCAACACCAGCCGCCTCAAACTTCTAGCTCGCATTTGTCGTACCCCATGACACCTACTTCAAGAATGATGGCTGGTCAGGATGCTATACCCGGCCCTCCGCCAGTTTCAGCAATTTCTACTTCCTCGACCATGGCAATGCCGCAGACTTCAACTTCCGGAACAGGTGGGCTAGGGGCAACCCCGGCTCCACTGCCGACGGCTACAACAACGGGACGGGAAGGGTTCCAGCCATTTACGGCATATACTACTCCAATGCCCCCAAGTCCATTTGCCATCACCAATCTTCCTGTGTTACCCCCTGTGGTAGAAGGGGGCCGAGATAGTAGGCGGCAAGGGTTTCCTGTAGGAGGTCCGTCTTTTGGAAGGGATGAGCCAGCAAGAGCAGAGGACGCTTTGAGGGGAGGTCTGAGCAGGCAATCCAGCGGACTAGCAGCAGATGAGGACAGAAGACGGAGAGAGAAAGATAGGGACAACTTAATGAGAGAAAGAGATGGGCCTCAAAGGATGAATGGGCCCAGTCTCGGTGACCAGGCGCAACAAAAGAGAGTGGGTATGGGAATCCAGAATATGGAAATTGTCAGCATGACACAAAAATGGAGCGAAGATTTCCAAAAAGGATTAATGGAGAACAATAGAGAGAGAGAGAGAGAAGAAGCTGGGAAGATTAGTCTAGGGCTGGGCAAGCGGGAGAGGGAGAGAGACGAAGAGGAAGCCGCCAAAGAGAAGAAGAAGAAACATCATCATCACCATAATCATAATCATCATTCACATGTGCAGTATGTTTTCTTTTCCTTCTTGTGTTTGATCGTATGGCGTGGTTCGTTCTAAGGCTAACTAAAAAGAAATATTAGTGCTGGTATGGTTCATCATCATCACAAAGCGGAAGAAGAAGTAGGTGCTCCTAATCTCGAAGTACCGGTTTCAAGGGCTGGCGCACGCTCGAAATCACCAAACAGCCTCGCACACATGCATCACCCTCACATGCACCACCCCCACCATAATACACCTATAATCCACCACCATCACAATGCATCCGCTTCCGCAAGTGCTGCTGCACCTCAACCAAAAGTCAAAACTAGCCTTCTCATAGATTCAACTAAGGTTACGGCCTCCTTATCAAAGCCTCGCAATTTCCTCGGTTCGGTAATATACCACCCAACTGCAACCCCTAAGCAGGGCTACTCTGTCACGCACACATTGTTGCCAAGATTCGAAGGAAAGGAGAACAGTATTTTCCAAGTCCGAATCCCACGGCGATACTTGAGTGAACAACAGAGAAAGGAGGTTCATAGACGCAGATGCGTCTGGGGGACGGAAGTTTATACCGATGACTCAGATGTTATGGCTGCCTTGATCCATCTTGGAAAGATTCCAGGTGTGATGCCACCGGATGTGGACCCTGCATGGGTAGCGGAATATGGTGCTAGAAAGATCACTACAAACGGTCAAACTAGCGCATCTCCACGGTCTCCTCTTGTTCCTTCTCCAACAAAAAAGAAGGTTAACGGAGCTGGCGGTAAGGCTGAGAAGCAACAAATGCAAGATATCCCGGTGATTCCAGCCGGAAAGGATCTCATTGTTAACCTCTTGATCCTCCCTACACTGGAAAGATATACAGGTTCTACCTGTAACGGACTTAAGTCCCGTAGCTGGGGTACTATTCATGATGGCATGAGTTACTCCGTATGGGATATTGAATGGGTTGAAGCGGGCGAGGCGGAAGCTCGGGGAGGCGGAAGCAAGAAACGGCGACTCGACGAAAGAGATTTCGTTCGGCGATGGGGTGAATTGCCCCTGAGTCGCGGCGGTATGGGGAACAACGGGTGGAGTAAAAATAGATGGAGCGTTAGTGGAGATGGTAGGGGAGGAGGTAGTAAAGGCAAGGTAGCAGAAGTCGGAGCATAACGATGTTTACTATGATGGGGTCTCCATATCCTCACAAAGAAGGGAACAACAAGAAATATAATGGAGTGGGATGAAACCCACAGAAATAATACTTTTTCCCTTTCCACTTTCTTTGTGTTTTAACATGTCGGCTTTTTGTTTTATTTCTCACTGTCTGGGAGGCATGCGCTCGGGGTTGGTTGGCTGTTTGTCTATCTTTTATTCTTCTTTTTATTTAAAAAGGAAAAGAAACATAAGCACTGTTTATTTATTATCCATCTTTCTATTAGCATATCCCTTTTGCTTTTGACGATATATCTTTCTATCTAGCGAGCGGGACGGCGGAAAAATTGTGCAGGTTTTTTTTATTGCTATTTTTATTTTTTCACCTTTACTGTTTTTTATTGTGACGACTCTCTTCTCATTTTCGTTTCGAGCAAGAAAAAAAAGCCTGTGATCGTTTGTGTGATTCTTTTTATTTTTGATGGGAAGATGATTTAGTATTTTATCGACGAATCTACCAAAAAATCAGTTTTTTTCTTTTCTTTTTCTGTCTTCTTGATCTTTCTTGCCATTCATCATGCTAAACAAAAAAAAATCCAAGCTCAAAAAGCCGATGGCGAGCCCTTGCTCAACAGACAAACAGGCGAGAGCCTATTTCGGAGCTTTGATCATGTCTTGCCCACCATCATCCATCATCCATCACTACCGCTGGCCCCGCCAGAGATACAAATGGGTTGCGTTCCGTTCGGGTCTCCCCACCAAAATAGAGTCTTGCACCTATTTCAGTATCCTCCCGAGCTAGCCTGCAGCACGGTATCTTCCCTCTGCCCACGTTCGGGCCTGGTGTTTCAGAGCTCCGGCCGGGAAGTCGAGACCGGCGCAATCTCGCACCCTTCATCCGAGAGGCTGGTTGTCGGGGTGATCGTATCTTACTTATGTATGGTTGGTCCGTCCGCCATATGCAGAAGAGCTTGGTGGAGAAGGGGGGGGGGGGGTGTAAGACAGACAGACAGATAGAGTAGACAAGATCAGGACGTGCATGGAAAATCAAGACCTTGAGTGTTTAGTCTGGGTAGGGCATATCGGCCCATCGGGACCACCTGCATGGGGGGGCGTAAGCGAATGTCTGGGCGCTCGGAGGATGCATGGGTTGCCTGTTTCGAAACACTGACACTGGTGCCGGTGGGTCGGTGGTTTCTGTTACTGATTTGAGAAGGAGGGGATAATGGGGGGGGGGGGGTTGTGTGTGATTGCTGTTTGGAAAAAGGCTTTTTTTTTCCTTCCTATTCTGCTGTTATCCAATGGAAGCTGGAGTATATCCTCCCGGCGCGATACATGTAGCTTTCCCTGAAGTGTAAACGTTCTGGGAATAAAAGGGGTCCTGCATTGTGAGGTGGCCGGCACGGCAGCTGATGCTTCACTCAGATCTTGTAATGTCATCAATTATCACTCGTGGGGTTGTTTGGTTAGAGCAGCATGTTTCAACGGAATGCTGCCACCCCACTCTGATTTTTTTGTATAAGAACCGTGTGATGCCCACCACTTTGCGGGTAAACCCCTCACGCTCATGATAAACCCCATCTAACCACTTCCATACCGGCTGTCAACATGGCTATACCTTCTCATCTTGAAGCATTAATCACTAACGTTTATTCGTTATCATAACAGCAACGCTTCCCCACAATCGAGCATGAATAGATGAGCGCTAGGGAAAGTGTTGGTGATCGGTACACGTCTGTTTCAATTTACAGGGAGGGTGGTTAAAAGATTTACAAAAAAATATAAAGCCAGGGCATACTACATGTACCCATGGGGCAGTGGTGCAAAACGAAAAGAAAAAAAGAATTTTATATGCACAACCCTAAAAGATGATTGAGGAAACCAAGAAAAGAGCTACGCGGAGAGACAAGATGTTAGTCGTCTTGCGACATTTGGCAGTTATCAGAGCACCAGGGGTATACCTTGCCCTAATCCTGATATTCCATCGAGTCCTCTATTTTGTGGCACAGCATGTATTTTGGAGCGGGAAAAATAGTAGTAGGTGGTTGCAGCCGTTTAATTTCTAGGTAGACACTTTGCAACATGCTTCCTGTGATTTTTATCGCCCTTGCAAACCTTCCCGCAGCCAGAACATTCCCGGTCGTTTTTACCGTGCCCAGTCTATGAAAAAGAAGACTGTTAATACCCACCCGCCATCGTTCAAAACTCCCATAGAAAGAAACTTTCGCACATACTTCATTATGGTATTTCAAAGCCTGCTTCGACTTGAACTTTTTCGTGCAACCCTCCACCGAGCATCGCCACCTCTGCCGCGCAGCAGGCATCGATGGTAGACTATGGATCTCCGCTGTTTGCGAGAAGTACGGGTTCGAAAAGTACCCACCGGCCATGCTGATGCTCTCCGTATCAATCATGGCCCCATTATCAAAATGTCCGGAGATGCATCCGGTATCTGGCATCATCATGACGTCTTCGTACCTGCCCTCTGGGGAGAGATGGCCAGGCACCGGTACCCCAGCTTTCAAGGCGGCAATGGCAAACTTTCTCCGGAACTTTTCACGGTCATCGTATTCTTGTAGAGCTGCACTGGTAGTGACCTCGGGCGACTGGGGGTAAGGGGGCCATTTGTATGTGTGTTGCGGGTTTGTGGTAGTGCCACCTAAGTTCTGCACGTGCATTCCCCAGAACTCCTCGGAATTCATCCGGTTTGATAGAACAGTATATATGGGTTTACTAGCGTATATTGTTAAAACTTTGTCCAGGGGACCTTGATATATGGTAAGGGCTTATTAAATACAGTTGTTTTAGATGACAGTCGCCCAACAAAGCGGGCTGGAGATAGAGAGTTGATGACTGAGGGTAGATATATGTTGGAGGGGGTGATGGAAGGATATTGGTATCGACGGGACGATGTTGCAAGTATCACCCTAGGGCTGGCTTTGGGCTTTGGGGGTAGGTGCTTGAGTTTGGGAAATAGATTTTGGTACTGAACGGTTGATGGAACAGAGATAGATTGAGATGAAACGGTGGGGAGAAGGTCTATAGCATTTTGTGTGTGAGCCGTCATCCTATGCATTTCACCCCAAGCGATGCGATATCCCCAAGCGAATATTGTATTAGGGGTGATTATGATAATTACCGAAGCTTAGAGATGGCTCCTAGTACCGATATTCTTGATGATGGGTGAAAGGGGATAATTGGATGGATGGAGTTGAGTTTCGGGCGATGGGTCGAGAGGTGAGGTGAGAGCTTAGGTTGTTAGCGGAGCAGCAGAGAGCACGCCAGAGAGAAGTGGTTTCTCGAGTCTAGAACCTTCGGAGCAACCAACAAAAACAAAATTAAATTTTTTATATTTGATCGCCGACCGGATGAGGAATGGTTATTATAATGGAAAACAGATAAACAATTTTAAAAACATGTCAGACTCGTACATTGAGGATTGCAGCTTGTTATTTGTGGCAGAGATAGATGTAAGAAAAGATCATTACCCCCGGCGGGGATGAACCCTAACCCACTGATTATCATGAAACCCCCCCCCCCAAAAAAAAAAAAAAATGCATAACAGCTCAAACTTTATTACCACACTGTTGTTGGCCGGTGATAATCACTCGGTATATATAGGCAAAAAATGGTCATTAATATAGGTAGTTGACCTGACGTGGCCCGGTCACCTCCGGATTTATCCGTGTACCATTCAGAGAAGACTGTAGTACGGCGGATCCGGAGGAGGTAAGCACATAGCTCAGGTACGAATTGGTTGTCCTCCACGAACATGCTACGAAATCGCAACGCGGGGTATTCGGGGGACATGTGACTTTTTTTAATTTCGAGTAAACAGTCCCTACATCATCAGCAAGCAGCACAGCACACACAGCTATCCCCCACCAATTGATTATCTTTGAACTAACAGGGCAGACTTGAGGGTTTAAATAACGATAGACCGGCTATACGCAACCAAACCATGATCACCATCGTGATAATACCTAATCATTTCAATATTCAGATGGCTCTTCGGAAACCCGGTCGTGTAGCACAAAAGAAAAGGAAAAAAAACCAACAGATCTGTGCGCCGGCCCGAATGTAAATGGTGTCTTATCTTATCTATGTAAGTTATCGATAACCAAGATGAAATTTATCCTTGCACATGCACAAATCCCATGGTCCATCGAGCTCTAAAAGTGAAGGATATCCGTGTTACATTCCACTCGGCTAGCGGCGGCAACTTGTATGTAGTGTTGTCGAGTGATATCGTGTGAGGAAACAGCCTGTTGGGTTTTATATATAGTAAGCTCGTGGGCATTATTATCCGACACAAATATGTGTAGTTTGCGCGAGTAGGGAGTCGACTCATGTGGGGAGTAAAATAACTAGGTGGCAGTATCTGCTTGTTTTTATAACCAGCAACTATTTACGTATCTAGCCTCTACAGGCTAGTTCTAACTAGGGACCTTTAATTTATGAATTGTGATTTTGAGCCCTATATGATATTGGTGACATCGAGGGCGATTTTGAAATTTTGGTGCAGTTTAATATCAAACTACAGTGTAATAGGCTCGATCCCGGCTTCTATTATATGATGTGATTGCTGCGTAGCACCGGCATCTATCTCCAGGCGGTGTAGGGAAAGGCCGTATCGCAAATAATCCCACGAGACTTGGAGTGCTAGTACTACTAAATATATGAACTCGCTGAGGAACGGAAGTTAAATCTAGGTATGTATCGAAGCTTTTCTCATAAATATACATGGATCTAACTTGTACGTATGCGGAATTCGCTCCAATCATTCAAGCACATAGCGAATGAAAATCTCTGTTCAGAGATCATACCTTTTACAGTCCAGAACTCATTATCTGGCCGCTCACGGAGGACATACAGAGTTATCATGTAGATGCCACCTCCGAGAGAGAACGCCCATAACTGTAAGTACCCCTCAATCTTCTGAAACTGGCTCCGGTCTGTTCGAGAATAATATTTTCCACTCGACGATATCCACGATCTCTAACTCCTCACCCACCCACTCTCCATCACCCGCGTCTGTCTCCCTTTCGTTTGGATTCCTCCGCCTAATGACTCCCAACGGTTTAGGTAGCTTCTTCAATGTACCCGTGAGTCGCTGATGTTTCCCCACGTATAAATATACACGCTGTGACTTGGAGTTATTTTTCTTGTCGTTTTCGTTCATAATGTCTGGAAAGACAAGACGCCCGACTGGTGTCTCGTGTGAGATTGAGTGGTCGATTTCCATGTTGTCCCCAGTTCCTTCTTCTTCTAATGGGGCCGAGGGAGCTGGCATGTTGATCGTTCCTTGGATTTCAAGCAGTGCCAATCCGGAGGGTGTTTGAAGGAGTTGCGGAAGTGGGTTTTGTTCAGGGGTTTCGTGTGGGGTTGATGGTGTGGGATGAAGGGGTATCGATGGCATTCTAATTGATAGGTTATGGAATGAGGTGCTGGGTAGTGGGTAGTCTATGAAGTCGTGCTAAATAAAAAGTAGAATGTGTAATGTTGGTTAATTTATACAGATGGATGTCAGGTACGTACATGTAGCTTGGAGGGACGCGTAGAAGTTGTGCCAAGACATCGCCGGAACGTGTAAATTAGCGTCACCTGATTCAAGGTTTGTAGTGACAAAACATGTACTTATTTACTTATCCGCAAATTTATGTACTCACATTAGTTAAGTAGTTGTACCAATCAATAATTACATCTAACTCGAAAATAGGCTTCTCAGTCCCAAAAACTCCTAAAAAAAGAGCTTTCCTAACGTCCGCAATGCCCTTGCGCGATTCCTTCCACGAACACCATCACTATGGGGCGCTCCCCTCCCTTCATATTCCCAGATACTGGGATCAATACTAAAACCAACCTCTTCAAACATCTCAGTTCGACAGGCCACCTTCACTAAATTTTCGACTGTCCTTGCAAACTCTCTCTTTTGTACCTCGATACCTTCTCGTTCCCCATAGATAACTGGCGGATTCACATCCGATCTTTTGGCACCACGCACTATAACCCACGACCCTCCATAACTGTACCATTCTTTTGAAAACGAGTTTTTTAGCAGAACAATGTACTCTTTTTGAGCGGCCCGATACCGCCCCTCAAACGTTTGGTTTACCCGTACATCGATTGGAATTTGCGTCTCGCGATTTTCGATCAGGTTTCTTACATATCCAGAGTATTTAATCAAAAAGCTTGCGCAGTCGTATGCAACTTCGGAAATATTTTTTATAGAGTCGACTTCGGGTTCTGACAGCCAATCGACAAGTTGAATGATTCCGCCGAGAGAGTTAAAAATGATTGTGAGTGAGCCTAGTACCGAAGGCAATAAAATCTCCGAAGGCTGTGTTATATTAGCTTTAGGACTTCACTTTATTATATTTCAAATGCTAAATAGGTGTTTACCTGAAGAAATCTGACACCCAATCTCATCCCCTCAAGGATAGATGTTAACATCGAGAGCACCGATATTATGCAAGGGGGGATGTTGAGTCAATGTCCTCTCGCATCATTAAAATGGTTTTTTCTAGAGCTATTAGGACAGGAATTGCTAGAATCCATCCACATGGCTTATAAAAAATGCATTCCACGTAAGCGGGAAAGATGACCCCGACAAAAAACGCTCTTAATGTAGGTTTGTTGTGATCTCCATCTTCAAAACTTCCTGAAAGTGCAGCCGTAAGTTGACCCACCAGGTATTTCTGCTCGCCATCAATAGCTGCTCTTTCAAAAACTGACTGGATGAAAGAAGTAAGTTGTTTTTGGCCCCTTTGATTATGAAGCTTTAATCCGTAGTTTTTGAGTTTACCAACGACATACGTAGGATCTGTTGCGGGAAGCGGAAAAAACTCAGGGTTGACGAAAAACACATCAACACTAATGAGGTCAATGGTGTGCTGCTGCAAGTATCCTACGACAGTTTGTACAAACTCGACATAAGCACCAGACGCTGCCTTCGTTTGCAGCTCCTAGAAAGAGGTAAGAATATTGACGATGAAACACAAAAGGAGAGATTACCTGATAGTTATCTTTCATCGATTTCATCATTGATTGAAGCATCCTTGAGTATTCTTGTTTGATTAAATCTCCCTTTATTGGTGAATCGTCACGAGTCACCTCATAAGACTTTCTCATATTCGCCAATACCGCTGTAGAAAATTAGTTCAAACTCCAAAAATGTTTTCGGACTATACTTACATGATATGAGAGATAGCCTGCGGGAGCGGAAATCGCTTTGAGAAATGCTAAACTGTTTGCTAGATTCATCCCATACGAAAGGGAGGTTTTCAAAGATCGGATTGTGAGGATCGCAATTGAGAAGAGTTGCAGTATATGTGTTCTGAAATTTAAGCATAGATTCCCGTTCCACCAAAGTCTTAAACCAGAAAGAAATAAACGCTTCCTTGTTTAGTTCGTATGTATCTGGTCCGGCTTGTATGACCTTTGTCATAAAATAAGCTGTAAACTTTCGAGTTTGTTCAGTATCACGAAGATGTGCCCATGATTCATGACTATAGGTGTTGAGATAAACACCCCACTCCTAAACTATTGTTAGCGTGGTTCCCCCTCCCTAAAAGGTGTTTTAGCAAGTAACCTTAAACCCAGTTTGTACAAGAAATCCGATTGCAAGTACCCAGGTATCAATGACTTCTACAAGCAAGGTTTCTTCCGGTTGTTTATCTGCACCGAAGCAATTGGAAAGCATTTGTCGAAGAGAGTCATAAATGGTATCGGAAAGATGCTATACGAGTTAGTACACTAGGGAATAAAAGTCAATCCACCAACGCTTTACCTTTCCGGCATCTTTTTTTGCATCCTGGACAACCAGATCGTCGAAGCCTGACCAATCCCCATAGTCTTGGCTATCTTCATCGACTTGAGAAGTGGATGGCGGTAAATCATCATTTTTCTTGCAGGAATACACGTACTGTTGCACAACATGAAGAACTTCAATAACTAGCTTGTGTGATAAGCGGTTGTGAGAATGCAGTATACTCGATATCGATACTGGTAAGATTAGCTTTTTTCTTTCAATCTGAGGAAGGTGCTTGCACATGCCTTTGCTTAGAATCCTGACAACACTCTCAACATTACCAGCAATTTCTGAAATTGCGGTATTTAAGCACTTGAATGCATTGACTAAAATGTCTTCTAACTGTTTTTGGTTGCGTCGAATATTTACTTCCAGCAAATCTTCCGATATGTCGTTGCCTTTCTCCTTAGAAGCTTTGTAAATCTTCTCGGCTTCACTCCGTGCTGCGTTATGTTGACTTAGTATTTGACTAACAATCACATCAAACCACTGAACAAAAGGTTCCAATCCATCTATGTCCTCCCCGCTATGTAATTTAAAACGAAGTAGGTTTGACCAAGTTCGGATGCTAACATTACAGGTTTGTAGATGGTTCGTTTCCGGATCAACCAGGTTGATAATTGCATCCAAAGGAGGCCTGCAATCTGGCGGGGCCGCCCAATAAAGCGTTGCAAGAAGATCGTGGTGATTACTCAAAGCATTTAGGTGCTCTATGCGAAGCTCTTCTTCTTTTGGGTACTGCCGTCTGTGATTTGGCATAAGTCTGTTGACCATGTTCCTAATCTTTTTAATGGTAAATCGTGAATTTGATGTGGTTTTCATCGTATTAATACCCAATGCAATCGTCTTTAACAGAAGATGGAAGCAACGATCTGAACTCTGAATAGCTAATGATGGAATCTTTCTAAGGTCTTGAAGAAATCCCACAGATCCGTACCCTGTTTCATTTTTGAGGTTGGCTAACTGGCTGCTCGCGAAGAATTGATAAAGAGTAGGAATTATGAGGTCTGGATTCGCCCAGCCCCATGAGCTGATTAAGTGATAACATCTCGAGTATAAAATACGACAATAAAGAATGATGGTACCGGAATGGCCTTCGGGACTTTTGTGATAAATTTTAAGAGGCTGAGTGACTAGCGTCTTGATTAAAGACCAGTTCTCTAGAGGAATCCTATTTGGCGGCTGTGATATGAATCCTAGGTGGTCGAATTGGTGCAGCGGAAGGGAAGTAAAAATAATACGCCAAATATTTTCGAATGATCGGATATCCAATGACTTTTCAATTTCAGTAAGTCGTGATTCGTGGTTGAAAAGTTGCCAGAACCCGATATCCAAAGTCCTTGCTTGGTTCAAAATTTGAATGGAAATAACCCATGCCTCTACAATATAATATCCTTGATCAATGCCCCTCTCGTGCTTATTTCTCTGCCTCTGATCCTCATAACATGCTCTGACATCGTCCAACCCGTATTTTAAAAGCTGCCCGAGAAGATATTGACCTGATTTTCGTATTGACTTCCCAATTTCAAGTCTAGTCATGACCTCTTCATCTGCTGATGCGAGCTGATATATTTGAAACTTGAACACCAGATCGAATAGTAATAGTTGGACTGTTAGGCGAGTTGACGCATTTTTTGAGCTAGAATAAGGGTTTCCCCCAAACGTTGTCAAGACACGATCACAACAATCATCGAGAGCTTGCAGAATCCTTTGCCCGAACGATATTAGGTCGATGGAATCCGAGAAATTGATAAAGCTAGCAAGGTAATTTGAAAAAAATTGCGAGAAAGAATACACCTGAGCGGCAAGAAAGTCGATTTCAGCCCCATCTAGATCATTGGCGCCTTGTGCTTTCTCAGCAGAATCTGCGATCTGATTCATGATTATTTCAAATTCTGCTGCAACAGAGTCTTGATATAACCCCCAATGTAGTATTTTATCTCCAAATGTGAAACTAATACTTGGGTTACTCCGCCCTTCTTTGATTGGGGCAGTATTCAAGGCTCTTGACAGTCCTCCATCTCCAATAAATGTATGATTATTGAAGAATGTTCCTGGCTTTAAAGGCATGGTATCGAAATTGAGCGAGTATCTATTGCCATACTTTAATAAACCTTGAAGTACAGGCTTAGTGGTCGTGGGCAACTCGTCTGGAGTATAATATTCCACATCCTCGAGGATGATATCCTGAGGTGGGGGCTGCCGACGTTCAATTATATCAACATCAACTCTTTTCGCTATGCGTTTCCGACGTGTTCTTGGAACAGGTCTAGGCGGCATAATTGTTTCTGAGGGAGAATCGGTCGAGCCATGATGGATTGCTGGCGTTCTATGTGACGTAGAGTCAAATAAATAGTTTCCCTCCATAAACTGCGAATTCCTCTGCGCTAGGTTTTGTAGCAGTAGAGTCAGATCAGGAGTAGCAGCTCTTCGAGGGGCCTGATGTAGTCTTCTGAGTGTATGATTCATGGGTTTCTCGATTTCGAGTTGGGCGGGTTGAGGTGTGAATCTCGGCGCATGAGTCGTAAACACGCCTCGGCCAGCTACGGATGTGATAGGATTGACGTGAGATTTTGGCTGAGGGCGGGTAGAAACAAGCTTTCGAGACACCGGCCCTCTCCGTACAACATTCAATAGTGTACTTTGTTGACCTCCTTGTCTTCTTGGCTGTGAGCGTTTAAAGGTACATGGGGGTTTGGATAACCTCTCTGGTGAGTGTACTTGCACGTCACCAAGATCTTGAGGAGACGCCAATCTTAGTTGATGACCGGATGTTTGGTTCTCAGAGTTCCTTCCCCAATGGTTGTAGATATTAGCCTGCGCGACACAATCTAAAGTTCCCTCTCTCCAATCACGTAGAACAGATTGTACATCTCTCGTGTCTGTTTCTGTTTCCAAAAAGAACAACTTCCTTGATGGGCTTTGTCGACCCTGGTCCCTCCTTTTTCTAACCTCCCTTTCTGCAATCTTTATGAATAAGGGAAGTGTAGTAGAAGTGGTAGCTCGATAGTATTGTGCTGCATCTAAGATTCCTAGCTTTGGAGCTGCTGATCTCTTAGCTCTTGTGGGCCTGCTATTCTTTGATGAAATATGGTCTGTTATTTTTGGTTGGCGCAGGCGGGTGAAATTGTTTCCCCGTTTTGAAGCTGAAATTGAGTCTCTACCATGGCTCATGCCAGTGGCTTTATGAGAAGCATTACTACTCACTTGGCGCCTCCTACCCTTTCTTTGCCTAGTACCTCTTCTAGGAATTCCAGGGAGCATTCGATCAATTCTGTCATCCTCAACAACATCATCAAAGTCAATACCGTCACTTCTGGGCGTGCTTCTTTCTCCAGCAGATCTTTTTGCCGGAATCGAAGCCAATATTAGTGGCTCATCACTGGAAGTGTCTGGATCACTGTGCCCCATAGAGAAAACGTCTGAGTCTGGGGGCCGCGCTCTGGAAGAAATTTTGGCTCTCGCGACTCCCGGCCTTGGTATGCCACCTGATGTTGGGGGTGTAGCGCCTCTTGCACTACGCCTAGTACTAGACCTGCCCATTTGTTGGTCTTTATTAAGCTTCCACCAAGACGCCGGAAGTACACCAGTGGTTTTCCGTTGGAATTTCCGGATCAATTGTGACTCGTCCTCCTCATCTTGCTCCTCACTATCCTCAAGGTCCTCCTCCACCACCACCTCATTCACCCCCTCTTCCTCCTCTTCCTCTTCCTCCTGCTCCGCGAGTTCCGTTTCAGAAGATGAGTTCAGGGGGGAAGAGAGGAGGTTAATAGGTGATGCTTGAGCTGCCGAGACCGCCTGAGATAATTCATTTTGTTGACCAAGATCAGAGTCGGAGTCGGAATCCATCCCAGCAAATAATCCCTGTAATTTGTCCTTAGACTTCGTTATATCAGTGGACCATTTATGAAAGCTTCGAGTAGTGTGATTAGACGATTTTCGCTCTAGAGGATTTCTGGAGATTATTTGGGGAGATGAGTCTATAGGCATATCGTAAATGTCGGAGTCTGTAGAACTTCCATCTACTCTAGCTCCAGCTAAAGACTGAGAATTCTCTTTTCTCTGATCCGAACTTACAGTATCTTGTTTGGATTTCGGGACGGAGCTTCGCTTAGAGTATGTGTGGGCTACTTTTCTGCGTTTCGCTTCACCTGGCAAGGAATTATTTGATCCCATTTGACCTCTGGGGGTATCTGTGCCTGAATGTAGACTATGCCCCTCGTTTTCTTCATCATAAGGGTATATTTCGTCCTCAATCACACGTTTAGACTGATGAACGGGCTCCGGAGGTGCCACATAATCGTTTTCCTGAGAATCCTTGTTCGTCCCTTGTGCACTCCTCGACTCTGTATCAATATCTTGTATTCTCAAAGGTTTTACGCCACGAGATTGAAGCGTCTGACGGTAACGCTCCCCTTCTATTAGATAGGGATTTTTCTGTATTGGCTTCCGCTCCCGAAAATTTCGAACAGGGGCACTCCACTGTTGATGATCGTTACTGACACTTGGGACTGCAACGTGAAATGTAGTTGTCAATGTAGCCATTTTTTCCGACATTGACGAGGGTCTCGGTGTAATAGTGTCGGTGGAAGACACAGAGGAGAGCGGCGAAGAATTTATCATCGAGGAACTATCAATTGCTGGGCCTGATTGCCTGAACTCTTGTCTTATAGGGGCAGAGGGTCCCCAGGCCTCTTCAGGTACCATTGGATGGTCTTCGTCCTGATATTGTAGGAAGATCTTCTCGTTTTTTGTGGCTTGGTCTGGGGGATAAGGGCACCGCCGTGGTAGAATCTCAACGCCCTAACCAGAAATTATAAGTGTCTATCCTGAGATCAAACCCTAGTCTACTAACCTGGGGGGACATAATTCTCTCGTCATATGTAATCCTGGAAGTTCCTAAAGCACTGTTTCTATCTTCCCTAGTTCCGACCAACTGTACCTGATCCTCCTGCTCCTCTGGTGTTTCAGGCTGGTCACTTATATCCACTATCGTAACCGCCTTATCGATTTCATTCTCTCTTATATCCACTCCATTTAATTGTATTTCTGAGTCTTCATGTTGACTAATTTGACCAGTTGTATGTGCGCTTTGTGCAGAATTTTTTGTGTTGGGTAGAACCCCAAGGATCTGATCTATATCAATATACCCTTCACGGATGGTATCGTTTTTAATCGTATCCTAAGAAAATTAATCCCTTTACCATTCCCGACAATTTGTGATGAAATGTTACCTCTATTGAGTGCCCGAGACGAGATGTAATTGAATCTGTTACCGAGCCAGCCGCAGCTATTTCATTTCCTCTCTCTTCAGTCTTGTTCACTACTTGTACCTCGTTGCCAAACTCTTCCCCGTCATCCTGTGTTGACAGAGCTGTATCCGAATCTTCGTCGTCTGAGTTTGGCACGAAACCCAATTCGCGCCAGTTCGTCATATCATTTCTTGGTTCGGAAAGTCGAGTTATAAAGTTAGAATTGAGTGGCAGTGGTTGCAACGGTGCGAGATCTTTGTTCTTTGCGCGGTTAGACTTATCTCTCGCGTGTCGTTTGGCAGAAGACGCGTTTTAATTAATGCGTGTCACCAGGATAAAAGCTGTAGTAAAAAAAATCCATAAAGTTATTAAATAGGTTTCAAGGGTAATTATAAGGCCATTGACTATTTTTCCTACTATACAATTTTTTTTCATATATTTTAAAACCGAAGACTACAGCACTTCATGTTTGCTGTGAGCCTGTCGCTAACGTTAAGTTAAGGTTTCCACGGTACTAATGGCTTTAACGGGCACTAAGCTTTATCCAGTGTAGTCTGTGTCGTATCGAGAGCAACATCAGTTTCAACTCTCCGTCTTATAACAACGTAATAACTATTATTGTTCAAGAAAACAAATCAACAAGCATTCCCACCAAGATGAGGGGAAATTCAGCTTTACTTCCGGTAGGGTTTGCGATTGCCTTTGGTATTATTAACGGTATATATCCCGGAAACATCGCTTGGTTCATGAATGTTCTCGCACTTACAACTGGGTGCAGGATACTCAATATTTCAACCTCTCGTTGTCGAGGAGCGTTTGAAGACCCTTCAAGAAAAGTACGTAAACATTTCTCAAGGTCATCAAGCGTTTAAGGAACCTAATAAGAGTATCTCATGATGAACAGAGGTGCTCCCGAAGCAGTAACTTCGATGGCATCACAAGAAAAGAAAACCGAGGCGGTCCAAATCGCAAACGCCAACGAGAGAGCGGCCAAAACAGTGCTACAAAAGCTGAAGACAGAAGGGAAGCCTACGAGTAACTGATGCACGCCATTTTCAAGAAGGGCTTAATAGAGTTTTGGGGGAGGGGGGGGGGGATAAGAGGATCATATTTTCAACTTTCAGCATGGGCTTCAATTCGCACCCGTACATATATATATATCTCTACACAGGATTTTGGCAGTGTTAGAACCTCAACAATAGGTATTTTGGGTTCTCGTCAATCTTCAGCCAAGTAGTGTATAAGTTTTGGTACCAATAAAGGGAATTGCATAATATCAGATACCAGTAATGTGTATGTAGCTGTGTTATGATTTGTGATGTGCTTTATGTCTTTCGTCTCCGCCCTTTCGGGACCTTGAACGATGCTGAACTTTGTACTCTTCGTCCTCTCTTGGCGACGCCGAACGACGTTGGTCCTTATACTGTCTTGGATTTCGGCTTCGACTCCTAGTTCGTCCACCGCTCTTGGTCCCCTCATAATCGTGTCTTCGTCTTCTACCTCGACCGCGATCCTTAGATCTAGATCGATGCCCAGTCCTCTTTGCTTCGCCTCTGCTCTTGTCTCTGCTTTTCCTACTTTTTTTCTGGTCGCCTTCCTGGATATACCGTAATTTGGTGGCGCACTGATCACAAACCCGGACCTTCACAAGTGCACTCTTCTTTTCGAGTTTCTCAACGTATTCAAATAACAACTCAAATCCTCTCAATCCTTTCCTGTCGTTTGAAACGACGTCCGGATCTTCGTCCGGATCTTCATCCAATGTGCTCTCCTCGTTTCGGCACGATAGGTTTGCGCACAAGAATTGTCCTTTCCCTGCCAGTACCTCCTCCTTCGTTCGCCACCTCATCGCAATCTTCCCAACAAAAAATAATCAGCTTGAATCATCGACTGGAGGATCCACAAAACCCACCTGCTTTTCCTTCCATCTCGCTAGTTCCACAACTGCAAACTCTCTGTACAGCTTTTGATAATAGCTCCTAGCCAGTCTTTTCTCCTCATCCATTTCTTCGCTTTCGTTATCATTTTCCTGGATGAATTGATGGTGTTCTTCTATGATGTCCCTTTCACTACGCGCCTTTTCCGGCACAACAATCTGGCCTCCATAGTAGCGGAGGTAACTGTTTGCTGCATGAAGGTGCCGTGCGTACGCTGACGTTGGGCCACCTGATTGTGAGAAAACACGGTTGGTTGAATTTTGGGCTGAGGAGGGCGTAGCTGTGGCAAACGGATTGATGCGAACGGACATGGTGAAGGAGGTCGTTCACACCCGTACAAGAGAACCAGAGAGTGAGTGAAATCTGGAGAGACGTTGGTTGTGTGGTCTGTGCATCCAGAGCCTCAGGCGCCGACCATGAACCTGGGTCAACGAATACCAATAGTGGAGATGCCCCTCCCCCCAAAAAAATTTAATTACACATCGTTGCACGAGTTTCTGTCCAGCAGCTAAAACTCTCTACGGTATGATTCACCGTGTTTGCCATTGACCTAGAAGGAATCTGTATCTTTATCAGGCCTGGTGTTGCATGTGGGTGCGAAGTTGTGATATAAAAAAACATGAAATTAGGAATGTATAGCTTCTCATCGGTTTACACTAGCCCTGACAAATACCTACATGTACCTAGATCACCGTGGACCCTTTATATCACGACTTCCCTATCAGGTTTGAGTAACACTAGGGTTAGGGCTTTAATCCTTGTCACCAAGGTATATAAATCTTCAACAGTCGCCAATCTCTTCAGTCCCTCACCGCACGCGTGTTACTTGTTAGTCGCTTCTATCCATCGATCAAACGAGCGTCAAACCGAGCGGAGAGCAATCTGAATTCTCCAGTCGTCTGCGAAGACGTGTTTGTACTATCCTGTATGTCCTGTTCTCTCTTCTGAGGAAACCGAAATTTTCAGGCTAGCTTTATGGGAGCTTCACACACTACGCCGTGTCTTCAGTTGGATATATACTGTCAAAGTAGCCATATTATAAATGTCTTTGCGCATCCATTCACACAAATTGTATCATACCAGAATTCAAAGTTTTTCAGATTGAGTTTATGCAATCACATATTTCAAGTCGAAGAGTTCCTGAAATGTTTCGGTTTGGTCCAATTTTAAACCAGACCGTGCACCCCTGTATCCCCGCGACTAGCAGGTATGGCGGGGTTTCGTCAGCTACAGGTACATACAGTACAGTTCAAGTTCATCTCAGGACTCACAACTATCTTCAGCCGCTTGTTTCTACTTCACTTTGCTCCTTACAATATAGCCCTTTGATATCACAGCAGCTTCTCAACGTCTTTGAGCATGTCTCTTATTAGAAGTAAGTACTGAAAGCTTTCAAGGATGGGATACCGGTTCTCATAGCTCTGATTTTACAGAATCTATTTATGCTGCCCAGCCGTCCACTACGCGTGCTACGTCTACACATCTCTCTGTTGATCCAAAGGGTGAACGTCTAGCATATGCCGTATTTTCCCTGAATCTCAAAATACTGTCATCCTATTAACATGGGTTTTAGTCTGGAAAATCTGTCTTTCTCCGCTCAATCGATGACCCTTCAATTAGCACGCAGAATACAGCTCACACTGCGAACGTTAATGTAGCCCGCTTTTCTCCCAGTGGTTATTATGTTGCTTCTGGAGATACTTCAGGAATGGTAAGAGTATGGGACTGTGTGGGTGAGGATATGAATACCAAGGGAGAATTCGGTATCATCTCTGGTACTATCAAGGACCTTGCCTGGGATGGAGAAAGCAAGCGGATTATCGCAGTTGGTGACGGTAAAGAACGGTATTTCGCCTTGGTTTTTCTACTTAAGCATCAATTTCTAAGCGTAAGGCAGCTTTGGACATTGTATAACCTACGACACTGGTAATTCCGTGGGAGAGATCCTTGGCCATTCATCCATCATTAACTCGGTTTCGATACGCCAGCAACGCCCATATCGAGCTGCTACCGCATCTGATGATAAAACACTCGTTTTTTATCATGGTACGCCATTCAAGTTCAACCAAACGCTCACTGGAAACCATTCCAATTTTGTTCAAGGCGTTGCATTTTCTCCTGATGGCGAACACTTCGTTTCTGTTGGTTCAGATCGTAAGATATTCCTATATGATGGCAAGACTGGAGACTTGAAGTCAGAGGTTACATATGGTGATGCTGGGCACAAGGGGGGCATCTACTCGGTCTCCTGGAGTAGTGATTCAAAGCGGTTTGTCACTGCATCCGCGGATCAGACAGTCAAGCTGTGGGATGTGGAGCAATCAAAGAACTCTTTTACTTGGAAGTTCGGGGAGGAGGGAATTCCGAGTATTCCAGACCATCAAGTTGGAGTTGTCTGGACGCCCCGGTCCGACGATACTATAATTTCACTATCTTTGGCAGGAGATTTGAATTATCTTAACTTTTCCGCCCATAAGCCGTACAAAGTAGTTCACGGGCATCAAAAGGCCATCACTGCTCTTAAGGTCACAAAAGAGAGCAAGACATTATTTACAGGAAGTTATGATGGAAGAATTTGTAAATGGGACACAACAGTGGGCGCAGCTGCTGGATTGGATGGGAAAGGCCATGAGAACAACGTCTCGGGCTTTGCGGAGACCCAGACCGGGTCAGTTGTCAGCGTTGGGTGGGATGATCACGCCAGGCAAATCGATGTCGGGGCTGGATGCTTTGTGTAAGCCCTTCAGTTAGGAATCAATTGAAGAAGGAAATAACTAACTTTGAACTTAAGTGCAAACGCTCCAACTGAAGGCCAACCCAAGGGTATCGCAGAACTTGGTCCGAATGGTTCTACAGTTGTGGTTTCAGAAAATGCCATTACCGCCTACGGCAAGGACCTCGAAATTATCGCTACACTAGTTCCTAAATACACGCCTACCTGTGTTGGTGCTTCATCTACATATGAAATTGCGATTGGCGGGCAGAACAATATCATCCAGGTCTACAGCGTTTCTGGATCTACAATTACAGAATCCAAAAAAATCATTACACGATCCACACCAACATGTCTTTCCTACTCTCCTAACGGCAAATACCTTGCTGCCGGCGATGCCTCAGGTAAAATCACACTATATGATACTACGGATCAAACATATAGTGTTAAAACAACACGCTGGAGTTTCCATACTGGACGTGTTGATAGTATTGTGTGGAACGACGATGGAACCCACGTTGTTACTGGAGGCCTTGACACAAATGTCTTTGTGTATAGTGTCGAGAATCCTGCGAAGAATTTGAAGGCTAGAAATGCACATATGGGAGGTGTCAATGCAGTAGGCTGGGAGGAAAAAGACGTGATTGTCTCAGCTGGGGCGGACGGAGCAGTTAAAAGATGGGGTGTCACATTTGCTGGTTAGCTTTGGCGTTGAATAAGCCACTTGAACAAGATTTTAGTAGTTAATTGCATTTATTGTTTCGCCATGGGAATCAAACACCAAAGCTGAAGGGGATAAATGAGATTTTATGAGTGATTGAATGTAGGTAGCATTCTAAACTTGAATGGCTGTCTTTGTAAAAAAAATTTAAGGTCTTAGGACTCATTATACCATGATACCACAGTAATTTATCTCGCGTTTAAGGAGAATATGGGCAGGGCTAGGTGTGTGCTACTCGTCGCTCAAGCCTTGGCAGGCCTTTGATCATTGACCTATCCCTAGATTTCCCTGGGAACGTCAATTAACCTCGATCACCACATCCCATCGACTCTCCACTATACGTTTATAATATATCTACACGTTCGAAGATTTTTGATCCCTCCAGAATCAATGAAAATTATTTTATCTATTTAAATCTCGGGTAGAACAAACTGGTGGGGATGCTTCATACTACTGAGAACGTCAATGTAGAAGTTGGACCTTTCGGTGCTTATCGCAGACCTAGGAAAGCCTTTAACATGCTTATAATATCTGGCTGTGAGAGGAGGCGGAGGAGAATGGGCAGTTCAGGGGTATTGCCATAACTGTAAAGTTGCACGCAATTAATGAATTAAACAAAAATATATATATATATATATATAATATCTGGCTAGTTAGAATGTTAAATAGAAGAGGCACCCCACAAGTCCATATTTCTCTATTTTCTCACACTTCCTATTGTTTAAACTGTGGCCGGATCTACTCATTCTTATTTCTATTCGGTAGAAGAAAGTAAAGAGCCGCAAATGTAAACTTCAGAAGTGTCTGATAGAAGACACGTGTCTGAAAGAGTTGGATCTATATAGATCACTCAGCCCTCTCTATTTTTCAAATTAATTTTTGGCTATTCCCTTTACGCTTGCTGTAGATTAGAAGTGTATTTTGTGTGGCACCCGTGACCCGTTGTGCTAAAGACGATTTATCGCCCATAAATCTTACGATATCGAAAACCGAAACACCAACTCTTCAACACGCCTCCCCAAACGCGTAATACAACATCATTTAAAGAATAGAAAACCAATAAAGAAATGGAGATTCAGCGGGTCAGTATGGAAAAGAATGACACAACTCATCCTTACTACAAATAAAAGTTATTCGCCGTAAAGAAGGGGAAAAAATAAAGAAAGCCGCCCAAAACTCTACGTAAAGCCCATGGTCTCTTGAAGACTCTCCCATCCATCTGGCTCTTGTATTACCACATCAGTCGCAGTCGGTATTATCTTCGATCCTACCGGGTATAGCCTATTTATTCATTAGCTTGTGTATACCTGTCAAGTGGATTCTACTTACCTAGGCATCTTGATATTAACTTTCGCGCCGAAAATATTGTTCGCCTTCCTATTGTTCTGCGGCCTCAAGCATTTCTTCGCAGCATCGTGATATAATGCTTTCGAGGTAACCTCCTCTTTCCATGCAATGAGTGACTCATAATGCTCTCTTTGTTCTAAGTAATGTGACCTTGGCGTCTCCTTAGCCGGTCTCCAAGTTTTCCGATTTTTGGGCCCCTTCGTCAAATCAACAACCTTTGATTGTGTTGCGAGTAGCATCAATTCAGCCATAACATCCTGTCCTTCGGTCGCAAGAGCTTGTTCGTATTCATCAACTTCTTTGACTTCTGGCTTTGCCAACAATGGCTCCAATAGCCACGAATCAGATGCCAGCAGGTCGTTCTTGATAACTCTTGCGTTCTCGTCTCTTAGGAAATTCACAGCTCCTGTGAGTGAAGTGATTTCCTTCTTAAGCTCATCTACTTCTCTGGCTGTAGCAACCGCCTTTTCTGCACCAATTCTGTCAACCTCTCCAAGTGCTCTCTTATCATTCGCAGTCTTCTTCCATTTATCAACCTCAGTCTCAAGGGATTGTATCTCTTCATTGAGATTCTCGATAGCGTCAGTAAGATCTTTCTCGCGTATTGCCCCTTCTGATACGAGCTTTTCGAGCTCTTCAATCCGCTCGCTCTGTTTAGTGACATTACGCATGCGAGATTCGAGGAGCTCGATTTTGACAGCGGATTCTTCCAAGGTCTTATCACGGAGCTTGATTTGTGTTGCACGCTCCAGAATATCATCTTTGAGACGACGGATCTCCTCTTCGGCGTCGACAGAAATCGTCTTGGTTGTTTTGAGTTCGTGGGCACGGACAATCCACGGGGCAGTTGCCTTTTCGACTGTCCGCTCGTTAGCAGGTGATTCTGTAGGCAAATAAAGATAAGACTTACACTCAGCAGTCATGTCAATATCCGAAGCCGTACTTCCAAGCTCGACAAGTAGATTCGTAAGGCTCTTTAACTCCTTTCCAAAAGCTCCAAATATTTCCACCTCCACAGCTACTAGCTCTCTCTCAGTCGTCCTGAAAAACATTGACTGCAGCTCTTGCCATCCAACATTCCCCTTCGCATCATCTGAATAAAGTAGCTCATAAACATCGTTCCCAATAGCCCTAGCATAATCTCCTAGCCGTTTTGTAGAATCTTCGCATGCTGTGAAGTTTCCCAGTTTATCTTGTGTAAGTGACAATGAACGTGCCTGGAAATCGTTTAGAGAACGAAGAATTTTGCTGATAATAACCTTCGCGCTCCGCGAATTTGAAACAATTGCGTCGGCACGCTTTGCAAAGCTCGAGGCAATGTCATTCTCGTCCTCACCCTCTTCAATGCTGGGGGGAAGTTTATTTTGGACCATCAGCTTTATTTGTGCCATTGCTGCTGCTGTGGACTCCATGTAGCTCTGCATCAGCAGAACTCTCATATGTAGATCACTCGCGAATCCTTCTAGATCATTCTTAAGGTGAATCTCCCCTAGGTGAGACATGAGTGCCATAGTCCGTTGCAGCTCAGCAACACACTGTTTCTCTTTCAAGTCATCTTTTCTCAATCCTTCAATCCAGCCGTTCAGAGCTCGCTCCACGGGGTCTAGCTCATAGAGTGCTCCCTGAAATCTTGCAAACTGTTGCGAGCTGCACCCGCTGATACAATTAACAAAGCGATCGCACATTGCACTAACCCAAGTGAGTTTATCACACATATCGCAAGCTGCCATAAGTGATTCTTCATGTCCAGCTTGTTCTTGCCCAACTTGGCCAGCGAGACGTTCCTTAACAAATGTGTGAAGAAGATGGGCCTTGAATGCAACGCGTTTGAAGCGGAGAAGGGCAAGTACGGAATCTCGTTCAGAACGATAGGCTTCGGGAAGAAACATTTGCACAATTGAGAGGTGCTCCACTGCTTCTTCAGCCTCTAGTCGACGCAGCTCGAGGTCGATTGTCTTATTTTGGGCTTTTGCGGCGGTTATTTGAAGCTTCATGTTGATATCTATCATTGAGCGCGAGCGAGCTGTCAGTTCTTCGGCCTCGGTTTCAGTTATCTGTTGGCTAGCTCTCATGTCCTCAAGGTCACTAGATTGATGATTAACACCCGACAATGCGCAAGGGAAATCATAAGAAAGGGAATGTACCTCTGTAAGTTAGTTACCAATTCTCTGAATCTCGTAATTGTGTACTCTGCTTCCTCATTACTTGCATCCAACTGTGCAATCCTCCTTGACTGTTCTCCAATCACGAGATCTTTGTAATCGATTTCCTCTTGCATCTGTTTCTCTGTTTCAACGTGATTAATTTCCAGTTCATCACTGATCTCCTTCAGGCTCTCCAAATCCTCGATTGTCGCTTTCAACTCCTCTATTTGTTCACTCATGCTTAAATTCCTCTCGGTAAGATCCTCAAGCATCTCCTCGGCGCCCAAAGCAGTCTCTAACTGCTGCCTTAAATCCTCAACCGCTGCTTCCGAGATTTGAAGTCTCTCTCTAGTTCCTTCAGCAGCCTTTTTGATCTCTACTAGTTCATTGTTATCCTCCTCGAGGCTTTTGATTGTCTCTTTCAGCTCTATTTCTGTCTGAGAGGTCATGTCTCTTAATCTTAGGAGTGCCTCTTTGAGCCTCTCGTTTTGTTTCTCCATCTGTAGCCAACCAGCGCTTGTCTTCTCCTCCTGTGTCATTTCCCCACTTAGCTCACTATTTTCCTCACGTAAAATTTCGACTTCCATTTCAAGCTCCTCCGCACGACCTCGTACAGCTTCAAGTTCTGCACGTAGTGATTCAGTTTGTTCTTCGGCCATCTCACGATCGAGGGTGGCCATTTCTACGATCATCTCGTTTTCGACCTTGAATTCCTCCATTTCTTCGAGGTAAGTTTTCATTTCCTTGATTTCTTTTCGAAGTTCGACAAGCTCGGCTTGCTGAGGTTGGTATTTAGCTAGTCGTAGTGATCAGTTTCTGCTATTAACAGGGATAGCGGATCCGTTTTCATCCAATATTTCCTTTATCCCATACCTTGAAGCTTCTGGATAATCATTTCAAACTTATCCCTTTCATTTTGTATTCTTTCCAGCACCTTCAATTTATCCCTATCCTCTGTTCTTTTCTTCTCCATCACCTTGATTGTACTTCTCAAGTCTTCTAACTCTCTTGCCATGGTTGCAGAAATAGCCCCGGCACTGGTCGCGCTCGGCCCAGTTACCGGCGGGCCAATTGTTGGCCCTGTGGTCGCTACCTTCGAAACTGGTTTTGGTGAGCCAGGTGACAAGGCGTTCGATTCCCTTCTCCCCATTCGTGTAGATTGGCCTCGAGGATCTTTGTCGTCGCTTTTTGATCTCCTCATTGCGCTTCCTGTACTGGTGATATCTGGGGAGCTCCGTTCAGATGATACATTTGATATACTTTGTTTACGCCCCCCCAAAACTTGCAATCCGCCGGGTTTCAACGATAGACGGTTGCTACCGGGTGGTGGACGAGCAACTGAGCTTCCGGCAGATGAGGCAACCGATGGAGTCCTTGACATAGACGTAGAATTAACTGTAGATTGTCGTCGAGCCTGTCCTGGCTTTGATGCTGTAGCGCTGGCAGTTTGCTTTCCCCCCGGAGGACCCATTGGGCCTGTACGTGGTGCGGTATTTCCGGAGGTGCGGGGGGTAGGTGTCCCTGTACCTACCCGCCCAACCACAGAAGGCGGTCTAACAAGCGGTGTACCTGTCCTTGAAGTTCCAGCACCGGGAGAGGGACTTCCAGACAGCATCTTCGTCGGCGATGCAGGAGCCTATATCTGAACATCAGCTTCCCATCAACTGCCCTACCTTCCAGACTTCCTTCCTCTCCCACCTACGACGGACATACCCGCATGCTTAAGGGTCTTGGTTGCGCAAGCCTTGGAGAACCATGTGCAGGCGAAACAATCGCCGAAGCTCTCTTCATAGCAGGTGGAGGAGGTCGCTCTATTAACCGTGGGACACCCGGTTTCACGAATATTCCTCTATTTGGTGGACAGTTGAAGTACCGCTCCCCTTGTACCGAGCCATCGTTTTTACCGTCTGGGCCTTCGAATTCTATTCCGATCCATTCGCCGGGAGCGAAGAGAGTTTCGCCGACATAGCGGACGATGGCGGCATAGCCGCCTACATCAACGTGGTCACCGACGAGGAACTCTGCTTCTGCCATGATCGTTGAATAGAGCTGGCGTTCGACGTCGAGAGTGCCCTCTGTTATTGCCTGAAGGGCGAGGTTGATTTGATCCTATCAGGGTAAGGTCTTAAAACCCTTCGTCTGATTTTCTTCCCTGAAGCCCTCTGTGATGTCCGTTGTTGACAGCTAAGGTAGGTCGCGAAACGACCAAGAAAGCTGTAACAGGCAATCCAACCCTAAACCTCGCTAAGCCCGAAATGGTTGCTACCCGTTGTGGGAAACATCGAAGATCACTCGTGAAAATAACATCATCCTTGAACCTCTCATTGATCAATATAGTATGCGGGCCAAGCAAGATCCGACTTGTGTCATGAATATCCACAAATCTCCGGATTGCAACTTATTATAGGTGGACATCGATTAGTTCTACCTTACCGTTAAACGTTAAATTCACAACTATAGTCCGCTCCTAGCGAGCGCGGCACCGGTATCCTATTAAGTACAGGAGAAAAGAATTAGGCACATGCATTACAGTATTGTTATGGCAAGTCGGGTTTGTTCATATTACTCGCTTCTCATTTTGACATAGGAAAAATCGGCACATCGTTCCATACATCAACTCTATCCTTCGCGGTCCCAGCCACAAGATAGCCCATGTTTTTCAACAAGATAATTCACTCCCCTAAGTGTCATATCGTCACAAAGTTGATCCATCAAAGATTGATAATCAGTGAACGTTATCATACCCCCCTCATCCTTCCAGATCATGAAGTCGTAATGATACATTATCTTCAACCACAACAGTTTTTTATGCCTAACGCACCGAAGGCACGAACTCATATGGTCCATCACTCTGCTTCGAGCCGCCTTATCTTGTTTATGAGCCCTTCTCTCCCATAAAGGCCTAGAGCGAGACACATATGTGTAATCACAATAATTCATGGCGATCCTAATAAGCGCGGCGTCTCTGAGTTGTGTTTTCGAGTAAGGTTTTCGAGTTGAAAAGGTTGTAATCGTATCATATCTCACTTGGAACTCCAGTAGCCAATTGCCGAAGAAAACATGTTTTGCGAGACTATCTCCAGACTTGAAAGAGCATCCGGCAGTAATGTGATCGTCGGCAGGGAAATCAACATATTTTCTGAATTTTTTGGCGGTACTGGTGAATAGCCGAAGGTTGTATCTAAGTTGACGGATGTCTTGATCCTCCAGTACAAATCTCATGGAAGCAAAATCGGGGAGAAATCGCCCGGAATTGGCGTTAACCGGTCGCTGGTAAACGAGGACTGCGGCGACAGTTTTCCAAGTTGCTTCGCTGGAACCAACCATATTTTTACAAATACCAAGGAGGATTGATTTGCGGTATCTATTAAAGAGACGTTTGAAGGTATTCGAGGTTTGTATGAGAGCGAAAAGGTCAGAGGTATTATCAAGAGTGAGAACAACCATGATTAGTATATCAAGGGGTAGCCCTTCAAGATTAAATTTTTTCTCTTTGACACGGTGCCGATGCATATGTCGATGAAGTTTTGGGGCAAGACCACGAAACAGGCATTCCATTTCTGACGGATTAACTTGGGGGCGGGGTTTTGAAAGGAGCAGTCTGATAGATTATAGGAAGGGAGGAATCAGAAAGTTCTGCTGAGGAGGTAGGTTATTGAGAGGCGGGTAACGAAAGAAGCTTAAAGTAGTGTATAATTTAGGAATTTTGAATCATATACTATCACTCGGTCAGCCGAGTATTCTTGGCGCCAAGTCATGGCCCCTGAGTCCTTGCCGGAATCTAATGGTTAAATGGTTAAATACATGTATTTAGTCAAGTTTTACTAATACCCGCCTTGTGTTCCTTGTGTAGTAAATAGTTAAAAAAATATTAAAGAAGATACATAACTGCTTGGAAATGAGTTTATACCCAATACTCAAAGCATTGAACTGCTCAGCTTTGTTTATGATACGCGTCCAGATATTAAAAGAAAATACATTCGAATGAAAAAAATACCAATGATTAACAATGTGAAAGTTATAAAAGAGATCAGTCGTGTAAATTGAAATAAATGGGCAAGGAGAAATTGCACACATTCGTTGGCATAAATGCAAATAACAAACGAAATAGCTAATGAAGCTCCACCGAGTTATTCAAACCATTTTTATACCCCATTGCAAGTAGATACACAGGGGTGATAATAGGCACTATCTTGAGCATAAAGTTTACTCATTCGCGTAGGAGTCTGCAGAGAAGAATGGTTGAACATCCGTTTCCTTCAATGTCAAAAAACGCTCCCCTTCTCTCCAAGTTGCTGGTGGCTTATTAGGCGGCGCTCCGGCTCCAGAGGCAGAACCGACGCTGCTTCTCACACTACTTTTCACACTTCCTACACCGCTCCCATGCCTTATCTCCTCAAGCGCGTTCAATCTCAGTTCAGGCACCTTTCTTCGACCCGTCGCCACTGAATTGATGTTGCCTAAAACGATATGAATAGCAACTTCGAGGTCTTTCACTACAGAAGTAGATTTTTTGAACCAGCTACCACTCCCGTTTGTTGGAACGGTAACCTGGAGTATGTGTTCAACCACGAAATTCAGGTTTTTATTGGTAGGGTCCGTTGAGATGGAGGTAGTAGCAGTAGGGGTGGTATTAATAGGAGATATAGCTGGTGATTTCCCCTTTCCTTTCTCAGTGTACGTTGGTAATGGAATACTATCGGCATTTCCAGAGTTCAAAGCGAGATCAGAAGGGACCAACGGAAGTGTCGCAGTAGGTAGGAGGAAATCGTTGATAAACGTCTGAAACGTAGGAAGGCGGATTTTGATGGGAAGCTCAATGACCTTCCCGCCCTTCAATCCACCGTCTGAGCCATCCATGATGTCAGGATTATCTACCATAGCCTCTCTAACTGTTCTAGCCTCCTCAGGATGAAGAGTGAACTTTCTCCCTGCAAGAACCTTTGACTGCTTCTTCCCAATAACCTTCATGTCCTGTTGATGACCCTCATCCTCGCTATCACTATCTCTATTATTGCCATCGGAATCAATCCGAGCAAGGAATCGTCTCTCGATAACCCTAACACCGAATCCTTTTGGTATTGCCTCGCCATCTTTAACAACCAATCTCAATCCCAGAGTTATCTCCTCGTCAGGTAAGAATTTGGTTTTTGGCAAATCTACTATGAGCTTTGCGACTGTGTTATTATCGTCGTCAATGATTCTGCATGATTTGGTAATTGACAAATCAAGCGGACGAGGTCTATCTATGATCGGCGTGCTGTTGCTTGAAGCAGAGATTGGAATATCTGCAGTTGTCAAGGTTAATTTAGGTTTTGCAACCGTTGCGGGGCCCTGGGATCCAATTTCAGGAGAGAGTGTGTTATTGGCTGGTCCTTCTTTCGCGGGTTCAACCCCCTTCCCCTTCCCGTTGCTTTGGTTCGGATTGGTATCCATCCGAGAAGTAGGTGAATGCAAAGATGGATCAATGTATGGTATAAAAAAGATTTCAAGTGGCTTGCTCTTGTACTCCCCAGTCCTTGATCTTATAGAAGAATCATCGCCTACAGGACCAGTGTGTGCGAGTTTCGCAATGAACGAATACACAAGGTTGGGATTTTTGGATGACGGTGGAAGGTTTAGATATGGGAAATTAAATCCAAAAAGAAATGTACGAAGTCCTTCCTGAAGGTCTTTGGTCTGTAGTTAGCTTTACGGTCTCTATTTCCATGCGCTGATCTAGTTGGCATTTTGAGGAATGTAAGATCTCTCACCTCCAGAATAAACCTCATGGGAGATGTTAAGAAAAGTAAAAAGATACTTGTCAACCTCTGCTACGCCATTGAACGTGACTGTAAGAGTCATGCCCTTCAAGGGCTTCTTAATCCGCAGTGAAACATTTCCTATGGATCGCTGTTAGTAGGCTTATTCCGTCTTGCACCGACGGCAACTTGCGGAGAACAGAAGAGTGCAGGACTTTAAGGTCAAAATAAGATTGGTAGAAGGGTCTACCAATCTATATCGGGTTTGAAAATTAAAATTTCAAAGCAGAAACACTGCTGATACTGACCATTGAAAACAGAGACCGGTCCAAAGACCAATTTCCCACTCTGACCACCAAGTTCCTCGATCTTAAAGTCTTCTACGCAGGATTCCCCTCCAACTCCTCTGAACCTATTTGTTGCTACAACTTTAGCAGCTACAGCATGCCACGCGCCCAAAGGTGTTCGACCGGCAAGCATGTCGAGCGAAGGTGACGTGAAGCTCGAAGGACGCCTTTGAATCGAAATACTGCTTTCTTGTTCGGATAAGGTGGTAGGCTCTGTGCTAGAGGTAGCTACAGCTGGGTGGAATGGGACAGTTTGTTTCGGTACTTCTGCAGGCGATGGATTTAAAGGTGACGTTGTCGAGATGTCCCTCGGTTCAGAAATTTGAGTTGAAGTTGAGGCTTGGGTACGAGCACGGAATGGCCTAGTGCAACAGAGCTTAACTGTCATCGTGATAATGTTAGCAAAGAACAAGGTGGTTTGTGAAATACAGGAAGAGTTATTGTGGCGTGTTGGCGGGGAAGAGAGGAATTAGAACAACGCTTTAAGGTGAATGAAGACATCGCTGTAAAAGCTCTGTTAAGGACATGTATGGTGTGTATGTATAATGCAGGTAGTCCTATCCTGGTATTAGGCTTACAAAAACAGCCAATGCCATTGAATAGCAAAACCAAGACAAAGACAACACATGATAGAATGATATGAGAGACTGACCCACGTACTTGGACGCGACTTTGGAACAGAGGTAAGGCTGAAAGCACTAGGGTTCTCAACAATGATATGTGCTTGTTCAAAAGGTTATGACGCGGAGAATGGTGAACTTTGTATAAATTCTACTTATCTACGTGTAGAGAGAGGCGCAGTCAATTGATGTATGATGTGGCAGGGCAGTTTGTCTAGAGTAAGGTGTAATCCTTGCTGTTTTCATGGCGCAGCAATAAATGGACCAATTGTGAAACTTCCTGGGGCATAGCAGTGTGGAAACTTGGAAGCGAAGCAGGGCTAACCGTATACAGTTAATATAAAGAATGCTTATTTGCTTTTCCTAAGAGTTTAGATCTCAAGGAGGGTAACTTCCTTGCTTCTAACGATGCATATGCAGATGCAAGGGTCGAGCTCGAATCATGGCACACCTACGAGAACAAAATGTCACTGCAGGTACTTAATGCACATCCAATAGGTTCACCAGCGGCTCTGCACTCAGTTTTCACTCCGTATCCACACACATGAGCAAGTTAAATATTAGTCGACCAATGTTCATAGACTTGCGTGAATTCTACAAATGTTGGGATGAGATTAGTTACGGGATACCCCAAGCTGAAGCCTATCTAAGTCGCAACTGTATTTACATAGGTATATATGAATTATATGTTGTAAAGAATCACACAAGACGTTGAAATTACCGTCTTTGGCGACTCATCTTGATTACACCCTCTACTCTTAACTACATGTAAAAGATCAGGTAGTTTTAATGTTAATGAGACCGTTCATCTTCGATTGAATTAGTAGACATTATATAGTACGTACTGATTGCAGTATTTATAACATGTACATGCATCTATATGAAGTACATCTACATGTACTTACATGTGATTACATACAAGTAAACCTCTATACTTGCTCTAGATCTATTGATTTGCAAAAGTTTATATATACGTATTGGAATTTTAAAGCACTGCAGCATGTAGCTTTCGACTTCATTCAATAATATCAAAACCTACACGTGTTAACCGTTTTCATTGTGAAAGATGATCAAAAAAATCCGGGGGTCTCTGGCTTGTACTTGCCGGATTTTAAAGAGTAGGACGGAAGTACAAGGAAGGGTGAGTCGCAACCGTACGTGCTTACACCTGATATAACACCTCCCAACACCGAGCAAGTATCATAACCATACGTTTTTCTGGAGGAAAATACTAGTATAGTATATTGGTAACAATAATTATCAAGCATAGTGGATTGAATTCATTGCATTGGGCTTCGTCAAGTTGGGCCTTGTTGCGTTGCGTTGCGCTGTTGCGGTACTGAGGTTGTTGTATTTCCGTCCTACTCTTTAAATTTGGCAAGTAGACGTTTACAGCCGTTGGAAAATTCATCATCTAGTGTAAAACAAACATCGGTTTGACATATGCACTACCCCCGGACCCTACACAGCCCATCGGTTATTTCTTAAATCATTCTTGGTGATTTTATCCGATCCTCAAGAAATTCACTCAGGCTTGCAGGAAATCCATTCCAGTAAGAGTTTTTAAATTCGGCTGCACTACATGATATCTATCAGCTCCAATTACTTCTCACTTTGAGTCTGATTTATCCTTCGAGTGTTTGCTGAAGTATGTGCTGATTGGTGATATCATGCGAGGATGGGTTAGCGCCAAGCCGAAGAAACTTCTCGCACTCTCATCTCCATCGTCTAGATCCTCTGCCTTTTCCCTTCCAGATTCAATGAATTCAGAAGCCAATGATATAACCAACATCCGCTACAGTTTTGGGTACGTGTACTCCTAACTCGTGAACGCCAATGACACTGCAGAAAGTTTATCCTTTAAACAAGATTTCTGTCAGACATATACCGGATGTCTCGCACAGAGGCAGTACTCTGTCAGCCCCAAGAGATGTTTCGGCATCCGATCTAAAGCTTCGAAGCGGGGATTCGACCCGAGTTTCGTTTTTGTGAAAGCAGAGAAGAAAACGTTTAGAATTCTGCAAGCCAGAGATCAAGCTTCATCCTAAGGTGCAGTTATTGGCTAGAGTGACTCACTTTCTGATTTATGTCGTTGCGCAACTGATTAGCTGGGCCTTGTAGGTTCTCCTATTCGGGGCACCGTAGCTTTCCCCTCCTTCCCTCCTAGATGCTCATGTCGAGCCCTCCGTTATCTTTTGAACAACGTAGCTAACATTGCTGGACCTAGTCTTCCTTAACCTCCCTACTTCATTCTGTGTCCAGCCAGGGTGGGATGCTCAATGGCGATGAGACATCTACCATGAAAGACCGAAGGAGGTCACCGAACACCTCGAATAAGCCCAGCAGGTGGGAATGGAGAACTCGATGGTTATCGACATCTGATTCTTTAGTGCCGGTGAGGAGAGTTACTCTCAGTAACTATTCCGGCGGATGTCAGGTGAACAGTGATCGCCTCGTTATCATGATTAAAACCCACGCTAGGTTCTATCTCCGGAAGGCATGCGACTTCTCTGGATGTGATATAGAGATGATGTTCTTATTAAAGGCGGGCTATTGACATACACTTCTGACCCAAGAACATTTTTCATGAGCTGTGTGTATGATTACTAATCAAGTGTCATCCAATCAGAACGAAGTATCGAACCACGTTTTTATTTCTCACCTTTTTGTCGAGGAAACAATACAATCGTTGGAACCGACCTATCCGGAATCGATCAGACTTACAGGCAGAAGTGATCAGAAGCCTCTTGTCGTATCGAATCTAGAGATAGCTTCAACACTTTGCCCCGCTCCCGCTCCCCGTGCTTCTCGGAAGCTTTTCTTAGATAGGTCATGCTCAATTGATGAGCTAAAATGGCGGATGATCCTGATAACTATCCTAGAAACCCTCGTTTGGAATGCCTCACTACACCTATGGGAAAATAACATCATGGAAAACAAAATGGCATGCATATTCGGCAGCAGGAAGCGCTGAGGAGTTGAGAATTCTGATAGAGGTTTTCAATCACCAATCATCTTATGCGACCCTTGGGCATTCGAAGGCAAATAGTACCGTGTGCATTGAGCGAAAGGGTTAGGGTTTCTCACCATAGTTATCTGCGAGTAGTCGGGGGAAGGGTGTGGATTGATGTTCATGCAGAGTGATGGGTCTAAGGTTGCGATGTGAAAATTAATGCGAGATACGAAAATTCGAGATCATCCGGGAAAACATCCGGATGGGTAGCTCGTGCAGCATCACAGGCGGGAAAAAACAAGTAATTGGCCGAGATGATTTTGGCGACTTCAATCGCATATGAGGACCCTTTTACCGAATAGGCCCTCGGGAAATAAGGTTTGAGGTCATTACTTTAAAAGAAAGTTGACACTGCCATCTTTATGTCTCGGCTATCGAGTAGGTTCTCTGGTAACTCTACCCAGAACTTGCAATATAAGTAAGGGTTTCAAATTATCAATTGCAGTAGAGTAGAGATTCATAAGGTACATTGCAGTAGTAGTAAGCCCGACTCCAGTATATACATTAGTTCGGGAAATTTAGGAAGCGCTCCAACGGGTTTGTCACCGGGGAGATGAAATAGGCGGTCACTGCAGTCATGAATGGAATTACTGTGATGTCGCTGCAAGACTCTTACACGCCAGCCACATGGCAGGACCGTGGGCGGGAGCGCGCATAGAGTGTTCTACTGTCTACCAGTACATATGATTAGGTAGAGGAGAGGGAGTAAGCACATGTGTAACACCCAACTAATCCAGTGCTGGACGTCATCAGAATTTACTGCTGGAGCTGGAGGGAGGGATAACTGCGATTATAATGTTTGAAACTTGGTACTGTAGCCTATGCGACGTATGTAGTCCAGAGTACCTACATGTATGTAGATACTTCCAATTCTAATCCTTGATTTTCCAATGTTCTGTCGAACTACAAAGGAAAACATGTCAACGGCTGGGTAAACTATGACGAAGACGGAAGGAAGATCCGCCAAGCCCATTTCACGCTGAGCCCCACAGTTTTCCAACAAACAGGACGCCGAGAAGGTATCATGCATGGCATATCAAAGGTTCCAATTTTTCTATCTGGCCTGGTTGGTAACTCGGTAACCACTGCCATACTTTCCGTGAGCATTTCAGTGGTGAAATTCTGTAAAACGGATAATCTTACTTAGTTGTACATACATACCCCTACACCCCTAACAGTCCCCACAACCTTGAAGGATCCGGAGGTCATTCGAACTTTTCAACTTGACGAACACGGGACTGCCTAGTAAACCGCAACACCCTCTCTCAAAATCACTGTCTGTCACTTAAACAACTAGCTGTGCTTTTTCTTGCTTTCCTCCCCCCTAAAGACTGCACAGTCCTTCTCCGCAGCCAATAAGTGTCCCTTTGTGAAGCACGCCCGCCGGCTGTCTCGCCTCGGTACCCCCTCATTCCGAATTTCTTGTCTGACTGTTCTCAGTTTTGTGCCCCACAAAGGCTTCCCACTATCGTGATACCAATATCTCTTGTATCACGTTGCCCTGTTAACAGCAGCTCAGTTTCTAAGCTTGGCTGCTCTATCCCTATTTCGATTTTCCTGCGCTCCAGTGCAGGAATTGCTTAAAATACAGCCATCATAGATTCCCAACCTCCTCTTCCTGAGGGGGATAGCACGGTTCCAGTCGAATCTTTTCAGCTCCAAGACCTTTCATATATCCGTGATCAACGCCGGAGAGACGAGAAACAGAAGAGAGACGACGAAAAGTTTATCAGACGACTTGAACAAGCCGAATTAGGCATGAAGTTCTCCCACAGTATCCAGTTCAATGCAGTTCCAGACTGGAGCTCTCATTACATCGCGTATTCGAATTTGAAAAAACTGTAAGTCGTTCCAGATTCCAGCATTGTTTTAGGTTAACTAGGGGGCTCTAGTGTTGATTTGGCTAATCTCTTGACAGCATCTATACCCTCGAGAAGAGTGTTGTCCAGTCACAAGCTCATCCCGAAGAAAACGAAGAATCGGCGCTCATTCCACGAGGAAGAGATGCCGAGCCAGATGTGATTTTCCGGAGGGCACTCGACCATGAGCTCGAAAAGGTCCTTTCATTCTATAAGTCGAAAGAGAGTGAGCTCCTGAAGGAAGTTTTTGAGCTTTCTCTCGAAGCCAAATCGTTTGAGGACGGTAACGATGGTGACGGAGGATCCTCGATATATGGCGGGAGCAATAGCGGGAGAAGACGCAGTGTAGGGCCTTCGGGGATGACACGAACGAGAAGTAACGACTTCCAAAGTGATAGAGACGAGGAGTCAGATGCTTCTGACGAGGATGGCGAGGATGCACAAGCATCAGGCCTACTTCCGAAGATAAAAAGAGGAAGAACGTGGAATAAGGATAGCTCACACAGCCATCAGAGCCATCAGAGCCATGGACCTTCGGACTCCCGGAGACGTGATTCTCAAATCTATGATGACTTTCATGAGCAGTCGATCGGTGCATTATATGATAAGAAGATTATGTTAAAGAAGCGGAGTATTTCGTTATTTGTTGCCTTGAGGGAACTGAAAAGCTTTATTCAGCTGAACAGGACGGGTTTTACGAAAGCGTTAAAGAAATACGACAAGATCATGAACAGCCACCTGAAGGAGGAATATATATCGTCTGTGATTGAGCAATGTTACTGCTTCCGGAGGGCCACAACAATTGAGTTGGATAATGCTATCGCCAAGATTGAAGAAATATACGCAAATTTGATCACTAAGGGAGATGTGGAGGCCGCTAAAAAAGAGCTTCGTCTTCACCTCAGGGAGCACGTTGTATGGGAGCGCAATACGGTTTGGAGAGAGATGATTGGTATTGAGCGAAAAGCTCAGGCGGCGAACATGGGACTGAGAAGGACTTTGCTAGGGGACAACACGGACCCCACAAACGCTAGGTTAACAGGAGACGAACCGGAGGTTTCTGCAACGAAGGAGCTTGCCACACCTGTTGGCAGGATTAGATATCCAACTTGGCTATTTACCCCTGGGTTCTTTACGCTATTTGGTATCATTAGTATATTTGTGATACTATTGATCGTCCCAATCTCCGAGAGCCCAGAGCAGCATAACTGCTTTGCTATGCTGGTATTTGTGTCTCTTTTATGGGCAACAGAAGTAAGTTTCATCACTATTACACAAGTTAGTAATTCAATCTGATCACAACGGTACTATAGGTTATCCCTCTCTTCGTAACCTCTCTCCTTGTCCCATTTTTAGTAGTCATGTTACGGGTTGTAAGAGAAGACGCCAAGGGTCATCGTCGTCTTGAATGCAATGAAGCTACAAAATACATCTTTTCGGCAATGTGGACTCCTGTGATCATGTTGCTTCTAGGAGGATTTGCGATTGCTGCAGCACTAAGTAAATATGGCATCGCTAAGATGCTTGCAACATTTGTTCTTAGCAAGGCAGGAACAAGACCCAGGACTGTACTGGTGACCAACATGTTCGTAGCTATGTTTGCGAGTATGTGGATCAGTAACGTCGCTGCGCCGGTTCTGTGCTTTTCTATTATTCAGGTGGGTAGTTCCAAGAATCGTCTTAGCTCCAATATACTAACTATTTTTTTGTGTGTGTAGCCAATGTTGAGGAACTTGCCTTCAGAATCGAGGTTCTCAAAGGCATTGATTCTGGGAATTGCCCTGGCCTCCAATATCGGAGGCATGGCATCTCCTATCGCCAGTCCCCAGAACATCATTGCGCTTCAAAATATGACCAATCCTCCTAGCTGGGGTAGTTGGTTCTTTGTTGCCCTTCCTGTTTGCATTCTCTCCATTCTTGCGATATGGGTACTTCTCTTGGTTTCATTCAACCCTGGGAAAGGCACAGTTATTATGCCAATTCGTCCGGTTAAAGACAAGTTTACTGGTGTCCAATACTTTATCACACTCACCACACTTGTAACGATCGTTCTCTGGTGTTTTTCCCATCAATTGGAGCATGTTTTTGGTGATATGGGAGTTATTGCGATTATTCCCCTGGTTTTGTTCTTTGGAACTGGTGTTCTGACAAAGGAGGATTTCAACAATTTCCTGTGGACGATCATTATCCTCGCAGCTGGAGGCCTCTCCCTTGGCAAGGCAGTCAATAGCTCTGGACTCTTGCACACGATTGCTCTCGCCATCAGGCAAGAAGTAGAAGGGATGAGCTTGTATGGTGTACTGGTGGTGTTTTGCGGATTGATACTCGTAATCGCGACATTTATCAGCCACACTGTTGCTGCTTTGATAATTTTACCTATAGTAGCACAGGTTGGTGCGGGGATGGATGAGCCACATCCAAATCTATTGGTTATGGGCGCAGCATTGATGTGCAGTGCCGCGATGGGACTACCGACGTCAGGCTTCCCTAACATGAGTACGTTTTACTCTCTCTCTCTCTGAAGCATTGCGATTTAATAAGTGTATGTGTATTTACTAACAATGTCTGTAGCGGCGATCATGATGGAAGACTCACAGACTGGGCAAAGATATTTACGTGTTCAACATTTCATTAGTAGAGGTATTCCAAGCAGTGTGATCACTTTCGGAATCGTCATCACAGTTGGGTACGGGTTGATGCGGATTGGTGGTTTCTAATGAAACAAAAACCCGGTCTTGTGCATGTTACCGAAAATTTCATATTCACTTCGAGGTTGGATTTGAGCATGAACTTTATGCGCTAAGAGCTAACGGACAGTTTATGAGCGGGGTATATTCTTTTTGCATCTATGGGCTTGATATAGGGGTTGATTTCAATTGCTTTGGGTGACTGTACGTTATTTTTTTCCAGCGGACTGCATATATGCCTATTGCTTGGATTTTTTTCCATTGAGCTTTGTTGGTTTTAGGGTCGGGGTTCAATAGTGTAACAGTAGTATTCAATGTTATGTGGTCGTAATTGAATATTGTGTGCATTGCTGCTGTACGGCGCCGGAAACAACACACCTATCAAAACAACCCAAACCACAATTGTAACGTGCGGAACGGCAAATGACTTTGGTTTGACAAACTTGGAGTATAGGCTGTTAAAAGTCCCAATATAAGTGAAATAAACCCAGAAAATTCAGCCTAGATATTTATCATGGAAGTGTAACTTTATGGAGGTTGTATATGGCGGCGCGTATGTATGTATCTTACTCCCGAAGCTACATAAATCTCTATCATCCTATCCTGGAAACATATGTACATCATCTCTACACGTGATTTAAAGGTTTCTGGTGGCGCCCCCATGTTCGAGCTTTTTGGTGCTCTCTCCAACTACCGGCTTTAACTATCGGCCTACTCTAGGAAGGGAAGTTTTTAGTCCCGCTAAACAACTTCACGTCATACATTGTAAAGTGTACTTTACCAGTGTTTTGTCTCAGCCAGAAGCTCGGTGATATCATTCTGGGCTGGCTCTACCACAGGACTAGCTAGAGCTGTAGTTGCACAGCCAAGAAAATATCGATCTGATGGAGAGATCTCTCTTCCAATCAATTAGATGGGATGAAGTAAGGCACCTACACCTACACTCAGTGAATTGACATCATAGAACTAGCTACCCGAGAGATTCCAGGGGTTACATACATAAGTAGTTTTGTCACGGGGTCTCTCACAACGTCAATCATTGATCCAGTTGTGTCTGAGAATTGTGGATCGATCTGCCTCGATAGTTTTGGGTTGGCTCACCCCCGATCTCCGCACAGCGTGGCCTTTTAATCCTGTAGGTGCTGCAGAGTCCCTGGCTTGGCTAACGGAAGTGTAGCTTCGTATCAAGGCAATTTCTTTAGGACGTTGCCGTATCGATGGGGCCCTATCGTGGTATGGATATCGACTTACGGCCAAGATGCTGCCCTTAAGATAAAGAAAGTCAAGTTGTTACGTATGTGCGGATATCACTGGTAATTCCGGTGCATAACTGCATGTGTAGTCCACTATTTGATTGATGAGCCGTAAATGTATACTTTCTGGTCAGTATGTATCTTTTTGTACCCCACTGAGTGATATCCAGTGATTCGATTGGCCACAGCCACAACGCTGATAGGCTACTACATATCATAGCCTTCTCAGCCAAAGCATTAGGTTCCCTTAGAGGAGAACAAATCGTATCTCTCTTTCATCTCCCCTTCCTTCCACACCTATGCAATGAGTTTCTGCGCAATTCCTAGCTGGGAGCTCATGTAGCTATCCTTAAACACCACCAGTTAGTACACAAGGCGTACTTATATTAGTCGCGCCCCGAAACATACACTTCGTGAAGGCCCCCCTTTGATCCTGAAATCGATACTGAGGATTATGTACAGCGAAGGTAATAAGTGATGGAACGCCCCGAGAGTACAAACACCAAATGTTGGTGGCGTTTTACCAAAACAGGTATTGCTCTGTTCCATCACTTATTACCTACCGCTGTACATATAGGTACATACAAGGTAAGTGGCTCATCCCATTATCACATGGGGCGCTTTGAACTAGCTGTTTGATAGGCCAGTTGGCCCCATAATGTGATGAGATTTATATAACCAATAGCCACTACCGACAGAAAATCATTTATGTACCTCTTTAGTATTTTGCTGCACCCGGGGATTGTTGCGTAATGTTTTTCAGTCATGAGATATCACGCCCTGGGTTCTATAAATAGAACATGTACCAGAGAGTCCTTCTGTAATGACCAGACATGTCCGTTAATGAGAATACTAAATCACGTTATGAGAAAGGTATTTAGACCCACTAACCCCGCTGTTGATGCTGCCCACCCCACCAACTCTCCAACTTCGTTATCCTATGTTATATAAACCCTGACCATTGGGGCCCTGGAGGTACCTGGATCAAACATCACTAGGAATGACCCTCTCCAACAGCCAGTTTGGAATTCCGGCACCGGGACCAATTTCGCAATTGCCTCCAGGAGCCTTCACGTCCCAGGCGGATGGTTCACATATAAAGTGAGCATGAGTGTGTCCACACCTTCCGCAATTGCAACCAGGAACCTGGTCACCAACAAGAATGCAGCTCAGAGAGCTATATAAAGCCCAGGATAAACCTTCAAACAAGCTTCTTTTTCATGGGATCGATAGTTCTGTTCTGTTGGCCTGGGAGCTCCAACGGCTGTCGGGTCTATTGTTTCCTCTGCCCGGTTTGGCGGGATCAGCTATGGAACGGCATCGAAATCTTCCCTGTTTAGAACAGAATGTTGGCCTCGAATGGCGCTAGGCAAAAACTTGGGGTGTTTCAATCCCCAATGGGGTCTTTGGGGGCTAACTCTACCCCGAGGTGCGCTTAATGATAGATGTCCACTACCGAGTACTTGAGTTATTGCTAGAACACGGGTCTATCAGTACCAATGCTGTTTATATCACTGGCGAGACCATCACACGTACGAACGTCGATGGGAACCTTCGAGGGCACATCGGGGCGAGAAAGCGCTGGGAGGGACCCCGAGGCACGGAACAAACTAACACCGGACCCGGAAGAGTCTTCATCGCCAGCTGGCTGTGGAGGGATTATGCTATCAATTTTTCATTACCCCTTCTTGCGTTTTGTAATAAGGCAGTGCTCGGCAGAGCTAGAGGCCAGATGTTGCTTTATGTAATGGGTGCCATACGCCCAATATATAATATCAGGCATAGTGGGGAATATATATACGCTACCGGGTGATCTACAGGGCTCTCGAATCGAAGATACAGGGCATGCGTACGTACACGCCCCTCATATAGTGGAAACGACACTACCAGTAGAAGAAGGCTGACGCAGCGTGGCAGCCAGATCTTCTCTTGTCTTGTCTTAGTCTCTCTCTCTCTTTTTTGTTCTTTTTATATCTACACCTGCAAGAGCTAAAAGTGTGAAAAATGATCGAATAGGCAACTATCTATGCAAAAAAGGGCAAAGCAAAAAGCAAAGCAGAGCAGAGCAAGAAAGCATAAGAAGGATAAACTCCAATATAGGTATGATGAGTAATTTCTTATAGCAAAAATGGCAGCAGAAGAAGTAGTAGTAGGAGGAAGAAGCAGGAAAAAAGGTCAACAGATGTACAGCAACATCCCCTCGTGTGGTTATAGACGAGCAGCTTAGTCGTAGAATCTGCGGTTGGGGTTGGGCCCGAATATGGTGGTACGGATGGATGGCAAGGCTTCGGTTTCGAGAAGCTTGAGGCGCTGTTCGAGGGTGTTGTCGATTGAGATCTTGCCATTACTACCGGTGATCCAGACACCACCGTGGCTGGAAATACTATTAGTGGAGTAGGTGATAGTAAAGGGACAGCAGGACTTACCATTCCTCTAGCGGCCAGTCATGATCAACATTAACAGCAATATCCTCCCCAGCCATCTGCTTATATATTTCCTTCGCCTTCTCCACTGCCCTTCCAACGATATCATTATCGCAGCTTCTACACCTGAGCTCTACGCTTGGCTCGTTCATTAAAAACAGTCCCTCCAACACCATGTTGGTCAACACCTCCTCGTATCTTCCATGGTCCTCACAAATTGACTTCAACTGTCCTCTGGTGTCCTCAAAGATGCCGTCCAGCAGGGCCTGACGGGCCGACAAAACCTTGATACGCGTCTTGTTCTTCACGGTACTCTGGGCTATCTGCTGCGAAAGCGACGCCTGCTTGTATTTACGCTCGTACTGGGTGTCGATTGCGGCGGTCTCGGCACGCACGAGACGGCTCTTTTCAATGGCGAATTCCTCGTCGGCCTTGATCTCGATCTCGCGGGCTTTTTCGAGGGCTTCCTGCTTGATGAAGGCTACCATCTTCTTGAGCTCGCCAGCGACCTGGGTGGATGTGAGCGGGGGGGGGGTTCTTCTTGTTATATATATATAGATTACATATTGGGGGGTTTGTGATGGATGGGTTATGAGAGAGATAGCTATGTGTGTGGTGGGGGAGGAGGGGGGGGGGGTTCGTGATAGAGCTCTGTGGAGGAGGATGGTGGATGCGGGAGCTACTGTGGACTACTAACCTGGTCATCACTAAGTGCGTGGGCCATTGTGAGGGCTCGTTAGGACGATTAACTACGTGAGGAGCGGTTTCTGTACAAGCAGCGAAAGCGATAGCTGCGATGAAGGGTATCGAGAGCGGACACGAGGAGTGAGGGTGGTGGGGACTTGGGTGTTGAAGATTAGACACGAAAGGCGGGGGGGGTGGTGGTTGAGAGTGAGAGTGTCTTGTCTGTGGTTGCAGTCTGCGGAGCTCCAACCAGTGAGTGACGGTGACGACGATACGTACGACCGGGAGGCTCCGCATGCTGTAAGTGGACAATGCAACGGCCGGGAGTTTTCGCGACTAAAAACGCCTCTCGGATGCTCCCCAATAGATGAAAGGGGTAACCGATGGGTTGCGGGAGAGTTGTATGCATATTGGTTGAACTGCTTCATTCGTTCGTTCGTTGAGTTCGAGGGGAGCAGCAGCTCACGGATGTCAAAATACAGGGAAAGCTCTGCTGGGGATGCGCGGGTGGTGTGTGCATTTACTTACTCTAGTTTTTTTCATGTGGGCATGATCACACAAGGTTGTTTATTTTGCGGAGAAGCAGGTGCTACATTGATATAGAGTGTAACTACAGTGGTGGATAGGGTTTTTTTCTTTGTATTTATTTATGGAGAGTGCTGCTGCTGCTGCTGCTTCTTTGATCTCCTGCTCGGAGAGGATATATTTTTGTCCGTTCGCGTAAACACCACCACGGCCACTCGGTGAAAAGGCTTTTGAGGACGGGGGGGAGGATCCAAAGTGCAGCACCTGGGGGGCAGTTATAATTACTCTTTACTACGCATGTACCCTGTTGCTGCTCCTCTGCCCTATGGATGTTGGGATCGATGCATGTAGTCCCCCATGCGAAGTAAAAGGGGAAAGTCGCCGTCTCTTTCTTTCTCTACATACTCTAGAAGAAGTTGGATTCCGACATCGTGCAATTATACAGACGTCTCCCTCCGTCCAGTCTTTCGTTCTCCCATAATTACTTCTTTTCCTTTTTCCTAGGAGATCCTCGCCTCCTCAACTGTCTGTCAGTCAGCACTAGAGCTTACATACTACTAACTGCTTCTTGAGTTAGCTGCACAGAGACAGTACTGTAGTTACCTGCTGCTGCTGCTGCCCAACCCCTTCCCCTCCTTCTCCCCACGAACGAAACCAAACCATCATTTCCTTGTTTTGCATTCCACTTTCCTTCACCAAGCATCTGCTAGTACTACTTACTTGCTTGGTTTCTATACTACGTATATCACGCCCGACATAAACATAAACATAGCATCTACATCAGCTGCACCTGCCGGTCCCTTAATCACCTCCAGACAACACCACCACACCACATAGACATACATACATACACATACATACATCCCATCTGTATCTATCCGTGTAGGCCCACCAGTCCTCGACACCCTCCGCCATCATACCGCCACCCCCTCCTCCACCCCCTCCACAGCTCCCATGGGCCTCGGCGACCTCTCCCCAGGCGCCCAGCTCACCATCGGCGTTAGTGTCGGCGTTCTCAGCACCAGCATCCAATCCCTCGGACTAACCCTCCAGCGCAAGTCCCACCTCCTCGAAGATGCCCTCCCACACACGCACAAGCGGCCGCCACACCGCCGGCGCCGCTGGCAAATCGGAATCCTCCTATTCATAGTCTCCAACATCCTCGGCTCGTCGATCCAGATCACCACACTGCCGCTGGTCATCCTATCGCCGCTGCAAGCCTCGGGCTTAGTCTTCAACAGCATCTGCGCGACGCTGATCCTTGCGGAGCCCTTCACGCGGTACAGTCTTGTCGGCACGCTGCTGGTGTGCGTGGGGGCGACGCTGATTGCGGCGTTCGGCGCAATGAAGGAGCCGGCGCACAGCCTCGACGAGCTGCTGGAGCTCCTGGGCACCCGCGGGTTCGTGCTGTGGATGTCGGCGACGGCGCTGATGGTGGTGGCGATCCTGGGCGGGGTGAAGGCGTGGGCGGTCATGCGGCCGCGCACGAGGAGCGCGCCGAGGGTGCGCCTGATGAGGGGGATCGCGTACGGTTGCGTGAGGTATGTGCTTTGCCCCGCCGCGCGCTGCTGCTGGGACTGGCTGCTAACCCAACCCCCTCCCCGTCCGTAGCGGAATCTTGTCGGCGCATTGCCTGCTGCTTGCAAAGTCGGCGGTCGAGCTGCTGATCAGGACCATCGTCGACCGCAGTAACCAGTTTAATAGGTGGCAGTCGTGGATGATCATTGTTGGCCTGGTGACGCTCGCGCTCACGCAGTTGTACTATCTCCACCGCGGGCTGAAGCTGTGCTCCACGAGCGTGCTGTACCCGCTCGTCTTCTGCGTCTACAACATCATCGCCATCCTCGACGGGCTCATCTACTACCAGCAGGCGTCGCGGCTCTCGGTCCTGCACGGCTGCTTCATCGCATTAGGGACCGTCATCCTGCTCAGCGGCGTGTTTGCGCTGTCGTGGCGCCTCGAGGAGGAGACGGCGACGGCGGCCGGGAGCGCGCTGTCGCCCGGCGTGGGCTTCGTGGATACGGACGACGAGGAGGAGGGCGAGATTGATGATACGCTGGCGTCGCCGAGGTTCTTGAGGAGGCGCACGATGAGCCAGGCGGACCAGATCTGGGGCGAGCTGCTGGACGAGGAGGCGGCGGAGGAGGCCGATGAGAGGTCGGGGCTGCTGCAGAGGAGTGTTAGCTCGCCAGGGGGAAGGAGAAAGTGGGGCAGGGAAAGGAGGGGTAGCTATATGTTCCCGCGGGTGGGCGGCAGCGCGAGGAGGGTGAAGAGGCCGCAGGATGCGATGGGCGGGTGGTGGAAGTTGGGGTGGTGGAAGGGGAAGGGGGAGGAGGATGCGGCGGCGGTGGCAGCAGGAGCTGAGGGGAGGAGGGTTAGTGTGGGGACGCTGGGGAACTATGGCGGGACGGGTATGGGGAATAGAGAGGTCGTTGTCGTGGATGGAGAGGTCTCGCGATGATCTTGGACGAGTACCGCCCACCCCCGCCTTCCTTTTGTTCTTTTTGTTTTTTTGTATTTTTTTGGCCTGGTCTGCCGTTGCATCTGTGGCTGTGTGTTTGTAGTTTTATTTTTTATGGGTCTGGTCTGTATGGGATGGGGCGGGCGGGTGGGGGAAGGGGGGCGGGCGGGACTGATAACTTGTACTTACATTTTACTCTTATTTTTTTCTTTTTTTCTTCTCTCGATCTTTCTTATATTATGTCTCTTTTTTGTCACTTCTTGATATATTTATTAGGGCGTTAGTAGTCTATTTGATCTGTTAGGAATATTCTTTTTTTTCTTCCTTGTTTTCTTTTGACTGATATTGGTTTTTTTTCCCCTTTTCCGTGGTGGTTTTCTCTCTCTTGTGTGTTATCCTGCTGGGGGCTGGTGGAGTATGGGGAGGGAGTAGAGGGGAGTAGAGGGGAGTTGGGAGTAGAGGAAGGGAGAGTGTGTATAGATGGCCGGAGTGGGTTATACATATACAGCGGTGGTAGAGCGAAGGGTGAGTGTGAAGACGAGAGATTGTGGGGCAATGAGAATAAGAAGAAATTCGGGAGATTGATATATATATGGCAGCACTGGAGAATTTGAAAGAAATTGGTCAAAGAATCAAAGGAACGGGAAGGAACAGAAAAGTGGAATGGAGCGTGGTGCATGCAGGTATATATATACATGTGCAGAGGATCGATGACGGGAGAACTACGTATATATGCACCCGGGCCCCCCATACGTTGCTGGATTCTGTATATAAAAGGGCAATAAGACTGTCGTTATATAAATTGTGGGTTGGGGGGCGAGTGATGGTTCGTGATTGAATTGATTGGGTCCGACGAGAAATTCCGCAATCTATTGTACAAGTACGTTCGTGGTGGATTGTGACTACAGGGTTAGGTGTTGTCCCCCCTAGCCTGCCTTGCCTTGTCCCCCATCCCCTTAAATATTGCTTCCCGGTCCTACAGTTGTGCGGGCGTGGTAGTCTAGTGGTAGACGCCTCGTCCTGTCTTACACCGTGTGGGTTGAGCCCATGATCGCCCGGAGACGTCCGGAGGTCGTGAGTTCAACTCCGGGGGTGGGAGGGGTGGGAGGGAAGTACGACACTTTCACGGGAAGCAGTGTTCAATCTCGAATTGGAACCTGTAGACCGTGGGGTGGCGTATAGTCGCAGCATCTACTTTTTGTGGATATTTTATTACCCATTTTTTCTTTCTTTTTCTGAAGGGGGTATGAAGAGGGAGCTGGAGGGGTATGTGTGATATCGATTGAAAACTCTACAATTAATTGCAGATTGAACTATCTTAGCCTTATCGCTCACTACTTGGCTAATCGGTCTCCAGGGCCGGTTGTAGGATTAGGCCGGTTTAGCGAAACTCTTCCAGGCCATACTTTTCTTTTATAGTATAGTAGATATCGATAGGATCTACCCCCCCTCTCGAGCCTGGAAGAGACCATGCCCGCCGACCCAACAACAAACAAAAAGTCGGCGGGGCCGTCCTGCGAGTGATGGGCTATGATCCAAATACCCTTTCTTTTTTTTATTTAAGATCCAAATACCCTCACAAGACCTGCATGCAGGATAGCCTACGTTTCTGCTGCGAGTTGTAGGGTTCGGGCTTTATCTAGGACAGGGAGAGGGGTGTTTGGGTAGTTTTTTATGGCGTGTGTAGCTAGGTAGCTTTGGGGTGTAGTGGTTTATATTATCATTGTTAAGTTTGTATAGTTAACTAGGCGGTATATTTCACGGCGAGAAATAGTTGGATCGTAGTGTGTGTGGTGGGGGGTATGTGTATGTAGGTATAGTGCCGGGCGACTCCCACTAAACCTCCAAGACACAAAACATATATGAAAGAACGGTACTATGTTTCCGAGGAAGGTGTGCACACTTGGCAAAGTTGTTGGCCCATGATTCCGCCTCAGCCATACCCACTACAGCCCTGGCTTCTGGGTGTGCAGTCCATCCCTATAAGGTACCAAGCTGCTATTACACGTTGAGAGGCACGAAAGGTTCACTAGGCTTTTTATTTCCCCCAGAAGTAATATTATTGACGCAGGGGTGGGTAGGCTGCAATTGAACCCCACGACCAGTGAGCAAATGATGCATTCATTAATCTCGCATCCAAATCCCTTTTTAGAAAGAAAAAAGTACTACCACGCCATGCTAGCTAATCATTGAATAGAAAAAGAAGAAAAAGGCGCTCAAGTCTCTACGAGACTTCACCTCGGGAGAGAGAAATGCTCACTGACCCGGCACTATACCCCCAGGGACCGGCAGCCACTGTCCCACATCCCCAAAGTCGACCTCCACCTCCACCTCCACGCGCTCATCCTGCACCAGCCCCGCCTCAACCAGCAGCCGCCGCCCCTCCATCGTATCATTCACGCAGCTCAGCACCTCCCACACGTCCACGACGCTGCGGTCGACCGCCTTCAGCCAGTCCACGATGCCCGCCTGCACGGCCATCTCCTTAGCCGCGAAGTAGCTCTTCATCAGCTGCGTGAGGATGTAGATGACCTCCTTCTCGGTGGCGCTGTCGGGCGTTGGTGGCAGCGTGCTTTTGAGCGTCGTGACGAGCGTGCGGAAGACTCGTGGAGTGCAGAGTGCGCCGAAGGGGCCTGAAAGAGGGCATTTTAGATTGTTGGCGTGGCGCTGGGTGATTTGGGGGGGGGGGGGGTACTTACCAGGTGCGGCGGCAAGGCAGCGGAGGGCTTTGAGGGCGCGGAGGCGCGGGGCGGGCGGCCGGGTCGAGATCTGCGTGAGGAGGAAGTCGATGTTTGTGGGTGTGGTTGCGCGCTCGGTGATGATCTTCAATGCGCTATTCCCCCCCCCCCCCCCCGGCTCCTCCTCTCAATTAGCACCACCCTTCTTCAATAAACTCGCTACCATTCGGAAGGAAGGAAGGAAGAACTAACGCGTTCCTCAGGTCGAAATTGATCCCCCTCGCCAAAGCCTCCAACGTCTCGAGCTTGATAGCTGCAGACGACATAGTCAGTATCTGCTCCACCATGCGCATGTCAGAGGAAGAACCGTCTTCGGTGGACCTGTCCACGGCTGCATCGTTCGACTGCTGGGGCGGCTTCGAGACGCAGCGCGTCTTGAAGGCCTGCAGCTGGGAGTGCGTCGTGTAGGCGGCGTAGAGCGCGAGCAGGCCTGTGAGGTGTTTGTTAGTTGTGGGGGTTGGTGGGGGCGGGGAAGTACTAGGGGGATTGACCGCCGAGGACGTAGAGGTATGGCGGGGTTGTGGATGAAGACATTGAGAGGGCGGTTGTTTAAACTTGTGCCCTGGTGAAGCTGCTGAGTGACGATGGTGGGGGTGCCGAGACGGGCTGTGATTGGTTGGTGTAGCTAGCTATCACAGCTGTAATCCTTACACTGGCTGGTTTGCCTTGGCGGGAATAAGCTAGTATCTGCGCTCTATGGGGGGGCGGGACAGAAATCGGCACATTGATTGGCAATTAATCGGACACCATTAACAGCTCGATTTGTTCCGATACCCTTTCTATATTTGACCTAGCAGTGTAGTCGGGCCATAATAGGCCAAACTAAACAGAACAGGGAGCTCTCTACATCTCCATGAAACATGCTGGAGGCCAAGAAGCGGTATTCAAGAGAAGGGTTACATCGATAAGATATCAAACCTTCAATTAGCCAACCGACAGCGCTTTCAGTTTTTTTTAGATCCGAGAATTAAGGGCTAGAAAAAAATATCCTTTTTTGGTTCTATAGTGGAGATGGGGGTGCTGGTATAACAGTAACTATCTTGTAATTTAGAGCTATTATTTCGTTCCGTTCAGCTGGGTTGTCTATAGATCTGTGACCGAAGGCGAGGGCCGATGCAATGGGCACTACAAATAACTGGTGTCGGATCCTGCTGGTGATACGAGCGATGTTTAGCATGGACAGCATCTTCATACAGGTATCACAAATCCTGTCACGCATGATACACCAGGCGCATCCATCGTACTGCACCACCGTATGGTTGACTGGCTCCCTATTTATGTGCGTTAGCTCAAGCACATGGGCAGCTGTAGCTTGAAGCCGGACTTAAAGCCCGTCTGACCGGCCTGTAGTAGGTACTCCAAACCTTGTGGAGCCAGATCTAGAGTAGGCGTTGAACTCAAGCGGGTGTTTCAAGCTACTTTCGTTTCTGTACACTTTGGTGAATGGCTTTCTGTGAAGTTGCTTCCAGAAAGACTTGCTTTTCGTTCTGTTTAACTCGCTGATTGGCACTGGCGGAGATAAGAGTTGCAACTGCCGTTTCTGGCTGTAAAGACCCTGCAGATAATACTTTTGGATAGACGAGTTAGCGTATTGTGATGGGAGCGAGTATTGGAAGTGGTGAGAAAACTAAGAAGAGAGGGATCGAGGAAATGGAGGTTTTAAGTTAAGTCACAACCCACCACGTTTAACAACGCTCTCAACTTCGCCACGATATATCCGGCCCGACCGGAATGAAGTAATGGTAAAAGTTGGGCTTGTCTCAAATATGCTCGCGGTGAATATTGCAAGATTTCTTGCTTGGTGTTTCTTTCGTTTTTTGTCGCTCGTAGACAGCTGATTCGAGTGACATCTCATGATTAGTCACCTGTTTGATGAATTGATTGATGTCTTTAATGTAGTGGTTATGTAGATTAAACAGCTTTCTTAGCGCTACATGTACCAATAGCTTTTTCAACGAACTACAAGGTTCGACTTAAAGAAGTGGGTATCAATGCTATGTCATGTAGTATAGAACCACTAGCATGGGGCAGATTATCAGGTTAGGTGTTAAAGCACGTTGCGGCTGTTACGTGGTTGCAAGCAGTTGAGGATATGTGTCAGTTTTGAGAACTATAAGTTAAGCCGCGGTAACCCATTAGTTACAATCATTCTTCCGCTCATGCTCACCCTCCACTCACCCGGGCAATAAATCAAATCTAGAGGAGCCAGAGGAATATTCTCGAGCCCAATAATAGAATCGCCATGCAGGGAGACACTACACTATATCTATAGAGGACGGGTCCGACGGGTCCGACAGACAGATAACGTGAAGATATATGCGGGGTGGGTGCGCATAAATTTTAAATTCCATCATAAACACTCACTCGTTCCAGAACCCTCAACCACAGATTCTCACTCGCATGCCTATAGCTATCGGCTCGCCCTCACTATCACCACACCCACACCGCCAATCACAGCAATTGTCCGTGTCCGAACAAGTTTATATATTGCCAACTTTTAAATCCAAATCCAAATCCAAATCCAAACAAAAAAAGAACCAATCCAACCCATCCGGGTATGTATCCTGCCAGCCGGCCCATACTCCATCCTGTATCCCAGTATCCTTTCTCACTATAATTTCTTCTTTTCCCCTTTTTCCTTCCTACTAACTAAAACCAGTAACAAATAGAACAGACAGAATAGAATAGAACAGGAGAGACCAGCTAGTGGACCAGCCACAGCCACAGCCACAGCACGAAATAACAAGACTCTGTGCCTAGGTTACCCACGACTCGAAAACTCGGATCGTGGCAGGCATACGTATATAATCAGCTGCCTAACTAGCTATCAAAGTGCTACAGGCACCATCACGGCACCGCGTGTCTGAATTCCTTCAAAGCCCAGGAAACCCAAGGAACAAATAAAAGCCGAAAAAACGAAGAAACCAGCCAGCCAGAGACAGAACAGAAAGAAAATCGGATATCAAGATAAAAATAAAAATAAAAAAATAAAAACGATAAACACCACTGCTTCCCGACAAAGGAAAGCGAAAAAAAAAAAAAAAAAAAAAAAAAAAAAAAAACAGGAAGGGAAAGAAAACGAAAACCTAATAATACAAGCAGCAGAAAACACCGAAAGCACCAACAAACCACTCCACCCTTATTAACACCTAAGAATATGACTCAAAAGTCCATGCAATCCAGTTCCCCAAAGTCCAAAGCCCGAGTCCAACCAAGCCTAAACAAACCAATCAGTCTAGCCAAAGCAGTCAATCTAGTCCGGTCCAACAACCAGTGGTCGGTAACCACTGCCCACTTTCTCCCCAAAGACCGGTAAAAAAGAATAAAAAAAGAATCCTATATAAAAAGCCTAAAGAAGAAAAAAAAACCATAGCTAATAAAAACCCACCCATCACCCCACCACAGCCCTAACGCTCCTCGTCCCCACAAACCCTCTTCTATTCCTCCCCGTGCGCCCTCGACTGAGCCAATTATGCTTCAGGGTCTTGGCCAGCTCATCGATCTTGTCCTGCGCCTCGTCGCCTGTCAGCACGCCCGAGAGCACCGATATGCACTGCAGCATTCTGCCGGCATTATGTGTTACATCACTCTGCGCCATTGAGAGGTCGAGCGTTAGAGTGCTGAATAACACTGTGGATCACCTATCATTAGCAACAGATCAAAAAAGCGAATACCAGGGAAAGAAAGTCTACCTCGTAACCGCGAAAACAAAGGCAGGACCACAAAATCTCTAAACCCCATCAGCACCAACCTCCTCACGTCCCAACCCCTCCCCACAATCTCCACCAGCTCCCCCTCCTCCCTTAGCTCCCTCTGCAGCGGCAAAAACACCGCCTCAAAGTATGGCAACACGTTCCCAAAAAGCGCGCTCCACACCTCGACCAGTCTCGGTATGCTGCGCTCGTCGCTGAGTCCGGGGTCCAGCAGGCCCGGATCCAGCAGCCGCATGCCAGAGTCAAGCAGGTCGCGCACGTCTTCTAGGATCTGCAGAGGCTGCCGCCGCTCAATGCACCGCCGGATGTGAAGTGTCACAAGCTTGTTGAGGTCCTCGACTGTGTTTGTGAGCGGCTCAGACTTGAACAGTGGGATGACGCGGGAGCAGAGGATTGGCCAGGCCGTGTCGGCAGTGATGACGAGCGTGGGGTCAAAGTCGTCCCACGACGTTGCGGCAGCAGCAGCAGCGGCCGCAGCGGCGGCAGCAGACTTCTTCTTGGCGCTGGTAAGGTCGATGCCGGATATGCTCTGTTTGAGCTCCGACTTGAAGGCCGCGGCCGAGGGGGACGAGGGCCCAAACGAGTAGAGAGAGCCGCCGTCGGCGGAGATTGCTTTGCTGTTTGAGCTGCTAGAGGAGAAGGTTATGCCGCTGTGATGGTGGTGGTCCTTGTCGCGGCGGGGGCGCAGGAAATGTGGTTTGTGCGAGTGGTGATCCTTTGGCGGCGGCGAGGAGCTATATGAGCTGTGGAGGAAGGGAGACGACTCGCCGGGCGCAGCCACGAGCGTGAGCGTTGAACCCGCCATGCTCGAGAAGGATGTCTTGCGGTCGCCACCGGAGACGGCGGCGGCGAGGGCGGCGGCGGAGGGCGTCATCCAGGGCATGGGCGAAGAGATGCTGGCGAGCTTGTTGGGCGAGGGTGGGGGCCTGTGGGTCTTGTCCATTGTGGGGGTGCCGATGCGCGCGGGCTTTGAGAAGAGCTTCTTCTTTGAGGACTCCTTCTTCTCCTTTCCCGCGGAGAGGGGCGTGGTGAGCGTGTAGACGGGGGTTGGGGGTGTGGGCTGTGGCTGCGGCGGATGTGGGATCGCGTGTGGTGTGGGCGGGGAGGAGGTGGAGAAGGGGGTGCTGGGGGCTGGTGTGGGCGTGGCCGCGAGGACGACGGTGCTGGTGATGGGCGGGGAGGCGGGCGACGGTGCGGTTGCGGAGCGCTTTCGCGAGGCGGAGGTGGTCGTGCCTGCCTGCATCGCGTAGGCAGAGGGGGCCGGGGGTGAGGGCTGCGAGGACTGCGTGCGGGTGAGCGTGGGCTCGAAGTAGCCCTGCGCGCCGGCAGACATGGGAGCTGCCTGGGTGGGTGTTGTGGGCGTGAGCGTGGGCGTGGGCGGGAGCAGCTTGATTGTGCTTGAGGGGATGGGCGTGGATGTGGATGTTGATGTAGATGTGGATGTAGATGTAGATGTAGGTGTAGGTGTGGGTGTGGGTGTAGGTGTAGATGCTATGATGGTATCAAGCGTTGTAGTTGTTGTGGTGTTGAATGCCGTTGTGGTGTCGCGAGCGGTCATGGACGAGGATGTCGAGGAGATGGAGGATGCTGAGGGCGACCGTCCATGGGATGGCTGGTGGGCTGGGCGGTGGGGCGACCGGATTGCTGGGCGACGGGAGGGCTGCATCTTGAACTGTTCTGCTACCGGGGAGGGGATGGGGGATTGCGTTTTAGGGTACTTTCCCTCACTGGGGGCTGTACTAGCTGGCTGGGACTCTTTTCTCTCTCTCTCTCTCTCTCTCTCTCTCTCTCTCTCTCTCTGTCAACGGGGCTTCTCTCCTCTCCTCTCTTCTCCTCTCCAACTGGCCCGACTAACGAAAATGTCAATGGGAAACAGGACCAGCTAGCGTCAGTGGGCACTAGTTTCGCCGACCGGGGGCTGTTGCAGTATGTACTGAGTTCAGCGTGGGTGGGTGGGTGCAGGGACAGCCTTCGTTATAGTCAAGCTGTTATGATATGTAGTTAGATGCTGTATGTAAATATGTAGGGTCGTTGCAGCAGGTACAGTAGAGTGCAGACAGTCCGTCCTTTGTCGTCTAGCATGTGTTTGTGTGAAACGAGGACGACGACGACGACGACGACGACGACGACTGATGATGGCACTGGGCCACTGCTTATATGACACCCTATCTATCTCCCTCCCCTCCCTCCCTCCCTCCCTCTCTGCCTGTTTACTTGTTTACCCCCATGGCCCATCCATCCATCCATCCGCAGCGATGGTAGCGATGAGATCTTCCTCTTCTATCTATGGCTCACTCTGCAACCCACCCACCCATCATGCCGGGGCTGTGCAGGCAGCGCAGCGCAAGTCAGATCCATCCCACTGACGCCATCAACCCATCAAGAAAGAAGCACATATACATGTGGGGGCCGTTCCTAGGCCCCGTAGTAAGTAAGCAACAGACAGCCGGGTAATCCACCTTACTACTACTAGCACTGTCTACAACAGTAACCATAGTAACCAGGGGTACACACTACTGCGGGTAGAGCACCTCAACAAAACCAAAAATAGCCGTCCCTGACAGCTGCGACATCCTCCTGCTTTAGCCCCCAAGTCTAAGACACTCACCATCTCCCCTTAATTCATCTCCCGAGAGGAAATAAGATTGCACCCCTGTACAGATCAGATCGGGTCCCCGGGGGGGGGGGGGGGTCCGAGCGCGTGTGTGTGTGTTACATAGAGTATGTAGTGGGAACTTGGGGCGCTGGGAGGGCCGGGTAATGGCGGTGGGAGGATTGGGGATGGGGATGGGGATGGGGATGGGGATGGGGATGGGGATGGGATGGGGATGGGAGGGGGGGCGAGTGAGAGGGTGTGATTGGGAGGTGGAGACTAGCTGCGGGTTTTTTTGTTGCTTTTTTTTTTCTTTTCTTCCTTTTGGACGGGCTTGGAAGAGAAATTTTTGCCTCTGAACTAATGGAATGAAATCTCGATACATTGAAGCTTAAGGGGTCTGCTTTGATCAAGATATACACCTTTTTAGATGCAGATACATAGTACTTCCTTGGCGTCACGAAACAACCAGCAAAACCCAACGTCGCGACTCAGAAGAAAAACATTAATCCAGCACACAGCCTCAAACACAACAATTGAACATCTGCACATAGCCCGTGGGTCTTGGGATCGAGACTATGGCTTTACCCACTGGTGCTGCAGCTGTCTATTTCTAGACATTGAGATCGTGTTGGACCCTTTCACGTTTTCTCTGGTGGTAAGTACTAGTGGGGGGGGGGGGGGGGAATTATGGATACATGCGTATGCGTTTAAGCTTTAATTGGCATTAGGGTTGGGGTTGGACTAGCATTTCTTCTCTCGTAGTAAAGAGAGGAGGATGGGGCCGGGGTCTCGCTTTGGTTTCTCGGATAAGAGCTATATATATGTAGAGAATCAATGAGTAAAAATGTTCTAGATAGAGCTGCCTAATATATAGCTGGAGTAGTATCTGACCAAAGTACTTTGAGCTCTCGTTCTACTAGTGTAGCGGCGCTTAGTATTCGCTCGATTGGTGAAAATTAATCGGTCAGGAAGATCCGAATTTGCGAGGAGCTAGCCATGAGTTACAAAGCCCATATAACTACCGGCGCTGTTCGAAGCGGTTCAGATCACCAATCGTGCAAGTAAGTAATTCTTCGGGGAGTAAAATCGATCGAAAGTATTCATGTCGATTAGAAGGCCTGCAGGAGCTCGACGGAAAAGCGGTGGCACTATAATACCATCTCCCACTAGTATAGCAGCGGCGGTAAGAGGGAAAGGAAGATATTAGCTTACTTCAGTGCTGTTTCGTGAGTAGAGCCTTTGCATGGATCGTGTGTACAAGGAGAGGTGGGAGAGGGCTGTTATATAGGCATTCCACAACTCCAAATCCCTATTCGCCCACCCATGCAAACGCCATTGCTCGTTGCCCATTGCTTATTGCCCACTTGATAGAAAAGAAACCCCCATTGAAAGTCCCGCGCAGGTTCATGTAGGATTATGTCAATAGGGATGTTGCATAGACAACTGCAGGCTTTATTCAGCGGTACCTACAAGGTTTTGTCGCCCTATAGGAGCAGATACTAAGTAAAGTCAATGGTTAGCTCTATCCACCGCTCAATGTGGAATACACTTGCGCCTTGAGATGGCAATTTCTGTGTTGGTTGCAGTTAGTAAGTGCGGGTCCCATTATATCCCACCATAAAAGCAAGATGCCCATTGAAGGAGTGTTATTAGACCGGTCATGTAACATGTTTGGTTTCCTATTGGGACCTACTCGGGCCCTTCGAGGGCGTCGGTCCAGGTACCTGTGCATGGCTGGTTTGTAAGAGTATGTGTGAGCCTATGTTTGAGAGCCAAGAGGAATATCTTAGCCATTAGAGTTGCCACGAACGAATGGTGATTTTGGTGCCTTATGCGTGTTACGAAATTGAATTTGACAATGAAACAAGGAAAGTGGCATTAGCTTTGTAGATCATCAGCCCTATGGGGCCATGAAGCTCTATAAGACTCCCACAATTCTCATGTTGGGCCCGAGTATTTGGAGGTGGGTGTCATCCGCTCGATGTATTGTAGTATCCCTCAATATCTTCGAACTCTGTATGGGCTACACAAATGATGAATTAATCGATGTTATTTGATGTGATCGACACAGGCTAGTGATTGATTAATTCTGCTCTCTCCGATTGTAGAAAGCAGGAGTGAATGGGAGTTATGTTATCAGATATCAGGCTACCCCGAAATTTAGTGCGTAGTCAGTGGTCCACATAGAAAGGCGGGACAGAAGGACCTCTCCATATATTTGTAGCGTGCCCGCACCCATCCCATAGAAATTATCCAGATTTGTATGCCTGACGCGGTTTATCTGATTTCGCGGCTGGCTCATCCTCCATTCTACCCGTCACTTTTTTTGTTTGTTTACCTTTCTCATCCTTTTTACTTCATCCCATCATCCCCACCACCTCACATCTCCACCACTTCCTTCCATCCTTCGCCCTTGAAAATTCCCCCAACCTCTGCTAGTTTCACAGCCTATCATCAAAATTCATGATGGATAAGAAACAAGTGAACCCCGATGGTCCCACAGAACTTGTCCTTGTTTCACAGTTCCAAGGTGCTCCCGTCTATAGAGTAGTCGCAAAAACCAACTCTACCCCGGAGTCTGCGGCCCCCGTCCAAAGCAATTCGCAGGGGAGTTCTCAACACAGGGAATTGAGGATGCAGGACCCAATTGACGGCTCAGGTCGTTTCCCTCATCCACCACGTGAATCTGTCCCCGAAGGTCAAATCGGAGCAGATGCGGACCGTGGTCTTGAAATGATTCCGGTTCCCATTCCATCCTTCCCGAATATCACACAAGGGCAAGCTATTCTTGGATACACCAATAGCCAATGGGCTTATCTATATGTAAATATCACTCGTCCTTCATCTCTTACTTTTGAGTTTTTTTGTCTAATATATATTTTCCAGAGTCGGGCCCAAGAGCTCGTAAGGCCGTTTGCCGATAAATATGCCCAAACAATCAACACGCCAATCCATCTGCGTGCTGAAAACAGTGCAGAAATTCTGGGGCCGCTCGTGGAAGCGTTTCCTGGCTTGCAGCGGTGTGAAGACAACTGGGGCGCTAAGTGGGTTGTCAGAAAGGCAAGACACGCAGTCAGTGTCAAAGATGCTTCTGAAAGACGAAAGTCGTCTCTCAAGCCTAGTATCGAAACTATGGCATCATCATCGGCAATCGCGGCTGAGGGCCAAAAAGTGGTGGAAAAAGAAAAAGAAGATGATGATTCTGAGGGCGACGTTGAAGCCGCCAACGAGGAGCGTCGCGGTAATGACAGCGTCGTCCACTCTCCAGGTGTCGGACAAGCTCCGGTCCCAGATTGGCACAAGTACATGACGCCAAAGTACACCCAAGGGCGCGGGCCCAGCCTATACGGGCTCACAAAGCCAATAATCCCGTTCTTTGAGCCTACTGCTGGCCCACCATCTATGCGTCACTCCTCCTCCGACCTTGATAGTAGCCGCTCCCTGGCTACTAAGAGACGTAGTAAACGTCTTCCACACCCTCCACCACCCGCTCAGGCCAGTCCCACGGGCGAGCCAGTGATTGTCAACCCAGACCACCAAGTCACGAGCGGTCCCACAAAGCACTTGAGTGCAGTAAGCTCCGCACCATCTCCGGTCAGGCGAACAATTGGCTTTACCATTCCTAAAGCCACCCGCCAAATGTCAACCCCGGTTCTATCTATGTCCGCAGATAGTCCTAAGCAAGATGACTCAGACGATTCAATGCAGATGGACGAGCAGGAAGAGCAACAGGAAACAAGCAGCAGATACCATAAGGCTGTCCCTGAATCTCCACAAAGAGGTCAAGTAGACCAGGGGTCTGCCAAGCGCACAATGGATCATCAATATACCGATCATCCTGCAACAGAAACCTTCGTCCTACCACCTATTAGAGGGCTTCTCCCAGCCCCAAGCTTTGGAGTCGTCCAAGAAAGAGGCAGCCAAGCAGGAATGTTGCCTTTCAGTAATGGCAGCAGAGCCGGACCTGGATTTGGCAATAGCTTTCCAAGGTTCGACCAATTAGCCGGCAGTTCAGGTGGTGACAGAGGTGGAAAGATCAACATCGTCAATAGGGATCCAGGGCCGAACATGGGCCATTTCAATCGTGACCCTTACGGCAACTTTGGCAGGGGTAACACCCATAATGCAGCCCCGAATTTCCAACATGGAGGCCAGAATGTGCAAAACGGAGGTCAAGGTGGTTTTAATGGAGCCCCTGCTAGTCCTAATGCGGGGCATTACCACCAGGAGAGCTTCTATCGAAACACTGGCAGCTATGCTAACGGACTGCCCACCGATCCATACGGGTTTGTTATGAATCAGGGCCAGTATTATGGTGGTGCAGCTCCAGGCAGGCCTTCTCCTTATGCACCCGCTCCTCCTCACGGACCAGGAAACAATGTTCACGGCGCCGCTAATCTGAGCAACGGCATCAATGCTACCCTCAACATTCCACCGCATCCTGGTTATAGCCATGGTGCCAGTAACAATAATCTCTACCACCCGCAGAGCTTTGGTTGGAATGAACACAACGCCCATGGACCTGCTCCCAGTGGCCCGAATGCGATTGGAAACGAAGGCACCAGAACTGCCATGGACGGTGCTCTTCCCCATCCCGGTGGAGGTACTCCGAGGGCTAGTCGTGGAAGGGGCAGCAGATCTTCTAGACAGCTCCGTCATGCTTCCACCTGGAGCGGCAATCCTTACTAGTCCAACCAACCAACCACCGCCCTCCAAATCAGCGAATCAGCTGAATCTGAATTGCCCTTTTCGCCAAGAAGAAAAAATAATACTCTGTTCAAAATAGCAACCTTTCCCCTCCCTATTTCTTTTCCTGTCTGTCAGGGTTTTCATGTATACTTATCTTTTGAGGGGGATTTCAGTGTTTAGAATGGCGTTATGTATACTTATCATGTTGTGGTTTTTTGTCTTGATTTTCGTGTTCCTGTTAACGCGTGTTTTTGCTTTACCACTGGTGGTTTTTTGTTGAGGATGAGGGGGATTAATAAAAATAGATGGTGATAAGGAATAACTTGAGTTGCTACCTTCGTGATGTTGATGACGTTTGATAAGATGAAGATTATTGAGAATGTGAAGTGTCTGAATCGATTCCTAGGCCTAAATATCGAGTAGTATTCTCTTGTAACGCTGATTAACTTAAGTAAACGTGAAGATTCTTGAGAATGTAAAGAGCCTTAACCAATTCCAAGACTTAAACTATCGTGTACTGCCCTCCTACAACGGTTATTCGATGCTGTATGCTTTTATAAGATGATGACTTGTAGAAACTTGATAAATTCAGAGCAAAAACCGATGAACCTAGAGCAGAAACCGATGAACACAGAGCAGAAAACAGACACACGAGAGTATAAAGGGAGAAGCAGAAGAAGAACGGCAGCCACTCGGGATAGAGTAAATACACTTGGCAGTCTAGTTGTCAGGGGTTCCCATGAAACATGTATTATGATGTCGCTAATGCGGAGCTACCCCCCACTTTTTGCACTCGCTGGATTCGTACCACACGGAGATTGGGATGCTAGGGTTGAATGGCGGGACATTGGGCTGGGTACATGCATCTACATTGCTATGATATAGTAAGGAATCAACACTACTACATGTAGGCAGGTACTAGAAGCGGCAGGGAGCAAGTGTGATATATGGGAGGATTGCTAGGGTACAGATATCTTGGTCCTAATAACCATGCCAGATACATGTATATACTATATGCAGTATTTCTTGCATCATCTCGAGCCGCTTTCTTGGTGTTTAGTACAATTAGTATACGTATACACCCAACAACTTATCAGTGTACTTGCCCTTGAATTCTCGAATGCGGGATAAATTGTTTGGATCACTTACTTATTGGGAAAGCTGCCCAATTGTGACATTTAACTAATCTTTGAGTGATGAGTTCTGACTATAGAATGCTTTTCTCGCTGGTACTCGCACTCCACTGGCTTTCATCAGGTTGATGTACTTAGTTAACGCTTGAATTTAAGCCGCAGCCTATCGGACTTACTCTAAACTTGAGCTGCCGGGCTTAGTGTTAATCGTGCTACTCAACCGGATATGGAAGTTGTGATAACTATAGAAACCCATAGTTCCTCACGATTCTACACTACATGTAGTTTTATTTTCTAATCCGTGATATATCACATAAATAGTAATAAAAGCTTCTCCGCGATGTTTCTGTTACGACTTCCCTATTGGGTTTGAGCAACACGATTGAGATCAGGCCTAAGCTTAAGGGATGCTAAACGTAACTGCTAGTACATAGCTCATCGTCAACGCCATACTCTTCTCGCGCCGACCCAATTTTCCTTAAGAAACATCGCTACAAGTACCAAAACACCTACCTGACCCCCTTTTTTGCAGTCCCATGAAACCCACAACCCCTCAATACTCGTCGCAGCAACCGTACCTGAAAGCCAATGATCGCCACAACCAGAAATACGCCGCCAAGACGCACACTAAGCAGAAAGCAGGTTCCCCCTGTCAGTCTGTGCTGCACGTCAAGCGCCTCCCGCAAAACTCTTCAGCGCACTTCACAGCACTAACCATCCCGCGATGACACACACCCAAAACAGCCATTGAGTCAACCCGGGCAGCCAGCAGCAGCGTAGCAGGACCGATCGACCATAAATTCCCCCCATTCGCACACCCTCAATTGCTCTCCACTCGCTCGCTCCTCTCAATTAATTCCCCACTCACCTCTAGCTCTACACACCACCGCAATGGCTCTCCAAATGGCTTCAAAGCGTCTCCTCCCTTCGCTCATGCGCCCCACCTCGCTGCGTCAGTTCAGGCTCGCCTCCAGCCTCTCCAGCGCCGTCAAGGCCGAGATTCTCGTATGTTGCGCTCCAATCCAATCCAATTGCAATTAATTGGTAGCTACAGTAGCTAGATCATTGACAATTGTGCAGCATGAGACCACCCACCCGTCCCACGACCCCCCCGCGGACTCTGGGTCTGCGCGCCTGATTGCGGACCATGAGAAGTACATGGTCGCAACATACAGCCGGCCCACCACCATCTTTGCAAAGGCCGACGGCAGTCATCTGTGGGATCTTGAGAACCGCCGCTATGTTGACTTCACCGCCGGGATTGCCGTGAACGCACTCGGGCACAATGATGAGGTCTTCCTCAGTGTTATGGCTGAACAGGTACCTCTCTCCCTCCCCCCGTCTCTTTTCAGAACTAGCACCCACAAACTAACCACCCCCCAAGGCCAGCCAAATCATCCACACCTCCAACCTCTACCACAACCTCTGGACCGGCGAACTCTCCAAGCTCCTCGTCACCAAGACACACGAGCACTCTGCCTTCGCCACCGCCTCCCGCGTCTTCATCTGCAACTCCGGCTCCGAGGCCAACGAAGCCGCCCTAAAGTTCTCGCGTAAAGTCGGCAAGCAGCTCGGCGGCGACCGCAAGACGGGTCTCGTCTCCTTCCACAACTCCTTCCACGGCCGCACAATGGGCTCGCTCAGCGCAACCCCCAACCCGAAATACCAGGCCCCCTTCGCCCCCATGGTGCCCGGCTTCAAGTACGGCACGTTCAACGACATCGCCGGCATCCCCGAGCTCGTCACCGAGGAGACGTGCGGTGTGATTGTGGAGCCGATCCAGGGCGAAGGCGGTGTCAACGTGGGCACCACCGAGTTCCTGGTGGCGCTCGCCCGCCGCTGCCGTGAGGTTGGCGCGGTGCTCATCTACGACGAGATCCAGTGCGGTCTTGGGCGCACGGGGACCTCTGGGCGCACCAGTTCCTGCCGAAGGAGGCGCACCCGGACATCCTCACGATGGCCAAGGCGCTCGGCAACGGGTTCCCGATCGGCGCGACGATGGTGAATGATTTCATTGCTGAGAAGATCCTGATCGGCGACCACGGGACCACTTTTGGCGGTAACCCGCTGGCGTCTAGGATTGGGCACTATGTGTTTAGCAGGCTGAGCGACCCGAAGCTGCTGAGGGGGGTTGAGGCGAAGGGGCAGATCTTCAAGAAGCGGTTTGAGGCGCTGGCGGCGAAGTATCCGGATGTGGTGAAGGAGGTGAGGGGAAGGGGGTTGATCTTGGGGTTGCAGCTGACTAGGGATCCCAAGGAGTTGATTAGGGAGTGTAGGGAGAGGGGCCTGCTGGTCATTACGTGCGGGACAAACACGGTCCGTTTTGTGCCACCGCTTGTGATTGAGGATGAGGTGATTGAAGAGGGGCTGGCCATCTTTGAGAAGGCCATGGAGGCCTGGGTCGCTATGGAGTAGGTTAGCTAGGTAAGTTAGATAGTCTAGAAAACGGAGGGGAGTTTGGAAGTGTTTCTTGTTTGCAGTAGAATTAAGGAGCGAATAAAGATTGTTATTTTTGCTATCAATTTAAAATGACTCTGCAATTCAAAACGGGTGCATCTGTTCTAAATTCCCGTCAAAACAATCATTTCCCTACCATCCACCTATTTTTTCCCACCCACCGATCATTTCTCCCCCGCATCACACGCCATCACTCGATAACGCCACACCACACCAGCGCCACACCATGACAAAAAAAAAAACACGAACCAACCCACCAACCCCACCACACCCTACAAACACACACGCAGACCGCACCATGTCCGCGCCCACAACCACGACGCCGCCCGACCCCGACCCCGCCATGAGCGTCTTCCTCCCGCCCGTCAACCGCGCAATGCGCACGCTCGACCGCTCCTTCTTTGCCAAAACAATCTCCCTCGCGGCGGCCCACGTCTTCGACGCAAAACACATCACGCGCTTCCAGAAGGAGTGCGCAAAGGACGTGCTGCGCCTGCCGAGGACAAAGACGATCATCACAGAGGCGGACCCGGCGGCGCCGGGGGGGTGAGGAAGTTGCTGCTGTTGAGGCCCGAGGTGAGGGTGGATGGTAGGTAAGGCGGTTGCTCGTCACCCGGTATGGAGTGTGGGTTTGTGGAGTTGTCAAGCTGGTGCTGATGAGGTGTATGCTGTGGTGTGCTAGATTTGTCGACGGCTGGTGAGAAGACGAGAGAGTATGTGGAGAGTAAGCGGATTGAGCTGCTGCCGTATACGCTGCAGATGAACTACGGTGACTGGAGCTACCGTGTGTCCCCCTTCATCCCCCCTCCCCCCCCTCCCCCCTCCCCCTTCCGCGCAACAGCTAACACCCCACAGACGAAATCATGTCCGCCATCCTCCCCTCAACCCTCATGTCCGAGGTCCCCCAATCCTTCGCCCAAGCCGGCCACCTCGCCCACCTCAACCTCCGCTCCCACTACGCGCCCTACAAACACCTCATCGCCACCGTCATCCTCGACAAAAACCCACGCATAAAGACCGTCATCAACAAGCTCGAAGACGTCGGCACCGAGTCCGAGTTCCGCACCTTCCCCATGGAGCTCCTCGGCGGCATCCCCGACACAAACGTCGAGGTCAGCGAGAGTGGCTGCGTCTTCCGCTTCGACTTTGCTAAAGTATACTGGAACACCCGTCTCGGCGACGAGCACGAGCGCGTGTGGCGACAGTTCGCCCCCGGCGACGCCGTCTGCGACGTCATGGCCGGTGTGGGCCCGTTCGCGATCCCCGCCGGCAAGCGCGGCGTCGTCGTCTGGGCGAGTGATCTGAACCCAGAGAGCTACAGCAGCATGGTGGACAACATCAAGCGCAACAAGGCCGACGCCTTCGTGATGCCCTTCTGCAGAGACGGCCGCGAGTTCATCCGGAACTCGGCCAGGGAGCTGTACGAGCGGTCGCAGAACCCCGAGACCAACACCATCGTGATCCCGCCGCCGGCGCCAAGGTCGCGGTCCAAGGCGCCCGTGGGACCGCCGCCGGAACCGACGGTGGTGAGGGTGCCGCCGGCGTTCGCGCACTATGTGATGAACCTGCCGGCGACGGCGATTGAGTTTTTGGATGCGTTCCGAGGCGCGTATAGGGGGCTGGAGGGGCTGTTTAAGGAGGAGGAGAGGGGGAGGAAGATGCCGATGGTGCATGTGTACTGCTTTTATAAGAATGCGGAGCAGGAGAGGGCGCCGGAGGATATATGTAAGAGGCTGAGCGAGGCGATGGGGTACGAGATGAGGCCCGAGAGTGGGGAGGTGACGCTGGAGCATGTGAGGGTTGTGAGTCCGAATAAGGTGTATTATTGTGTGAGCTTTCGACTGCCGAGGGAGGTGGCGTTTGCGGAGGTTTAGACGGCGGGGGAGGGGGGTTCTTGTGCTTTTGTAGATAGTAATCATCTCCGAGTTAATTTGGCTTTTTTTCTCGATGTTTTGGGGTTTGGTAGAGTAGTGTTCCTGGTTTCATGCTTGACGTGTAAAAGCAATCGCTGCTTGGGTTCTGGTCCTGGATAGGCCTAGGGCCGTGTATGATTATCAGTGTAATAATTATAACCAATAACCCATGCCTAGCTAGAAATCCACCCCAAGCACTCCCCGGCATCATTAGAATAGATTATTGCACCTAAAGCTTTATAGACAGCTGCCCTACATTAGAACACCGAAAGGTACACCACGGACTCAACACCATAACCTCCCACACTCCATTAATCACATCCCAGCTACCACCGACTCCAAAGCTCTGCTTCAGTTCCCCCGTTCTGACCGCTACGCTGACCGTGCCCAGAATTATTAAAATATTAATATCCCGGTTTAGGAATGGCCTTGGCAAGGTAACTTGGCATGGCCTTGGCACGATGCTTTAGTAGAGGATGTCCTCGACAACTAGTACTTAGCTAATTCGTTCACTGACACCGGGGAACGAGTACTGAGGAGCCTTGACTCCGGCTGTACGGCCGATGATGTACTGCGCTGAACTCGCGTGAATAGGGTTGACAGCGTTGCCTCACAGGCTTTCTTGCACCATAGCTTTCCCCTCTATCTCTTCTTTTTCCTTCAATGAGCTTGCTGACCACAGGGAATTATCGATTTCCGATGTAGATTTTCTCACTCTCTGGGATAGATTTCAGCCATAGCTCTTCACTCAGGCTGAGGTCACAAGGGTTAGAACCACCGCGCTTCAACTTAAAAAGATCAGTCTGCAATCCTGAGCGCCCTGGAGTGTGGAATCCTCGTGTAGTTATCTGAGCTAAAGAAATTTTAGCTCACATACATACGGGAAAAGTGCTTAGGAGACAGTATCTAGAAAAAGCCCAACTCATGGTAGAAATACTAACCGTATAAAGAGCTAAGCACAACATGTTTGCTTGAAAGTGAAATGCAAAAAGACTCCGGGTGTCGACTAGAGCGCTTTTATTTCTACCCTTTGAGGCGCTTATGTGTGTGGGGAGCTGGATGGGTGTGTCTCTTTGCCCGCTTGGTCTAAGTTGGTGCAGGCATTAGTTGAGTAGGTTGGAAACGCTCTGCTGTTTTAGTTGAAATTGAGGAGGTTGGCTGAGATCGTCCCAGATACCGTTTCGGTAGGTAGTAACACGTACCACCATGGTAATATATGTTGTCCCAATAAAAGTATTTATAGAGGCCTTATATCCTTTAGTAGGTGCAAAAAAAGCAACGGCGACTCTAATACGCCCCAAAGTCGCACTCCCCTCAGCTGTGAGCAGCGATATATGGTGGTATGTGATTACAGCGAGCCTTGTGGGAGTACTTGTCCTCTCCCGATACCCCCCAATCCCTCAGTCTTTCCATGCATGCATCAATCCATGCTCCAAATATCTCTACGATCAATGAGAAGTGTGTTATCTCTGGTCATAGCTAGTAAAAGGTGGTAGTGACATTCTCGTGACTTAATTTCGCCTCAAAGTTAACTTCCTTTAGCACTGGGAGGAAGTGGTGCAATAGGAGCAACCTCAGTATCCCCGAGTCAGCGGGTAGAGAGGCAGTAACTACACGAGCGAAGGGCATGTTAGTCTTTTCATGCGTATGGCTAACGGTAGAGGCTGGGAGTTCCTTGAGACTCAGATAGTAAGAATTGTCCCTAAATATCTCACTCCCCATGGCCACCACCGTGCACCGTGACTGCAGCCACAGACGCCAACCTCGATTGTATTCCTGGTATTCGTGGCAAAAAGTAAAGGATATAAACACCGATCCAACTTGGAAGGGGTCTCTAGGCATTCCGGAAGAGTAGGTGAGGGTAAAGGTAGATGTTGGGTTGTTTTGCGAATTGGCGAGGCCTTGAAGGATTTTGACACAATTCGGGACGCGCATTGCGGGTATTGCTTAGAAGTGCTCGAGTTGGCCAAAAGCAGGGAGAGTTAACCTACTAGTAGCGCCACAGCTTCCGCCTCTCGGGAGTCATAATCCCACTACAGAAGGTAGCACTGAAATAAAGTTTTACGCTTTCTTTCTTGTCAATTTTGGCTAAGAAACCCTGTTTTGAACACATCCAGTAATATATATTATGAAGTCCAACATGAGTAGCGATTTATAAGGTACCATAAATCAATAATAATAAAAAGTATCGTATCCCTAATCGAAATAACCGAAACAGAATATATGTCACAAGAGTACACGCAGAGATGTTAGGGCCTAGAGCTCCTTCCATATAAATTCCTCTTTTCTCAGACGTATCATAGGCCTCTCCCCGAATTCCATGCCCATGCCGAGGCCACTCGATAAAAATAATCACAACGCACCCTCAAGAAATCAATTTCATCTCCCTAAACCTAAGTTCCCTTAACTTCTGGTTTACAAAGGCCACCGCTTTCTCGAAAGTTTTCTTCCCACCCTTACAAGCCCCACTCTCCAAATGCTGGGTCATCCCGCTTAACGTTGTAAACGACTTCATAATCCCCTTACCTCCCACAGCAAGCCTTAGCGGGCAATGGTAACTCAGCGGCGCATGCGCTGCCGAGTTCATGTGCTGCCACAACGCGTGGGCGGTTTTAAATGTTCGAGTACTGCCCGCAGGACACATAGGGCATTTCTGGTCCCCTTCGACAAAAGCAAGGACCTCTATATCAATACTGAGGCCATCAACGGAATCTGGGGTAAGGACGCCGCCAGGGAAGTGGGGAACAACTGCCATGCTACCTCGTTGCGTGCTCGAGGCGTGCGTACCGCTCACACTAGAACTCGATGAAGTCACCTCACTTCCACAATCACCCTCACTATCACTGCTATCGTCATCGTCGTCGTCACTGTGTATCCGCCCCTCAAGTCCGGCCTGAAAAGTAATGATGCTCCCTGTGTCCTTCTCCTTGATGAGATGATCGAGCTTCTGTCTATTGATCCCAGAAATACACGCCCCGCTCTCAAGATGATGCAGCATTGCAGACGGCGCCATGAATGTCTTCTTGCACTCACTATCCGTAATGCATTTCAGCTCCTCGATCAACGGATTATGCTTTAACGAACTCATATGCTGCTTCAGCGCATACTCATCCTTGAAGGTGCGGTTGCACGGCCTACAGAAGAAGCCAAGCAGTGCCGTCGGCCTCTCGGCATGGACTTTATCACGAAGATGCTGGTCCAGCGACGATTCAGAAGAAAAGTCTCTGTCGCAGTTACAACAGTGAAACTGAGTTGCATCTGGGATTGCTTTTGTGGTAAGGAACCGGACCTGCCCGTGATAGTCGATTGTGTAGCAGTTGCGTTTGCTGGGTATGTGGTAGGCGTTTAGGTGACTGTCTAGAGCGCTCTGGTAGATAAAAAGTCGAGAGCAGGGTTTGCAGTAAGGCCACGGTGAGTGGTTGATAGAGGCTTGGCTGTGGTATTTAAGGGCCTGATTGGTGTTAAAGCTGGGTCTTTTGGGGCAGATGTAGCATTTGAATATCGACATGATCTTTGTTTGCGAGTAGAGAAGGCCTCCCACTCGGTAGATATATGATCTAGAGGCTCGTGGCTGTTTCAGCTACACCACTAGTAGATATCAGAGGTTTGGTTAGATCTGCGTATAGGATTCGGTTCTGAGCTGGAGTTATATACAACCGAAAGCCTTTCCTCACATCTTATATGAAGGGCATCTGCTTGGACCCTCAAAGTGCCAGCTGTGGGCTGATCTTACGATACAAACAAAAAAATCTTGTGCCGGGTAGATGCATTCCGCCCTGTAGGTGGATATTGGATGCCTAAATATGTTGCAAGAGGGAGTAGAGGGCGACCCCGTCAACCCTGTATACACCACTTCAGTCAATTCCTTCATTGGCTCCGGGAAGCAAACATTAAGGAGCCTCACCTTTAACTCTACTTTATCCCTTAAACTGTCGGAATTTTTACGGCTTTTTAGTGCTGTCGATCGCCCCAAGCAGGAAATCAGGACTCCCGGAAGAGGTTGATACAGGTCACAACGGTTCACGGCTAGATCTAGAGAGGTGCTAGTGATACCCAGAGCACAATTAGCAACAAATCAAATCTTGATGTAGTATACTGCTGCCCACCATGGCTAAACATTCGCACCTTGAAGACAGAGGAAGGGATAATTACCACCCGGATTAGGGTGTGCGCCAAGGCAGGGTCTTATCAGTCATTAGTAAATGGATTGTACTATATGCTGGCGGACACGACAACGGGGTCGGTAAAAGTAGAAGAACGCCAAATCTATCTCTTCACCACAAATCAATGATTTTTGAATTCAGCCACTGTACTTCTGTAGAGAATCAGTAGGAGAATCAAAGTACGGTCTGCGAATTAAATTAGGTTGTGTTGTTGAGAAAAAAGGATTTCAATTTTGTTAGGCAGGACAAAGTTTGTTACCCATACAAATTTGTTAAGGCCTAATTGAAATCCTCACGAGTCAGCACTCGCTCTGTCCTTATTAGGCTTAACCACTTCCCTAAAAGGGGCTGGTCAGCACCTGGAACTTTGTTACTTCTGCCAAGACTGGACCCGTTGTCGTGTCCGCCACCATATTAATGATATTGTATCAAGTTTGCGGAGTTGTAAGTGTTGTGGAGTGGAGGAAAGGTCTAGGATGTGTCTTGTCCAGTGTTGGTAACGACAGGGGGTATAATTCATCTTGGAGTCGGGTCATAAGTTTGATAGGACCGGGTCTCCGCATCAATGCCAAGAAAGACGATTCTAGTAGAAAAATATATATAGACTTCTCTCTAGCCTCCTTCCCAGACACATTCGGTGGCGGTTGAGTCCGACTGGTGCGGACAACAATAAATTACTACCACACCAAAAGTAGGGGATGACAACGAGACTACGTGTAACTTTTCTTAGGTTTCTCATAGTTTACGACCTGATCATAATAGGTGCGTGTAAAGTCCTTGATATCTATACTACATATCTAAAGGATACGTATGTAGATAACCCTAGTAAATCGGGGGTCCTAAACGGTCTTGGTCGTTCCGGGCGGCCCGCATTTTTCTAAAAACCTATACCTGTGCATGCGTATGCGCAAGGGATCCTCGAACAGGACACAGCTTGCGTTCCATAAAGTTCTTAGAGTATAGGTACCTTTGAAGTTCCTCGCTTCTCAAGAATTCTATTTATTATCTCCAACATTCATCCGTTCCAGGACTTGTCTTACTCCAAGATTTTCATTGTCAAGTCCCTTCATCTTAAACACCTGGTTGAGATAAAAACAATCTTTTCATCTCTAAAAGATGCATAAAGATTTATTTTTTATCGGGCATCAATTGATCTCGATCCTTCGGCTTTTCTGGGAGTAGTTGGGCCAACCATTTCGCTGATAAGACATCAAAGCTCAAAGAGTTCAAAGATAAACTGGATGTCTCTTATCTTCCTAGGAGTAGTTGGGCAAACCATCTCCTGATCAAACATCAGAGCTCGAAGAGCTCCAAGATAACTAGAGGTAATTCTAATTGATTCTTAATAATCCCGTTGTCTGGCAGGCTTGTACATTCTTTGCATCTTGTTTATCAAAGAGAATGCAGTCTTTGGGTTGGTCTTTCATCTCACAGTGAAAATGATGTAGCTAATCCAAGAATTGGTCATTTTAGCAATCTGTGAAACCAACTATCGCTGTTGGTCCTGTCTGTGGTGACAGTCGCTCTATAACAAAAGGGCGGGACACTTTACTCGAAAAGTGCCAGATGGAGGTAAACCCTGCTGGGGAAGTGCCAGAAAGAATTAGGTCTTGCTCCGTGGTTGAGATGGGGGGGTTCAAGTGTTGCTAGGATATTTCATCTCTGTTGTTTAGAGATTTAGCCACAAAAAGGCAGTGGGTGAGACAGTAAGTTTTAAAACCATGAAGACTTAAATAAGATTTGTTAACGGAAACGTGGCTGGGTGGTTAGCAACGACTGTCTCATCTTGCTCTGCAGTTTCGTTTTCCTAGGCAACAATATAGTACTGGGTTCAAAGCCTCCTCATATTGGACACCGTTATTTCCTTAGTTTGTTTGAGGTATCGGAAATCGAGATCCTAAGATACAGGATATACGCCAGAGTTACGCTCACGAGGCATGTACTGTTGGGTTCGATGGACAGGCTTTATGGTTTGCTGGACCACAGCCAGTTAGCCAGCCCTGACTCAACTGTAAGTTAACCATGGTCAATCCTGCTCTATTCTGCACATCAATAACTGACATCTGCAACCCTACAGTAAAGTGACCAGGATTCCCCCCCAGAACTCGGTGAGGTGCGAACAGCCACCCCCCAGACCCCCAAAAGATCCACTTGCCCTCCCAAGCTGTGGCCTGAGTGATCGATGATGATATTATCGATGTACTAGAGCAGTCTCCCGAAGATAAGACACCCACGCCAAGAGCACGGTCACCACATCAGGACGACCGGGTCCTGGTAGGAAAAATAAAAAGAAACAAGAACGAGCCCGTAGAGAAACGGGCATGCAAGCTATGTGGAGTAGTGCTATCGTACTCCACTTCATTGAAATGGCATTATGCTCAACATTTGTCGAGCCATCAATATCTGACTCCCTCACGGGTCTCGCTCGTGGGGCGGGGCCGCACTGGAAAACCTCTATCCCGCTCCCAGAACTGCCCGCTATTATCGAACAGACCAGCGACGGTCCTGGTCCACGAAAGCTTAAACGAAGAGGGCCGAAATTTCACCAAGTTCTCTGTTTGAGTAGTTGGGGGGGTATTGAAATCAAGGATATATCCTTGGGTGGAAGTAAAGTCAATAAGGCGCAACCAGTCTTTGGACTTTCAAAAGATCTGGTTGCCCTCTCGGTGGTGTAAGAGAATATTGAAGTCAAGGATTATTCTTTTGGTGGCAGAAGTACTCCACAAGATACAGTCACTCGGTCTTTGGGCGTTCAAAAGATCTTGTTACCCCCACAACTGCCTCGGCAAGAGGTATTGAAGTCAAGGATGATCCTGTGGGGATGCAGTGCTCGACAAGGTACAGTCGCCCAGTCTTTGGACTTTCAAAAGATCTGGTTGCTCTCCCAAGTCCCAAATGCTTTCGAAATGGGGCATTGAAGTCAAGGATTATCCTGCGGGTGGACGCAATGATCGACAAGATAAAGCCATCTGGTCTTTGCATTTCCCAAGGGTCTGACTCTTCTCCCAGGTCTTTTGAGAGGAGGGTAATGAAGGTAATATATTTTCTTTTCTTAATTATCAACTTTATGTTGATATCGTATGTGGGTGAAAACAGAACTTCTAAGAAGACCATTCAGCTGATATATCCATTTGTCTAGGATACTGTATCCTTTGATCAGGGTCGTTGTTCATCCAGGCCTGCCTATAATCTAGAACACCCAGGAAAATGGCATCGTCGTCCCAATATGCCGGACCACTGAAGATCCCCCTCAATGCCTATCGAGGCCTTGGCCAGAAGACAGCATTACCTCACACATACGAAGAAATCCTTCGATGGGCCCTTAATCCCCAGAAAAGATACCGAAGGAGTCATCCTTTTGATCATAGGATTAATTCCCATGATGCAACACTCACCAGAAGGACTTCATGATACAGAATCACTACACATTGAGTAGTTTGTAATTGGCAAAGCTCTTGTGGATTGTGGAGCTCCTCCAGCAGACCCTATTTGATATCTTTGAGATTTCTCCTTATCTTCGGGAGCGTACACATGCCTTCGTACGAACATGGCCAAAATAGCACGATTAAGTATCGCTGCATATGGAGCTAGCTGCAATTGGCGAAGCCACTGTGGATTCGGCAGCTCCTCTAATGTTCCTCATTCATTGCTCCGCAAATACCTCCTTATATTCAGGAGAGTATAGTTGGCGAAGCTACTGTGGATTCTGCAGTTCCTCTAGTAACTCGTATTCAACTCTCGCCGAACTTATCCATTGAGAGGGTGTAATTGGCGAAGCTCCTGTGGATTTTGGAGCGGGAAGGAAAAGAAACATTGTTTCTGTGGGTGTGACAGCTGCAGAAACGATATTAGGCCTGTCTCTTTTAGTATGGATTTGTATACTATTCTTGCAGTATATTATAAAATAATAATATTAATATCAATATCAGTATCGAATTTTTCTCATCTCTCAGCTTACTGTAAGGCTCAGTCATAGGTATAATTGTATGTCCTACGTCGATAAGAAAAGTGATTCTCGGTGCGTTTAAGTAGCGTGAAGGGCCCAGTGCCCATGCTCATGTATTTGAGGCCTACTCGACCGGTCAGCGACAATTCCAAATTTCTCTCTTGTTCTGAGGGTACGCAGATCACTAAAGCTTATAAACTCGCTGCTAATTCTGTAAACCCATGGTCAGTAAGAAAATAAATCCCCAGCGTGATATCACCGCTAACAGGAACATCTAAAACCTAAAATTCCCTATCAGATAGGGCTACAAGGTGCCCTGGAAGTGTTAGTCTTGGGCGGATAACGAGCTTGGGTAAAATGACTGGTAGGAGTTCTTACACACCATTTCTGCTGAAGTGAACTATTATAGTAAAGAGGCGTAGAAGAAAAGATATATATAGAGAGAGAGATAGGGTGAAAAAGAAGGAATAAAAGCGGACTCATCTCAATGAGGGATAAAAAAGAATGGAAACGAAGGATTTTATCACAGTAACTAAACACCAAGAGCTTCAGAAGGATTTCAGTGGGTGCTGAAAACACTTACTGATGCTGAAGCTCCTGGAAGCGTATACTGCTGATGGAAGTTGTTAAAGTGGGGTGTGTTGATTGATGGATTGGTTTTGTAAATCTGGTTGTATGGGAAGAAGACGGGAGGGAGAAGATGGTGTGCTGATTCATACGTATCTTGAAAAACAACCAGACTTACGTATATGCAGTCTGAATGTAGTTCTGATGACGGGAAGAGCCGTGGAGTACCCCACCTACAGATGCAACTTAGGCGATACTCTATCAGCATCGAATACAGCCAGATCAAGTCAAAACATAAACTACTGAATCACACGCTATTTCTAAGCATGTGGTTAAAGTGGATTCAAATCGAGTTTGTGTGAGCATTATTATAGCAGGACACCTCCTGAGAGAGGGTATTCTAGTATCGACTAGTACGTCTACAGAGGAACGATGTCCGACTGAGTTTGGGTTATCAGATTCGTCCAGCTACTAATCGATACTAAATGCTCTCAAGTCTATGTAGCTTACACGATTATCTATGCTAGTTCGGTTAAATGAGTGGCTCGAGACCTAATCCCGTCCTAATTGTCTCATCTTACTTTTCCAGGCTTCAGGTCTCGCCTCGAGTATTTTGCAAAATGTCCCAAACTTATTATATCTCATTCGTTACCCACCGCCACCACATCGGCACGCCTGAAGTATCGGGAGATAAACATCCTAATTAGGGAATCGGGTCAAAAACTGTACCCCCTGGTGGGGGAGTGGCTTGGTTTCTCCCTAGGCCTTGAGCCTGATATAGGGGCGCTGGGGATGTCTTCATTCCTTTTCAAGTAGCCCGAACAAACTTTGAACCACCATATATGTCGAACTGAACCAGCTCGAACCACGTTTCATTCCTACATAGTCCCCAATAACCGCTGTTTCGTTGGAAAAATAATATCAATACTGCTATAACCCGTGATATATTCGCTTGGATCAGCATGCGTCAAGCAGCTATCACGACGTTTGGGCAACCGGGTTAGAATATTTTTCGTTTCTGGGATCTGTCGTTAGTTTCTTGTCGACTAAACGAGTGATATTACATGATCCACATTACATGTATGTGCTCTTCTACGTCTCACCTAAATGTCCCACGACACGCAGTAAGTCCCCCCCCTCTCTTTTTTCTCCTAAAGATTACGAGTGCTAGTAGACGCAGTATACTTGCCATAGGTGCAAAAAGAAGAAGAAATACCGAGCAACAAAAGACTTACGCGATTAGTATCATCCCTCAAGAGCGTCGCTACCATGTTGGGCATTCTTAATCAATGCTTCCACCCCAGGTTGAACCGGTGGTGTCATGCAACGTAGCAGAGGCTGTTACCCCTCGGCCACGCCACGGTGCTGTGTAGGTGGCTCGGGTTGTATATAACCCGCTGGGTAACTCTGAGCCAGTGCGACCAAGGGGGCTCGAAGCAACTCTGAATTTTTGGGAGTACAACATGCACTTCCCTCGAGGTGCCTCGCTCTCGCTGATCTCTCTCTCTGTCTGCCATGCCTCGAGGAACCTCGAGGATGATAAAGACGACAAAGACTCGACCGGGAGTGATTCGATCCGGGAGAGCAAAAAGCAGTACTTTTTTCTTGAAGATAAAAATCCGATTCCACCGTCCACCTCATATCAATCGAGCATATCAACTGTATACTTTCTTTAGTAGCCAAGAAACCATCATTGGAAGTCCTCGGGCAAGGACATACGGACGCTCGTTCCCATAAACTACATCTTATATACAATCGATCATCATCATCACCGCTCCAGTACGAGACCTACCACCCCCGCGTACACGCCATCCCCTACCAAGGCCGAGTGATATTGCAAGACGCAGGTCACACAGACGCCATGACATCACCGACTCTGCATGCATAAAGATATCCAACTCCAACAACATCACCATCTTCTCCACCTCTTCTCCACCTTCTCCACTCCACTCCACTTCAATCCCCTCACCACCCACCGCAACAATGTCCCACCGCGACGATGACCACAAAGAGCCGGACCTCGTCTCTCTGCTGTCCGGCGACCAGCGCGCAGAGCTCACCCTCCTCATAGCCACCGCAACAGAGCGCATGCGTCGTAACATCACCGAGATATTCGACGCCCCAGCACCAGCACCAGCACCACAGCCAACTCCCCCAGCGGCAGCCAAAGACCCAGCTGCAGAGGAAGAAAAAGGGGGAGCCAAAGACACTGCTGCTGAGAAGGAGCCCCACAAAAAAAGCATCCGCCTGCAGGAGCTCCAGAAGACCGCTCTCACCTCCTTCGACGCCTGGTCTTCCGCCGTTCTGCAGCGCATCAGCGAAGCCGTCCACTCCGACGTCACGCCCACCGAACAGACCCGCCTCCTGCGGCGAGCATCAACAATAGCTTCCGAGTCGCCAGCGCCCGCAGTACCAGAGATCTATGCACCCATCCCCACGCCGCTCACGTCGAGCCTTCCACCCGACTACCCACCCATGGTGCTCCACGCACTACTCCTTCTCCTCCTCTCCCTCGAGCGCTACGATGCCCGCTCGCGCGTCCTTCTCCTCATCACCGCCTCCTCCCTCCACGTCCCCGCCCACCACCTCATCACGCAAGAAACCCAGACCGCCCACGTCCTCGTCAAAGCCGCGCAGATGTCCGGCGACGAAGAGTCCAAAGCCCGCTCCGACGCCTCCAAGTCCAGCAAATGGTGGAAGGTCGGCCTCGCCTCCGTCGCTGGCGCTGTAGCCATCGGTGTGACCGGCGGGCTCGCCGCGCCCCTCGTCGCCGCGGGCGTCGGCAGCGTCCTGGGCGGTATCGGCCTCGGCGGCACCGTCGCCGCAGGCTATCTAGGCGCTATGGCATCGAGCGGCGCCATCGTGGGCACGCTGTTTGGCGCGTATGGCGGGAAGATGACGGGCGAGATGATGGAGCGCTACGCGGCGGCCGTGAAGGACTTTGCCTTCATCCCCGTGCAGACACGCGCCGAGCGGCTGCGCGTCACAATCGCCATCTCGGGGTGGCTCACGGGGCCGGAGGACGTCACTGCGCCGTGGGGGTGCCTCAACGGCAACGCGGACGTGTATGCGCTCCGCTGGGAGCTGGATGCGCTGCTGGACTTGGGGTCGGCGCTGCAGACGATCCTCAAGTCGTATGCGTGGGGCTATGTCAAGTCCGAGATCATCAAGCGCACGGTGTTTGCGGCGCTCTGGGGAGCTGTCATGTGGCCGGTGGCGTTGCTGAAGATTGCCCGCGTCGTCGATAATCCGTTCTCGATTGCGAAGCGCCGCAGCGAGAAGGCGGGACGGGTGCTCGCGGATGCGATCGTGAACCGCGCGCAGGGGGAGCGGCCGGTGACGCTGGTGGGATACTCGCTGGGCGCGCGCGTGATCTATAGTTGTCTGCTGAGCCTGGCGGAGCGCGGCATGTTTGGGCTGGTGGAGAATGTGGTGGTTATGGGGGCGCCGGTGCCGGCGGATGCGGACGAGTGGCGGCGGATTAGGAGTGTGGTGGCGGGGAGGTGTGTGAATGTGTATTCGGAGAGCGACTATATCCTGGCGTTTCTGTACCGCACGAGCAGTATCCAGCTTGGTGTGGCGGGGCTGCAGAGGATTGGGGTGAGCGGGGTGGAGAATGTTAATATGGGGCATGTGGTGGAGGGACACTTGAGGTATCGGTATGTGACGGGGATGGTGCTGAAGGATATCCTAGGGGAGGATGTGGAGAGGGAGGTGGTGGAGAAGGAGGAGAGGGAGTTGAAGTTGGTGATGAGGCGTGAGGAGGAGAGGGAGAAGGGGGAAGGGGGGAAGGGGCAGGAGGAGGCGGAGGGCGAGATTGACAGTGTGGTGGACAAGGCGGAGAAGGAGCTGGAGGAGAGGAGGAGGAAGAGGACGGCACTGGAGGAGGAGAGGAAGCAGGCGATGGGGGAGTAATTGATACCTTGCAATTGTAGTTTAGCCTTGCTGTTTGTTTAGTCTTTGTGTGCAAGCCGGGAATTGTGGTTATGGGAATGGGGTAGCTATAGATACATGCAGTTACGAATACACGAGGGTGTTTGAGACACCACTTCTTCTTACGAGCTTTTTGTGCCATGAAGTGTTCTTGTGCGGAATGTAGATCTTACTTATATCTCACAAGAGTGTGGCCAGTGAGAACTTGAAGTACGTTCGTGGTGGATTGTGACTATAGGGTTAAGTTTCACCCTAGCTCACTTTTTCCACTCTCTCCCTTAAGTATTACTTCCCGGCCTTTAACAGTTGTGCGAGCGAGTGTAGTCTAGTGGTAGACTCCTCGTCTTGCTACACCGCGTGGGTTGAGCCACCTGACCACCCAGAGAAATCCGGGCCCGGAGACGTCCGCAGGTCGTGGGTTCAACTCCGGGGGTGGGAGTGATGCTTTAGAGGCCTGGGGAGTGCGGCAACGGGGAGCAAAGTTCAATATCGCGAATTTGAACCTGTAAACCGTGAGGGACGCATGGTAGCAGCATCACTTTTTGTGTATTTATTGTCCGTTTTTGGTTTCTTTGGAGAGTCATGAGGAGGGCCTTAGTGGGGTATGTGTGATATCGATTAATTAATTGCAGATTGAACTATCTTAGCTTATCGCTCACTATTTGGCTAATCGGTCTCCAGGGCCGGATGTAGGATTAGGCCAATTTAGCGAAACTCTTCCAGGCAAATGTATTCTTTTATAGTATAGTAGATGTTGCGTGGTGTGGCCGGTGGTGTGATGAATCGCATCATAGGTTATCACTCGCGCTAATTTTTTCGTGTGCATTGTTGTTGCACCACCAAGAACACCAGAAATTCAACTTCAATCTCTCCCCCCACGACACGATTTGCGCTCCGTAATCGATCTAGATCAGTCTTGGGTTCTGGATGCAGGCAAGGACTCGAGCCGGTGTGGTCATTTAGGGCGTTCTTTCTAGTCTACATGGGGGGGGGGGGGGGATTACATTGCTGAGAGTCGGTAGTATCTCGTGTGTAGTGTATGCTCGTGCTTCAGTCTAGGGAGGCAGAAAATGACTGATGCCATGTACGTCTACAAAGTCGGTCGTACCTTATGAGAGAACAGAGTTGGCAAGCAACTACTTCATTATGGGCATGGCGATCCAGAGGTTGGAGGGTGTTATGGGAGGGAAGCTCCGGGTCGTCTTCTACAGGCGGGATAAATAGGCCCAGTTGACGGATCTTCTGTAGTACGTGAAAACGCAACGCCCGTGGGTGGACATTGCGTTGTCCAATACACCCGTTCGAGATGATACTTTTCGCTGACGTTAAAAGGTCTGTCCGTAAAGTGCCCCCCCCCCCCCCCCGGGAGACGCGTGGGGAAAATGAAGGGCAAAAGGTGAAGAACTTGCATGGTTTCCCTTTGTATGGGGAGGTCCAACTGTGTAATGACCGACCGGCACGTGTTGGCCAGATAGATGCTTGTGGGTGAAGCATCTGAACGGCCTGTCCTAGGGGGGGGGGGGGGCTCTGTGTACCTGCTGAGCCGTTTATATACGACCCGGGCCACATTGACAGCACCGTGGCGTGGCCGAGGGGTAACAGCCTCTGCTACGTTGCATGACACCACTGGTTCGATCCGGGGTGGAAGCATTGATTAAGAATGCCCAACATGGTAGCGACGCTCTTGAGGGATGATACTAATCGCGTAAGTCTTTTGTCACTCAGTATTTCTTCTTTTTCTTCTTTTTTTTTGCTGCCCTTCCGCATGCAAATTCCTACTGCTGATGAATGAATGGTTCATAGGGTATAGAATGGGGGGAGGATTTGTGCGTCGTCCCGCCGCGTATCCGGGGGTGAATCCTGGGGACTAGCGCTAGAGTGCAGTCACGGAATATCACTCGCCCGATAGCCAAGGAGCTAAGTAACGAGCAGGGACCTCGAGAAAGAAGCTCCCTTACACCGAAAAAATCTTCTCTTTTACAGTACATGTGAGAAGCCCGCGATAAATAACCCCACAACACTGACACGTAGAAGATAAAGAATGCTCTAAACGTCTATTCATATCCGAGTGACACACCATGACCCACATCTCAACCCACACATACACACACAGCACTTCTAGCTACATAGGGAGTGTCCAAACCAAACCACAGTTCCATACCTACATGTAACTAGCTACATACACATACATACATACACAAATTAAAAAGAAAAAAATAGAAAAATGAGAGTGGTATCCTATCTAAAAAAAAAAAAAAAAAAAAGCCACCACAAGTTACATATGCCCCATAACACCCCACCCCCCCCCCCCCCCCGCGGGCGGAAATCCCATCCCTTGCTCGCAAGAAGCAAGAAGCAAACCACATGTATGTAGCCCAAGACAAAGCTCAAAAACAGAGCTCAAAAAAAGGGTAAAAAGCAAAAAAGTAAAAAGCAAAATAAAATAAAAAAAACATAAAAAAAAGGTGTAAAGACGACGCCCCCCAATGCAAAAAAACGCACACACACACACACACACACTCACTCACTCACACGCACCAGCAAACTAGAGTTTCGCCGCCCCCCGCCTCGCCATCAGCGCCGTGCCGACCTTGCTATCGTTCCTCCGCCCCAGCACGCCCGAGATCCAATCGCCAATCTCGACAATCTTCTGCAGATCCACATTCGTGCTCACGCCTGTGCCCTCGAGACTACATCCACACACACCTTCATCAGCTCTCATCCACTACACACACAAACTCAGAAAGGAGGGGAGGAGAAGGAGAAGAAGAAGAAGGGAAAAACATACAAATACACCAAATCCTCCGTCGCCACATTCCCCGTGGCGCCCTTCGAATACGGACACCCGCCCAGCCCCGCAACACTGCTATCAAACGTCCTGATCCCCGCCTCGAGCGCAACCAGGCAGTTCACAATCGCCTGCCCATACGTATCGTGGAAATGCGCCGCCAGCTTCTCGGCCGGCAGCTTGCGGTCCTTGATCAGATAGTTCACCAGCGTCCCGATCGTTCCTATATTTCACCACCCACTCCTCATTAGCCCCCCATTTTCCCCATTGTTTTTTTGTTTTTTGTTTTGTTCGCACAGGGAGGAAAAAAACCTACCGGGAGTGCCAACACCATTCGTATCCCCCAACGACACCTCATAGCACCCCATCTTTAGCAGGGCCTCGACCACATCCGCCACCTTTGCCGGCGGCGTCGGCCCGTCGTAGGGGCACTCGATGATCATGCTGACGTATCCGCGGACGGGGATGCCCTGTTCGCGCGCGCGCTCGACGACGGGGCGGAAGCGCCCGAGCGACTCGGCGATTGTGCAGTTGATGTTCTGCTTTGAGAAGCCCTCGGAGGCGGAGGCGAAGATTGCAATCTCGGAGGTGTGTTGTTGTTGGTTGGTGGTGGTGGGGATGGGGGCCGGGGTGGAGAGGTACGAGGTGAGCCCTGTCATGTTGGGCGTGAGGTAGCTGTAGGTTACGGGGACGGGCGCGGTGGGCGGGTGGCGGTTCAGGTGGGTGTGGATTTGGGGGGTGTCGGCCATTTGGGGGACCCATTTTGGGCTGGGGGTGGTTAGCGAGTGAGTTCTTGTGAAGAAGGATACCAGTATGGGCTGTGGATGTGTGTTGTGGTGCGGAAAGAGTACTTCGGCATATCCGCCCAAACACTCTTTCCACACAACAACACCTCTCCCTCTCTCCACTCTCTCCCCGCGAACCCATAGAATAAAAATAAAAAGAACATACCTCACAAACGACCCCGCCTCAATATGCCTCAACCCGGCACCACTCAGCCTCTCAATGAGCTCAATCTTCGTCTCCGTCGACACGATCCCCTGCTCATTCTGCAACCCATCCCTCGCGCCCACCTCCACAATCTTGACCGAGCCCCTCGCCGGCACCTTCCTCACTGCCATCTCGTCGCCCTCCTTCTCGTCGGCGCCAACAGCCGTTGTGGACGTCGAGGCCGAGCTTACGCCGGGAGACACGCTCTTGAAGCGGCAATGAGTGTTCGCACGGAACCCGACCGCGGGCTGGCCGTGTAGTTGCTGCTTGGCGAGGTGGCTGTTGGTACTACTGTTGTTGGCGGTGATGGTGCTGCCAATGCTGCTGGTGCTGCCGGTGGTGCTGCCGGTGGTGCTGCCGGTGGTGCTGCCGGTGGTGCTGCTGTTGCTGGGGATGCGCGGCTTGAAGCGGAAGAAGGAGGAGAAGCTCGAGAGGCTCGAGTAGCCGCGGGCGTAATATACGCCCAGCGGCCGGCTGAGAACGACGCTGTTCATTTTACGGGTGGGGGTTGCGGTGGGGGGGTGCTGGTTGCCGGCGTCGGGGTTTGGAGCTTGGTTGGGGGTGTCTGCTGGAGTGGTGGGTCTTTGTTAGCGGTTGTTTATTTGGTCATGCAGGGGCTTTGTCTGTTCTGGAGTAGCTATAGTAGGGTCTGACAGGTAGATATATTGTTGTAGAGTGCTCTGGAAGGCGAGAGAATGGGATGGAGTGCTTACCTTTGCCTGTGCCTCTGCTTGTGCCTGTGCTTGTATTTGTGCCTGTATTTGTGTCTGTTGGAGGTGTGAATACAGACGTCGCTGTCGGCCGAGGACGGAGGTTCGTCTTCTTTGCCTTTGGTGTCGTTGCAGCTGTCGCGGTTGTCGTCGGCGTTGACGTTACAGGGTCCGTTGCCGTGCTCTTTGGGGCGTTAGTCCAGAAGCGGAGCCGCGGCCTGTGGGGGAGACCCAAACACATGATTGCAGCAGGGTAAAGGATTATATGTATCTATCTATATGTATGGGGAGGGATATCGATATAGGATACAGGATCTAGGAAGAAGTACGAGGCAGGACGACGGGGAAGGCGAAGAAGATAAAGACACCGCGGGGGAGGATCTGGATCTGGGGGGGGAAGGTGCACTCACGGCACTGCTACAAGTACTAATACTGCTACGGCTGCTGTTGCGGCTGCTGCTGCCACCGAGTACGGGGGGGGACCTCGATCTCGACAGCCTCACACGCGAAACAAGCAGCGATGAGTGCCAGAGCGGAGGAGGACGACGAGGAGGAGGAGGGTGCAGCAGTCGGGCTTTTGAAGGTTTACTCGGGTCCAGCATCGCACTCTTCTATCTCTGGACGTAACTCGCTCGCTCGCTCACTGAGTCGACTAGTAAGAAGTGAGAAGGAGTAATAATAGAAGAAAAAAACAGGATCGATGGAGAATGGAAGCCGAAGAGAAGCGAGGTCTAACTACGGGGGAACTTGGTGGGGGGGTTTCTTTCTCTTTCTCACTCTTTTTTTTTTTTTTTTCAGCTGTCACGACAGCCAGCCCGCCCGACCGAGGAGGGACAGGCGAGTTTGTAATCGCGAGGGGCCGCGGGAGTGGGGGGATTGTTACAAACCCTGTGCAGCAGTGCTTTTCCAGGGACGAGAGAGTGAGGCAGTGAGTGAGTGAGTGAGTGAGTGAGTGATAGCAATGACTTCATTCTTCTCCTGCTACCCTGGAGCCTTGGCTTGCAGCAAAATGTGGGGGAGATTTAAGGCCTGATGGGGGAAGCGGAGGGAAGGGAAGGAAGGAAGGAAGGAAGGAAGGAACCGCCAACCCGGATGATCTCCACTGCTAGATCGGGACCCTTTCTTGCCTGGCCCGGGAAGCTGAGGTTGCGCGATGCAAGGTGCATATCATCCATCATCATCAGGGTGCTGTGGGTAATAATAGATCATCTTGGGATGATATCGCTTTAATTAATCCTGTGTGCATATGTAGAACGACATTCTGGAACACCATGCAGACTCGACTTGTAGAATACACTGCAGAAACCAAGAAAGAAGGCTTCCTTTCCCTCTGAACATCTCATCTCATGCCACCATCAAAGCGACCGAGACTGAGACCTGATGAAGTGTCGATTCAGTCATTCCCCAGCACCTCTCTCTCTCTTTCTCTCTTCTCTGGGGTTGGCGTTATCCTTTTATTCGAAGCGGAGTCTTATCGATTGCTGGCTGACCGAGTGGGTTAGGGTTACATACATACCTTGACATCCCACATCCCACCATGCACTGACATCCAGGGAACCCCGCGCCAACCCAAGAACTCGTTTCAAAATCTCCCTGTTTAAATACTCATTCTCATTCTCACGGTGGATTTAACGGCCCACACAGACGATATTTCCGCCGGCGCCCCCCAGAACCGAATCACTAATATTCCTGGCAGACGCATCTCGATTCTGCCGGCTATCAATCGCACGAGTACGAGCTTAGCTTATTCCCGGGAATTTTCTGACAGTCTCAAAGCCAAAGGTCGGACATCGGACTTTATACACCACCACCACCACCAAACCACCCTCTCCCCTGAATATCTTTCCCCACAGGGATATCAACCTCCATAATGACTTCTCCGGACGCCCCAGCCGATACCGCTCCCACTTCCACAGCAGATATCCCCGATACCGCCGTCGCCGCCCCCGCGCCGAAGCAGCCCCGAAAGCGCTTCGTCGGCAAACGAACCGCCACCGAGCTACAAACCCAGAAGGCCACCAGCACAAGCACAGGCATTGAAGAAGGAGATGCCCTCCAACGTACGTCCCCCCTTCCCCTCTTCCTCCCTCCCCCACCGGGCCCCTCTCGGCCGTACTCCCCCAAACCCCACTTCCATCCGGTCCGTACCCCAAACCACACCCCACTAACCCCTCCCCCCACAGTCTCCTCCAAACCCCGCCGCACCGGCGGCCGCGCAATAAACCAGATCCCCCCCGAAATCCTCCACGATGAGGCCCTAAACGCCGCCATCACGCTCCTACCGGCCAACTACAACTTCGAAATCCACAAGACCATCCACCACATCCGCAAGACCTCGGCGACGCGGGTAGCCCTGCAGATGCCCGAGGGCCTCCTCCTCTTCGCCTGCACCCTCGCCGACATCATCGAGACCTTCTGCCCTGGCGTGGAAACCCTCATCATGGGCGACGTCACATACGGCGCATGCTGCATCGACGACTACACCGCCCGCGCCCTCGGCTGCGACCTCCTCGTCCACTACGCACACTCGTGCCTGATCCCCGTGGACGTGACTGAGATCAAGACGCTGTACATCTTTGTCACTATCGGCATCGATGTCACGCATCTCGTGGACACGATAGAGCGCAACTTTGCCGCGCCGAAGCATCTGGCCCTCGTAGGGACGATTCAATTCAACGCCGCCATCCACGCCGCGCGACAACCGCTAGAGGCAGCGGGATACACACTAACAGTCCCCCAGATCATGCCACTATCAAAAGGCGAGATCCTGGGCTGCACCAGCCCCCAAATAAACACCAAGGAGGTCGACGCACTCATCTACGTCGGCGACGGGCGCTTCCACCTTGAGTCCGCCATGATCCAGAACCCGACGCTATCCAGCCACCGGTACGACCCGTACTCCCGCCGCTTCACCGTCGAGAACTACAACCACGACGAGCTGTACAGTTTGCGACGGGCTGCAATCGCCACGGCGCAGAAGGCGCGGAAATATGGGCTGATCCTCGGGACGCTGGGGCGGCAGGGAAACGCACATACAGTGGAAAGGTTGGAGGAGCGGTTACGGGTGCTGGGGATCCCATATGTGGTTGTGTTGCTGTCCGAGATCTTTCCGGGGAAGCTGGGGATGATGAAGGATGTGGAGGCGTGGGTACAGGTGGCCTGTCCGAGGTTGAGCATTGATTGGGGGTATGCGTTTGAGCGGCCATTGCTGAGTCCGTATGAGGCAACAATTGCGCTGGGACTGAGGGAGGAGCAGTGGGGTGTGGGCGGGGAGGGGTATAAGATGGACTTTTATGCGAAAGAGGGATTGGGGAGGACGAAGAAGGGGGAGGGGCTACCGGGGTTGGAGGTATAGAAGGGGGTATATAGAGGGAAGGAAATAAATAGGATATGTATATGGCAATTGTTTTCACTGAGTTGTGTGTTTGCTATTTTTCCGGTAACGGAATGCCACATCAAAACTATCGATAAAAATTCGAGGCTATGGTAAAGAAGTAGAGTTGTAAATCATAGTGTTCAACTTAACAGCTCTCAAGAAAAGAGACGCGAGTAAGTTATAAGTAGAGTGTATGCGTACCCATCCATATCCACATCCAACCAACAAGCCATTACCCCACTCAACAAGTAACAATCTTATCAAATCACAACTGTACACCCCACCCACCCTGTCAACATTGGTGTTGGCGGTTTCTTTGATACCAGGTCTATCGTCTAGAATGGACTGCTTACCTAGAGTTTGCTTGTTTTCATATCAGCCTTGACATTTTCAGGCTCTTGAAGTTGTAGTGTTCTGCTTGGTCTATTGGGTGGACCCCGTCTTTAGAGTTTTGCTCCTATCCGGATAGGAGGATGGAATGATTTCTCAGTTGCAGCGAGCTTAGCTTATAAGTCACCTAATCGCTGAAACATGTCCTATAAACACTTAAACCGATGATCTGTCCCACAGACCGTTTCCAGCTAATGAGGAGGATATATTGATGGGTGAGTGCTAGCTATTTGTGTCATGCATGAAATATCACTCGATGTGCCATGCCGAAAGGCCTGGGTAGGGTTAGGTTCGGTGGCGGGATGGCAGCAATTGAGATACACGGGTGGTCTACGGGGAAATCGGTTGGGATGTCTGGCACTCGGTGGAGCAGATATATTATACTGGTTGGGCAATTGCAGATAACAGCCGACTGGTGTTGTGGGTTTAGTGGGGGGCGTACAAGTATTACCAACTTGAAGCTAGCTTAAAAACGAGAGCCGACTTGCCCGGTCACAGCCAAAAGCACTAACGAAACCATTGTTGCCATGGGGTTGAATGGCCGACCGGTATAGAGCTCACGCTCTGTGGTCGTTCAACCCACCCTCGATTCGGACGTAGAAAGAGATGTAACAGCTTAGGTAGCTGCGAACTCTTTTTGCTGGCGGGATAAAATATTTTTCTTCTTCTCCCTTTTTGCCCCAATTACATAAAGGAGGATGACATTCTTCTTCTTAGATTGTAGGGATGGATCATGAGGTATCACTCGTTGAGATCTCCCAACCACCGAGAGCAGCAACTCGAGTTATCAAACTGTAGCCTACCGGACGCCTTCCCGTAAGCTATTGGGAGTGTTCTATTGTAATAGAGGATAATTTTCGAATAAACCAGGTTCCCATAAGCATACGGTACAGTGACAGAAACATGGATAAAACGACTACCGCAGTCATTGGCAATGCCGTACCACTGCTGTACCACTACCGTATACTTCGTTGAAATACGGAGATGAAGCGGCACATTCTCACAATACCGTACTGATGCGGTGTCAGATTTACCCCCAGTTCTAATACTGTAATTAATATAGATTCCTAAAAATCCAACGGGTGCCTAATACTAATTGGGTATCGCGAAGCCGTTTTTTTGGGACTATTTCTCGCGCTAGCAAGGTGTTTTCCCTATTGCAACGGATAGAAAATGGATAGAGTTCATGAACCAAATAACCCCCCCCCCCCCTTGGGGGGATCTATAAGAAACACATAGACACCCTTTTCTATTCGTTAGAACACCAAAACCCGATCTATCCGGCGATAGAACGCCCGCTATAGCTTACGGGAAGGCGTCCACCCATCCTGATATCCCACACTCTAAAGAAAGCCAGAGAGGCAGAACGCCACCCAACCCATAACCAGTGTGAAAGAACTCATCAAAAAAGATACAATTTTTACAAGTAAAATAGCTCATAACCCCCAAAGCGCGTTTCATTCCCCACTCCCTATCCTACACTCCCTATCCTACAATCCCTATCCTACAATCCCCCCCTTCCCCCGCCCGCCTCCCATCAACATCTTCAAAAGTCCGTCACCCTCCCATTAAAACTATAATCCCCATGCCTCAGCGGATCATTCTTCGGCCCGCCCACCTCGCCCGTCTTCGGATTGACATCGCCCTCAAACTCCGGTGGCGCGCCACGCCTGATGTCCGGATGCACCAGTTCGCCCTCCTTCTCCACGCCGGGCTCGTAGTGCTGCGACGTCGAGAAGGCGCCCGAGGACAGTCGCTGCAGGCGCTCGAACTCGGCTTGTTCGGCCGGGGAGAGGCGGGGCGGTGAGGGGGGCGCGGGGGGGATTGATGAGTGCCGGGGGACAGTGGTGGTGAGGGTGCGGTGGAGGGGACGGAGGCGGAGGGGGAGGCGGAGGAGGCGGGAGGACATGGTGTGTCTGTGTGTGTGTGTGTGGAGATTTTTGTTATTGGGTTATCGTTTGGTTGTAGGTGAAGTTGAGGTTTTTGTGTTATTGTTAACGTTTTATGTGAAGTGGCGGTTTCGAAGTGAGGTTCAAGTTCAAGATGTCGGTGGTAGTGGGACTACAGCTATTTGTATGTGGGGCGGCTCTGCCTCGGCTGTCCGGGATCGGCCGGGGTAGACTGCCGGATTCGGTAGACCGTAATATTTGGAGGCGCTACGTTTCGCAGAATAGATATTACGACTTGTAGAGCTGAAGTGATTGTAGACGGAGCTGAGAGAGCTTGGAAACTAACTTGACGTAAATCAACTAGAACACAAATTCAACACCAGGCAAAAAAAGAAATACCTTTACTCTCCAAACCGCAAAACCTCAAAACCCACCAAGCAACTAGATCTTATCAATGCCAAGCCTCATCACATATATCTTCTAGTTTAAGGGACAATCCTTTCGCCAATCCCTTAGAAGAGGCAGGCAGTAGATGGGAGTAGATAAGAGAAGAATACGAAAGCCGCACCAAATACCCACAAACCGCCAAAAACCAAGAGCAATAATCCTGCCCCAGATCGAAGCCCTAGATATAGCAGCGCGGCAAATTGCAAAAGCCTTGATAGCTGCTCAAACCCCATACAGCGCGCTAAAGTCGCAATACCCGGCGGCTTCGAGACAAGCGTTAGGCTTAGAGGCTTCGATATAGAACTAACTGTCACTGTGTCTTTGGTGTTGCATTATGCCATGTCGATCGGCGTTATATTATGCCTTCTCGCCTGGGCTTGCTTGCCAGTGTCTACGAGACTGGGGCCGCTGCTGAATGGGTGTCTTGGGTATTTGGTATCTTCGTTAACATAACTGTTTCTGGACCGCTGTAAGCTGAGCGAGCAGTTACTAGGATTGAAGTCCAAGATGGTTACCCAAAGCCTCAAAGGAGTAGCAAGAGGGGAAGCCAGGGTAAGGTTGCAGGAAGCGAGAGCAAAGAAAACCACCAGAGCCTCAAGTCCTCGCGCGAATGTGGCAGGACGTCCTTAAGAAGACATAGAGAAACCCCGAGTCGTATTTTAGACTGAACGAAGGCTCTGGTTATAAGCTGGAGGGAAGAGGGGGCCTAGGTATACCCCGACCCAAGAGTATATGATGGTTGTCGGAAGGCAACTTGCAGAAAGATAGTTTTGGCCGAGGTTGGTTTGAGGTGAGGTTGCGGGTTGGGATGGGTAACTGATGGTAGGAGAAATGGTGTCATGGATTCTCACTCGCGGCAACGGGTGTTGTTGAACTAGCAAACCAGCAACCAGCAAACCCACGTACCGTACCTCGTAACCCTCAACAAGAATCATTTCCGCAAGCAAATAAATATACATCATCACCCTATCAAAAGACCAAAAAAAAAGAATACTAAAACCAATAAACACGAAAAAAAAAAAAAAAAACCGGCAACAGGATATTTAAGATAATAAAAATAAAAAATAAAAAGAGCACAAACTCCCCTCCTTCCCTTACATCTTCCCCACGTTCTAATTGAGACTATCCAGCTACATAAACTATTCATTCTTCGCCACTCCCCTGCCAAACGCCTTCTCCGCCTCACTCCACTTCCTCCGCTCCATCTCCATCCGGTCAACGTACGCCCTCCCAAACTTCCACACCTCCGTGCCACCCAGATTCCACGCCTCTACTGCCCTCCTTAGCCGCTTCTTTTTCCCGCCGTCTTTGGCGCTAAACGCATCCTTATGCGTCGTATCCAGAACCTTCACCTGCTGCGCATCCGGCTTCGGCAGGTCAAGCTTCAGCTCCTCCTCTGTTGGTAGAGTAAAGCCTAGCGTCCACTCAATATCCTTGAATCCCGCGTCACTCGTCGACAAGATTGTCGTCGACGTTGGGTTCGCCGTCGCAGCCTTGATCGTCACGACTCTCGGGCCCGACCCAACCGACACGGGTGTCGTCACAGCGCGTAGCCATTCATCGCGCTGTGTGCGCCGGCGTACGAAGCGGATAGATTTATCCTCGGAGTCCGTGGAGAGGTTAATCTCGGGGTTGGTGAGGGCGATAAACGTGTACGGATGAGGAATTGTGCCGAGGGAGAAGATGCCTGTCTTGTTTGTGAAGGTCTTACTGGGCGTTACCTTCAATCCATTCTTACAGGGTTTGCAGTCCTGCTTATTGCTTGGGCACGACTCGGGATCCGGGTTATCAACTGGGCAAGCTGCGAGGCGTGCTGCAAGAACCTGAGCAGGATAGTGGAGTGCGCCGAGGGTTTCCGGGAAGGGGAGAAGAAGGGAAATCCCAGATGAGTAACGGGCGATCCAGTTCTCGTGCAGGTGCGCATTGATAAGCTTTGGGAGATCGCTGAACTGCAGTTTGGGGTACTTGAGCTTGATTGCCTCGGAGGTGTAATCTGCAAAGGATTTTGGCAACGAATCGATGTGGAAAAGATTGTTTGCCATCTTAGTGGCGCCCTCAATGGTCACGGTGCCGTTGTCCCCTTTGGTGGAGGTGATGTACTTTAGCACCGCATCGATTGAAGCCTTATCGCCGGCGAAAACTCGGTGTCCGTAGTTCTCATAGCGCGTCGCATAGGTGAAGTCGCAGCGTCGCAGAGCTGTGAACGTGTGGTCGTCGTATGGCGCCATAGGAATGACCTGTTTCATTCACTCACTCATTAACCATCACTCCACTACAATACTACACCTCCGGCGCTCAAACGTACCCTATAATCCACCAGAACACCAGTACCCATACGGCTCCAAGCCAACCACCTCATGAGCTCCCTCTCAAAGTCTGGGTGAAAGTTCCCTGTGTCCCTGATAACCCTATATAATCCGTGCTCCTTGGCCTCTCCCATTCCCAGTACCACCGGTTGGAATCCCTGCGCCCAGAACGCGCGCCTCCACGCCAGCAGCAGCTGATCCTCCACCTCCGCATCATCACCTTTGGCATCCGAATCATAGAACGTATACACCGGACACCTCTTCGGCATTGGCGGCAGCACACTACGCTCCTCGTCGCCCACGGCAATATTGCTCGAGAACGGATTCAGCCATTTCCAGCTAGAGAACCAGGAGTCGCTTGAGCCGGTAGAATTGGTAGATGGTGGGGGAGGCGTGTGCGAGGTGGGCTTAAAGGGATTGAGGTCCTTGATTGAGTCGGGGATGTGTGGGTGCGCGATGTCAAGGCCGATTACGGACTGCTCCGCGGTGGTGAGGAGGGACGCGGGAATGAAAAGGAGGGCGGAGACGGAGAGGAGCAGGATCCCCGAGAGGAATAAAAGCAGACGACGGGTAGAGATTGCTTGACTGCCGGCGATGAGACGCAGCTTGAGACCTGGTGGGGGTTTCATGGAGATGTAATTGGGGTTTGGGTTTACGAGTTGACTGTAGGATTCGATATTGAAAAGGTGTCAGGAGGAATGCTAATTGACAGTTGTTCACTAGGGAAGCTATTCACGCGGACATCCGTGGGGATAGAAAATGGGTCCAAGGTAGGCCTCTGATAATTGAGGGGATGGTGGGATGTGGGAAGTGAGATATCCTGGGTGCCTGTGCCTGAGTCCGAGTCCGAGTCCGAGTGGTTTCTGGTGAATACGGACGGATACGTTGAGCCCCTTTGTGGATCAAAAGCTAGTTTTGGGCAGACACGAAGGTTGATCTCTTTGCCAAGCCTCTCGGCAAGGACCCTGTCACTCGCATAGCTTCACATGTTGTCACTCGAATATGTGCCTCAGTCAGTCCACCCGTGTTCACAACCTCCATTGTGATTAGCAAACTGGTTTTTCATTTCCATATACATTTTTTGTACCTCATATGCCCCAATACCAAGTAAGCCTAGAGTCACCCTCATAACTACATAACTATAGAAGAGAGAATAACGGAATAGAAAAAAGAATCGGCGTCATTTCGTTTCATAAACTAAATTATACTACAATAATCGCACTGAAAAAACATGCGGTCCCACCAAGTAACCCTACTCCTTATGGTCAATATTGATAGCTTGCTTGTTATCAATCTCCAACTCCCTCTCACGGAGATCCCCAAGGTAGTCTTTGGACTCCATTGTAGGTACAAACCAGGGTGCATTCTCCCACAGATTGTCCATAGCCTCCAAAGGAACCTTTGCGGTCTCAGGAAGAAGAGCCCAGAAGAAGATGGCGTTGGTGAAATTGCAGACAATCTATATTGCGCCTATTAGTAGCCGTAAAACCTCAACCTGACACTGAGGGGAGGTGGCAACATACGAAGAGAATGTAGTATTTCCAACCAATATTCGTCATAGCGATAGGGGTGACCTGTCCAATCATGGTGTTCATGGCGAAACTCATCATGGTCGCCAACGACACACCACGAGATCTAGTAGCCGTGTTGAACACTTCTGAGGGGATAATCCAAGAGAGCGGACCGCAGGTGGCACTGAACGAGAAGTTGTAAATCCAGGTGGTAGCAATAAATCCGATCTGAGCGCTCATCGGGTTATCTTTGCCAGGCGGGAACAACGCCAGAAGAATGGCTCCAACGATGAAAGTAACGCAATTGCCCAAGTTCCCAAAGATCAACGGCCAACGACGACCAAATTGATCAATGAACAAGATACACAAGAACTGGCCCACAAGAGCAACGATAGAGTTGCAAGCCTGGTAGAGCAATGTCCTTTCGGTACTGACACCAATCTGCTTGAAGATATCTGGTGAATAGTACTGGATGGCACTGACACCGGTCAACTGGATTGACGACTGCAGAGCCACACACAAGAAAATTCTCCTGAAGTTGGACTTGTTCTTGAAAAGCTCTCCCCAGGTCTTTGCGCTGTGCTCATGTTCGTGGGTGATCTGTTCCTGGATCTGCTCGAACTCGGCGCGGACCCACGGGTCATTCTCGTTTCCATGGGCGTGGAGCTTGGCAAGGGTCTTAAGACCAAGGTTGACCTGGCCGTTGTCGATGAGCCAACGTGGTGATTCAGGAAACAAGAAGATGAGAAGACCGAGGATGGCTGCTGGGACACATTGGATTGCGAGAGGGACACGCCATTGGTTGTCGTCAGTAGGAGCAAAGCCCTTGTAGGCGCCGAAACCGATCCAGGAAGCGCAGAGGGCACCGATACCCAACATAAACTGCTGGAGAGCAGTGATACGACCACGAATTGTAGGGTGCGCCAACTCGGCCTGGTACAGCGGGATAATCATGCAAAGAACACCGACACTGCGATTATGTAAGTTTAGTTCTGGATGCGAGGTATCTTGAGCATGACTTACCCAATACCGGCAACGAAACGTCCAGCTTGGAGGAATCCAATGTTCTGACCACCAGCCTGGAGACCACCTCCGAGAATAAATGTTGCAGTAGCAATGGCAATAGTTCCACGACGACCAACCCAGTCACCAAGGTAACCTGCGAAAAACGAACCGCAGAAAGCTCCCGCAGTGAACAGCGATACTACAAGACCTCTGCAGACACCGGTATGTTAGTATACCATTAACAAGGCCTATAAAGTGGAGAGAACACACTTCTCATTATCTGAAGGGCTGAATTTTGCAACGAAGGAATCCGAAGCCACAACCTGAGCAATAATACCCAAATCATAACCGTAATTGAAAGACCCTATCGACGCGAACAGGCCGACAAGGAACTGGTACCACTTTGGTGGAATAGTCATCTCGGAGGAAAAAAAAAGAAGCTCCTGTCTCAAAAGTCAAAAGAGCACACAAACTGCACGACTGAACTGCGGTAACTGACTGAGCGGCTGTCTGGGTGAACGGACAGAAATCCCAATTGCGGGGAGGCCTCCTCGTGCCATTTAAATAATCTACACCTTTATGCTTCGCTTCCAGTCCCCCCTACGCTGTTCATCATTGCCCCATACATAACTCCGGATTATCTGATATCACGCTTGCCCATGGGGCAAAATTAATAACATGCGGCGCACTCCCCTGCCTCTATGCCCACGATCCCCGATTTCCCCATTTCCCCAGCCTGAACCCTAGTCGAACCCCAGGTGTCCCCCACCACACTAGGATAGTTCTAACGTGGGGATGGGATGATATACTAGCAAGCATCGCACGTTAGGGGTGGGCACAAGATTCAGGGATTGAAGCCAGAATTGATTTCGGGAACACCTATTACCCACGTAAGCTACATCACGAGTAGGGCAAGAATTGGGGAGCCGGGACTTTGAGCTTTTTCAGGGCTAGCTGGTAGCTGCGATAATATGCTCTGCCATGGAGTTTAGATCGTGGGGTATCGTCTCAGAAAAAGGGCAGGTGCTGTCGAACTCAATGCTGTATGTAGGTAGAGTATGTAGGTAATCTGTGGGATATATTGACAGGCATACTCGGTATACGTACTCGCGATAAATTGCGGTTGGCCAAAAAGTTCCATATGGGGGTTGGTAGGCAAGCATGTCGGACTATCGGTGTGAAGGCAGCGAACGTGAGACCAAGGCTTGATATTCGGCACGTTCCAACTCGGCTAAATTGCAATAATAGAGTAGTGGGCCATGAGATTTCAGACCCAGTCTCACCTCCCTCTATCATAGCCGCGTTCCATTCCTCCCTCGTGGTCCGAGGTTCTGAGGTTGAATTCACCTGACCGCAAGCTAGAGAACGAGAAGTTGCTTTTGGGAATACAAGCGAGGACGGGAGAGCCTGTACAGCTGGGGCGTAGTTTTATATACTCAGGCTAAACGGAAAAACAATTAGAAGGCTGGAGGTTAATAGCCCGAGCCCTCAAATGCGAGCTAGACAATGAACCGAAGAAAATTTTATCGTGTTTTTGATATATTGATTGATGATGATTGCTCGATGATGAGGTGCTGATTCATACTAGAATGGCGGGAATCCCGGTTATTGGATATTCTGAAATGTTTCGTGATCTTGATATGAGTACTACTAATCCAGTGACCCAGGTTCAAGTTTTTCCGTTAGTGCATATATCGGTACTTGGATACATCATACATGTATGTATTCAGGAGAGGCTAGTCCGATTTACCCATCATCCTCTGGGACTTCTATGTCTTCCGTGCCTTCATCGGGAGCATTCGCGGCCACAAAACTCTCCGATATTCACGGCAGGCTCGGCAGGGCGGCGGCGGCCAGGGGACGTTGGAAATGTCTAACAACGCGTTGAACAGTCGGCATGTGCCTAAACTGGCACCGGCACCCTCGCGTGGGAGAAGCAGAAGCAGGGGATGGCGCATAAGCCCTACCCCGCTTTCCTTCTAGCAGGGGACGGTTAAAAGCTTGAATTTAACCATTTAAACGCTTTTAAGTAGACTACTGTAGTGTATTTATTAGCACTAGGATTTCTCCGACGTCTGCCCAGACTTTACAATTCACGATCGAAACTCTGAAGGTTGAATAGAACGTCAAATGCTTGCTAGTGCCATGAGATCCCCGCAATTGGTATTCTTCCAAACAGCGGTGAATCCCAGGTTTTCAGGGGCCATCGGCATCAGCTGCATCTCATATTCTACATATGTACATAGATACACCAAAATTTTGAATGTTTGAACGATAGGCATTCTCTTCTACCGTTTTCCCAAGTCCCCGGGACTCACGATCTCTCGATTTGGCTTCCGCTATCTCATCTCTGCTAGACTTCGCAGTTTGGCAGTTTATCCACCCTTTTTTATTGTCGTATGTACCTCCTACACTCAGTTTCATGTAGCTTCCTGGGTATTTCCACGGTGTTGGTGAGCCAGCTGCAGAAATCCAAATGTTTTCTCCACTTGTCTTCCCGATCCGAAAGACCCCCTCATCTTCGATTCCGTCCTCATGACCTCTTTCTTTGAGGGGACATTTAAACTCGTCGTTTCCTCTGCCCTTTCAGAACCCATCTTCTCGTATTCCCCTCTGCCATCCCTCTCCTCTGCACCGCTATTCTGAGTTTTTCTCCCCAATAAATTACGTTCCATCCATATATTATTCGCCAGTTGATCCGGCACAATGACGACCTTCACCAAAATCTCTGAGGATGCCACCCCCTCAATCAGCATTGACACCGACCGTGTCCTGTCTGAGATCAAGCCAGAAATCTACTCCGGCTTTACAGAGTGCGTAATCCATTGACTCTCGCTTGCCTGTGACGCAATTGCAAAAGATCTGTGTCACCATCAATGCAGTTCATCCCATTCTGACGAGAGTTCATAACCACTAGACACATGGGAAGATGTATTTACGGCGGTCTCTATGATCCCGGCAACTCCCTCTCAGACGAGAACGGCTTCCGGAAGGATGTCATTGAGGTTTTCCAAGAATTGAAGACACCCGTTGTTCGGTATCCCGGAGGGAACTTCGTTGCGACCTACCATTGGTACGAGGGGGTTGGACCGAAGGAGAATAGACCAGCGAGGTATGATAAAACTATGATCCTAATCCTAGCTCTGGGTCAATTTTCGGTTAAAATAGAGATTGGCTAACCTAGTTTGGTTGTTTTGTTAATAAAGGCCTGAGCTTGCATGGGACGGGGTCGAGATGAACACATTCGGTACTGATGAGTTCATGAAATGGTGTAAAGTTGTGGGGACGGAGCCGTATTTGGCGCTTAATATGGGCACTGGTACCCTTGATGAAGGTAATTTTGATTTCTGAAGAAAAAAAGGTTTTGGACATGGTTCTAATGAGCTTCTTTATTAGCTTTGGGATGGGTTGAGTACTGCAACAGTGATAAGAACACATACTGGGCCAATATGCGCCGAAAGAACGGTCATGAGAAACCATACAATGTAGGCCATAATTCCCGCTATGTCACTCTCACCGCAATTCTCGTCCAGATTCTAACTAGCACCGTTTAGGTTAAATACTGGGCTCTCGGAAACGAAGTCTATGGAGAATGGCAGGTAGCGGCAATGACCAAGGAGGATTACGCGAAGAAAGCGTACCAATGGGCAAAGGCCTTGAAGCTCCTTGATCCCTCAATCACTCTTATTCTTTGCGGTGAGACCGGGTACTCAGACTGGGATCGATATGTCTTGCAGGAGTGCATTAAGTGGACCGACATGCACTCCATCCACATCTACACATCTGACAAAGAGTAAGCCCACTAGATGAATCCCGTAATATAAATAATCCGGAGTACTGACCGATCTCGTAAATAGACATCTCCCCAACGCCAGCGCTCCCCTCTCAGCCGAACGCTCCATTGAGATAGTCGCGGCCTACATCGACCAAGCACGCATCCAAGCGAAGTGCAAGACCCGACCGACAATCTGCTTCGATGAATGGAACATCTGGGACCCCATCCGCGCGCCTGGAGACAAGGGCGCGGAAGAGCTATACACCGTATCGGACATGTTAGCCATGGCCGTCTGGTGTAACGTTTTCATTCGTCAGTCCAAGTGGCTCGGAATGACAAACATCGCTCAAAATATTAACGTGATTGCCCCTGTCATGACCACGCCCCGTGGCCTCATTAAACAGACAATCTACTTCCCTTACTTCCTCTTCACAAACTACATGCGCGGAAACACGCTCGGCACCCATCTTAGGTGCGGAACATACGACGGTAGGACTCAACCTGACTGGATTGAGACCACTATGGATACCCCTTGGCTGGACGTGTCCGCCTCGTTGTATGAAGGAAAGGTCGGTCTTGCAGTCGCAAATATCCACCCAGAGAAGGCGTTTGATGTCGAGATCAAGGGACTTCCAGAGGGTGCCGAGGTGGACGTCTACTATGTTACCGGCGAGAACCTGACTGATGTCAACACTGAGGAGAAGCAAACTGTGGGTATCAAGGAGAGCAAGTGGACCTCAAAGGCAAAGTATACTTTCCCTAAGCATTCGTTCACTCTGCTGAGGTGGAAAGCATAAGTGTGAGAAGTGGTGCGGGGTCGAACAAACAAATTAACGTAGAGAGCGGGATTTTCTTCGTTTTGGCTGGGAATTGTTGATCAGTTCACTTTGTCATGTGTATATGTAGCTAGAAAGAGCCATTATTTGATATAGAACAAACAATGCATGTCGTTTTCTTCGTCTGCGGGGGTACTCGGGTGATCTGATTCAGCCGAATGCAAGGGGCGGGAAGGTGAATTTTACTCTAATTTACGCATAAGTGATGACGTCTGGTTAATTTTCCGAGAGTCGCGCATATTGTGGGTGTGGCTCCGGTTAATTCTCATGGACTGGCGAGTGAGGGCCCGTGAGTAGCGGGCTTTTCACAAGTGCGTCAGGCCACCAAACGAAACATGATTATGGCAGATCATTCGTGGAGACTGTAGGTGCTCCTCTGGAGATTATAGGGAAAGTAGATCATTTATGTGCAGGAAACGTGTTAGATATGGGCGATCTCTGTAGTACTCTCTCACTTTTTATTGACGCAATGGGCCGTTTATTTTTTTTAATTCGACCTTTATATGTGCTTTTAATATTACTACCAGGGTAATACTAGATCATAAGAAAGTTACCTCCGGGGAGCCGGCCGACCAGGGCCAGTAGGCAATGCGTGCATATATTCCCGGTCGTATGACAATTCCATATATCTTGAGTTAGTCGGAGTTTAATTAGGGGAATCATCTCTATTTCCACGGAGACAAGAGTAGAGGCAGAAGAGATGATATTGCTAACCGAGTGATATTTTATGATTTAGAACACTTGTTACATGCATCAGCACCGAGTAGCGTCTCTTCATTGGTTGGTTACTTATAATGATCGGGAAAGGCCTAAAATAACACAGTGTTCAGTAAAGGTCTAAAATAACAGAGTTTTCAGTAGACCTGCTCTACAATATCACATGGCGTAAGATGATATAATTCGCTATAGCTTAGTAGGGATAGATATTTAGTTGGCCTGACACTACGCCCGAATTATGAAACAGAATAAGTATTCCTGAGAACTGGCGTCCTAGTCTTAGTGGAAATGACAGTGAGAGGTCGTATCTAGTATTCGGTGAGTACATGTATATACCCCTACGTAGAATCCGGATCCACGCACCATTCTCCTGCAGCCATCGACCCCTTGTGTTGTCGATCATTTGTCTAATTGCAACCAAAAGCCGTTTAAATAGTATCTATCACGAGTCCGTAGAAGCAAAGGTAACGTAACCTATTCATTATAGTCTACAATGCTTCTAAGTCCTATTTGAGCCACGGAATCATCGCCATATGTATCCCAACAACCAAGAAATTTCTAAATACAGTGCGGAGAAAGAGGAAAACGTCCAAGATATATATCAACCTCATCATATGGTACAAATACATAAGCAAAGCACACACACATGACGCCGTTTAACTCATTTTTTTTTTTTTTTTGTTTCCTAATCGTCTAGTCCCCTAATAGACAAAAGTCCCGGCCCATCAATCTGCCCTTACTCTACCCGTACCCTCAGACTGTGGCTGATCAGCACCCATTCCAAATCCCCAGTTCGCCTTTCTCTTCTTCTTTCCCTTCTTCTCTCCGAACTTCTCATCGAACTTCCTGATCTCTGTGAGAGAGGACATGTCGTCGCTAATACTGGCACTGATCTCCTCAAGTGCCTTGGCGAAGTGGCGATCCTCTAACAGTCTCTTCTCGGGGTATTGATATTCCTCGCCAGCGGACTTTGCCTTTGCAGCATCAGCATTTTCCTCGCGGACACAGGCAAGTGCGGCAGAAACACAGATATTCTTCAAATCAGATCCAGAGAAAAGGTTTGTCTGGTCTGCAATGGACTCTAGTAATACAGTGGGCGCTAGAACTTCACCCTCAAGGTGAATCTTGAGGATCTCAAGCCTATCATCGCGGGTGGGAAGGTCAACAAGGATTCTGCGGGGAAGGCGACGGAGAACTGCATCATCAAGGTCGAAGGGTCGATTTGTAGCAACCATTATGAAAGCAGTGGTTGTTAGATCAGCCCATTCTTTTAGAAACTGGTTGATGATCTCGCGGTGGGCAGTTCTAGTTGAGTGACTGTGGCGGCTGCCAAAGACTGCGTCGGCTTCATCTATGAAGACAACACAAGGAGAGAGTTTTTTGGCGAGTGAAAAGATGGCTTTAACGTTCTTTTCACCCTCACCAACATACATGTCAAAGATTTCTGACCCACTGACTTCAAGAACCTATGGTAAGATTAGAAACTAGCCGTGATAAGTTAATTGAGGGGGAATTGGTGCATACTGTAGCTCCACTCTCTTTGGCGACGGCTTTCGCCAACAAAGTTTTACCAGTACCGGGGGGGCCGTATAATAACACCCCCGGTATCCTGTCTGTTGCTAAAACACCATACTTGAACGCCTCTGGCCTTATGAGTGACATTGAGGTTAATGTTTTCAAAGCCTCGATAGTTTCCTCTGGGGCTCGGACTGAGGAGAATCCTGTATGAATATTCTCAGGGTTGATGACACCGCCGAGAAGCTTCTTTTCATGTGGCGTGCAATTTTTCGGCAATTTTACTTTTGTACTTTTCCATTCCCCACTAACTTTAGTGAATGTCGGGTCAAGTTCACCATCCATTTCTTCGATTTCCTTCATTGTTTTTTGTCGAAGACGCTCATCAGAGGCCCAAGCAAACTTTATTGCATCACTATTGTCGAGAAGTTCGGCAGCTTGTTTAATTTCTTGGATTCCAATCTCTCCTCCTTTGCCTAGCCGTTGGCCGAGCACAGTTGTCGCGACACGGTGAACCCGATCAAAGTTCCAAATGGTATCCTTGATTCCTGAAATTACCGTGTCATCCTCGTCTTTTTTCAAGTGCCAGTCCTTGGGGAGAGTTAAGGAGACATCCTGGCCTGTATCTCCACTTCTCCTTCGGATCACATCTCGTAGGTGACGGATATTGACCTCTCGTATCCGAGCTTCTTTGTCAACCCTGAAAACATCGCTCAAAACGTTATAAAGGTGAGGGGGGACAAGAATCGTCCTCTCATAGGAATCCTCGGGTTGAGACTGTATCAAGCGTAAACCTGATTTTGTGAGGTTTTCTGAAGTTTCCTCCATCGACGTTGTGCCTAGAATTATGATATTTTCGCCATCTCGGCGCCGTCGTTGAACTATATCATGAAGCATACGAATTACCGCATCTCCGGAATTAGTTCTTTCTAGTTCGCGATAGTCGCGGATATGAACTATTGTTTTGTTTGGTCTTGACTGGCGCTGTGTTTTTATGGTTTCTTTCGTATTTTCTTTAATGTCTTTCGGCGTTTCTGAAGTTGATGTACCCGTAATAGAGAGAGAAGATTTTGCTGCACGCTTCTTTTGAGCCGCGGTTATCAGGGCTTCTAAAAGTGCTTGCATTTTTTTCTCGTTCGAATGATCCGAAAGAGTTTCCTGCGTTTTACCAAGACCTGGCACGCTAAGGGAAGAAATTGGAATTACAGTTGCTCCTGCCAATCGCCCAGACATCAAAAGCTGCTTTAGAGGCTCAGGAAGATTGCTGATGAGCTGTGAAGGAAACCCTTTCGGTGGTACAGGCTCTGCTTCATGTTCTTCTTCCTCTTCGTATTCCTCTTCCTCGGTTTCCTCGACGTCTTCCTCGGTTTCCTCAACCTCCTTCGAGAGGGAAGAGGCGAGTTGGGCGTCATACCCTATGGAGCGGATTGCGTGAGACGAAAATCCAGGAGAGTTTGATACTGGAGTTATTATTAGTTCTTGAAGGCGGATTAAAGCAGTGGATAATACTCACAATGCCGTGAGTCACCCAAGAAATCACCAGCTATCTCCTCCAGATCCTGGGCGTCAATCCGTACGAGATCCGCCCCAACGTCTGATGCTACAGCCTCCACCACTGCGTCCAAGAAGTAGATCCCACCTTCTTTTGGAAAGTGAAGGAGACAATTCGACTTCATAGAAGCGAAGCTATCTAGGTAAGTTGCTTTGGGTAGCATTAGTCCGGCTTGTACATGGGTTATGATTTCCTTCCATACAACATCGTCTACCCAATAACGATACTTTTTCTCTGCTCTTATCTCCTCAAGCAGCTGTTTAACCTCATTTGTTTCTAGTTCCTCTTCAGATTCGGCCTTCCCTGACTCTGTAATTTCCTTAGCTGGAGAGATCCCAAGCTTCCAATTCGCCGGATCCACAATGCTGTCCTCCCGCAGTGTTACCCCATGTTCGAGAAACCAAAGCGGTACCTCAGGTTTCGGCATTGCCGGGATCGTCTTTGGTATCAACCGTCCTCCCCTCGACTTTGAACCCGATGGCCGACCCCGCGATCGTTGAGGCCGGTCTGCTGGGTTCTCGTCACCACCATTGGAGAGAAGGTCTTCCGTCTCTGGCTTTATCGTAGACTCTGCAGGTTCTCCATCCGTTGGCGAGGCTCCACTCCCCTTGCTTTCTCTCGGGGGCGAATCGGTCTGAATATCGGTCTTCTTTGTGAAGAAATCTGTGGGAGTAGCGTTGGGCTTGTGCGGATCATTCGGGTCGGTTTGGAGGGCTCTTGGGGTGCCATGGAAGCATCTTGTTGTGCTTCGGAGGTGTCGTGGGGGGAGGTTCGGAAGTGGTCTTCGTCGCGCGATGGGGAGCACTGACAGAAGCGCCCGTCGGGTTACAGCTAGCATCAGCCTTGGAGTGGATTGTATAGAAGGCAAGCTGTTTCGGGCTGCCCTTGCACGTTGAGGGGTCGAAATGTTCCTCGAGCAGTTCTTGTCGCTTGGGTCTGAAGCTTCCAGGGCTAATTATTTTTTCCTTTGAAGAGGCGGAAGTGCCAAGACAGGCTAAATATGACTATCAGCTCTCTATCTTATCTGATCATCTAATAACATCAAAGTCAATGATCAAATCGATTAACCAAAGCCTAAATCACCACAATCTAGCTTTGGAAAGACTCAGCAGTTCTGGCAATACATGAAGACATAATTCGTTAGACTTTCAGCGATATCTGTCTGTCGAATCGTCACAGCTATCTATAGTCTCAACTGCCATTACATGGTATGGTGCGCACACTCTTAAAGGTGATATGGCGGCATACGGAAGTGGAACAATTGTGGCTATAATAGGGCCTCATGGGCCAATAAGAGGGCCACGGATCAGTCAGGTTTGCTTTTCTGGGGGTATAAATGGGTATAATACTGTTCCACTTTGTTCAGTCTTGGCGCTTTTTACATACAAAATCAGCCAGTTTCAATCTCCAATAACTTCATGACCATGATAGATATTAAAAATCTGGTAAAATAGAACTAAAGTTCATCACTATTTCTATACTTCTATTTGCCACATTTTTGATATCATCTTTAATGAGGAAGTTATAAGCGATTGACTTTCCATCAACTTTGGTTACCTTTAAGAGTGGGCGCACCATACTTCTAGAATCCCACATAAACGTAGGGTGGGGTTTAGTAGTATTTCAATCTAATAAATAGCACCATCTAGCCTATATCTTTGCTACCATTGATAGATCCTCACTCCCAATCACTTCTATATAGGTACTATACATGTCTTTCATCATTTATATTATATATGCTCCTCTCCGGTGCTGAACATCCGCAACCCGCTCGCAAGAAACCCGGGCCATAAAAGAAAGTCCTAGCACAAGAAAATCTTTCACCCGCGTTTTTCTACTAGAAGTTGCATACTCGATCTAAAAACCTTTTGTATCATGGAAATACCTATAATATACATTATCAACTCTTCTAATTAACCAGATCCACGGTCTCCAGCCCTTTCATACACATCAATACATGTATGATAGTCATATACTGCCACCAACTTTCCGTTCCGCCATACTCACAAACAAACAGCCACCCAGCGCGTATGAGTACCCTCCCCTTCCTTGCCGCCACTACCCCAAGCCGCCCGTGTACCCCGCTGCACACTTATCCACAAGTACGAGATCAAACCTCCTTACAACCAAGGCCAGCACACAGCCCCTCGTACACCCTAACGTCGTGAAACATGAGAATCCCTATAATTAAGACTGCATACCCAATTATACTGACCGGGAATACGTATCTCCCGCCATAGGCTGGGTGGTAGGTATTTTTTGGGTTACATCATGACATGTCACTCGCGTTGGGTTTACTGGTTAAGTGATAGATAGGATGAGTTGGCAGTATCCTGAGCCATGTATGCTATGGTAAAATCCTGACTGCTTTTTTTCGCGAAATTGCTTGCGGGGTAGTCTCATGCCCAGCCTCTGGTGCGATAGTAGTAGGTAGAACGGGGAACGAGTTGACAAAATTCTGGGAACGAAATTACTTGTGGGTATTGATCTTTTGATACATATGGCTATGTAGGCTACCTATCACCACCAGGTGTTTTCAAGAACTTAACTACTTACAACAAAGCACCCAGGTTGCAAACCACATGTGGTATATTCGAAACCCATCCTACAGTTTTCGATCACAAGGCATCACTCGACCCAGCGCAACCACACACCACGCAACTATATGACGGAAGTAAACATTCAAATGAGCAAAAATACACAACCACACTCTTTTTTTCTCCAAGCTTAACTGTTAAAAAGAAAATGCCCATGCACACACACACCCACACACCCACTCTCTCTAAAATCTCAGATCCCATCCAATTCCGGGTCCCAATCTCGGCAGCTCCTCCGCCACCTGCTGCACATCCTTGTCGCCTCTCCCGGACAGACAGATCACCACATCCTCGCCCTTCTTCATCGTCTTTGCCAGCTCCATCCCGCCAAAGATGGCATGCGCGCTCTCCAGCGCCGGGATGATCCCCTCCAGCTCCGACAGCTTCCGGAAGCCCATAAACGCCTCTGCGTCCGTGGCCGCAATGAACTTTGCGCGTCCCGAGTCCTTCCACGATGCCAGCTCCGGGCCGACACCGGGGTAGTCCAGTCCTGCAGAGACGGAGTGCGTCTCGTCGATCTGGCCCTCGAGGTTCTGGAGCACGTAGGTGCGCACGCCGTGGAGGACGCCCTTGGTGCCGCCGGTAAGTGTTGCGGAGTGGCGCGCGGTGTCGAGACCGTCGCCGCCGGCTTCGACACCGAGGAGCTTGACGCTGGGATCGTTGGAGAAGGGGTAGAACATGCCGACGCAGTTAGAGCCGCCGCCGACGCAGGCTACGACTGCGTCGGGGAGCTTTCCGCGGAGGGCTTGAAGCTGGGACTTGGTCTCGTTACCGATGACGGACTGGAAGGTTCGTACGATGGTTGGGAAAGGGTGCGGGCCGATGGCAGAGCCAATGATGTAATGGGTGGTTGAGAGGTGAACAACCCAGGCCCTGAGCGCCTCGTTGACGGCGTCACGGAGTGTTCGGGAGCCGGCCTCGACAGAGACGACTTGGGCACCGAGGAGCTTCATTCGGAAGACGTTGAGGGCCTGGCGGCGGACATCTTCGGCGCCCATGTAGACGGTGCACTTCATGCCGAACTTTGCGCATACGGTTGCAGTGGCCACACCGTGTTGGCCTGCACCGGTCTCGGCGATGATTTCGGTCTTTCCGAGGCGGCGAGCGATCAGAACTTGGCCGAGGGCGTTGTTGATCTTGTGGGAACCAGTGTGGTTGAGATCCTCACGCTTGAGCCAGATGTTGGCACCGTCGCAGTGCTCGGTGAGGCGCTCGGCAAGATGGAGCTGGCCCGGGCGGCCCATGTATGGGTAGTATGAGCGGTATTCTTCCCAGAATGCAGGGTCTTCGTTGGCCGCTACGAAGCCGGCCTCAAGCTCCGCAAGACAGTCCATTAATGATTCAGGGACGTACTGGCCGCCGAATTCACCAAAGCGGTCAGGGATTGCCTGCAGGTATTGGGATTAGCAAGTGGTTTTTGTGATCATGAGTTACGAAGTACATACGTGGGAGTCAAGCTCGGAGGCACTGAGTGCCATGAGCTGATCGCCGAGCCCAGGACCGGAGGGGACGTCCTTGTCAGTGATGACCGCAGTGGGGTGTACGGCGCCGGTCTCGTTGGCTTTTCCAATGGCCTCGACCATCCCGACTTCGCGGGTTGTGGCATTGGTGTCCCTGCCGACAACGTGAGCACAGTACTTCCTGACGGCCTCTGGCCTGGAACCTGGTGCGGCCTCGTCAAGAACATTGACGATCTGAGAGCCAATGACGACACCCTCCGCAAACTCGCCGACAGAGAGGAAGTGCTCGCGGGTGGATACACCAAAACCAACCGCAATGGGCGTGTTTCCGGATGACTCATGGACCCTCTTGCAGAGATCCCCGAGGCCAGCATTGAGTGTCCCTGTCGCACCGGTGACCCCCATGCGTGACACAACATATATGAACGAGTCTGCGATTCTGCACAACAGCTTCAACCGAGCGGGGCTCGTAGACGGCGCAATCAGTGGGACGTAGCTCATTCCCTCCTTTCTGCAGCTCTCACGGAAGCGGACGGCCTCCTCGGGAGGGAGATCGCAGATGATGAAGCCGTTAACGCCGGAGGACTTGCAGTCCTGTACAAACTTCTCGTCGCCGTATGCGAGGATGGGGTTGTAGTAGCCCATGAAGAGGACGGGGACCTTGAGGCCCTTGGCGCGGGCATCGCGGACAACGGCGAGAGTTGTGGTAATAGAAACACCGTTGAGAAGGGCGACAGTATTGGCCTTTTGGATAGTGGGTCCGTCGGCGATTGGGTCGGTGAATGGGAGACCGAGCTCGATGAGGTCTGGATATAGAGGAGGGGAAGAATATGAATTAGTTTGGAAAGTATGAAGAGAGGTTTGAGCAGTCTTTCGTACCAGCGCCACCAGCCTCCATAGCGAGCATCACATCAACAGTCTCACCGGCGGTGGGGTAGCCGGCGGTGACATACGTGACGAGGGCTCTCTAATATTTTGTCGGTATTAGCTTCAATTGCTTGATAAATCTTTTTGGGGGGGGAGAATGCACCCTGCCCTCGGCCTTGCACCTTGCGAATGCTTGCTTGATTCCATCGGCCATTGTATACTCAATAAGATGTATATGTATAAAAGTGAACTGATTGACAGGCTGTTGAGTGGTTGGAAAAACAAAGAAATAGCGGACTTGCCCAGTTCCTTATATATGTTCGGGAGTGACGTTTTGAAGGGAAAAGAAAAAAACGGTTGGAGGGGCCGGGTTCTTGGATGTACCTACATGTACCTACTTGGTGGGTATGCAATCGGCTAATGGAGCCGCAACCCCCGATAACAGATAAATATTTACAGCCATTTGGTGATTAAACACCAAATCCCGACCAGCAACCGCCCGGCGCAGGGGTACAGGGGCATCCATTTGGTGATTAAACACCAAACCCGCACCCGCCGGCGCACTCTATCTGAGTGATTTGGTGTTTAAACACCAAATATCATCCCGATAGTCTACAACGATTGTGTCGCGGGCGGGTGGGCATGGTTGACGTCAAGCGCAGAACCCGGGCGAGAATTAGTATTTGGTTATTAAACACCGTCAAACTGTCCACTACATGTAGCTACATGTTACTTGCATACATGTACCTCTGTCTTGCTGTGTAAGAGTCATACCTACGTTTTGTATGCGACCATAGACTTTGAACTTGATCAGTCCGGAGGCTAGCTATCGTGTAGCACTTAGAGTACTATACAGCGGTCGGGTAAAAAGTAGAGGATGGACCTGATAGCTGAATACATGTACTATAAGTTGTTTTTGTATTAATCCCGTCAGGCTAATGTCCTTTGTGTATGTACATGTAGTAATGCTTGACTTTCTGGCATCACGATACATCTGTAAAGGGGAAATATGATAAGGTTATCCCTAAAACGATCACCAGATTCTTCGATTCCAAATTAAAGAAAGTTTCATGTTACTCCAAGTACTAGCTGCCGTTGACTGGCTGCTTGCATGATATCGAGCTGTGTTACATAATCCCACCCCACATTCACATTGCACTGTCGCATCTCTTGAGGCTCACCTCGCTCAGAGTCTCAGACACGCCTCACACTAGCCATCCTGGGTGGAGGGGCAACAACAACCCCCCTCCCCATGCAGGTGGATGGCAGCTGCATAAGAAAAAAATCTAGAGCCAAGACTTCATGTCAATAATCCGCCTCTCCACGCCCACGAAGGTCTCATTCTCACCACGCTCAATTCCCCCCCCCCCCCCCAAAACCCTCCCTAATCTACCCTCTACCACCAGCAGACTCGCACAATGGCTGCCCGACTGCGTGGAGTGGCGAGTAAATGCATATTCTGTACTCTTGTCCCTAGGCAGATAACACCAATCCTCTCACAACTCCCGGGCGCAATCCCAGGAACGGTCCGCTACAGGTCTGTAAAGACAAAGGTACGGTCATACATAGCTTCAATTCGCCCCTCTTCCAACAAAATTATCCATATAACAGTGCAACAGTAGTATATATACAGCTAACTCGTCTCTCCAGCCCGCCTACCGCATCCTCAAAGACAGTAGCAAAAACCCCAGCGTCCTCACCGATAACCAACTCACAAAGATCCTCCGCTCCATTTTTGAGCGCATCCGACCCCCCTTCCTCCCCCAAGGCAGCGACCGGTTTCCCTCTGACTCCGTCCTTCCTGACTATCTTGCAGATCTAGGCCTCGAGCCCCAAAAGCTCGTGCAAAAGTTCCGCCTGTTCGAAAACGATGTTCTTTTTGCCGCAAGCTCTAACACTAAACGCGAGTGGAAGTCCCCGCGCCATGAGCTCTTCACCACCCGCTCCCAGATCACCGCCGCAATCTCCTCCAACGATGGACTCCCATTGTGGCTCAAAAAGCAATTTAAGGCTTTTGCAGGCACGGAGGTGGCCACCGCGGGGAAGGATGTGATGGGCAAGGTTGCTGACCTGCGGTACCCGCAGGAGTGGTATCCGGGCACAAGACACTACCAGCGCACATGGTACCTACACGTCGGCCCGACAAACAGCGGGAAGACGTACAACGCACTGCAGCGCCTTAAGGAGAGCCAGAGCGGTGTCTATGCAGGGCCGCTTCGGCTGCTGGCGCACGAGGTTTACGAGCGTATGAATGCTCAGGGAATACCCTGCAATCTTGTGACGGGTGATGAGCGCCGCATTGCGAGCGAGGAGGCCGGGATCTACTCGAGTACGGTGGAGATGGTAGATCTGGGCCGGCGGGTTGATGTCGCGGTGCTCGACGAGATCCAGATGATTGGGGATGAGGACCGTGGGTGGGCATGGACGCAGGCGCTTCTAGGTGTTCGTGCGAAGGAGGTGCACATGTGTGGTGAGGAGCGGACAGTAGAGCTCATCTCGAAGCTGGCAAAAATGATGGGCGAGAAGTTGGTCATCAGGCGATATACTAGACTTGGTGGGCTCCAAGTTATGACGGAGAGTCTCAAGGGCGACTTCTACCAGCTCGAGAAGGGTGACTGTGTGGTTACCTTTTCAAGGAAGAACATCTTTGCACTGAAGCGCGAGATTGAGTCTACTACGGGGAAGAAATGCGCTGTCATCTACGGCTCCCTGCCACCAGAAACTAGGAGTATCCAGGCTCAGCTTTTTAACGACCCCAACAGCGAATATGAGATCCTCATCGCCTCCGACGCCGTTGGTATGGGTCTCAACCTGTAAGTCCTATTTATAGAAACCCCAGTCATTGGTATCTCCTCTGATCATTGACCCACTAACACAAAAAAAAAAAAAAAAAAAACAGGAGCGTAAAACGTATCATTTTCGAAACGACTGTAAAGTTCAACGGCAGACAAATGGAGCCCGTCTCCGTCCCTTCCATCAAACAGATTGCCGGCCGTGCCGGCCGCTTCCGCGTCCCTACAAGCAAATCCGCAGAAACCCACGTTGACATCAGCGCCCCCGCTGCGCTCTCCGCACCCCTCCCGGGTCTGGTTACCGCCCTCGATGACGAGGACATGCCGCGGCTGCGGAAATCCATGGCCATTGAACCACAGCCGCTCCGCTCCGCCGGGATCCTCCCCTCCACCAACCACATCGGAGAACTTCGCAGCCCTCTTCCCGCCCGATGCGCCGCTCGCAAAGATCCTGCTTGCAATGCGCGATTCGGCGCAGCTCAATAAGAGCCTCTTCCACATGTGCTCGTTGGAAGATATTTTGATGACCGCGCGCGCGCTGGAGAGCGTCAAGGGCCTCACCATCACGGAGAGACTCATGTTTTGCATGGCGCCCATCACCACGGACGATGCTGTGCAGGCGGCTGCCCTCGAGATGGCAGAAATCTTGGCTAGCTCCCGCGACGGTAGCGTGCTTAATATGCAGACTTTTGACCTTGAGATCCTCGATATCGAAAACCCGACGCTGCCCGAGGAACTGCGTGCGCTAGAGTCTCTCCATAAGAGTCTTCTTCTGTACCTCTGGCTCTCGTAATCCGCCCTACCCCCCCCCCCCTTTTTTCCCCCTCCCCAGCTCATATGGATAGAGTTAACATTTGTCAATGCATAGATGGCGCTTCCCCGCAACATTTACACCCCGGGAAACCGCACAGGAACTCAAGGTTATCTGCGAGTGCCTCATCGACACAGCGCTTAAAAATATCAAGATGCCACGTCTCAAACACGTCCTCGATGAGCCATTCAACGAGGAGACGGTTGTGGAGGATGAGATGGAAGAAGACGAGGATGCAATCATGGACCGTGAGGAGGAAGGCGAGAGCGTGGTGCCCCATATCAGTGGCGAGGTCGTGCCGCTAACGGACGGCGAGATGGGCATGGAACCGAAGGAGTGGGTAGTGGGGAGGAGCGCTACGATCTAGTGGCGTTGCGGTTGCGCGGTATGGTGGTGGCAGTCGTGTGTATATATCATGTATGTTACTATATTGGAGTGTAGAATATTTTGCTGCGGGACCGGGTGGATAAAATGGTATCTTTGGCGGCGTTTATTGTCTGGTTATTAGTCTATATGTAACAACAGGAATCTGAGAATACTCCTCCTCTCTGGCTGGTTTTGTTTCAGGTGGGCGGCTGGGGGTGGGTGAAGAGAACATGATGGCCCTTTGTAAGAGAGAGTGTGTGGAAAGATGTCGGTTTGATCATTACCGTGTAGAGAATATATTACTTTACATTTTGTCAAAAGGCAAAACATATGTCAAGGTTTCGTGGTGTAGTTGGTTATCACACAAGTCTAACACTAGTTTCACTTGTGGTCCCCGGTTCGAGCCCGGGCGAAATCATGCATCTTTTTTCTTTTCTCCTTGTCGAGTAGGTAAACTTACAGTCAGAGCAATATATTTTAGCCAAAATACTGATCGCAAATCAGCCTGAGCGCCACTGTCTGTACCTATTGTTATTTTTGCTCCCAAAACAACTAACTGTACGTAGAGTGGGCTTAGTGGTGTTGGAATTTTTTGCGTGGGGGCGCTTATCAAGTATTGTGGATGCAGCGATCATTGGCCCTGCCAATCGTTGCTAGATAGGGAAAGTTCCGTCGACCTGTTTTTGGAATAAATACATATGTACCTACATATAGGTATTGCTTCCATCAGCGATGGGCGTAGGAGGGTAGTCTTCTTCAATATAGTGCCAATCTGAATATTGCAGTTGCAATACTGTAAGTAGCGATGTTGATGGCCAGTCGACTCCACTGTACAGCGGTAGGTAATAAGTGATGGAACACAGCGATACCTGTTTTGGTAAAATGCCACCAACATTTGGTGTTTGTACTCTCAGGGCGTTTCATCACTTATTACCTATCGCTGTATAAGGTCGGTCTTATCTTGCTAACGCTCTATTCGATTTCTCCTTTGAAAATAGCCTTTATTTGTTGAAGATTGTGGATAGGAGAACCAGAAAGAGCCCTTCTAGCCATGAGAAGGTTTTAAGATACTATAGGGTGTGTATGTGTTTTTAATGGCTTCAACTTGAGAGGGGAGGTGAGTAGGCTAAGTATTTAGTAGGCTTCCGGACCGGACTCGAGGCGTTGAGCTGCACGTACGGAATGTATGTGCTATGCTGCGCCTGGTGTTGAAGTAATGGCGAAGATGGAGTGCACATATTTTTGTGAAACAGAGAATTGTTGACTTGAGACACCAACGTATACGCAGTGCACTGTCTTTGCCTAGTCACTGGAAGTTAAATAGAAATTAATATGCTAGCTTGCTAGGGGAGAGGTATCTCAACCGCTACCGTAACCACAATATGTAACGGCAATATTGTATCTCGACTAAGCTGATAGATTGGGTCGTGCGAAGGAGCAGTTGCGCAGTTGAACGAGGATTTGTAATGGGGTTTCTGTCATGTTCTTTCGATTTCCGTTATGCGAGGTATTAGTCATCAACGGACTAGGAGTTGGATATATAAAGGGGCGTTGTCTCGTGTCTTTTCATGTTTCTCTTCCTTTCCTTTTCTCTTCACGGAATCTCTTGTACCTACTCCACGAATATTACTTTGTTCTACGCCTCGCCATAGGGTTCATCTAGTTTGTCATACTAGGCAGAGCCACCCCATAGTCCATAGTCGCGAATAGCTATTGCTACGTCCTTGCCTCGGTTGTATTCCTTGGCACCATAGTTCCTACGTCCATAGACCCCCGTTACACTAGATTCCGTCCTCTATTGCCAACCAATACAACACTATAGTTTACGATGTCGGAACACGCTCCTATCGACTACCAGCAACTTAGCAACACCCTTCAAACCTTCTTCCAGGAACACCCCCAGGTCGATAATACTGTCGGAGTAGAAGCTTATGCACTTCTTCAAAGGGCCCAACATGGCCTCGCTCAGTACGCAACGGACTTACAGGAAATGGAGAGGGAGGCGGGAAATGCAAGGGAGATGTTCGAACGAGATCTTGCTGCTGCTCGAACTCAACGGGTTGCGGTTGAGGTAGTTGCCCCTGATGAAGAACCGATTGGTGGCAATGATGCCCCACCTGTGCCTCCAATACCACCCCTTGTGGCTACTACCCAGCGGTCGGAGAAGCTCCCAGATTCTGAGGTGTTTAGGGGAGATCGTGACCGAGAAAGATTACACCTATTCAAGCAACAGATGAGGATCAAGCTACTGGGAAATGCCGACCGCTTTCCCACACTACAGTCCAAGTTATCCTATGCATTTAGTCGATTGGAGGGAGTTGCCGCTAATCAGTTCTTACAATATGTTGGAGAAGAAGGCATTGCTTTGCCTTCCATGTTGCGGTTTTATGAAATCCTGGATACTGCTTTCGGGGACCCTGATCGAATGCGCACGGCGAGGAGGAACCTTAGGAATATCCGTCAACGAAACCGAACCTTTGCTGATTACTTTGCTGAATTCCAACGGTATGCTGCCGAGTCAGGGATGGATGAAGTCTCTAGGATTGAGGCTTTGATGGAAGGTATTAATGCGGAACTCGATGAATCAATGATACACCATGAAACTCCTGCGACGGTAGATGCATGTGCGATACTCTTACAACGGTTGGATAATCGCCGTCGAGCGGCAGAAGCTAAGCGAGGAAGTAAAAAGCCTTGGAATGCTACTGCTGCTCCGACCCCTCGTCCCCCACCGGCGAATCCTGCTCCTGCTCCTCGTACTGCCGCCCCAGCTGTCAATGCACCTACCCCTGAGAACCATCCCTCGTTCCGCCCGGGAGGTGATGTACCGATGGATCTATCTGGGGGGCGTCGTCGCCCCACCCCACTGAAAGAAACGCCCGCTTAGCTGAGGGCCGATGTTTCTATTGCGGAGGAGTTGGACATATGGTTAGAGATTGCCCCCAAGCAAGGGGAACGGGAAATCAACCAAGAAGACCGGTTATGAGAGGAGCAGCATTGAGAGTGGAGGAGAATGATGGAAGCGATAACGAGTCGGCAAAAGATTTGTCCCTGCACTAAGTGGCTTAGCCCAGGGACCATTCAAGGATTTTTCTAAATTGCATATTTCTGGTTTTTCGGTATCAGAGGAGGAAATGGATGGGAACCAATTTGTAGTAACTTGTTCAATCTCACAGAATAAAAATACTTTCGTACCCACCTACGCCCTTATTGATACCGGAGCATCAGGATATGCTTTCATCGATGAATCTTTTGCACGCCACAACAATCTCACTATGACCCTCTCAAAATACCGCGCCATGTAGACGTTATAGACGGCAGACCAATCAAGTCAGGAAAGATTACTCATATTGCCGAGGTTTCACTAGACATCCATGGCCATCGAGAAACTGCGTCATGTTTTGTAACAAAGTTGGGACATTACCCGATTGTGATGGGGATACCTTGGATGCGACTGTAACGGCAATATTGTATTCCGACTAAGACGATAGATTGGATCGTGTGGAGGAGCGGTTGCGCAATTGAATGAGGATTTGTAATGAGGTTTCTGTTATGTTCTTTCGGTTTCCGTTACGCGAGGTATTAGTCATCAACGGACTAGGAGTTGGATATATAAAGGGGCGTTGTCTCGTGTCTTTTCATGTTTCTCTTCCCTTCCTTTTCTCTTCACGGAACTTCTTGTATTTACTCCACGAATACTACTTTTGTTTTACACCTCATCATAGGGCTTAACTAGTTAGTCATACTAGGCAGAGCCACTCCATAGTCCACAGTCTCGAATACCTATTGCTACGTCTTCGCCTCGGTTGTATTCCTTGGCATCATAGTCCCTACGTCCATAGACCCCCATTACACCAAGTTCCGTCCTCTATTGCCAACCAATACAACACCATAGTTTACCATGTCGGCACATCTCTCTATTGATTATCAACAGCTAAGCGATGCCCTTCAGACCTTCTTTCAAGAACATCCAGAGGTAGATGGCAATGTTGGGATAGAAGCCTATGCACTTCTTCAACGAGCACAACATGGCCTTGCTCAGTATGCAACGGACTTACAGGAGGTGGAGAGGGAGGCTGGAAATGCAAGGGAAATGTTCGAACGAGATCTAGCCGCTGCCAGGACCCACCGAGTCGCTGTTGAGGTGGTTGCCCCTGATGAAGAACCAATCGGAGAGGATAATGCCCCACTGGTACCTCCAGTTCCAGCTGTCCCAGTGGTCACCCAACGGTCGGAAAAACTCCCAGACCCTGAAGTATTTAAGGGAGATCGCGATCGAGAAAGACTACACCTATTCAAGCAACAGATGAAAATCAAGCTATTGGGAAATGCCGACCGCTTTCCCACACTACAGTCCAAGTTATCCTATGCATTTAGTCGACTGGAGGGCGTTGCCGCCAATCAGTTTTTACAATATGTCGGAGAAGAAGGCATCGCTTTGCCCTCTATGTTACGGTTTTATGAAATCTTGGATACTGCTTTCGGGGACCCAGATCGAATGCGTACGGCTAGGAGGAACCTTAGGAATATCCGTCAACGAAACCGAACCTTTGCTGATTACTTCGCCGAATTCCAACGGTATGCTGCCGAGTCAGGGATGGATGAAGTCTCTAGGATTGAGGCTTTGATGGAAGGCATTAGTGTGGAACTCGATGAATCGATGATACACCATGAAACTCCTGCGACAGTAGATGCCTGTGCGACACTTTTGCAACGGTTAGATAATCGACGACGAGCGGCAGAAGCTAAGCGAGGAAATAAAAAGCCCTGGAATGCTACTGCTGCTCCGACCCCTCGCCCCCCACCAGGGAATTCTGCCCCTATTCCTCGTGCTGCCGCCCCAGCTGTTAATACACCTGCCCCTGAGAACCATCCCTCATTCCGCCCGGGAGGTGATGTACCGATGGATCTGTCCGGGGGACGTCGTCGTCCCACCCCCGCCGAAAGAAATGCTCGCTTAGCTGAGGGCCGATGTTTCTATTGCGGAGGAGTTGGACACAT